TGAGGTCAGCCACCGTCGGATAGGTTTCATCTGTATCACACATTCACACTAATTACAATTAGTGTTGTTGTTATACCGTTTTGGTAAAAATTGATTGTGATTACTGATTAATGTCGGGCTAAACTTTATAAACCAATTATTCTGGAAAATGTGAAACGCTAATCAATTATATACAAAAATTCTTACACTAAAGTAGTCATATCGGAGATGCTACTAACCAAAAGTTGCATTATCATATTTTACTTTTCTCAATTTACTTTAAGATTTGTTAGGATTTTTTTGACTATTTAGTGCTCTGTGGTTAGGGGCCAGTCTAAGTGGGGAACAGATATGCTCTGCTGCATGAACCACGTGGACCAACATGCATATACACAGTGACATTTATTTTCTTCATAGGTTTCGTTTTCAATCTTTTCAGTGTCTATTAAATTTATGTTTATCTTCTTGGTGATTCTTCTTCCACGTTTTCACTCCCTTCTTCACACTTCACGAATCTACTACACTACATATACTCAGAAATTGAAAGCAAGCTAAGATTTAAACAAGTTATGGGCAGGACGCTTGGACCTTAACTATAACCACTCGCGCGCACAGTAAAATATACAGCCTAAGCTCGTACGTCTTTTATACTTTCTGAATGTAAAACTGTGTATATAGCTTCAGAAGTAAAATATCATCTCCATTAGCAAAAGAACAGTAAACAAAGAAATGATAAAACACAACAAACACAATATATAGTGTATTAGGGAGATGAGTACATTCTTGCAAAACTATACATGTGCATGCGGAGTTGGATCGGGGTTTAATCAAGTAGAACAATAATTTATTTATTTTTGGCATTAAATTAAGCTTGAGTTCTGTAACTAATGATTACATTAATTTAATAAGATTGAGAAATAAAAATTATATTCATTTTTGTGATTAGTGCCTGTAATGAACTTTACAACATATTAACGGTTTAAAACAAAGGCTATAAACCTTAATGCTTAATTCACAGAGATGATATCTGAAAAGTGATTTCCGAGTATATAATACAGTTTCTGGTTGTATAACTTTTAATTCTGAATGGTGGGAAGTAAAAAAATAATGGAATTTGTATATCATGGAGTATTATTCAACCGTCACATTGTAAAAACGTTTTTAATAGTGAGAACTCTTCTTTTCTTTCCAAATCTTGATCGGTTATGTATTATATTTACAGTTATTTAGTTTTTAGCCATGTTATAGAAATAACATATCTACAGATATTTCATATTACCAACGATGGTGTTAGTGTTACTGTATTTGAACGTGCATAATCAGGTATTGGAAAAGCAATGAAGTCAAAGGATAGGGTCTTCTTGCTGGGACCGCAAGTCATGTGAGCCTGCTTTGCCGATGCTGCACGGCGTCGCAACACTCTCTCAGCTCATTATTTAATTCCCTAACGAACGCTCCCCACATTTTACGATGCAAGGGCTGACTTTAATTCTGTGCCCTTACTCGTGTACTCTATACATTCTTTAGACCTATTATTAAATCCAATGACCTATTATATGGTAAATCGTAAAAACTAAAAATGTTGTTGATACTTTAAAGATATACCTTCATTATCTATTTCCTTGAATGAATCGAATTACGTGCAAATGTTTTCTTTGGGAAGATTTCCATATAACTATGAAATTACTCCAAAGTAATTTTGTTAACATGATATTTTATAACAAGCGAAAACCATTCCCACTTGTACTAATTAAAAAAATGAGTATGTCTAACCACACCAACAAACGAGTAACACATGTTAACATAAATGAACTCTAAGAGAAAATATATCTCTCACATTAAATTAAACCAATAGTATACACTGAACAATATCAAAATTGCATTGAACCAGTGAAATGAAATGTTAGAAAACCGATTATTTTTTTTCCGAATCTTTTTCAAGGGTTTTGTAGTTTTTGAGTTGAACTTCCGTTCAAATATTTATGATAAATCTAACTAATAGCCCAATCAAAGCCCATTAAAGGCCCAATCACAAGGTGCAACAAAGTTTATAGAACTCGGATACTTCAACTACCGAATCCGACCGTTTAATCAGTTACTACTTTAGTAGATTAGATAAAAGAGAAACATGCGGTTCTCTTTCTTCTCCTCCGCCGAGATTTTCTCTCCGTCTCTCTTTCTCCGCAATGGCGGCGGTGGCAACCTCCTTCTCCTTCTGTCTCACTCCACTTCGATCCCCCTCAATTACCCAACTTCACAGTCTCTCTGTGATCCCTAATCCATCGATTCGAAGAAGAATCGTCTGTAAATCTTCGCCTCGCGATGAATCTCCAGTCGTCGCCGCTTCTTCCAAAGATTCCTCTCGGCCGCCGGAGAAACAGCAGAATCCTCTGAACTCACGAAATCTACCGGAATCTTCTAAACCCGATCCTGATCCTAAACCGGATCCTGGGTAAGCTTCTGTCTATTTCTTTCTGGTTCTTAATTTAGTGTGTTGAGTTTCTTATTAAAGAATTGGTTTAGGATTGGTAAAATTGGAATGGAGATCATGTCGATTGCATTACCTGCTGCATTAGCTTTGGCTGCTGATCCTATCACATCGCTTGTCGACACTGCATTTGTCGGCCATATTGGTAAATATATTTACATGGTTTCAAATTTCACATTTTCAAAATTGCTAATAAATCTCATGTAATGTGACAGGTTCTGCAGAGCTAGCTGCTGTAGGAGTCTCTGTTTCTGTATTCAATCTGGTGTCGAAGCTCTTCAATGTTCCTTTGCTAAATGTCACTACCTCGTTTGTTGCGGAAGAGCAAGCAATTGCTAATAAGGAAGATAACGATTCTACAGAAACAAGTAGTTTTTTTCTTAAAAAGATTTACTTTACTTCTTCAAATGTTGATAATGCTCTGTTTCTAATTTTTGTTTGTTTTTGTATTTGGTGTTAAGGAAAGAAAGTGCTGCCTTCTGTTTCAACATCCTTAGCTCTTGCCGCCGGAGTTGGAATCGCAGAGGCCATTGCGCTCTCTCTTGGATCTGATTTCTTGATGGACATTATGGCTATACCTTTTGTATGTCTCTGATCACAGAAACGCATTTAGAATTATAATCTATTGGAGTTTCTTTATTGAGTTTTAGTCTCTCTCTCGGTTTGTAAATTTGTGCAGGATTCACCGATGAGAATACCAGCAGAGCAGTTCCTCAGACTCAGGGCGTATGGTGCACCACCAATTGTGGTTGCGTTGGCTGCGCAAGGAGCTTTCCGAGGTTTCAAGGACACAACGACGCCTCTATATGCCGTTGGCAAGTATTGCACAATCAAAACCTTAAGTTCACATTAGCAGTTTCACATACATGTTTCTGATATGGCACTCTTGATCAAAACAGTTGCGGGGAATGTGCTTAATGCGATATTGGATCCGATTCTGATATTTGTGCTTGGCTTTGGTATCTCTGGTGCTGCGGCTGCTACCGTGATTTCTGAGTACGTCCAAAAAAATGTGGTAAAAGTTTGATACTTTATTGTAGGCTTGTCTTCTCTAAATGACATTTATCTTATTTCTTGGCTTCTTACCTTTTTTTTTACTCGCTTGTCTTTGTTTTGTTCAGATACTTGATTGCGTTTATTCTTCTGTGGAAATTGAATGAGAATGTGGTTTTGCTTTCTCCTCAAATCAAAGTTGGAAGAGCCAACCAGTACCTCAAATCAGGTATCTTCAGAAACTGTTTTTTTTTTTAAAAGACTCAAAATGCTAAATGCTACTATATGAAATGTATTGAGTGGTTCATGGTTAGGTGGGCTTCTAATAGGTAGAACGGTAGCATTGCTTGTGCCATTCACGTTGGCTACTTCATTAGCGGCTCAGAAGGGACCTACTCAAATGGCTGGTCATCAAATCTGCTTGGAGATCTGGTTGGCTGTTTCTTTACTCACCGATGCGTTAGCCATTGCTGCGCAGGTCTCTATTGTCTTCTTGCAACACACTTCTTTAGTAAGGATTCAAGATTATGTTTTGTGGAGAGTTTTTCACATGAATTTTCTACTTGTTGTTTTCAGAGTCTTCTTGCAACTACTTTCTCTCAAGGAGAATACAAAGAAGCCCGGCAAGTTATCTTCGGAGTCCTTCAAGTTCGTATTCCATAGCCCACTTGTTTATGATTACCGTTTTAAACATATATATACAAAATTGCAATATTTTGATGTATTTTGAGCAGGTAGGATTAGCAACTGGAACTGGTTTAGCTGCGGTTTTGTTCATTGGATTTGAGCCATTTTCGAGCTTATTTACAACGGATGCAGAAGTTCTAAAGATTGCTTTGTCAGGGACCTTAGTAAGATCTCATCTTAATACTCTCCAAAAGGGTCGTCTCAGACAAGTTTAAATGCTTCTATATAATGTTTGCAGTTTGTGGCTGGATCTCAACCGGTGAATGCACTAGCGTTTGTTTTTGATGGGCTATATTATGGAGTCTCTGACTTTGGATTTGCCGCTTACTCTATGGTACGGTATCTCTTTGCTTCTTCATCAGTTGCTGGTTTGATTCTCCCTTTTCACTATTAATTCTCGTTTTTGGAATAGGTGATTGTGGGATTCATATCTTCCTTGTTCATGCTTGTGGCTGCACCAACCTTTGGCCTGGCCGGGATCTGGACCGGTTTGTTCCTCTTCATGGCGTTGCGCTTAGTTGCCGGAACCTGGAGGTAAAAAAAAAACCTAAAAGACCATTCTAGTTTCAAACCTGTTTGAACAACGTTATATTATGGATGTTGCGTCATGTTTCAGATTAGGAACAAGAACCGGTCCATGGAAAATGTTGTGGTCTGCTCCAGAGAAGCAAGAATGAGACGGATCGGTCCAGTTTATGCGTCAATATTTTTAGCGGTATGATGCATAACTTTTAAAAATAATGAAAATGGAGGGAACTAACAGTGTAAAAACATAGTCTTCAGATATTATTAATTCAGTATAAACACTCTTAAGCTATAAATCTTAACATTCATACAATAAAAAACTCTTAAGCTAGAACCTGAAATACTCTAAATACGGATTGAATCCACCTCCCTGGTCATAACCGGATGCATGGTACAACAATCCGTTATCGGTTTCGAACCGATCAAATCTGTAACCTTCCTCTGATTTTACTGCTGCGTTCTGGTAAACCAGCGGTTTCACTATCTCATTGTCAGTCATAGGATCAAGATTCTCAGTCTTGTCTTGGCTAAACTCGTCATTCGTTTCAATCACGCCATTTCCGGTCTCAGATACGTTGTCAGTTTCCAACCAATAGCTTCTAGAGCTTTCACTCTCATCGTTCTTCCTCCTTTCTCCACCTTCCGGGAAATTTAACCGGGCGTAGCGTCCGTACATGGCACTAGCAGCTCTGTCGTAAGCCAAAGCGGCTTCGGCTGCAGTAGCAAACGTTCCAAGCCAAAGACGTTTCCCACGGCTTGATTTTCCACCACGGTGGCTCGCTGGTTCACGTATCTCAGCAACCCATTTCCCCCAAACTCTCTGTCGAACGCCTCTAAACCGACAAACCGGATTCTCTGGTCCACCTTTTCCTTTCATACAACCTTTCTTCGAACCTTTGGCTTGCACCTTACGAACCCTCTCCAACCCTTTTTCGTCCTCCTCTTTCTTCACCCATCTATTTAACGTCGCTTCCACTGGCTCAGCCGCTCTTCTTCGACTTCTCGAGGATGCTACAGAAGCAGAGGAGCTCTGTTTGGATCCGTTATCTTCGTTTTCCATCATTTTTTACACACAGAAACAGCAGGAAAAAATGAAGGGGAAAAAGCGGAAAAGCGAAAAGGAGAGTAACCTTCAAATAATCAAATTTGTAAGATGAAACCAGAAAACATAAACTGTAAATCTCGGTCTGAATATATTGCCCTCGTATTCACCATTTAGGTACGTCAGAAATTAAGGTGGGAACACTTTTTCTAGATATCCTCTGAGAACACGCGTGTTGCAGACGACAGTTGATGTACGGCTACGGGACACGTGGCGAGTTCCTAGTTTAGGAAGATTCTGGTATGCGACGTCAATACCTTTTAAGATTTTTTTTTCTCCTTTCTTGGGCTAAATGATTTCTTTGCGACTAAGACTTTGAATCTGAATTTTCTTGGATGAAATAGATAATAAATTAATTAGGTAACTTGCCACCTTACTTAAATTGAAGATAAGTATTCCTTTTTTCAGTTTTTAGCTTAAGGTACAAGCCATCAATTTGGTATCTTACACTTGTTTTTTTCCTGATAAACGCGTTTCCATATACAACTAAAAAAGTATCAGTCTGATAACCGCAAAATGATCTTTTCCCTTTGTCAAAGTTGGAAGAAGAGATCATCTCTCTTTCAAAAACACTTGTTTTCAAGTTCTAGCCCCCCCAAAAAAAAAAAAAAAAAAAAGTTCTAGCCCAAAAGCGCTATACAAAAAGAAAAGAGATGAATTGTCTATGAGTAAACCTGATTTCAACTACATTTAGCAGATAATTTCATATTATTCTACACTAGAACTTTCAAGGTTTATGGACCATACCTATAGTAGGAGTGGATATATATATAAATCAAACCAATCCAAACCAAACGAAAGATCTTCAAAAGGACCACCGTTTCCTAGTCCATAATGTATTTATATCGGCCTTAAAATTACAAGAGAGTATAGTCGAGAGTTTAAACGGGACACACTTAGGATTACGGAGACCCCACTAGAAACAGTAAAAATAACTTCTTGGCGAAAACTCTCGACTCCACAACTCTAGACTGCAATGCATCAGCGAATATATACCAATGTTTGGAAACCGCCTGAGTAGAACCGTTTGGATGCGCGCCCAACGTACAAGTTAAAATGTTGTTTTTGAATAAGCAAATGGCGAGTCATTGGCATTGAAAGTTCTAGTTTATGGACATTCTGTTTTGCGACGTGAAAGGCTTTTTGGATTTTATATTATTTTATTTTTGTCTAAAGCTTTCATTGCGGCCAAGATTGTAACCCAAGTCACTGTTTGAAATTTCCTTCTTGTAATCATATGCTCTGATCACGACTTAGAATACAGCTTAAAGAACCTTCTTGATTCGATTAAATCATCTTTTGAAATTTGAGAACTTGCATACAAAGTTTGACTCTTTCGATTGCATATATATACTACGTGGTACAAGATCCAGTAATCAAATGAAACAAAAAAGCTCAAATCTTGAGTTTGAACATGAAACAGATCACAATGTTGACGAAGCTAAGAGTAAAGATTAACAACAACAAAAGTGGCAAAACTTCTTCAATCAAAATCATTCAAAGATATATATATTTCATCTATATTCTATAGCTATGCCAATGATGTAACAAGAAATAGGCCAAGATCCACAAACTTTTCATTTTCCAGATTAAGCTCCCTAAAGTATCGATTGAACAAACGAATCATATGGAAAGATTTCTCAAAGTCGAAAAAACCAAAAAAACAAAACCATTAGGACTGGTAGATCGGAGTCGATCAGGAGGAGCATCTACCCGCGAGCGGCAATGACAGCTGGCGCGGTAGATGAGGCGGCGCCGCCGAGGAAAGAGAGGAATCCGGTGGCAGCTGGCTCTTGCTCGTCTAAGAAAAGATCTTCCGGAGCTCTAAACGCGCCGTGCGCACAGATCAACGCGACTCCAACCATCATAGCCGACACAAGAACAGATCCGACGTCGGTGAGGAAAATCACGAAGATGCTGAACAGGATCAAGCACCCGAGCGTCTCCCGATCGGAGAACGTACGGCCGAGGATGACGATCGGCTGATCAGAAGGACGGAAGAGGTAGAGGAACAGCCAGGACGCGAGGAGACAGAGGAGGAACACGAGAGAGAAAGGATGCGTCACGAGAGAGAACCCGACGATCGCCGTCGCGACGGTGAGGTAATTGACCTTGAAATACGAGTAATTCTTGCGGATCCGGACGGAGGCGTCGGAGATCGACTCCGGTTTGGACAATGCCGATCGATCCGCGAGCTCAGCCCAGGGACGGCGCTGGGAGAGGCCGTTTCTGACGGTTTCCGAGATCTGGTTGATGAAGGCGCGGAAGGCGGGAGTAGCGATCGGTGTCTGGGATTCGACGGAGGAAGGAGCGGCGGATGGAACGGTTTGGGAATTGGAGATCGGGAGGATCGGAGGCGCCGTGGAAGCCATTGTTGTTGAAGAGTTTGGCAGATTTGAGCGAAGAAATTGGGTGGAAGAAATTTAAAGAAATTTGGTGGAAGAGAGAATATAGCGTGAGAAGTAATTAAAGAGAGGGAAGGAGAGAGTTATATACGGCGGAGGAAGAAATTGACTTTCCTCTTTCCTTATTAGCTACGGGTCACCGACAATAAGCGTGACTATTTATTCTTTGTATTTTCTTTAGATTTTCCTTTTTTCCGTTTTGCCTATTTATTTTTCTCCTTATTTTTCCTTTTACTTGAGAGTAGATAGAATAAATTTAGTGTTTGAGTTATGATTAGAAGAAAATATAAGGCTAAATCTTGTATTTTAAGGGGATAAACTTGCTAATAGAAATTGAGAAATCGGCTATATATATAAAAATATAAAATAAATAAACTTAAGACTGCTATATCCCTCTTTATTTTAAAAGTTAAGTATCGACTTATATATAGACTTAATTTTTTTCTTCCAAAAGTAGTAGAGGTCTCACCTTTGAAGAAAATAAGTCTAATAAACTAGAGATTATGATGCTCTATATCTGTTTCTTCATTTTATTCGGCCTCTCTATTACTTAGTGGAATGCTAATAACATCCAAGTTTACCATCTCTTTTTTTTACACCACTTCAAGTGGTAATTTGACTGTTTGATTTGCCTTCGCTGTTCTGGTTACGTGAGGGCAAGTGTGTGGATCGTTTGGTCTATTGTTCTAGAGATATGGAGGTACTGGCTATGAAAGGCTGATCAATGTGATTTTGATGACACGATTTTTGTTGGTTTCATGAGATGTATGTTTCTGCTTAAAACAAATAATTGTAGCTTGAGGAGCTGTGAGAGAATAGTTAATGTAGTGATTCTCTCTGTACCGAAGCAGGATACAAATTCCATGGCCTCGGTGATTTGTGAAGAGTTCTAATAAAACACTTGATACACATATAAGTACATAGTTGGGTTCACTTAACAAAACACAAAGAAGAAGTCAAAAACACTAAAAATCATCTCTATCACCTTAAGTTCAAAGCAATTTTTTTCTTCTTCTTCTTATCTTTACTCTCTTTGTTCAACAACATAGAGATCTTAGCAAATCCGAAATTCTTCCTCTTCCTCGTCGTCGACTTTTTCCCATTCTCCTTCCCTTTCCCTTCACTCTTCCTGCTCACATTCCCATCACCATCTCCATTCTTCGCCAGCATCTGCCCCAACGACATCTTCCTCCTCTCGCTACCAACATTCACCACATCCGAATCCTCAGCAAGAAGTAGCTTCTTGCTCAGTATCTGCCCTATCGACATCGTTGGCTTCAACACAGGAACCGAAGACGACGACGAACCGCTTACAACAACATCATACGTCAGATGCAGACCGTTTACATCCATCAGACGACTTGCTGCTGCTGCTGCTACTATCTCTCTTCTGTTCTTGAACTTTGAAGTGTTGTTCACCGCAGAAGAAGAAGAAGACGATCTCCTCCTCTGCCTGTTTCGCAGCGCCTCTTCCGCTTCCAGCTTCGCACCATTCGCATTATCAACTCTCTCCACAGCTTCCTCCAATGCCTTCTTACTTGTTTCAACTTCTTGACCAGCTTCATCTACTTTCTTTAGAGTCTCAGCCTTTGAAACATTTGCTTCTTCAACTCTAGACATCGCATCCTCCACTCGCTTCCTCGCCTCTTCCTCTGCTTCTCTACCCTTACGAGACAACTCACCATACTCTTCAGCAGAGATAGTCACAGTCACAGCCTCTCCTGTAACAGCCTTGATCTCTGCAATCGCAACCGCCTCAGCTGCTCTCGCCGCTTCCTTCACCTTCCTAGCAGCCACCAGCTTCATCTTAACCGTTTTGATCTCGTCTCTTGTTCGTTCGATCTCAGCCATTCCTTTCACAACTTCGGTCCGTGAGCTCTCTCCTGATTCTTTAAACTCTTGAGCTTCACGGCTCAGTCTTTGAACCTCCTTTAGAGATTTCTGCATTACTCTCTCTCGTGTCTTCTCAAGTGCATCCCTTTCTTCTTGCAGTTCTTGTTTCAACTGCTCAACCATCCCGCGTGTACCCGCGAGATCAACCGTCGTCCTGCATAGATTCATCTTTGCCTGGTTTAAATCTTTCAGCACCACACCTGCTGGCTTGATATAACTGTGAACTTCTTCTTCTTCCTCATTAGCGTTTTCTTCCTTCTGCTGCAGCTTTGAGTTTAGCTCTTCAGCTATGGATTTAGTCGCCTCAAGCTCCTTCAGCACCTTGAGCGTCTCGCGTTCTTTTGTAGTTAGATCGTTCTGTAGCTCAGCAGCCTGTGCTTTGAGCTTAATGATATCAGCTTCTTCAACATTTTCCTGCCACAAAAGAATAAAAATCTGACCTTTACAAATCCTAAATGTAACATGAATGAATAATGATACAGAACACAAAATGTTCACAAATGTGATGAATTTGAGCAGCTTAGCTTAAAACCAGGTTGAAATTGCAGACATCAGGTGTTTAAAGAAGCAGGCATTGAACAAGTTTTCACACTGGGGTTAAGATTTTCTTCATCATTATTGCCAAAAAGGAAAGGAAAAATCAAGCATCATCATGTCGTTTTAGGACATGAACCAGACATCATCAAGCATCAATTCCAAGTTTTTTCACTAGAAGTTATCATCTTGTCGTTTCAATGCCAAGCACGCCTAATCAGTTAACAACAGATAAACCCTAAAGTCGTAATTTTTGTTTTTTGGAGACAAAATCAGAAATGTTTAAGTGGGGGAGAAACCTGAAAGGGTTTAGTAATGTGAGAAGGTTTCCAGAAACCGAAACCGCCGAATCGAGTGGCCGCCTCTCTCACTGACTCGAACGGCGCCGAAGTGTCGATCTCCGCTCGGCCATTCGCGGTACCGGAGAGATCCGAGTCGGGGTTTAAAAACACCGGCTCTATCAATGTGCGCGGTTCTGGGGATTCGGCCATAGACGCAATGGGACGAAAGAGAAGCAGAAGGAGACAGGTCTTAGAAGGCGAGAGAGTGAAGTGGCAGAGAGAGGGAGAGAGAGAGAAGAGGGTTTTTTTTAGTTTAGAGTTTAGACAAAACAAAACTCTGGTTTTGAGATTGATAGTGGTTGTGAATGTGACAAAAACGTGTCGAAACGGCACGCCGAACCACGCTACGGTCGTCTGTATTTGTTGTGAGAGGGAAAAAACAAAAAGTTGAAAAGTCATGTGTATTCCGTTTTTTGTTTTTTTTTGACATGTATCCGTTCCGTTTTGTGCAATTTTTTATTTTATTTTTCTCTCCGTTTAACGTCTCGTCTCTTCTTGATCCGGACTCTAGCTAGAATCGGACAATCCGTGACAGCTACAACCAAAAGTTGACAGAAAACAGATCGCCAAGTGTGGTTAAAATTGGTTTGATATTGTTGTATTGAATTGACGAAAATGGTCTATTGATAATTGATATTTTCTTTCGGATTGTCGAATTATCTACGAAATGGTAATTATAAAAAGTTAAAGATAGTTTTATTTTTTAATCAACCCAAACAGATAGTTGATCCAAATATATGGCTATCTCGAGACTCGAGTAATTATCGAGTCCAAATCTAAACCCATGAAAACAAATTATCTTGATCCAAATGGATAATCTTTATTAACCTTCCTAAAAAAACTGAGTATTTCGGGTTGGATCCAATCCAAAATGCAAATGCCTAGTGTTAATAGGAAGGTTAATAAAGATTATCCAAGTGCTTTAGCAAGACCGTACATGGCTTGTCAGGTCAGGTCTGGATCAACGGTTTTATTATGGCATGATGACTGGACAGGGCTTGGACCTCTGATTGATATCTCTGGTGCAAATGGTCCGAGGGTTTGTGGTATTCGTTCCATGGCTATTGTCTCTCAAGGTATTCAAATAGGATTTGGGCGCTTCGTACTCGGAGACATCCGATCCTTATTTTACTTCGCCAATGTCTGTCTGCGTCTGTCCCTGATGTCACTTCTCTGCAACCGGATTTTTACCTTTGGAGGAACAGCCCTCCGGCCATTTTCTCTTCCTCCAAGACCTGGCTTTCTCTTCACCCGCAGACTCCAACACTTCCATGGACCAAAATGGTTTGGTCCAAATGCAGAATTCCAAAACATGCTTTTATCTTATGGATAGCTTTGAGAGATCGTTTGACAATTAGAGATAAGCTCCGGAGTTGGGGACTATCTGTTCAGCCGGACTGTCTTCTCTGCAGAGCTGGGGAAGAATCTAGGAATCACCTCTTCTTTTCATGCTCTTACTCTGCGGGAGTTTGGAACAATTTTTTTCTCTCATAGATCTCTTTCTCCACCTTCCTCTTTTGAAGACATTTGGTTTAGTAGCAGCACCACAAATATAACTGCAGAAACCGCGACAATAGTTTCACTAGAAATCTTTTCCACTTCTCCTGGTGTGAGGTTGATATTCTTGAGGAGGTAGCAATGGCGTGTCACCAAGGCACCAAAATATTCAGAACCATCACACCGAAGAAAGCAAACATGCTTAGGAACACTTCCTCTTGTGAACCTACATTTTCTCGAACACATGTTTCTCATTTCGAGCAAAACTTTTATTTAAACAAAGGGAACTCCAATTTTGACTTGTGAGTGCAATATATTATATTGATCGCCGCAATGCTTTAAAATTATATTTAAAAGATCTCCATCACCAGTTTTTCCCGTTTTTCTAACTAATTTAAATTTTCTTGGGTTTTATTATCAACCCAACCACAATGAGGTCTAAGGTCACAATTTTAAAAACAGTGGTGAAGTAGAATTATTTCCTGAAAATTTTATTTAAAACTTGTAAAATTATTTAAAACTTTTTAATTTTTTTGTAAATTATTCAAAATTCAAATTATCCATAATTTATATTATATTGTATTAGTTTATAATTAAAAATGATAAACGACAAGTATGCCTAAGACTTTTAACCCATATCGACCCAACTTAAAAGGCTCCAAACTGGACCGAACCAAAATACATACCCGATAGATCCTAAATTTCTATATCCAAAAAACCAAAACTGAACCAAGAACCGTATAATTACATATGTATCAAAAAATATTATTCATATTTATATTTGAAATTAATAAAATGCCCAAAAATCACAAAACTATGTACTAAACAAGAGCTTCAAATCCTGTGGATTCGAACAAAGCATATAGGCATAGACACATATGGACCTTTAATTGGATACACGTACAGAAGAAAATATGTTGCCAAGAAGTTTAATCAACTTACCACACTAACTATTCAAAGAATTAAGAAGCAAAAGTCACCTAACTCGTACTAGAGAACCCAAGATCACAATTGGTCTTAACAAAGAGTGAACAATAGATGACTGGACAATCAATCAAACTACAAAAAAAATGTGTTCAGCAAACAGATCTTTATATAATCTAAAACAAAATAACTATGAAATTCATACAGAAAACTCTAATAATGTTCATTAGTACAGTAACTTGATGCTCTACTTTGTCTACTATCAAACAAAACTAGATTATGTACATAAACGTAGAAAGTCAGAGAAAACTCCATGTCTAACAACTATTATAGCAAACTACGGTTTACAAATAAAAAAACATTTACTCGACCTAAAGAACATAGAAGATCAAGGGGCACTTATTCCACATGCCTACAATGAGGATGACAAATTTGGGGTTTATGTACTGCAAATTTCTTGATCTTTGACATCAGTCATAGAAAAATAATACTAAATAAAAACGAAATTAAGAAAGATCAAGCTCCATCAACTAAGAGATCAAGAGATAGACAATAGTACCACAACAGAGATACATTCAGTCATTGTTACAAGACAAACTAAAGTCATCGAGAAAATAATATATAATCTAGCACAATTATCACCTTCAACGTAAGGTGCAGAACTTCAGAATTGCGAGAATTAATGCCATTTCACATGTTTAGAATGATTAGATCCATAATGCAAAACAAGCATAGGCATTGATGATGGACCCTTAATTTAGGATAAACATACAAGAATAGATATGTCCAAGAAAGGTTAATCAATTTACCACACTAACTATTCCAAGAACCAAGAAGCAAAAGTCAAAATGGTATTATCAGACCCGTACCACAAAGACTGAACAATAAGCAGACATACAACCACCAACCAAAATGCAAGAACCACAAATAATGATCAATAAGCAGACACACAGCCACCAACCAAAATGCAATGCAAGAATTGTGTTCACAAAACGGATCTTATAATTTAACACACAACAAAATTAATCGAAATTCAAATTGTTCATTATAAACAAACAATCAAGAAGAAATGTTATTTACTTGTCCATTATGATGCAAGTGTTAGAATGTGAGGATGCCATTTTGCATATTAAGAATGATCACCAAATATTTAGAGCGTAATGCATACATACAAACACCAAAGCGAGAGATTAAGTATTTTTTGTTTAGAGAAAAAAACAAAATAAGATAAAGATTTCTTAAATTGTCAACACACAATGTAACGTTCCAACACCCAGGTTTTTTAATCATTTTATCAATGGATATAGTAGCAGATATACATCTACAAGAAAGATACCAAGATATCCATTTCGTAAAATGAGAGACCTTACATAGAAGTACCAAATCAAGCATATAGAACCAAGACAGAGGTTACTTAATCCTCACACTGCGAACACAAAATCTAATGTTCCAATACCAAAATAAAACTTTCTTTGAATCAATGGATATGAGTTCAAGGATAGTAGAATTATCAAGACAACTATATATCGAAGAAGGATTTAAATGGCGCTTAGATCAATATTTCTTTGTCTAATTTTACGATACATATAACCTGACTTAATTTTTGATTTTTATATTCAATAATATCAATTTAGCACCGAAAAAATTAGAGAAGCATATACCTGTGAGGTCTCTCTGTCTGAGAAGCAGAAAAGTCTAATTAAATCCATGAGAATATGAGCATCTTTTGAAGCATATACCTGAACAAAACAAGAATTAGTCTTTACTTCATGAATGTGTCTCCTACTTGTGAGTTTCATAATTATTAATTTTAATTACACACACCACAACAAATCAAAATCAGTCTTAACGTCACGTATGCGTCTCCTTATTGTGAGACTCACAGTAGTTTCAGTTAAATTACAAACAAGTTTCACAGTTGGTCTTTGCTCTGTTTCTACAACAAGGCAAAGGTTTCCATAAGCATCTTATTTAGTATCTATTTCACGCCTGTGTCTCCTTGTTGTAACTTTCACAGTTGTATCAACTAAATTATAATCAAGTTTGAAAAACACACATACCTGTAAAAGACGTCTGCTACATTCCTTGGAGTCTCTAACAATTTGAACACCTTCTGAAGCACATACCTGCGGAAATAAGAAATACAGTTAGTCTCTACTTCCAACTAAAATCCCTCATACTTACCTTTTTACTTTCATTGCACAGATCATGAATCCGTATTTATACATGATCTTTGAAGCTTATTAGTCTTTCTCTTAAGACCTTAAGCCGATAAATGATCTTTTTCTAAACAGAGGTTCTACGCTTTACTTCTTTAAGTCTTGTGGTCGTTTATCCCATCCAACAAGTCAAACCAGTTCACAATCTCTTTGCCTTAGAGAATTTTTACCAAGGTTGTTGGTCGTTAATCCATCCAACAAGTCAAACCAGTTCACAATCTCTTTGCCTTGGAGAATTTTTACCAAGGTTGTTGGTCGTTAATCCATTCCAACAAGTCAAACCAGTTCACAATCTCTTTTGTCTTAAGAGAATTTTTACCAAGGTTGTTGGTCGTTAATCCATCCAACAAGTCAAACCAGTTCACAATCTCTTTGCCTTGGAGAATTTTTACCAAGGTTGTTGGTCGTTAATCCATCCAACAAGTCAAACCAGTTCAGAATCCCTTTGTCTTAAAGATGTTCTTCAAGTTGTTGGTCGTTAATCCCATCCAACAAGTCGAAAACCAATTTGTAATCTCTGTCTAGAGAATTTTTCTAAGCCGTGGGTAGTATTAGTGAATCCGTTTTCAATGCAGTCTTTGCCTTAAGACTTTTGATAAGCCGTGGGTACATGTGAAGCAACGGATTCGCTAGTTTTTCAAAGCCGTGGGTACTAGCAAAAGAAACGTATACGTTTCCAATTCCCTGTGTTTGCCTCAACACCTTTTATAAGCTGTGGGAGTAAAGCATTTATAGTCCTTAGACTTTAAGCCGTGGGTAGTGTTTATAGTCCTTAGACTTTGTTTATAGTCCTTAGACTTTAAACCGTGGGTAGTGTTTATAGTCCTTAAACTTTGTTTAGAGTCCTTAGACTTTAAGTGTTTATAGTCCTTAATTAGACTTTAAGCCGTGGGTCATGTTTATAGTCCTTAGACATTAAGCCGAGGGTAGCAAAACCAGTTTATAGTCCGTAGACTCTAAGCCGTGTGTCATGTTTATAGTCCTTTGCCTCAAGAATTCAGACTCTTTTATAATCGTTAGTTGTTTTTCCCTCTCCATCTCATCCGATAGTCAAAAGCCAACTCAGTGTTTTTCTGAAGACTTTTAAACCGTATGGCTTATCTTCCATCCCTTTAGGCATGCACTACCAACCATATAGACTTTTAAGCCGTGGATGTGAGTGTTTATAGTCCGTAGACTTTTAAGCCGTGGGTAGTGAGTGTTTATAGTCCGTAGACTTTTAAGTTTATAGTCCGTAGACTTTTAAGCCGTGGATAGTGTTTATAGTCCGTAGACTTTTAGGCCGTGGGTAGTGAGTGTTTATAGTCCGTAGACTTTTAAGTTTATAGTCCGTAGACTTTTAAGCCGTGGGTAGTGTTTATAGTCCTTAGACTTTTAAGCCGTGGGTAGTGAGTGTTTATAGTCCTTAGACTTTTAAATTTATTGTTCTTAGACTCTTAAGCCGTGGGTAGTGTTTATAGTCCTTAGACTCTTAAGCCGTGGGTCATGATTATAATCCTTAGACTCTTAAGCCGTGGGTAGTGTTTATAGTCCTTAGACTCTTAAGCCATGGGTAGTGTTTATAGTCCTTAGACTCTTAAGCCGTGGGTCATGTTTATAGTCCGTAGACTTTTAAGCCGTGGGTCATGTTTATAGTCCTTAGACTCTTAAGCCGTGGGTAGTGTTTATAGTCCTTAGACTCTTAAACCGTGGGTCATATTTATAGTCTGTGGACTTTTAAGCCGTGGGTCATATTTATAGTCCGTAGACTTTTAAGCCGTGGGTCATGTTTATAGTTCTTAGACTCTTAAGCCGTGGGTCATGTTTATAGTCCTTAGACTTTAAGCCGTGGGTCATGTTTATAGTCCTTTGCCTCAAGAAGTAAGACTCTTTTATAATCGTTAGTTGTTTTTCCCTTTCCATCTCATCCGACAAGTCAAAAGCCAACTGATAGTCTTTTTCTGAAGACTTTTAAACCGTATGTTTTATCTTCTATCCCTTTAGGCATGCACTACCAACCATATAGATTGACGCAACCGGATAATGTCCCCAACAAGTATCTGACAAAAACACTATTATTTTAGTGTCTTGCCTTTGATCTTTTGGGGTTGAAGAGAAAAAAAAATAAAAAATAAGAATCGGCAGTTTGACTGAACAAGTAAAAGAGTAAGTAAAAGAGCTTAACTGTTTGCTGCTGCTACTTCTTTAGTTGCTTCAGTGGCTTGTCAACGATGACTTCTCCATACAAGACACTGTTAGAAAATCAAAAAACAGAGAGAGAGAGAGAGGTTAAAGTAAGAGACATCTAAAAGAACAACCGTAGAATACAAAAAACAAATCTTAAAATTGGTTTCAGATCTCTGTTGCATCAACACTTTGATTTAAAGTAAATCTTATTTCTCTAGTTCCTTCTATCAGCCTGTGTGATTCATCAGTTCTACAAAGGAAGTTTATATAAACAATGGTGATAAATTCTAGCACAAGAAATCAATCAAAAGGATTCGACTCGTCTGTAAGAATCTACTCATTCACTCTGTTCATTTCGTTTGTCATCCTAAATACATCAAACTCCCTAAATTTTATAACACAATCATCATCTGTAAAAGCAATAAGATATCAAATCCTAATTTATTTATACGGTAATTTCATTCTCAGTATGAGTTACTTACAGTAATAAAAGAGATCAAGAGTCACATATCAAATTTATCAGAAATAATTTTGTTCTCTTCCTAACGATCATGTAAATTAAGGACCTTTACGTATAACATATCCTGATTCCTAAATCTCAAAACTTTGTCCCTGTCAATTGCTTAAACACAGAACGAATTTCACAATTGATCATATGAATTTGTCCTCGTTCGATTTCACCCTCAAATACAGTAAACAAAACAAAAATTTCATAATAGACACCGAGAAAACGGAAACCCTAATATACACAGACAGAGAATTACCTCCACTCGACGACGGCGATTGTGACGGGAGAGTCAAGCTTCCGGATAGATTCGCGATCGCTACAGAGTTACATAAGAACGATTATAAATGTTGAAAACCCTAAATTAAAATCGCGAAGAGGAAAAGAAAGAAAACCCAAATCCTAATTGATCGCATCTGTTTCAAGCGGAATAAAAAAAAAACGAAAACCCTAATCTAAATCAAATCCAAAAGAAAATTCGCAATCTATATAAATTGAAAAACTTACCAATCTAAGAAGTGAGAACGAAAGAATTTGGCTGTTGTAGAAATCGTCGAAGAGTTGATAATTAAGTTACTAACATAGAGAAATTTTTACTAGCCCACTTTGTCCCTAAAATGGGCGGGAGTTTTCCCCCCAAAAAAATTCTCTGTTGTATAATTCTGTTTTTGTGTGGTTATAGTTAATTATAAAAGTGCATTTCATCAAACCCTTCATCTCAAACCCCTCAAATATTAACACTAACCGTAAATAATAAACTATGATATGTAATGTAATCCCGACATATATTTTGTTTGATAATGTGAAATCCATAGAACATACATTCATATTTGCTACAGATGACTGATCGCATATATAACAAATTTATAGTGCATAATATTAAGAACGAAAAAATATAGTATAAACATATAGAAATCCATACTACTTAAAATAATACAGACATAGAGAAATCTATACTACTTAAATTCATCTATGCGTATCTGCTACATTGAAGGAAGGTAAAAGTCAATTAATATACACATGCGGCATGCCACAATTCAGAGGTGTAAAGTTTTGAAGGTTTTCCAAACTTGAAGTGTGTAGTTAGTTGCAGAGACTCAGAGGTTGCTCTCATTTATGATCTTGCACTGAGGGATAAGCTTCACCGCATGCAGTTCCATAAGCACAAGCGAAGCAACAGCAAACAAAATTGGAAAAGAAAAAAAGAAATCAAAAATTTAGTACAGGCAAACACAGTAAAGATGTAAAAATTTAGTAAAGCATTTCACATTCAAAGAGTAAGGCGATATTCAACGCCTTTCAAATAAACCCAAGAAAACCATACATATGCATTCTATACTATACGGCATAGTATAGTCATATCAATTTACTCTACAATAGATCTCGTATACAAGATTTGGTCCATTAATTCAGTCAACTATGCATATCAATTTCAGGGAGTAAGCTGATATTTAACGTATTTCAAATAAACCCAAGAAAACCAGTATCGGAGCCCTCAAAATTAACCCAACTCGGATAAGGACGACACCTATATCGAAACTACATGAAATTACCCTATATCAAGTAGCGAAACTTAAGTAGATCTACTTACGAATCAAGCGCGGAGATAGCAGTCGGCGCTACGGTCTTCAAAGGTATAAGAAGAAGAAGAAGGGTAAAAGGTTCAACAATGTTTTCCAAACACAAATTTTGCCATCGTCTTCTTCTAATTCTCTCTGTGGATGTGAATAATGACACTGTTCCAGTAAGTGGATAAGCCCCCTTTCCACACTGACATAAATTTTCAAAGTTTGAATTTCTCTTTCCTATAAGGAGTTTTTCGTATATATTGTAGAAGATACAGCGAATATCATAGCCATACCTTTCTTATTATTAGATTGTTAATTATAGGTGAAAATATTGTCATCTATTGCAACTTCCCTTCAATCATTTTCTTCATCAAAAATTATGGAACATTGAAAAAAAAATAATCACTATTAATAAGTACAAAGTGTATGATTTTTAACTATTATTCAATTGTCACATTATTATACGACGTTTTTTTTTTGTTTTGTCGTTACCCTTTGAATCATTCTCGGTCTCTACTCTAGTCACACCAGTCACTCATTTACTTTTGCCCAATTAGTTAAAGAACTTTGGAGAAAGACGGTTAAGGTCTAAACTCTAAACCGGAAACAGAAACCGATTTAAACCATAACACCGACTATGCAATATAAACAGATTTTGTCTTTACATGGACACAAATGGCCTATTTTCACGACCAATTGATGATATACACGAATAAACCCACCGGCCTTCTCTACTGTTATATTTACTTGTTTTCAACAACGTTCTAAGACTCAGGGCCGGCCCTGACCTAACCTAAGGCAAGTAAAGCATATGCTTTAGGCGCCAAATAAAATATATACATTTAGGAGCGCCAAATAACAGAAAGCTTCAAGTAGTGTAGTGGTTAAGTCTTCCATTTTAACTTCACAGTAAAGAGTTCGAATCTCATACTTTAACGGGTTCAAATTTTATTTTTGCTTTAGACGCCCAAACGGTACGGGCCGGCACTCAGACTCGTCCGGTTTTGGTTCGAGAGTTACAGCTATCTTCTCCTTATGGTCGCCTCTTAAAACCTCCACGGACACCTGAGAAAAAATCACCTCAACAAGATCAAATGTCAAAACTCTCTCAGTTGCAAAAACAGGATTTAAGAGAAATGCAGGTTTTTGGTACCTTATCACCGACTTTGCATTGATCGAGAATCCGGTACAGATCACTCCCGTTGGAAACTTTCGTACCGTTCACCAACGTGATTATGTCTCCTAGTATTAGTCTCTTGTAGCCGTCACGTTGACTGAAGTCCCTGTGGAACAAAAGCAAAACCAATCATTCAATACTCACTTTTTCAAATGTTAATATCCACCGTATGGTTTTTATTTCTGTTGCCACAATTCTCTTTTCCCGCCTAAAACCAGTGTAACGAGAAGGGGCTTACTCGATCATTCAACACAAGATTACCAACAAATCTTCTCTAATAAATACTCATTCTTGAAGCGGATCAGAACAAATAGAGAGAATCTCCTTAGATTTTCATCATGCACATAATCACCATCCGTAAAGATGCTCAAGTCTTTATTTTATTTTATTTCAAGATACTCAAATCTTACGTTACATCTGAAATATTATTTTTAGTACATATTAAACAAATTCTATAATGAGTACTTTTTTTTTCTCACCTAAAAGATTATTTTTAGTCATTGTTGATGATAATAAGGTGATCCATGTAGTTTCCTCAATTATATGTCCATCTTCTCGATCTATTGATTTTTCTTCACTTTGTCCAACCGTTAAACTAATCTTTCCATTTTGTTTCTTTCTCTTTTGTCTTCGATTTCATCTCGTTTTCAGACTAATGCGTTTCTAGATTTCTAATGTTTTTTTGTTTGTTTTCGCTTTACTTGCATTCTTACTCAACGAAATAAATAGTTTTCCAATTAATTTCCGTGATAACTTTAACCCTTTGTCTGCTTTGAACTTTTGGTTTATAGATATATTGGACGAAAAGACAAGGAGCTAGATATAAGATTAGGTTGGACTCGTATGAAATTGATATATGTATTAGGTAACATTGTTATCTCAGATTAACTTATTTTGGGCAAGGTCGTATAATATATAGAGGTGGCTTCTGAGGATACGTTCCCGTTATTCACGGGAAACGGAAGGACAAAACACAAGTCATTTATTTTTATAATTAGTCGTTAAATATTAGGAAAATATTCCTGTAAGTGTTTGCTAATTAGGCAAGACAATCCTAGTCTAGGAAGGTTCTATGAAAGGAAGATAAAACATTTGTCTTGTATCAAATTAGGAACCTGAATCGGGGTAAAGAACTTCAGAAGTACTTGAAGCAGACTAAATTTACTATTGTAGAAAATAGTGTAATTTGAGTTTTAGAAACTTTAACGTTTTAAATAGAAAACCAGGTCATCAATTCTATGAAGATATATTACTGATGTAAATGTTGGCACTCGTCGATATATGTAAGTTTGTAACATAAAATTGCATAGAGCATACGTCGATCAATGTTACTGTATACTGTGTCGGCGACTGTCGAAATAATTTCGGAGTTAGTGACTATCGTACGTATTTAAGTCGTTTTCTTTTTCTAAGTTGTTTCCTTGTAAAAAAAGATATATTTTAAAAATTTCAGAGATCAAGATGAACACGTACGTTACTAATAAAAGTATGTGTTTATCACATGATGATATTATGCATTTTTACATAGAAAAAAATTACGTGTAACATGTATCAACTACCATATATTTAGTGACCCTACATGAATCCGAATTTGATTTCATTATCATACAATTTAATTTTCGTACCATGTACAGTTGAATATGTATCGATTTTAAATTATTTAGCAAACCCAACAATGTGAATTTCAATACTCAGAAGAAATCTCTAATGCTAATACGTATTTTTTTAACAAAAAACTATACATAATTGAAAACAATCTCTTTATAGAACTATACGCTGATTTGTAGTACGTAAAAAGTCCACAGCTGCAAAAAATACATGTATGAAATTAGTTAAAATAAAATAAAAATTTACAGTTGAACTGAGAAATTATCAATCTTACGGTGATTAATATTCAAAGTCTGTCGACAGATGCAACCAAACACTAAGAAGTTGAATTATGTGGAAAGAAGCTAAACATCGTCAAAAGAACCGGTGAAATGTTCTTAAAAGCTAATTCTTTTGTTTCCCTCTTCAACCACTCTGGTAAAAAGATTAACACATGGCCTTAAAACAGTATACCTAATACTGTATAAGAAAATACTCAAGCTTCTCTATATAATGCTCCTTCTACGCCTTAGCTCATTTACCATATCCACACTCACAACTCAAATCATCCTTTGTCTTCCTCCTGAAAAAGAAAAAAATGGGGTTCTCGCGTTCATTTTCTTGCAGTGCTATGGGAGCCCTAATCTTGGGTTGCCTTCTGCTTCAAGCATCAACCTCTAATGCTCAGTTGAGGCCTGATTTCTACTTCAGATCATGCCCGCCTCTTTTTGATATCATTGGGGATATCATTGTCGAGGAATTGCGCTCCGATCCTCGTATTGCCGCTAGCATCCTTCGCCTTCATTTCCATGACTGTTTTGTTAATGTAAGAACTTACTCAGCTTATCTTTTTTATTAAATAAAATCCATGGTGTACTTAATGGACATATATGCTTTTACGTACCATTTACATTTAGGAGGGTACTGTATCCAATCAAATATTTTGGGTGATATGTATTAAAATGATGTTAAAATTCAGTGTTATTGAACTTGTGCTTCTAAAATATACTAAATTCACTGTTATTGGAAATAATATATCCAATAATATAAGCAGGTTATCTTGAGAAATTTCTTGTGATTTGAAGGTGTTATAGTAGGTTTTTTTAGTAAAGATAATATAAGAATCCAAGTTTCATGGTTTTAGATAAGTTTTTAAAGTGTTTTATCTAAAATAACATCAACTTCTTTAGTTCACTCAAAATCACCTAAAAATCATCAAAAATGAAATAATCATCTCAATCGTCATATAATATTTTTGTTTTTGTTTTGGAGTCAAGCAATCGTCATATAATGTATAGTATGGTTTTTGTAGGGTTGTGATGCATCAATCCTTCTTGACAATTCCACATCGTTCCGGACCGAGAAAGATGCTGCTCCGAACGCGAATTCGGTTAGAGGGTTCAATGTCATAGATCGAATGAAAGACGAGGTTGAGTGGTATTGTCCAAGCACGGTGTCTTGTGCAGATATTCTCACCATTGCTTCTCAAATATCAGTTCAATTGGTATGTACATACTTAGATGCCTTTTCTTTTTCACATCTACATACCTTTCAGAGTCATGCCTCGGTAAATGAATACCAAAATGAAAAAAAAAAAGCAAAAAGAACGAGTTTATATGGTAAAAAAAGGAAAAATGAGCATATTATTATATAAAAATGAGAATGGAAGACAAATGAAAATGTTAACTGGAATTTTACAAACAAAGACATGTGATTAGCCATGGGATATTAATGGGGATGTGAAATCAGAAAGACAACCCTAACAAAAACAAAAGCATTATTTATACCAATAAACCACAAAAATAAAATACTTGTAAATATATACGTCTCTCTCAGTATATGAAATACCAATGTTATAGGATGAAACTACATGCCTTATATTGGATGAAACTAATCGAAAAATGTTGTGCATTATGACGTTAATGTATATGTTATATAGTCGGGAGGTCCATGGTGGCCTGTTTCATTGGGGAGGAGAGACAGCTTAAGAGCTTTCTTTGATCTGGCTAATACGGCTCTTCCATCTCCATTTTCCACTCTTGCTCAACTTAAAGCAAGTTTTGCTGCCGTTGGCTTAAACCGCACCTCAGATTTAGTCGCTCTGTCAGGTAGCAATTCTTAACTAAATCTGGATTGTTCTTATAAAATTTATGGTTATAGTTTTTTTTTTTTTTTTTTTTTTTTTTTTTTTTTTTTTTGACGGCTATGGTTATAGTTGTTTTTAGAGTTATCTAATAGAAAATTATCTTTACTTTAGAGATTATGTTATAAATGATTTTTCGGTTTTGACATTTTTGATTTAGAATAGTTTCTACCAAAAGTTTGGAAAATATAAATCAATCGATGTTTATGATCAAATGAAATAAAAAATGATCATCTGAACAAATAGTTGTATTGAATAATAAGATAGGTGTGTAACCACACAAATAAACCTCTTTTTGTTTTTGTCAAAATGGTTAGGTGGTCACACATTTGGAAAAGCACAATGTCAATTTGTAACTCCACGTCTCTACAACTTCAACGGTACCAACAGACCAGACCCAAGTCTTAACCCACTTTACCTCGCTCAACTCCGTGGATTGTGCCCTCAAAACGGAAACGGCACCGTTTTGGTCAACTTCGACGTGGTGACACCTAATGCTTTCGATAGGCAATACTACACGAATCTTCGTAATGGGAGAGGTCTGATTCAGAGTGATCAAGAACTGTTCTCAACTCCACGAGCCGATACAATTCCACTAGTGGAACAATACAGCAGCAACACAAACGTGTTCTTTCAAGCATTCATTGAAGCAATGATTAGGATGGGAAATATTACACCTTTGACTGGGACTCAAGGCGAGATAAGGGCAAACTGTAGGGTGGTGAACCCGAGAATTAGAAGTGTGGAGAATGAGGATGGTGGCGTTGTGAGTTCGATTTGATTACATCGAGCGTATTTGGGATATGTAAGAAAGTATAAAATGTGTGAGAACGATATAATATATTTCGACTAAATAAAATGTTCTCGCAAGTTATGAGATAAGTAAGAAATTCATCTTGTCTTTAGTTAACTTGCACTAAAATTGGGAATTGGGATGCAATGATGTCGTACGTATTTGTACGATATATTAAATTCAGAGTATTTCTCATCCACAAATAAAGACACACTTAGTAAATAATATATAATTATATATATTTGTTTTCTCTAAAATTCGATGAATAATGAGCAAATATATGTTAATATGTTATACACAAACCTGCCTTAATTATATCCAAATGATACAATTCAAATATATTCTTTAGAACTCTTTTCAGTCATTCAAGAACCAATAATACTTTCTATATGAACCAACTTTATTTTGTGTATTCATGAAACCAATAATATATTCAAATAATGTAATAATGAACCAATATTATATCTTTACATATAATCTTCCTCCTATAGAGATAATTAGCTATATTTTGTCACTTTTGTGTATATAGTTTTATATTATATTATTCAATGTTGCATGATTTCTTTCCGGCTTCTTCCAAATCTTATATAGAAGGAAATTCCACGGTGATATTTTTTGCCATTTCACGGTGAAAATTATAGATTTTTCTAAAAATTGATAAAAATAACACCGAAATAGACAGAAACAAATGTTCAGAAATCCAAATTGTGTAGAGAAAATCCAAACCCATTCCTAGCCAATGTTATATATCCAAATACACACATTCTTAGCCTAATGTGTAGAGAAATGACAAACAAATCCAAATTATACAGAATAATTAGTATAAATACACACATTCTTAGCCTAATGTTATATATCCAAACGCTTTCTAACAAACAAAGAAATGGCGAAAATGTCACCGTTTTTTACCCCCTCTTTCCTCCTCCTTGTCTCGGTCGTCATCCTCCAACTCTCAGCTGTGATTTCCGCTGTCCGTATCAACTCCAGAACATTGGCGAACCTTCCACAGCAGCAAAAAAATTTAGATGCACCGAGCAGCTACCCGAGATGGTGTGTGCCAAAGCAGGAGACAACAGACGCACAACTCCAAGCAAATATTGATTTCGTGTGCAAAATCAACAAGATGGATTGTCGTTCAATCTTCCCTGGCCCTGAGCGTCAGTGTTCACAAGATACACTGACGATCAAAGCTGCGTACGCCATGACCTCTTATTATATCAGCAAAGGTCTCACTGGGGACGCTTGTAGTTTCAACGGTAGTGGCATCGTCACTACTGATGACCCACCAGCCTCTTATACATGCGCCATACCTCAAGGAATCCCGGACGCGAAATGGTGTGTGGCAAAGCAAGAGACAACAGACACACAACTCCAAGCAAATATTGATCTTGTGTGCAAAATCCACGGGATTGATTGTACATCAATCTTCCCTGGCCCTGATGGTTTATGTTCCAACAGTACATTGAGGACGAGAGCTGAGTTTGCCATGACCGCTTATTATATTAGCAATGGTCTCCTTGACCTCGGTTGTAACTTCAACGGTAGTGGCATCGTCACTCCTAACCCCCCAGCCTCTAATACATGTGGCAGGCCTGATAGAATCGTCGACGCAAAATGGTGTGTGCCAAAGCAAGGGACAACAAGCACACAGCTCCAAGCAAATATTGATTCAGTGTGCAATACCCACTATATCGATTGTAAAGGCCCTGATGGTTCATGTTCCAAAGATACACTGGAGACGAGAGCTGCTTACGCCATGACCGCTAATTATATCAGCAATGGTCTCAATGAGTTCGGTTGTTATTTCAACGGTACTGCCATCATTACTACTACATCCCCAAGCTCTAATACATGCTTCATACCTGGTGGATTGTAACGCTTCAAAAATTTCATGAAAGTATTTAATTAAAAGATGAAATAATATCTATTGATTTCAGAAAAATAAAAAGGTCCTTTGACAAAAATAAAAATCTATATTAGAGAAGGAATGTTCATGTTTAACAATCTGTTAGGGAGTAAAATATTCATTCGGAAAACATCGTTTACTGTTCAAAGAAAAAAAGAAATAAGAAATAACACATCGTGTAACTTTTTTCATCATGTCCATATGAATATTCTCTATTGAGCAAATGTAGTTGTAATCGACAATCTATCTTTTGATTCAAATTAATAGACGTTCGAGAATGTAAAAAAAAAAAAAAACAGAGAATGCTTAAAGTTCCACAGATTGCACCAACCGCAAACGCAGACGCATGTTCGGTTTAGTACTATCCGGTTTGTTAAAAAAATTGCTTAAAACAGAACCGAATAAAACCGGCCCTAAGTGGCTCAATCAAGATAACAAACCGAAATGATTTGAATCAAGAAAGGATGATTCAGGGACTCACTTCTGAATACATGATTCTCAAGACTTTAGTGATTGTTTTTGGTTATGGTTCTTGATCGTTGAACACAAAATCTAAGTATATGTCTTCTGATGCGTATAATGTTCTTGTTTGCCTCTCGGTAAAATTTATTGCAAAAAACATCATAGTAATAAATGTTCTTGTTTGCCTCTCGGTAAAAATTATTGCAAAGAACATCATGGTAATTAATGTTCTTGTTTGCCACTCGGTAATTCTAGCTGTACGTACATAATTGCGATCTGCTGTTAGGAAAGCATGCTACTATCATAAGTACAATTTAATTTTCGTACCATGTACAGTTGAATTTTGAGCCGTTTGTAAATTAATTATGTCTAAAACCCAATAGTGAATTAAATTCTCAGATGAAATCATGAATGTCTTGAAATAAATCTAGAATTAAGAATATAGGCGGAATTGAGAACCATCTCTTTATTATCACAGCCTTGCAGACGCAACCAAGCATTAAGAAATTAAATTATTGCGTGAAGAATCTGAACATCGTCAAAAGAACGGGTGAAATGTTTAAAAGCTAATTATTACTGTTTCTCTTCAACCACTCTAGTAAATACATTAACTCATTGCCTTAAAACAATATACCTAACACACCATAGAAGAAAATACTCAAGCTTCTCTATATAATGCTCTTTCTACACCTTAGGCCATTCGCAATATCCATACTCACATATCACAACAAATCACAACTCAGATCATCTTTTGTCTTCCTCTTCGAAGAGGAAAGAAATGGCTCCTTCATTTTCTTGCCGTACTATGGGAGCCCTAATCTTGGGTTGCCTTGTGCTTCAAGCATCCATCTCTATTGCTCAGCTGAGTCCTGATTTTTACATCAGAACATGCCCGCGTGTTTTCGATATCATTAGGAATACCATTGTCGAAGAATTGAGCTCCGATCCTCGTATTGCCGCTAGCATCCTTCGCCTTCACTTTCATGACTGCTTTGTTAATGTAAGAGCTTACTCAACTTATCTTTTTAATTAAATAAAAATCCATTATGTACTCAGTGGACAAATATGCTTTTACGTATCATTTACATATTAGTATAGAGGGTAAAACAGTTTATGAATAAATACTTATGTTTAATGTGGTTTTTGTAGGGCTGTGACGCGTCAATTCTTCTTGACAACTCCACGTCTTTCCGGACCGAGAAAGACGCTGCTCCAAACGTGAACTCGGCTAGAGGGTTCGACGTCATCGATCGAATGAAAGCCGAAGTTGAGAGGCTTTGCCCAAGGACAGTTTCTTGTGCAGATGTTCTCACCATCGCTGCTCAAATGTCTGTGCTTTTGGTATGTACTACACATATACCTAATAATTACCTATACATGAAGTATTTTGGATGAATCTGGATTTTTTATTTACTTTGGATGAATCTAACCGACCTTTTTATGAATTTGAACGGTATATACAGTCGGGAGGTCCACGGTGGTCGGTTCCGTTGGGGAGAAGAGACAGCTTAGAAGCGTTCTTTGCTCTTGCTAATGAAGCTCTTCCCTCTCCAAGTTTCACCCTTAAAAAGATTCAAGCAATGTTTGCTTCGGTTGGCCTAAATCGCTCATCGGATCTGGTCGCTCTTTCTGGTAAATTTTTTTCATGTTGTTTCAGTTCACATGTATATCCATCTCAGATAAGTGTTTTTCATGTAAATGACTTCTCAACCAAGTATATGGAACTTACATGATCATAAAATTGTAACGTTAATTCCAAAAAATTTAACACAGATATATATTTATTATTATTTATTAGAGTTATTATTTTAATTTATATTTGTCGTATAAAGTATTCTACGAATGTTTTGGTTTTTTATTTTCTTAAGTACGTTAATGTTTATCTATAAAAGGTATACATGTAACTAAACCTGTTTTTTTGTCGAAATGGTTAGGTGGTCACACAATTGGAAGAGCACAATGTCAATTTGTGACACCTCGTCTCTACAACTTCAACGGTACCAATAGACCAGATCCAACTCTTAACACAGCTTACCTCCCTCAACTCCGTGGGCTATGCCCTAAAAAAGGGAACGGCAGCGTTGTGGTCAACTTCGACCCAGTGACTCCTAATGCTTTCGATAGTCAATACTACACCAATCTTCGTAATAAGAGAGGTCGACTTCAGAGTGATCAAGAACTGTTCTCAACTCCACAAGCGGACACGATTCCACTAGTGGAACAATACAGCAGAAACACGTCCGTCTTCTTCGGGGCATTCGTTGAAGCAATGATTAGGATGGGAGATATTAAACCTTTGACTGGGACTCAAGGCGAGATAAGGGTGAACTGTAGGGTGGTGAATCCGAGGATTAAGAGTGTGGAGAATGAAGATGATGGTATCGTTAGTTCGATTTGATTATGTCGAGTGGATGGATATGTAAGAAACTATAAAATGCGTACGTGATAACGATCTAATATATTTCGACTAAAAAAATATTATAACGACTAATTATGAGATAAGTATGGTACTCATTTGGTCTTTAATTAAGTAACGCTAAAATATGGATGAATTTCATAATGCAATGACGTGTCGTATTTGCATGATATATCAAATTCTGACATGTATTAAACTAAAGAGAATATGCATTCATTACAAAGCCACATTATCTCACTTTATTTGCAAAAGATAGGATGTTATAGAAAATAAATGGGGAAATAAATTTGTGTGTTTTGCAGACCAACCATTCTGGACCACCAAAACCTGGTTATGTCATTTAAGAAAATAAAATAAAGATTGTACGACCTATTTCTTATCGTGAAATTAATCCTAATAGAAGTCTCAAGTCTCAAATATAATCGAAAAGTCAAATCTTTAACAAAGGAAAGGAAATAAAAGCTAACTCACGAGCTTGGCTATTATCATCTTTATTGTCTGCTTCTCACGCATTTCACTTGTGTTGTCTTGTAGCATTTTGTTTTTAATTTCTCTCCCACTTCTCATCTTTACGGTGTGGGGTTGACTATGTATTCTAAATGGTACCTCTTTTGGGGGAAAAAAGAAGAAGCTAACTCTAGTAAACAGACAAAAACCCGAACGAGGAAAAAGCTACACAAAAAGCCCAATTTAACAACTAAGTTGTAAACAGATTTGGTTGCTACATCATCACCAACTCCCCCCTCTTTCATATCATATCTCATATGAGATCTTTTTTTGTTTCTTCATGGAATTAGATGTTTCACGCATATTAACAAGACATCTACAATGTGAGTCTATCTTCATAATTCATTATTGTAGATACATACAAATTTACATATATGTATATATATTCGAGAATACAGAAAAATACTCCCTCCGTTTCAAATTAGTTGTCGTTTTGGCAAAATGTATCTGCAAATATTTGGATGTATTTGGACGTGTTTTGTATTACAGATACGTCCAAATATTTGCAGATACATTTTGCCAAAACGACAACTAATTTGAAACGGAGGGAGTAGTAAAACATCATTCTTCATAAATAAGTAAAAGATTGAGAAAATATCAATATGAAAAACATGCAACATAATCATTTGTATTGTTGTCTTCGATGTGTTATTAACTTATTAATCGTCAATTCATATTTACATCCAGTAGAAAACGAATTTTGATAAAGGAAACAAAGTTTATAATCACAATTCTTATCAAACGGAGAAAATATAAAGATAAGGAGATAAGACGGACACGATTCATAATTTTGAATTTTTGATGCTCATAGGTAGATGAAGAGTGTTAGCTCACGGCAAAGAAAAAACAATTCAAATTTACTACTTTGGAGAATTTCTAATTTAGATCCACGCCGGAGAAATTCTAATTTGTAGTTAGAAAAAAAAAACAAAGACGCATTGATTACAATACTACGCAACGCGAAATCCAACTCCTCTCATCTGGACAAGCAGAACCAGCAGTTCCACTAGCACGTGCCCCATTCTCATTTGGCCCCTCCATACTTCGTATTTATATTTTAATGCTACGGTTTTGGCCTAGGGACTTGGTAGCAACGGGTTAAATACTTAAATGAGGAAAGACAATAATGTAGCCTATCTTTGGGATAGATGATTTGAATTTTTGTAGTTATCATGAAAACCAAACTATTATATTGTCGTAGGCCGTGAGCGATCTATCTAATGATTGACACCCATACCCATTTGCCAAATGCATTTTACTCTTTTTTCTTCTTTTCTTTTTGGTATAATACCAAATACACTAGGACAATGCATAATACCAAATACACTAGGACAATTTTGTAACATTTACTTAACCATACACAACCTGAAATAAATCTCAACTATATTAATTTGGTTTTCCGTGATGGGAATTGTGATGTCCCACTAGCAGAAAAGATTATTGACGAAGATGCCCCTAATTAAAATTATCATCACCTCGTCACTTATATTTATAAATTGTTGATCATATATTGTAATGTAATATTGGTGCCTTGCCTAGAAAGATAGTGTAATAATGTCTAAAGAGTGTGGTGGGAACATCGAATCATATTGTTCTAGTTGATGAGATTAATAAGGTTAGTAGCTTGTTAGTAATTGGATCGGCTTTTTCGAAGTTAGTATGAAAGATATATTAGCCTTTTCTCTTTGCAAAAAAAATAAAAAAATATCAGGTCTTTAACAAAAAAATAAATATATCAGGTATAAATACAGAAACAGTAGCAATAATTCTCATCAAACCAAATTTAGATTTGTCATAACCTTTAGGTTTTCTATACCATGTTTGATCTACCTCATGCAAATCATTTTGTATGCGCCACCATGTTTTGTACATTGTGAAACGTCTTTACTTTCAAGTTCAAGAATCTTACCAACAAATAATGTAAACTTGTAGGTGTGACTGTTTCTTTTTGTGTTTTTTCTTTTAATACACATTGCTTGTCTTTAAAATTTAAATGGTTTCTCTAAAATTTGGATAATTGATTGGAGAATGAATGCCTTGAATGACTGGGCTGCTATTATAAACATCTTCAAAACGGTTTCCTATCTTATAAGATATGCTACAGCTTGAAAATATCTGTGTATTAAAAGTTTAAAACTACGAAAATAAGAGTTCGGATTGAATAAGTTAACATATGTCATTTTGAAAAATGGTGATATCTCTTACAAAAAGCTAAAATCTAGCTGTAGTTGTAAAAAAATAGAAATACTCAGCGAAAATGTAATGAGTTCTGAAAAAGTTTTGTTTCTCTCCTGAAGTTTGGAGATTTACATGCACCGGATTATGATACCATTTGTGGCAATCACAAAAGGTCGTTTATAGAAATATTATCTTACCATATATGTAGATCACCATATCTTTTTGATCTGCAATTTGTAGAACCTATTTTGAATTGAATCATTTTTCTTTCCACATGATATGAATAGTAATAATGTAATTTTTGGAAATTGTTTTTTTTTAGTGATTATAGGAAAAAATAGGAAAAAAGGTCAATGAAAAATATAGGTTGATTTTATTAACAAATAGAGAAAATACATTGGACATCGACTAGACTAAGGACCATATTGTAAAAATCGAGTTACGTATATCCCGGAGACACGTCAGCATATGATTCAATGGAATCGAGTATTTCTGTCTAATCTCTATATATAACCATCATCATCTCTCTCTCTCTCCCATATCATTGTAACCATCGAATCAGTGTCGTAAGTCTCTGCATATCATTTCATCGGAGGCAAAGAGAGATATTTATAATTATGCAAAGATTCACGGCGAAGAGATCGGTGCGTAACATTTCCGCTTCCCTCTGGCGGCGATGTCTCTCAACGACGTCGTCTCAGACCGTGGCTTCCGACGAGTTTCTCGCGAGGCTTCCTCCGTTCGATTACACTCCGCCGCCGTATACCGGCCCCTCCGCCGATGTCATCCTTAACAAAAGGAAGGAGTTTCTCAGTCCTTCCATGTTCTGCCTCTATAAAAAGCCGGTAATTTCCCGATCATATCTCTTTCAGCTCATAACGCGTTTCAAAAAAAAAAAACAAAAATCATGATGCTATTTCTCGATTGATTTTTGATTCGTTTATCAAAATCTTCGGTTGTTGATCTCCGTATGTGTTCATCGGCAAATAATGACGAAAAGCTTCAAAAAACTTATTGATTGGTTTGTTTTGTTTATCTCATCGGAAAAAGCTAAATCTTTTACAATTTAAAATCTGGCTCAGACTGCGATGTTCTTAAAATTTCTCCGACGTAGTCAAACTTTTGTTGCCGAGATTCGAATATTCTGTGACCAATTATGGAATCTATTTTAAAATATCATAATAAATGTTGAATCGAATCTCTTATCTTTAACATCGTTGTTTTTCAATATGAAAAATTAAAAAAATGGCCTTTGGTTTCTTGGAGTTGCAGTTGAACATTGTGGATGGGAAGATGCAGTATCTATTCGACGACACTGGTCGGAGATTCTTAGATGCCTTCGCAGGAATCGCAGTCGTGAATTGCGGACATTGCCATCCAGATGTGGTTGAGCCAGTGATCAATCAAATCAAACGACTCCAGCATCCAACTGTTATGTACCTTAACCATGCCATTGCTGATTTCTCTGAAGCTCTCGCCTCTAAACTCCCTGGTGACCTCAAGGTACTGTACACACCACACAAGAACATTCAATGTTTTGTTTCCAAAGTTGATTACTTTATGTGGTTTGGTTATTGGTGAAATAGGTGGTGTTCTTCACAAACTCAGGGACAGAGGCTAATGAATTAGCACTCATGATGGCAAAACTGTACACTGGATGTCAAGACATTGTCTCCATTCGAAACGGTTATCATGGGAATGCAGCTGGAACAATGGGAGCTACTGCTCAAAGCATGTGGAAATTCAACGTTGTTCAGGTACTACAGATTCTTCTTGAACTAAGAAGTAAATGTTGAGCTGTGATCTGATAATTTTCTTTTGTTGATTTTCCTGGTGGAAGACTGGTGTTCATCACGCTGTGAACCCTGATCCATACAGAGGTGTGTTTGGTGCTGATGGAGAGAAGTATGCAAGAGATGTGCAAGAGATCATACAATATGGCACGACAGGACACATTGCTGGTTTCATGTGTGAAGCTATACAGGTGAGTAATCAACGTTCTGTCATGTTAATTGTTTTTTAGATCATTAAAGTGAATGCTTAAATCATTGGAAGTGTGTTAATAGGGAGTTGGAGGGATTGTGGAGCTAGCTCCAGGCTATTTGTCAGCAGCTTACGATATTGTAAAGAAAGCTGGAGGTTTGTTCATTGCTGATGAAGTACAGTCTGGATTTGCTCGTACTGGCAACTTCTGGGGATTTGAGGCTCACAATGTTGTCCCTGACATAGTAACCATGGCAAAGGTTAAGAGTTCGTTTGTCTCAATCTATAAGATACTTTACTGAAATCTCTGGCACCAAATGCTGAATTGTTTTGTCTGTTTTATTGGAGAACAGGGAATTGGGAATGGGTTTCCATTGGGAGCGGTTGTGACAACTCCAGAGATAGCAGGAGTGTTGACTCGCCGTTGCTACTTCAACACCTTTGGTGGGAATGCTGTGGCTACTACAGCTGGTCTTGCTGTTCTGAATGTGATTGAGAAAGAGAAGCTTCAGGAAAATGCATCGATGGTTGGTTCTTACCTCAAAGGAAAACTCAACCAGCTGAAAGAGAAACACGAAAGTAAGTCTCTCCCTCTCTCACTATCACTCACGCTCTCTTCATAACTTTGTTCTTGAACTCGATTCAATGTGTTTTATATGCTTCTTTAATGTAGTAATCGGGGATGTACGGGGAAGAGGACTGATGCTTGGAGTAGAGCTGGTGAGTGATCGCAAGCTTAAGACTCCTGCAACTGCCGAGACTCTTCACATCATGGATCAAATGAAAGGTTGGTGGTTGTTATTGCGTTTTTCTACTGGTTTCAGATGAAACTATTCACCAAAAAGTGAATTAATCTGTTGATTATGAATATATTCTACAGAACTGGGTGTGTTGGTTGGAAAAGGAGGCTACTTTGGAAACGTGTTTAGAATCACACCACCTCTCTGCTTCACTAAGGACGACGCAGGTTTGTGACGTTTCATTTCTTTGATATAAGAAAAATGAACAACGTTTTAAAAACACAAAAAAAAACTATTTGTTGCAGATTACTTGGTGGAAGCTATGGACTACTCAATGTCGAAGATGTGAAGAAAAGAAAAACTGGTTCGATAGACGGTTATTACGAAAGCTGGTGGCTTATAGTAAACACATAGTTGGGGTGAATTATGTTTTGTAATTTTGCTTGGAACATCCAAATGATTGATGGGCCAACATCTCGTTGCTTCTCAATCACTCCATGTTCAACCTTTGTTTCCCTTTTATTATGAGTCAAAATAAATTCACTCATTACACATCAGATCATCCTCGTAAACAGATAGCAAAACACAAGTAAAAGTTGCAGCATCACACCATTCACCAAGACAATTTTGAGCAGCACGACCAAAGCAAATCATATTAGAGCCTACTAAAACCTATCACACAACCTGCAAATCCCATCAAGTAAAAGGACTCAAAGAAGTCATAACGACTTAATCATACTCGAAACCGCCTTATTTCCCATTTCCTAGCTACCGAAGAAGCTCTCTCCCCAAACCAATAGTTCACATAAGTACACGAGAGGGAGGTAAGAACTAGACAACACAAGCTAGAAAATAAATCAATCTCCTGGTCTCATCAAAGGGTCTCAGTATATCAAATATCAAATCCTAAAATCAAACAAGACGAAAAAGAGGAAAAAAAATAAAATGTACATTCCAAGTTGTACACCATTATATTCACAATGGGGAAACAGAAAGCATCCACTTATGTTAAATCATTTTCCTCCCTCCTCCTATCATACTTTGCTGCTGCGCCTGAGACCCAGACAAGCCTTGTGAAGCATTATTACTGTTCGCAGACTTATTATGCTTCCCGTCTGCGCTCCCAAACACATCCAGATCTTCGAACAATCTGTACGATGGAACAAACGGCTTCTGTCCTCCATTGACACCTGGATTGCTTGCAGCTGAAGTAGCCTGGGGCTCTCCGGCTCTTGTCGGGAATGAGTTGGATTGCTGAAGTGATCTCCCGGCTTGGGCCGATGCCTCTGTGTATGACGCTGTCGCATTAGCCCGTGGAGTGTAGTATGCATTCGCTGATGTTGAAGCCCATGGTGGCGGCGGATATTCATACGGGTTCTGAGGTCTACTTGCCGGTTGCATCTGGTACTGTGCTTGCGGTTGAGAATAGCCCTGCTGTATTTGAGGCTGTTGCTGCTGAGAATAGCCCTGCTGTGTTTGGGGCTGTTGCTGTTGAGAATAGCCCTGCTGTGTTTGAGGCTGTTGCTGCGGATGAGAATAGCCCTGCTGTGTTTGGGGCTGTTGCTGCTGCGGTTGAGGATAGCCCTGCTGTGTTTGAGGCTGTTGCTGCTGCTGAGGTTGTTGTGCCCATGGAGCGACATAGTTACCATACTGTTGTTGTGGAGGCTGCGGATAAATGTTGGTGTTTTGATCTGAGACAGTAGAAGGAGGAGGTTGAGAGGATGGAGGCGGTGGAGTTGGCGGTGTAGAGAGTGTGATACTCAATAGATCAATCATGTCTTGTTCCTTTGTGGTGTTCACTGGAGGAGGCGGGTCAGGCAGAGCAAGAGCAAGAGCATTGCTTGCAGAACTGGTGGGGTCTGTAGCCACAGATGCTGGTGGTTTGGAATGCCTGAAACAACAACAGAGCAAGATATGTCAAATACTAAGTCTATGTATATGATATGCACTGTTTCTGAATTCAATTATAAAACAGACCTTCGAGCTAACTGCGCAAACTCATCTTCCTCCTCTTCGTACTCCTCATCGATTGGGCTTTTCCCTGTAGAAACAGTGGCGGGTATTGGGGAACTAGAACCAGCTACGGAACTAGAATCTTTAGTTTGAGAAGACTTTGGGCTTGAATCAGCCGGCTTCAAAGCTTGGACTGGCAGAGGAGAACCAGAAGCTATTGCATCATGCTTAGCTAGCTGAATTTGAAGACAGTCATTGAGATCGAGTCCCCGGCCTAAAAGTTCATCATCCCTGCCACATAAATAAAGGACTATTTAACTTAGCACAACGATGGAACCTCTCAAGTCAACAATATTATTAACATTCTAACATATATTAGTACAAAGTGATTCCTGAAAAGAGAAGACTAACCCAGTGGAGGTTAGCATCTGCATCAGCTTTTTCTGATTGGAACGACAGCGCTCGACCAAGTCAACAATGACTTCATCTTTCACAGCCTACATAATAGGAAAACAATGGATAAGCCAATTGATTTAGTATCCAAAACCGCAATTTAGCTGTATAGCAGATTCCAATACCGCACGGTCACTGGGATCCACAGCTTGTAGCATGTCGCTCAAAAGATCCATCACGTCCCTCATGGACTCAAGACTTGACAAGCTACATTTTAACCAAGAAAAGTATATTGACATTGTTGGAAATTTCGTATAAATCTTCCAGTCCACGTCGAAACTAACAAATCCACTTACCTTAAGCCCTCAACCTCACTTGCCATTGCTTCATCAAGCCTTCTCGACGAACCACTGGGCATTCCATAACCCGCTTGAGGTACTCCATAACCAGCTGAAGGTGCTCCATAACCCGCTTGAGGCATTCCATAACCAGCTGGAGATGGTCCATAACCAGCAGGAGGTGGTCCATAACCAGCTGGAGGTGGTCCATAACCAGCTGGAGGTGGTCCATAACCAGCTGGAGGTGGTCCATAACCAGCTTGTGGTGCTCCATAACCAGCTTGCGGTGATCCATAACCACCCTGAGGCTGTCTTACTATAGGATGACTAACAGGTGGTGTTATTATAGGGGACGCATCAGGTGAACGCCGGGGAAACTCAACTCCAGAACGCTGCAACATGTAACAGCAACCTTAAAGATTCATAATTTCATGCAAATAAGCATCTGTGCAAAAGGCAAAGCAAATAGCATATATAGAGATCCGAAAGTAGATTAAAAAAAACGGAGGAACATGAATTCACAATTGTAAACCTTCAACTTTCACATTTAGCACAGGACAAAAAAAAGAGATGTAGAAACGATACCAGACTTCCTACCAATATACAATACTTCGAAAACTAGAAGAAATGATGATCGAAAAGTAAAATAACACAAGCAAGTCCACCAAGAGAAACTGCATTTAGGTATAACTATCACAATTCAAACGAGTTTCTCACCCTTAACTCATCGTACGCCCAATAATATTGCGGGTATTTTCCCTCTGGACCCCCAAAAGCTTGCTGCCATGAGTCTATCATGACCAATATTTTATCTCTAACTTGCATATCCGCCTGTAAAGTCCAATGGATCATCAGCAATATGAAGAACCACCACTATGGAAACATATACATAGAATCCTCAAGAAGAAGTACCTTCTTTTTCACAATTTTGACCATTTCCCCCAAAACGTTCTTCTCTGCAACCTGATGGTGCAAATAATCTCCGCAGTTCTTTACCAGCGTCTCCAAAAGCTAAAGCAGAAGAAGATAGAGTTAAGGAGAGTCGAAACTAAGTGCAGAAGAACAAGGTCGCTAATTTCACTGATAACATTCATACCGTTAGAGCAAGTTGTTGAACTCTAGGGCTCTTATGTTGCAGCCTCTTCTTCACAGCTTTAACCACATCTTTCGCCTGCCTGATAAATTCAATAGGCGCAAACCGTTAAGCGCAGATGAACATCTAACATGTTCCTACTCCTATCAAGAATCCTAATCAGATTGTAGATACAAAGCAACAATCACCAAAATCACAATTTTGTATGTGATTGTTAGTTTCTGTGGACAATTATGCAACCAATCCAAGCTAATCTAATCACAGCAAGAACAATCCCAACAATCAACTACGTCAACAATTCTGAAGGAGTTGAAGTGGAAGGGAACTATAATCTAACGAGAATTCCAACACCAAATAGAACAAAATCGCTGGCGGATTCCAAAATTCAAAATTACCAGTGAAGGGAATTGACAGAATCGCAGATTTCCATGTTGGTCGTCCAATCAGGACCTAGAAGAAGATCGCTGGTTGCCTTCTCCACCGCCACCGTCGCCGAAGCTGAAGACGACGCCATCTATTGCTCGGAGCTCAATACTATCGATCGGCAACCAAATAACAAACCAAAACCCTAGAAAATATATCGCCTCTATCGTCGTCGCAGCGCAGAGAGATTGAGTCAGCGGGAATCTTTGCTTTTATCCTGCTTTTCGCCTTCTTTTCTATCTAAGGAAGAAGGAAAAAAAACTTTTTTTTCTTTTTTAATTATTCTGATCAAATCCATCATCTTCTTTCTCTCTGTTTTAAGGACGGCAATTTTCCCGCTCCACGCTCCTTCTTTAGTGCGTGATATCACGCGCGACTTCATAATGAGGTCAACGTTAAAACTATTAAAGTCTAAATAATAATTGGAATTCTAGGTGGATAATTCCTTTTTAATGCTGTTTATTGTTTAGATGAGAATTTATATCATATGTTTTGTTTATACGATTACGTGTTGAAATCCACCCAATCAAAGCTTTTTAAAGTGTATTTATAAAGTTGGGAGTCTTGGGAAACATTTTTTATCTAGAGTTGATGACACGTAGATACTGATTGGTGCTACTCAGGCTAAAGATGAAAAGGAACTTCATCATTAAAGAAGGGAATTTTTTTATGTGTCATTTTATTTCTCTAATTTTGTATGATTTTTGTCATAGCTTTAGATATACTGTATGTACCAGAATAGAAAACAAAGAAAGGTCTATTCCATTTTTATTCATCCAAACACAATTATCATGATGAGTCATGAATAAAATTAAAAAAAAAAAATCATCATTATCTTTAGAAAGGTGAAAATAAAATTTTATTTCTCTTTAATAGTTTAAAAAATATATTATACGATTATTTTTATGCTAAAATTATTTGATATATTTTTTACAATGATTAAAAAATCGGACCGAACGGGTTTAACCGGAACCAGTGCTTCTCCCGGTTTGAGGATAGAGAACTGTGGAGAACCTCACAATATATTCTTGCAAACTCATCAGGTGGCAGAGAAAGTTGCAGAAGGAGAGTTAGATAGTGGCTTTGCTATTGTCAGGCCTCCAGGGCACCATGCTGAGGCAGATGAAGCCATGGGATTTTGTTTATTCAACAATGTAGCAGTTGCTGCTAGTTATTTACTAAACGAAAGAGTAAGTACTTCTTTTGACTTTCAATTTTTTTTGTCACATTCCTTTGGTGTGTCTGTTCCTTAATTCGTTTGGTTCTCTTAAATGCAGCCGGATCTAGGTATCAAGAAAATTCTGATCGTTGATTGGGATGTTCATCATGGAAATGGTACACAGAAGATGTTCTGGAAAGATCCTCGTGTACTATTTTTCTCTGTTCATAGGTATGTATCTGTGACCTCTGTTTACTTCTGTTTTGATGCTTGGAAAGTGACTCGAAAATGCATTTTTGTGGCTAGGCACGAGTATGGAGGTTTCTATCCAGCTGGTGATGATGGATACTATAGCATGGTTGGGGAAGGTACAGGTGAAGGTTTCAACATAAACGTTCCATGGGAGCATGGAAGATGTGGAGATGCAGATTATCTTGCTGCATGGGACCATATCTTGATTCCTGTGGCGAAGGAATTTAATCCGGATATTATTTTGTTGTCAGCTGGTTTTGATGCAGGTAAATATGGTTCAAGCATTTTTTTTTTCAAAGATATGTCACATGCAGAGTTATGTAATCTTTTCAACTTCCTATAATCAGCTATTGGTCATCCTCTTGGGGGTTGTCGTGTTTTCACTTTTGCTAATCAATCGTTTTAAATTTATGTAGTGATATTGAATCTACGTGGAAGATTGTTTTTGGGTGAAAGCGCTTGTGGATGTTAGGGTTTCACATTTCATTGTTATTTCTTCAAATTTTATGCAAATTTGAGAAAATAGTCAGAATGACAAACACATATGATCAATTTTTTCATCCGTGAGATTCTTAAGCACATAACAAAAGTCTTTCTAATAAATCAATGTGACTCTGAATTCCTTTTATTGATGTAACATTGATTCTTCTTTTATTCGGTTCGTTTTCAAATTAGGGAGAATAATTTATCGGTTTCCTCTGCAACTTATATGTCTTCCATAGCTTCCAAATTTCCGGCCTCCGCCTTCTAATTTACGCCGGCGGTAGAAAAATCCACACATCGATTTCAAAATGGCGAGATCTTCATCGTGGCACCGAATGTCAAACTTCATGAGAAAATACCGGAAAATCCCTCACTCCTCCTTCAAAACGAAATGGAACGAGAGCCTCAAGCACAAATACGCCATGGAAGAGCTAAAAACCGGCCTTGTCGCCACCGGTTCAATCTCGATCGAGAACGGCGGCGCTATGAGAACCATCATCAACTCATTCCGCCTCCACAACTGCGAACCCACGCCGCAAGCATACAGATTCGTAATCAAAACCCTAGCCAAAACCTCCCAGCTCGAGAACATCGCCTCCGTTCTCAACCACCTCGAATCCTCCGAGAAATTCGACACACCGGAATCCATTTTCCGAGACGTCATCTTCGCTTACGGCTTCTCCGGTCGAATCGAAGAAGCGATCGATGTCTTCTTCAAAATCCCCAATTTCAGGTGCGTGCCTTCTGCTTACACTCTCAACGCTCTGCTCTCAGTTCTCGTGAGAAATCGACAGAGCCTCACAATGGTGCCTGAGATTTTGATGAAAGCTAGTAAAATGGGTGTTAGGTTAGAGGAATCGACTTTCGGGATTTTGATCAATGCTCTCTGTAGAATCGGCGAAGTAGATTGTGCAACTGAGTTAGTGAAGCACATGAGTGAAGAAAGTCTGATCATTGATCCAAGACTATACTCTCTGCTGCTGAGCTCTGTATGTAAACACAAGGACTCGTCACGTTTCGATGTCATCGGATACATGGAAGAGCTAAGAAAGACTCGGTTTTCGCCGGATTTACGAGATTACACGGTGGTGATGAGGTTCTTGGTGGAAGGAGGAAGAGGGAAAGAAGTTGTGAGTGTGCTTAACCAGATGAAATGCGATCGGATTGAGCCGGATATTGTGTGTTATACGATCATCTTGCAAGGAGTTGTTGCGGATGAGGATTATGCGAAAGCGGAGAAGTTGTTTGATGAGCTGTTATTGTTAGGTTTGACTCCTGATGTTTATACGTATAATGTGTATATCAGTGGACTGTGTAAGCAGAAGGATATTGATGGTGGGATGAAGATGGTGGATTGTATGAGGAAGGTTGGTTCTGAGGCTAATGTGGTTACGTATAATATATTGATAAAGGCGTTGGTTGAGGTTGAGGATATGAGTGGAGCTAAGAGTTTGTGGGAAGAGATGGAGAGGAATGGGGTTGAGAGGAACAGCCACACGTATGATGTGATGATTAAGGCGTTTCTTAAAGTAGATGAGGTTGTTTCTGCTCATGGTTTGTTGGAGGAAGCATTTAACAGGAACTTGGTTGTTAAGAGAATAAGAATAGAGGAAGTTATTTGCAGTTTATGTGATAAAGATTTGATGGATGAAGCAATGGAGCTTATAGCACATTTGGTTTAATTGTCAATGCATGAAGTCCCTTATGGTTCCAAGAGCATCTCTAAGCATTTTCAAAACACAAGCCCTCTCAATGTTCTCCTCCTGCAGACCATAAATGTTATAAACACTATAAGCCTTACTTCCAACAGAGTTTCAAAGACGCAAGAGCACAATAATGTACCTGTAACTTAGTGTTGATGTCTTTAAGTATCAGAGTCACTTCCCTCTTGACTGCTCCTGTTCCAGTCCTCTCATTGAATCTGTCAGTGTCTCTAACTCTAAGCCTGAGAGTCTGGTTTTTGTAGATAGTAGCTCTAACGTGACAAACTTCAAATACTCTGTATCCAGTTTCGGATGAAGCTTTAGCAAGCGGCCATCTTAAACCACCTTTCACATTTGGATCAACAGTTGCTGTATCTAGTAGCTCTTTGATGCTACTTATCTCTTTCTCCTGTCCATTCATTAAACAATCACCCAAACTAAGTCCAAGAGATGCATAATTTATTCAGGAACAAAAAAAAAGATATATCAAAATCAACTCACGGTGAGAGCCGTCATTTTCCTTTTGGCAGCGAGCATCAGTCTCATGTCGAGACTCTTATCAATGCATGACACATCAACAACCATATGCCATACAACATTAAGCTCGGCCTGTGCAAAATCAATACTCAAGCTTCAGTGCAAGTTGTTATTTGATACAATTACAGTCTACTTTAAGAAGTTCAGCTTGTAAAACCTTAGTTAGGTCTACTATAACTAGCCTAGAACTGAATGTAGCAGCAGAGTATAGCAGATCATTTTCATTCTTAATTTCTTTTGTTTTTCTTGCTGATTCAGAGAGGAAAAAAAGAAGAGAATTTACTTTGGTTTCTTATCACATAACAAAGAACTTGAGACTTGCCTTGTACATACTGAGCTTTCCATCTTCCTTAATGGTACCTTTACAGTTGATGGTTTCATTGGGACGATTATAATGAGATACCTGAGAACAGAAGCATATAATATACAAATGACATCCGAAGAATCATAGGTCTAAAAAAAAAGACAAGTACCTTCACGGTGTATGTTTCCTTCTTCAAATCAATAGAGAATCCATGGCTTGGTACAACCTTAGACTTGATGTGTTGCAAGTTAGAAGCTGGGACATCTGTAGAGAACACCTTGTTCAAGTTTTTCTTAGAATATTCAGCCACAGGACCAGCTTGACGCCTGATACTATGTTTTATTAGAAGAAGAAAGGCAAAGAGTTTTTGTAAGCAACAAAATATGCTAGATCAGACGTTGAACAGCTTACCTATAAAAGAAAATTTTACCAAACCTAGCAACCAATCTCAAGACATGTTGGTTCTCCTCTATTGCAGTCTTAGCTCGCTCATATGCAAATACAAGATCCTCTTCGACCTTCTCTGCTACTAACAGCCACCTAGTTCTCTCTTCTTCTTTGCTCTCTTCAGTATAAATATATTAAAAGTACACTTAAAAAGACATAATTCATATTCTTTGGCAAGAATGATCATAAGCATCAAGATGATGTTCATCATTTTGTCAAAAACACATATCCAAAGTCCAGATTCTGCGTTAAGACACAAAACAAGAGTCTCTAACCTTTATGGAGGTCGTTGTTCATCAATACCAAAGGCCTTTCTCCATTTCTGCATTCGACAGAATCAGAGGAAACCGGCACAAGCTTAACAGACGGAGAAATCTCATCCTCGATTCCATTTGAACCAACAAGAAACCATTTGGAAATGAAATTTTCAGAAAATGTAATACGGTTGAGTTTATCACTGCTACTCTTGAAGTTAAGGTTCTTCTTGAATTTTGTATCAAGAGAATCTTGAACAGGGGAAGGTTTGGACGGATCCTTCAAATGTCGCTTATGTGGAGGAATATAAGACATGTCTCAACCAAAAATAAGAAGAAGAAGAAAAACGATTGCAAGAACAATGATTCGTCGGCTCTATTTCAAGATTAAGGAGAAATCACATCTTAGAGAACATTATACTTTTCTGCATAAAGATCTTAGAGGAGAAAAGTCAACTCCAAGAGACTAATTCGCTCTTCTTTTACTTTTCAACTTAGTGTTATTTCGCATTTCGCATTATGCAATTTTCGAAAAAGAGAAACCCAAATAGCACCAGCAATCAACATCATACGTTTCTTTTATTACGTAAGAAAGGCATCGCAATGCAAGATGTCCCACAAGGTTCCAAGAGTATCTCGAAGCATTTCCAAAACACAAGCACTCTCAATGTTCTGCTCCTGCATACCACAAGGGTTATAATCACTATTAAGCCTCACTTCAAATATGGCTTCAAAGATACAAAGAGCACAATAATGTATGTAACCTGTAACTTAGTGTTGAGGTCTTTAAGCATCAGAGTCACCTCACTCTTGATTTTCCCCTGTTTCAATCCTCTCATTGAATCTATCAGTCTCTATGAATGTACCAATTACAATAGTGTAATGAAAATATGCCCTTTAAATTTTAGATGAAAAATATGTCCTAAGCAAATGTGTTAAATTTTCTATACTAGGCACTGAACTTCAGCATATAGAGGATTAAGTTTTCCCCGAGTATAAGCAAAACGAGAATTCAGCATCACGAGTTTCCAAAAAGTCTCAAACTTTGTACTCGTAGTCTTGTTGGGTTAACAAGTTAACAAATTAAATGAAAATAAAAAGGAAAATAAAAAAAACAATCAAACAAGTGAGTAAGAGAAAAGTCACATGACATTTCACTGGAGATTTCTGAAATGGAAAAGATTGTTCCAGCAATCACAAGCTCGGCTGGAAAGGTGGATTCTCAGAACTGCTGATTACGATTGCCCCAAAGACTTCTTAAGAAATATACCAATCAAATCTTTTAGAAACATAATGTACAGAAAGAGAGCATAGTGTAAAAGTCAACATCATATTGTTCTTTAAGATACTTTTGTAAAGGTAATCCAAATGGCGACATCAAACTGAAGAGTACACCCAGGTTTCGATAGACTGTTGTTTACAATCCTAGCTATTGTTGTTTTTCCAATCCCTCTCATTCCTATCAAAGCAACCATATCAACTGAATCATCCATCAGATACTCTGAAACTTTGGTAACAAAAGTCCATGCACTACTGTGAGGATCTACAACAGGCCCGGGGATATTGTCCATAGCACAACAAGGATATGAATTGATGATATCCATAATCTCTAGACCTTCCTTAATGACACCGGTCTGGTTCTTCTCTCAAGCTCGACAACCTTGTTATATCGCCTAAAAAAGGCAACACAACAAGTTGTACCATAACATTGAATAAAGAGCTTAACTCTGATTAATACATGTTCCTTCTATTTCGCTAAGTAAAGCTCTTGGCATGCAATGCTTATTGTGTTGGCTTGACAATTTGACATTTCATTCCACAAATGGCCCAGCATTTAATGCGGGTCTCAAATTTGTGCGTGTCTTATTTACTTATGAATTTATTTTACATGATATAACAATTGAACATGGTAAAGAATAAAGAAAATATTTGTGATGTGGCAAGAATTCCAAGTTCACAAAGAACTAAAATGAACAAACAATCTCAATCATTCTAATACTTGTTCACAAGTTCACTTTTATTTTTAGCTCCACTTCTTTCCGATGGCTTCTGGTGGCCATGAAATATTAGAATATGAAACTCACGCTTAAGATTATTTGATGGCAGTCCTATCCTAATGCAGACAAATCAACAAAAGTTCACCTACTCAAATCAGGTTATCAGAAAAAACGAGCAAAGTCCAAGCGATAGGATAAACAAAGCAACAAAACCTTGTGTTGGAACCATTACAATATATGTGCAGGACAAGGAGGGAATCTCGTCAAGTAAGAATACTAAACATAACATGCATACAAATTCATTCATAAGATATGTATATAGTTTAGTTCTAGTGCAATGCAATTTCTGTTTGATTGAACCTGAGTCATGCATACACCAAGTTCACATGCTTGTTAACAAAACAGAGTTTTTATTTTATTTTTGACACACGCAAGTTCAATCCATCACAAGTTCACAACCCAAACCACTATTGTACCAGAAAACATCAGAAAGAAAAAGAGAAACCCAAATAGCACCAGCAAGCAAACATCATACGGTTCTTGATTACGTAAGATAGGCATCGCAATGCAAGAAGTCCCACAAGGTTCCAAGAGTATCTCGAAGCATTTCCAATAGACAAGCCTTCTCAATGTTCTGCTCCTGCAGACCACAAGGGTAATAATCACTATTAAGCCTCACTTCAAATAAAATTTCAAATATACAAAGAGCACAATAATGTCTGTACCTGTAACTTAGAGTTGAGGTCTTTAAGCACCAGAGTCACCTCCCTCTTGATTTCCCCTGTTCCAATCCTCTCGTTGAATCTATCAGTCTCTCTAAACCTTAGCCTTAGAGTTCCTTTTGTGTAGACTGTAGACCTAGCGTGACAAGCTTCAAACACTTTGTACCCATCACTAGATGAAGATTTACCAAGCGGGCACCTTAAACCACCTTTCACATTTGGATCAACAGTAGCTGAATCCAACACTCCTCTAATATCACTCATCTCTTTCTCCTGTCCATCATTAAAAAAGTATCACCAAAACAAAGTCCAAGAGAGGCGTAATTATATATCCATAGAAATATATATCAAAAATCAACTCACGGTGAGAGCTGTCCTGTTTCTTTTGGAAGCGAGCAGCAGCCTCATGTCGAGATTCTTATCAATACATGACACATCAACAACCAAATGCCTTACGAGACTAAGCTCTGCCTGTGAAAGAAAAGCAAACTCAAGCTTCAATGTAAGATGCTAGAAGAAAAAAACAAGTAATACCCAACATTAAGATGAATCCTATGTTCTCAGAACAGTAACTTTTCAATCAAGTTATATGTTTGTTAGGGTTTATGTTTCTTATGTTAGACCTAAAAACAGGACATAACACTTGACACTTTATATAAACAAAAAACCTCGAGACTTGCCTTGTGCAAACTGAGCTTGCCATCTTCCTTAAGGGTACATTTACAGGCGATGGTTTCACTGGGACGAGTATAATGCGATACCTGAATACAAAAGCATGTTCAATCAAATGAAATCCCAAGGAATATGGATAGGTCTAAGAAAAGAAAAACCAAGTACCTTGACAGTGTATCTTTCCTTTTCCAAGTCAAAACAGAATCCATGGCTTGGTAAGACCTTAGACTTGATGTGTTCTAAGTAAGAAGTTGGGACATCTGCTGAGAACATCTTATTCAAGGGCTTTCTCGAACAATTGACCACAGGACCAGCATGATCCCTGGTTATTTATGTTGTATATGTTAGATGGAAAAAAAGAAAAGAGTTTGTGTGATCAACAAGATCAGAGTCACTTACCCATAGAAGAAAATTTTACCAAACCTAGCAACCAATCTCAAGACATGCTGATGCTCTTCCATTGCAGTCTTAGCTTTCTCATATGCCAACACAAGATCCTCTTCCACCTTCTCTGCTACTAACAGCCACCGACTTCTCTCTTCTTCTTCGCTCTCTGCAATTATTCCAATTCTCTCAGTGTAAAACATATAAAAGATCCACACTAAAAAGAAAGACACAATGCATCTTCTTTAGGCAGCACTAACAAAATGGTAACCAAGTTTGATGATGTTAGTTTTGTTCTGCGTTCTAACCTTTTTGGACAGTGTTGCTCATCAGAATCGACGGCTTTTTTCCATTTATGCATTCGACAGAATCCGAGGAGAGGGTCACGAGCTTAGCGGATGGAGGAATCTCATCCTCGATTCCATTTGAACCAATAAGAAACCATTTGGAAACGGAATCTCCTGAGTATTCAATACGGTTGAGTTTATCGCTGGTACTCTTGAAGATGAGGTTTTTCTTGAATTTTGTATCAAGAGAATCTTGAACAGGGGAAGGTCCGTTCGGATCCTTCGGGTGTCGCTTATGTGGAGGAATATAAGACATGTCTCAACCTGAAACTCACAGATAAACAAAAAAATATATGATTTCAAGAACAACTATTCACTGGCTTCAAAGTTCTAATCTAGAGCTCAGAGAATACGACTGCTGAGAAACCACATCATAGGGGTATCAAAACGACGACAGATATTTCGGTGATTCCAGAATGGTGATCACAAAGGAGCGAAGAGAGAAGGAAAAGGAGAAATCATACCTCTCGTCGACTAAGCGTCTTCTCAAGTTCCTGCTGAAGAAAACTCAGAGAGACTCTTGACTCTTCGCTCCCTTTTTATCTCTCAATCGACTCATCGGTTACTTCAAATATTCAATTGTCTTCTCGATCGTGCCTAATTTTTTCCTACTTTTTCTTTAATTGGATTTTAAGATGAGCCTCTTCCGCTTTTTGCTTTTCCAATTAATTTTGTTTTTGTTTTTGTTTTTTAGTAGTATTGAAAAGCCTGAGGAAACTGTGAGTTATGTTCGAAGTTCGAACCGGACCAGACCTGAATTAAAAAACATGTTAGCTGCAATAGTTTCAGACCGGGACAACCTAGTTCGATTGACATGGATACAAAAGTACAAAACATAATATCTGTTCTTTTTTGGACAACACACAAGTACCACTATCAGTCTCTCTAACCTTAAGCCTTAATGTTTCTTTTTTATAGATTGTAGCTCTGACATGACAAACTTCAAATATTTTGTATCCATCCCTGGACGAACCAAGGCGCCACCTTACACCACCTTTCACTGTTGGATCTACAGTAGCTGAATCCAATAGTTCTTTAATGTTACTTTTCTCTTTCTCCTGTTTATCATAGAAAACAACCAAAGCTAAGTCCAAGAGAGGCATAACTATTAATATTTATCCAGAGATTTTTTATATCAAAATCAACCAAGTCTGACTATTTTAATATTTAGAGCCTAATATTTAGAGCACCTTAAATCAGAAAAACAACAAAATGCTGAAATGGTTTTGGGGTCATGATGAAAACAACAAAGCATGCAAGAAGTCGTAGAGCTTCATAAAGCTTCGTAAGGGACATGATGAAATTCTGTCAAACTATTTAGTATGTCGTCTGGATGCATGTCGTGTTGAACCTGGCCCCCACTTTGTGTTATCTCTTACCAGGAACCGAGAGTTTGAGAACCGAGGAGTTGGAGAACCGAGGAAGTCACTTCCAGGTGTGATAAGGATTTGATGGATAAAGAAGTGGAACTTATATAGCAAAATTGGTTTAAGAGACTTGGAATGGCTTGCAATTTTTATGTAGGAGATGTTATAAAAATGATAGTTAAACTAATTAGTGAGGAGATTAATCTGTTTGGCAAAAAAAATTGGGAAGTGGTCAACTACACGTTCAAAGAATAAGATACGTATATAGTTTAGTTCTAGTGCAATGCAATTTATGTTTGTGAGATTGAACCTGAGTCATGCATAAACAAAGTTCACATGCTTGCAACAAAACAGAGTTTTTATTTTATTTTTTGACACACGCAAGTTCAATCCATCACAAGTTCACAACCCAAACCATTATTGTACCAGAAAACATCAGAAAGAAGAAGAGAAACCCAAATAGCACCAGCAAGCAAACATCATACGTTTTCTTTTATTACGTAAGATAGGCATCGCAATGCAAGAAATCCCACAAGGTTCCAAGAGTCTCTCGAAGCATTGCCAAAACACAAGCCCTCTCAATGTTCTCCTCCTGCATACCACAAGGGTTATAATCACTATAAGCCTCACTTTCAATAGAGAGCTTCAAAGGTGCAAATAAGCACTATACTGTATGTACCTGAAACTTAGTGTTGAGGTCTTTAAGCATGAGAGTCACCTCCCTCTTGATTTCCCCTGTTCCAATCCTCTCATTGAACCTATCAGTCTCTCTAACCCTAAGCCTTAGAGTTCCTTTTGTGTAGACTGTAGACTTAGCGTGACAAGCTTCAGAAACTCTGTATCCATCACCAGATGAAGATCTACCAAGCGGCCACCTTAAACCACCGTTCACATTTGGATCAACAGTCGCTGAATCCAACAGTCCATTAATGCAATTCATCTCATTCTCCTACTCATCATAAGAAGATCATCACAACTAAGTCCAATAGAGGCATATTTATTTAATCCATAGAATATATCAAAAATCAACTCACGGTGAGAGTTGTCATTTTTCTTTTTGAAGCGAGCACAAGCCTCATGTCGAGATTCTTATCGATACATGACACATCAACAACCAAATGCCTTACAAGATTAAGCTCGGTCTGTGAAAAAAAGCAAAATCAAGCTTCAATATAAGATGCTAGAAGAAAAACACAAGTAATACCCAACATTGAGATGAATCCTCTGTTCTCAGAACAATAACGTTTCAACCAAGTTATTTGTTTGTTTGGTTTATGTATATGACTAGTAGAGTACCCGCACGTTTGTGCGGTGTGACGTTGTTGTTTTGTGTAGAAAATTTAAACCCTAAATCCGAACCCGACAAAAAACCCTAATCAAAAAATTTAAAAACCCAAACTTTTTTAATAGGTCTAAACATGAAAATCCGAAATCAAAAAAATCCCGAAAACCCTGACTGAACAAAAAAAATCTGGAAACTTTTTCACCCGGAACCCGACCCCAATACCTAATCAAAATTTTAAAATACTCAATTTTTTTAATATATCTAAACCCGAAAACCAGAAATCTAAAAAATCCGGAAAACCCTAAACTGAAAAAAAAAATTGAACCTAACCCGAACAGAAATTTTCAAAGAAACCCGAACAATTTCTATATCTCTATATATATCTCTATAAAATTATGTCTCAGATTTTCACCCAAACCCGAACTTGTCTATAAAAACCCGAAAATCCAAAAAGCATATTCTATTGATTTGGAATTATCGTTAGATTATGTTAAGTTTTTTTTTTGCAGATTTTTAAGAGATGGAAAACGGAAGTTTTCTAAACCATCGGTTTATTTTAAGTTATTATTCTTGTATCCAAACAATTTTTTCCATTTATTCTTCTATCCAAATAGATTTTTCTCTTATTCTTATATCCAAACAACTTTTGTTTCCATTTATTCTTCTATCCAAATAGATGTTTCTCTAATTCTTGTATCCAAACATTAGAATGTACTTCTCAATTAATAATATAAAGATGTTAGACCTAAAAATGAGACATAACTCTTGTTGTTTACACATGTACATGTACTTCACATTTTATACAAACAAAAAACTCGAAACTTGCCTTGTACAAACTGAGCTTTCCATCTTCCTTGAGGGTACATTTACAGACGATGGGTTCATTGGGACGAGTATGATGAAATACCTGAGAATAGAAGGCAGACACAACAAAGAATATTCAAATGACATCCTTAGAATAGGTCTAAAGAAAAGAACAAAAAATCAAGTACCTTGACAGTGAATCTTTCCTTTTCCAAGTCAAAACAGAATCCATGGCTTGGTAAGACATTAGACTTGATGTGTTCTAAGTAAGAAGTTGGAACATCCGCAGAGAACATCTTACTCGAGGGTTCATAACCAGCTTGAACCCTGGTTTTATGTTTGTATATGTCAGAGCCCAGAGGGAAAAAGAAATAGTTTTTTTAGAGCAACAAAATGTCAGATGGAATCAGACGCGCTGAGTCGCTTACCCATAGAAGAAAATTTTACCAAACCTAGCAACTAATCTCAACACATGTTGATGCTCTTCCATTGCAGCCTTAGCTTTCTCATATGCCAACACAAGATCCTCTTCCACCTTCTCTGCTACTAACAGCCACCGACTTCTCTCTTCTTCTTCGCTCTCTGCAATATTCATATTCATTCAAAAGGTAAACATTATAAAAAAAATCAAACAAAGAAAAGACACAATTAATCTTCTTATAACCAAAATACACATAGCCAAAGTCCAGATTCTGCCTAAGACAATAACAGAGGCAGTATCTTACCTATATGGACATTGTTGTTCATCAGTATCGAAGGATTTTCTCCATTTCTGCGCTGGCCAGAAACCGAGGAGAGGGTCACAAAGTTAGCAGATGGAGGAATATCATCCTCGATTCCATTCGAACCAATGAGAAACCATTTAGAAATGGAATCTACTGAATATACAATACGGTTGAGCCTATCACTGAAACTTCTGTTTGTAGCAAGAGAGTCTGGAACAGGCGAAGGTCTGTTCGGATCGTTCGAGTGTCGCATATGTGGAGGAATATAAGACATGTCTCAACCTTAAAACCTGAAAGTCAACCCAAGAGAAGAAAAACATGATCTTAAGAACAACTATTCATCGGAAACCTATAAAAAAACGACGACATATTTTCCGGTGATTACAGAATATTATACAAAGGAGGAGCGACGAGCCAACAAGGTGAGATGGGAGAAGGAGAAATCATACCTCTCGTCGACTCTAACGTCTTCTTAAGTTCTTGCTGAAGAAAACTTCAATAGACTCTTCGCTCCCTTTTTATCTTTCAATTGACTCATCGGTTTTTTTCAAATATTTAATACATGATGTCTCGATCATGTCTATTTCTTTTCTACGTACTTTTCTTAATTAGATTTTAAGATGAGCCTCTTCTGCTTTTTGCTTTTAGGACAATCCTAGTTCCATTGACATGGATACAAAAGTACAAAACACAAGATCTGTTCTAAGCTTGGACAACACACAACCCAACAACAACAAAAAAAAAACTCAGAAACATTAATGTACAAAACACACAGCAGAATGTAAAAGTCAACATCATATTGTTCTTTACTAATTAAAGATTGGCATCGCAAAGCAAGAAGTCCCATATTGTTCCAAGAGCATCTCGTAGCATTTCCATAACACAACCCCTCTCAATCTCCTTCTCCTGCAAACCACATCCCCTCTCAATATAAGCCTCATTTCCAACAGATTTTCAAAGATGCAAAAGCACAATAATTTTACCTTAAGCTTTGTGTTTATGTCATGAAGTATCAGAGTCACACCCCTATTGATTTCCCCTATTCCGCTCAACTTATTGAATCTATCAGTCTCTCTAACCTTGAGCTTTAGAGTTTCTTTTTTATAGATTGTAGGCTTGTAGCTCTAACATGACAAACTTCAAATATTCTGTATCCATCCCTGGACGAACCAAGCCTCCACCTTACACCACCTTTCACTTTCGGATCTACAGTAGCTGAATCCAACAGTTCTTTAATGTTACTCTTCTCTTTCTCCTGCATATCACAGAAAAACAACCAAAGCTTAAGTCCAAGAGAGGCATAACTATTAAAATTAATCCAGAGATATTTTATATCAAAATCAACTAAGTCAAAAGAGAGGCATAACTATTTTAATATTTAGAGTCTAATATTTATATCTCATAGGAATTTATATCAAAATCAACTCACGGTAAGAGCCATTAGTTTCCTGTTGGCCGCGAGCATTAGCCTCATGTCAAGACTCTTATCGATGCATGACACATCAACAACCAAATGCCTTGCATGATTCAGCTCCGTCTGTGCAAAAAACAAAAAAAATGCTTAAGAGATTTTAATCAACTTCTTATAACAGACACATAAAGGGATCAAGACTTGCCTTGTACAAACTGAGCCGTCCATCTTCCTTGATGGTACATTTACAACTGATGGTTTCACTGGGACGTGTATAATGTGACACCTTCACAATGAATGTCTCCTTATCCTCGCCTATACAGAACTCATGGCTTGATATAGCCTTAGACTTTATGTTTTGTATGAAAGAAGTTGGGACATCTGTAGAGAATATCTTGTTCCTTCTTAGTGAACATTCAGCCACTGGACCAGCTTGACGCCTAGTTTTACGTTAGCATATATGTTAGAAAACAAGGGAAAATGACATTTTAAAGAAAAAAAAAACAAAATATAAGAGCAGGATTTGAAAAGCTTACCCGTAGAAGAGAATTTTTCCAAACCTAGCAACCAATCTCAATTTAGCATTATCTCCATGATGACAATCCTCTATTAACCACTTCTTAGCTTTCTCATATGCCAACACAAGATCCTCCTCAACCTTCTCTGCTACTAACATCCACCTAGTTCTCTCTTCTTTTTCCTTCTCTTCGGTTGTCATATCCGCTGAATATAAACATATCAAAACTACATTAAAGAAGACACAATGCTGGCAAGAACGATCATAATAGTAACAAAATAGACATTAGTGTTGTTCATTTCAGCATCTAGATGATGTTCGTTGTTTTTCAGAATATGCTGCTTTAAGAACCAAACGATATGCATAAAGCTTGCACCCTTTTATAGGCACGAACGATAACAACACTAACAAAGACAATCTCTTACCTTTTTGGATATTGTTGTTCATCAACACCAAATACGTTTGTCCATTTCTGCGTTCAGTAGAATCCGAGGATAAGGGCACAAGCTTCAGAGATGGAGAAACATCATTCTCTGTTACATTTGAACCAATAGGAAACCATCTGGAAATGGCTTCTCTTGAATATACAATAGCATTATTGCCTTTAGTACTGCTACTCTTGAAGTCAAGTTTTTTTTTGAATTTTGTGTCAAGAGAATCTGGAACAGGGGAAGGTTTAACCGGATCCTTCAAATAACGCTTGTGTGGAGGAATATAGGACATGTCTGAACCTGAAACTCACAAAAACAAAACAAGAAAATATTTCAAGAACAATGACTTGTCGGTTCTATTTTAGAGCTGCTCAGAAATTCACATTTACGGAAATTATAGAAAACGAAGGCAAGTTTTTCATTTCTTACAAAGGAGCCACTAGCCAAAGGAGCCACTAGCCAAAGAAGTCAAGAAGAAATCGATTTTTAAGGTGAGAAGATAGAAGGTAAAGCGTGTACATATATATAACAATGATGTTCCTGCATGCAGAAAAATAACAATGAACTCCAAGAGACTCTTATTTTTTTTTATCTTTCACAATTGAGAAAAAATTATTTACTGACACGATATCATGCGTCTCACGCTATGTGAACGCTTCGGCTTCAGCAAAGACCAAAATCATACATCAAAACTTGAGGATGGTTTATCTTTTTTCAACCACAAATGCAAAATGTAATCATTTAAATATTTGCATGCGAGGGCATTCATTTTACCATTTCACTATAGTTTTTACTTTGCATGTTAACAAGAAAAGTCGTTAATATTTTATTTGATATAAATATTTGCATGGGGATGATCTTTTCTACAAAACAGTTAGATGTCCTTTAGATCAAAACAAACCACATGTTTTGAAGAAACCGATTCAATTGAAACAAGTGTAAAAGCATGAATTAGAATGGTAAGCAGACTAATGAATGATCCTTCACAACCCAAAAGACGAAAACTCAGAAACATTAATGTAGAAAAACACAGCGGAATGTAAAAGCAACATCATATTATTGTTTATTATACTCAAAGATTAATTGGCATCGCAACGGAAGAAGTCCCATATGGTTCCAAGAACATCTCGAAGCATTTCCATTACACAACCCCTCTCAATATCCTTCTCCTGCAAACCACAAGGGTTAAAATTATAACTATTACATTACATTAAAAATAAAAAGAATTATAAGTTTATAACTAACTACTTGTTTCAAAAAACTTAAAATTATAAGGCTTGTTTCCTATAGAGTTTCAAAGATGCTTGCAAAAGCACAAATAGGTTTTACCTGAAGCATAGTGTTGACACTTTGAAGTATCAAAGTCACTCCCCTCTCGATTTCCCCTGTTCCATACCTCTCGTTAAATCTATCAGTGTCTCTAACTCTTAGCCTAAGAGTCTGGTTTTTGTAGATGGTACTTTTAACGTGACAAACTTCAAGTATTCTGTATTCTGATGAAGTTTTGCGAATCGGCCACCTTAATCTTCCTTTCACATTCGGATCAACAGTCGCTGAATCCAGTAGTTCTTGAATTTTACTCATCTCTTTCTCCTGCTTATCATAGAAAAAATAACACATGATTAAGTTTAAGAGAATTTATCCACAGAAACGTATACGTCAAAGTCAACTCACCGTGAGAGCCATAATTTTCCTTTTGCCCGCGAGCATGAGCCTCATGTCAAGATTCTTATCAAGGCAGGACACATTAACAACCAAATATCTTACAGGATTAAGCAAAGCCTGTGCAAATAAAAAGAAAAAGGAGCTTTGATGTAAGATGTTAGAAGACGAAGTAGGTAAAAATGTGGCATGCATGGAATTAATAACAACGATGAGACGTATCATATGTTCTTAGAACAATATTCCTCAAAGAAGAGATTGTGCTCAAGACTTGCCTTGTACATACTGATCCGTCCATCTTCCTTGATGGTACATTTACAAAAGATGGTTTCATTGGGACGTGTACAATGTGATACCTTCACGATGTATGTCTCCTTAAACTCGCCTATACAGAACTTATGGCTTGGTATAGCCTTAGACTTGATGTTTTGTATGAAAGAAGTTGGTACATCTGTAGAGAATATCCTTTTTGTTTTTTCTAGTGAATATTCAGCCACAGGACCACCAGCTTGACGCCTAGTTTCATGTGGCATATGTTAGACAAACAAGGGAAAATAATATTTTTGAGAACAAAAAATTAAAAAAATCTAGTTAGGCCGGATTTGAAATGCTTACCCATAAAATATCATTTTTCCAAACCTAGCAACCAATCTCAGTTTAGCACTATCTAAAAGATGAGGATCCTCCATTGCTCTCTTAGCTTGCTCATAGGCAAGCACAAGGTCCTCCTCGACCCTCTCTGCTAACAAGAGCCACCGAGTTCTCTCTTCTTCTTCCTTTTCTTTTTCTTCTTTCCTCGATTCAGTTGTAATATTCACTGTATATAAACATATAAAAAAACAAACTCAAAAAGACTCACTAAATTATTGTTCGTTTCAGCATCTAAATGATGTTCATTTGTTCAAAACACAAAGCCAAAGTCCAGATTCTTTGTTAAGACACTAACTAACTAACAAACACGGTCTCTTACCTCTTTGCAAGTCGTTGTTCATCAGTACCAAAGACTTTACTCCATCTATGCGTTCAGAAGAATCCGAGGACAAGGGCACAAGCTTAACATATGGAGGAACCTCGTCCTCGATTCCATTCGAACCAATAAGAAACCATTTGGAAATAAAATCTCCTGAATGTACAATAGCATTGCCTTTATCACTGCTACTCTTGAAGTCAATGTTTTTCTTGAATTTTGGAACAAGAGAATCTGGAACAGGGGAAGGTCTAACCGGATCCTTCAAATTTCGCTTGTGTGGCGGAATATAAGACATGTCTCAACCTAAAACTCAAAAAAAAAAAAAAAAAAAAAAAAAAAAAAAAGATTTCAAGAACATGGCCTTGTCGGTTCTATTTCGGACTTAATCTTGGAGCTCAAAGAAGAAATCACATCTTAGGAAAATTGTTTAAAAAAAAACATTTGCAGATCTTTTCAGTATATATCAAAAGGATCGATGAACTAAGAAGGTGAAACATACCTTTCGTCCACTCAAAGATGACTTTTGATCTTACTGCAGAAAATCAACAGTGATGAAAACCTTTTATCAACAAAAGAAGAAAAAATAAATAAACCGTGAACTCGGAAAGACTCTTGTTTAGCTCTTTTAATGAGAAAACTGACTCATCGGTTTCTTCAAAACTTAATTACATTAACTATTTTTCTTGTTAAAACTTAAAACTAGTGAAGTGGTACAATGAATGTCCTCGCATGCAAATATTCAAAATTTCAAATGATTACATTATTTTGGATTTTGTGGTTGAAAAAAAATCGAGACAGTCCACAAGACTTGATGTCTGATTTGGTATATCTATGCTGAAGCGTCGTCACACAGCGTGAGAAGCATGATATCGTGTCCGTTTATCACAAATGGTTCTCGATTGTTGTAATTTCCAACCAAAAGAAAGGGTTAAACTGTTCAAACATTTTGGTTTGCAAAGCCTTGTACAAAGGTATATAAATATGTTCTAAGTTCTCACATTAATTACAAATAGGTTGGTGTGTACTACTACTACTACGTGCAGAAGATATAATTTTTTTTTTGCAACGAAGTTCAACAACAAACCTACATTCTCGAATACTGTTAAATTTTTATTACATTCGCGGTTAGTTATTGAACCAACCAACTATTTGAATATAGATGTTTCTCCACCGAATTTCTAAAGTTTGGTCTGGTTTGTTTAACGAATTATTATCGCAATGTTTTAAGCATACGCAATTTCCACTATCATCTTTTAATTATGTTCAAAGTATACTCAATTTTACCCAAAGTGTCAAGTCTTCATCTTCAATTTTCCGTCTCACTCTCTCTCTCTCTTCGCCGCTCGAATCGAATCCACAGAAAGTCCGTTTCGGTTCCAGAAAGTGATGTCGTCATTTTCGTAAAAAGATTTTAATGTGGGCGGCCGCAAATTCAATGGAGAGAGAGAGAGAGAGATAGCTAGAGAGTAGCTTTTTCTTCCTTCATCGTAATCTTCTTCCATTGAAATTGAAACAAGCAAGTACTATTAGAGAGAGGAGCTGATCAGAGAGGCTTCAACAATGCCGTTGACCAGGTATCAGGCTCGGAACGAGTACGGATTAGCAGATCCGGATCTGTACCAAGCCGCCGATAAAGATGACCCTGAAGCTCTGCTCGAAGGTGTCGCCATGGCTGGTCTCGTTGGTCTTTTGCGTCAACTCGGTGATCTCGCCGAGTAAGTCTCTCTATTTCAGTAATTGACCTCAATTCGAGTTGAAATTCGGAGTTTTTGATTCAATTGCCCTCGACCCACGAGATTTGAAGCAGCAAATCTGAGTGCTTTGTTTCTGGGTTTTGGAAAATGTTTGAAATTTGTGATCGAATTTGACTTAATTTTGTTGTGATGAAAGGTTTGCTGCGGAGATGTTCCATGACTTGCACGAGGAAGTAATGGCAACAGCTTCTAGAAGCCACGGTCTCATGGCTCGTGTGCAACAGCTCGAAGCTGAGTTCCCTTTCGTAGAGAAGGCATTGCTCTGCCAGACCGATCATTCACCATTTTTCTCCAATAAAGGTCAGACCTTTGATCCTTGCTTTTGTGGTAATTAGGTTTAATTCCAATCGAAGACAAGACAATTCAAGATAATTGCAAGATTTTCTGTATCCAAGGCGTTATTTCTATGATCTGTGGTCAGATTTTGCTGTTGGATTGATTCGAATGACTCTGTGACTCTGTTTCAGGTGAGGAATGGCATCCGAATCTACAAATGGAACAGAGTGTGGTTACGCGTGGTGACTTACCGCGCTGTGTTATGGATTCTTATGAGGAATGTCGAGGTCCTCCAAGGCTATTTCTTCTGGATAAGTATGATTTTATCTTGTTTTTGTAATCTTTTTGTTTCCTCTAGTTGTTTGTGAGAGAGGAGGATGTAACATCGTCTTGTATGGTTTGATTAGGTTTGATATTTCGGGAGCTGGGGCATGCTTGAAACGTTACACTGATCCGTCATTTGTTAGGCTCGAAACATCTTCGTACGAAGCATCGTGGGATGATACTCAGAGAGAGAAGAAATCACAGAAAGCAAAGGTAGATTTGCTGAAAAGAAGTAGAAATTGTGTTTACATTCTTGTCTAAGTGTATCACTAAACTTAGACAGGTCATATGAGGATGCTTATGATATTGGTGTTTTAAATGTGTAATATTATCTTATAATCTCTTGCAGAGGAGAGCATCTCATTGGAGGAATGGAGGAACTCCAGAAAATACATCACATTCCAAGTGCGTATTATGTATTTTATGTCTTGCATGTTTGTCATTTCTCTTATGATATATACCTAGGTCCCGAAGTTGATATATTTGACAATGGTTGCTTCAATTCGACTGGCACAGATTGCATGAATTATTTTTGGAGGAGCATTTAGAGGCTCATCAGTCAGATCCAGCGAGAGTTGTGAAGTTGAAAACTAGAAAGCTAGATGGTTATTCCCTTATTTCAAAGTCAGGGGAAAGCTACATGGGGAAATTTGTGCAGACCTCTGTCACTAACAAAACAGGTTATGAGATAACTACCACAGACCCTGAATTGTTGACATGGAATATGGACAGTGCCAAGGACGTAGTTACGGATATAACGGAAGTTAGTATGCCGCGTGCTTTGGAGAAGTCTCACGGAATAAGCAGAGCAGAGGTTTCATTGCCAAACGGGCAGGAGAATGCGGCAAATGTTAACTTAAATGTTGGTTTTATTGAAAAAGACATAGAGACAGTGCCTGAATCTACTCGCGATGAGGTCCCTGGTACAGCTATTACAAAGGATTCACAGAGTCAGTTGAATGGAAAGCCAGGATTTCTTGAATATAGGAGTTATTCTGAAGATTTGACCAGTGAAGCTGATAATTATGTGGATGCTCAAGCCACGATGGAGTCAGAAACAGAAACAGACAGTGAGTGCAAGCCTAAGAATACATCAGATGCTTTGAAAGATGAGAGAATGGAGGAACCAACTCAGTTTTCATTTGTTCACTCAACTGGAAACACACCGGTGTCAGAAAATGGGCAACGCTCGGTTGGGAAACGGAGCGCTAGTTTTTCTTACTCGGATTCTGCTAGCATGTCCATAGATGACCAATCTGATGGAGAGAAATTTTCTGGAAGTTTTGGGAAACGGAGTGCTGCTTCTAGCTTTAAGAGTGAGCTGGTGGATTCCATGTCTCACGTTACTCCTGAAGCCAACAAAGTGTCTCATGATATTGAAGTTCAGGAATCAGTTAGTAGCAGCAATGCAGATCGTCAGGCATCATTTAGTTCGAATGATACATGTTCAAGTCCAGGGCCAGTCTCTCAGAACGCTGAATCATGTTCACTGGCTGTTCAGTCTTTGGCACCAGAAGTCGATGAAATTTCGCCAGAACTAGTTACACGTGATAAAACTAAGGGAGGCAATGATGGAAGCGAAGTGGATCCAATAAATACTTCAGGATCTGGTGAGTCTTTTGATGTTAAAAACTCGAACTTCCCTTCTGAAACTTCGTCAATTAGTTCAACTTCTGAAGAAAGCAGACGTGATACTACCACTGAGAAGAACTGTATAGTTGATTTTCCTTCAATTTTAGGAAACTCAGGCACTAGCCCTCAAGTGGTTGGTGATAGTCAAACAGGTGAACAGTTACCTGTTGCTGAAACTGATATTGAGACAAACTCTACAGTTGCTTGTTCTGAAGGTTTAGCAAACTCAGGCAGCGATACTAAAAGCTGTGATGGTAGTAGCCAAACAGGAATACTGTTGCCATGCTCAGCTGGGATGGGGACGGAAGTTTCATCTGATATGCCATCTGAAGTCTGTGGCCCTAGTACAGTAGATGAAACTCACGTGAAAGATACTCTTGATGATGAAATCGATTGCGTTACAGTGACTAATGCAGTTGCTGACGTCGATTCTCAAAACTCAGTTGCTGACGACGATTCTCAAAATTCAGTTGCTGACGACGATTCTCAAGCTTTAGATGGTGAGATCTCCAACGAAAATTCATGTGCCTTTGGCACTACTGCTGAAGACACACTGGAGAATGGAATGTCCATGCCTGCTGAAGTTGATAGTAAGCTGACTTCTGATTTTCATTCAGGAGGAGAGAAATTGGTGGGGGATGCGTCACCTACTTGTAGCAACTTCGATGAACATACCTCTGATATACACTCCAGTAATATGCGTGATGAAGACACACTAGAGAATGGAATGTCCTTTCCTGCTGAAGTTGATAGTAAGATGACTTCTGATTTAAATTCAGGAGGAGAGAAATTATTGGGAGATGCTTCACCTACTTGTAGCAAATCCGATGATCATACCTCTGATATAGATTCCAGTGAGATGCGTGATGAAGGCTTTCATGACCTTCCAGAGCTGGACAACGCAGCCACAGACATTGTCCCGAATGTGGAGCTTGCTGTGTCTGATGATGACGCTGAAACTTCCAGTGGTGATGTTAACCATGCAGCTAGGCTGACGTCTACTAGTATGATAGGTGCTCTGCCTTGGATTTCGACCAATACTTCTCGATCGTCTTCAAAAGCAGGAGAGATTTGCGATGATACAGTTGTGGAGTCCGACGTGACACTACCAGCAGAAAATAATTCAGAGTCAGAGCAAAAACTGCAGAAAAGCCCATCAGAAGTGTCTTCAGAAGGTCTAGGCACTGCCCTGGAGAACAATGACCTGGGAGATTGTGAATCTTTAGGTCTCATGACATCTCTGGATCAAAGCGACAGAGACACAGAAACCGAATCTCCTAGTAAGAGCATTCTTGTTGATAATTGCGTAGATAATTCACCAGTGAATAATCTGAACATCTTGGAGAGTGTGACTACAGAGCAGCCACTTGAAATGCAAACACCTTGTGCAAGCCATGCATCTGGAGATGGAGATGAGGAACTGCTGCAGTCAAGTGTTTCCGAGGGCTTCGAGTTTTTACCACTATCAGCAGGCTTGGAATTTGTACCACAATCAGAAGGTGTAGAATTGAACAGTCCTGAGGAAGAGTTGAATATGGATTCTACTTTTCCCAGCTTTGGTTTGATCCCTGAGGCTACTCCACCAAATCAGGAGGACATGCCTCCGCTGCCTCCCCTTCCTCCTATGCAATGGCTTATGGGGAAGGTTCCACATCCTTTTGGTTCTAATTCTCTTAGTCCTACCTTCATGGGAGAATCAGTGGAAACCAGTATTTCTGCTCCGGCGGCACCACCACCCATTGGTTCTAGCTTGTATGTTCCATTTGAGACTACACCACCAGACCTGTCTGCATCTCTAGGAAGTGAAAAATCAGAAGAACTTCCTGGAGAGTTTGTGAACAATGCATCAGAAAAGTCGTTGCAATCATCCCCAGTCATTGGCAATGATTTGAATAGTCACGACAGTTTTGGCTCTCAGAAAACTGAGTCACCGAATCTTTCTGCTGAGCTCCATACAACACCTAATCAGGAGCGTATAGAGGATTTGGGTTCTGAAGATGACAATCTTTTGGCTGACCAGGCAGCTCAGAACCACGAGCTCGTTTATTCACAAGGCTCGTCATTGCAGCCGTCTCAGGGTGCATCAGCGATATGCGAAGAAGATTCCAAGGACGACACAGATGAACATGCTTTGACGCCAACTCAATCAACAAAGGTAGAAGATAATGGTCACTATGTTCCTGATGCCTCAAATGCAGAAACAGCAGAACCATCTACCTCGTCGGTTCAGAAGACAATTCCTGTGTCAGTGGGAGATGCTCTGTGGCCTGTCAGATCATTCACTGTTGCACCTACCTTGGACGCAAATAAGCCAGAAGAGCTCCCTATGGTTAAGCATCCTCGGCCAAGAAGCCCGCTTGTTGATGCCTTTGCAGCTCATGACAGACGCACAGTAAGCATACATACATCTTGTTCGCGTTACCTTGCCTTTGCTTAAGACCTGTCTCTCATCCCTTGTTCTGATGATTTTGCAGATGAAGAAAGTCTCTGAGAGAGTCCAACCACCAATCAAATCAAAGGAAGATGACAAAGATTCATTGCTTGCACAAATACGAAACAAGGTATCACACACTGTTCTTACTCATACACCCATCCTTTTTTTTTTCTTATTTATTTGTGGTTGATCTTACTGTTTCTACATCGATCATGTAAAGTCCTACATGTAATTTCTAAATGTGGATCTGGAGTTTATGACCTTGTTTTGTTTATGCAGTCCATTAATCTGAAGCCTGCAGTAGCGACACGGCCCAGCATCCACACTGGTCCTAAAACGAACTTAAGGGTAGCTGCAATCTTAGAGAAAGCTAACACAATACGCCAGGTCCGTTACTCTCTTTCAGTCTCCTTCTAAGATTGTATATGTCAAAGCATTTCAAATTTATATAAATCGAGCCAAAAAAAGTATGAGGAGTTTAGTCCCTCATTATTGTCACATTGTAATTTGTAAGATTGGATCCCACACCAGTTTTGAGCGATTAGTAGCATGATCATAGACCAAATAGATGTTCACTTCTTCTCTATCGCACACACATCTAAAACTGGTAGTGACACTAATGCAGGCAATGGCTGGAAGCGACGAGGACGAAGATTCAGATAGTTGGAGTGACTCTTGATAGGTTATACAATTTTTATTTCAGACATAACATCAAATACGTACTGTCATTTCATATATATATGTATGTATGTTTGTATAATGTATAATGTATACTGTTTTACTTAGAGAGTTATAGGTGTGTGCATGTTGTAAGTAAATTCCGGAATCTGTATTAGTATTACAAAAGTTGTGTGTGGTTTTTTTCCAAATTATTTTTCCCCTAGAACATTCTTTTAGTGATGATCTATGTAATGTGTTATCCTCAAATCATTTGCGTGTCCTTGTGTATGTATCAACCTTTAATACTAATGAGAATTCAATAATCCTCACACACTTCAAAGGTAATAGTTTGCAAATGGTTATGTTTGCTTTCAGTTTTTGTAAAACCAATAAAACCCTGAAACGAAATCAGACAGTTAAACCAGATGCTTGTGAATTGCTTAATTCTCTTGCTGTTTTTTCTTTTTCTTTTCTTAATAAAATAATGATAATGCGAACATCGGTGGAAGAAAAAATCACAACCTACCAAACCAAAACAGAGAGAGATTGAGAAGAAAATCTGAGATTTTTATAAATAAAAAAATGGGAAAATCAATTCCGATAAAAACAGGGCTAAGAGGAGCGTCCGCTGCAGCAGCTGGGTTCCTCAAATCCTCGAAACCGATCCGACCCATCTCCTCAAACACCATGGAGACTCCCGACAAAGATTCTTCAGCCGCCTCCACCAGCGACAATAGCCCCCGCTACGTCCCGCTCTCCTCGGTGGTCTCTGATTGTGCGAAGCGGTGGTTCAAAGACACTCTTGAGGAAGCCAAAGCTGGGAACATCACTATGCAGGTCGTATTGGGTCAGATGTATTACTCCGGCTATGGTGTCCCTAAAGATCCTCGAAAGGTCTCTACTTTCCCCTTCAATCTCATAATTCCCGTTTATTAATTATTACTTTAGGGTTTTACTGTGTGATTAAGAATTGATTTGAGAATTATTACTTTCCCCTTCTCTTTTTGTGACATTTTGGAAGTGAATTCAATTTTCATGTTTCTGTTTAACGCAGGGGAGAGTTTGGATTACGAAAGCAGCAAGAACTCGTTCTTCAGTGTGGAAAGTGAAGGATAAACGACCAGGTTTATGTTTCGTTTTAATTCACAGATTTATTACAAATGCTCCTTTTGCTTGATTTTACATATGACAATTTGTTTTGGTGTCATGTGATTTCTCAGGTTACAACGCAAGTGATTCAGATTCAGAGTCAGATGTAAATTCTGATTAGCATATCCATTCCCAAGATAAACCGTGTTTATCCGAAAGAGCTCGTTTCAGTTTCTTCTGTTTCTGTCTCATCGTAGGATGTTCTAAGTTCCAACAATAAACACTATCTTGTCTCAACACAAAATCGTTTTGATGCTTGCTAATTCATATTGTAGCTCTATTGCTTTAAGACGCAAAAAAAAAAAACACATTTTTGTTTTATATTGGTGGAAGCATTTTGCTGATACAGTTTAGTGAAAAGGGGTTTACTTCAAGTTGTTCCAGAATGTATAAGATCTCCAATGGTGGTCGGAAATTTTGGTACATGGAAGCTGCCTTGCATGAGAAATGCTCTGTTTCGATCCTTTTTGCCTTGTATTCCTGAAAACACTTTTGAAAGTACGAAAACACTGAAAATAACTGTAATTTCACACTTAAATCTCATAGTTTTCATCACAAAACAAAAGTATAGAAATTGTATGGTAAAAAGTAAAAAGTACAAACAATTCCCGCCAAAATGACTTGGCAGAAATTCTTGGGAGTCGAGCTCGGATCAGACAGCTTTAACGAATAACTGCCATGTCTGAATCCGACCAGACTTGCCGGAGCTCGTACCATTTTGCCAGAGAATTGGAATTTCAGCTGCAAGTGTTCAATTAACTTTGGTGATGTGACTAAAGTTATTGGTTTCAACAACCTAAAACCGTCAAAAGCCTAAAATCATACAAGACAGAAACAACTAAAGCAGATATTTTCTTCCACACACTTTAGGTCCTCAAGGTGAAAGCAAGCATAGCTTTCGTGATCCTTCATGTGACACCTCTTGCTTGACTCATCCACCATCCTGCTGATGTAAGATGCAACTACCACTGATCTAATGATCCAACTACCATGATCTTGCGTTAATTAGCCGCAGTTTTGTTGAACTTGCTGATGTTCACGATCGAGTAGACTAAAAGTCTAAAACCATGGCAAATGATAAGAACGCAACATCATAAGTCAGAAATCTAAAAGGAATCGTATTCAACTCCAACATAATGGAATATCGCATATTCTTTTTAAAGAAAATAAACAAACAGAGAATGGACCATATATAATCAGAGGAATATCCGCTTGGCAGCGTCCAAAGTATTGCATAGTAGCATGGCAATCCAACTTCGATAATTCTACGTACTACTTCAAATAACCATTAATAGAGAAAAGGAAAAGCCATAAGGTGAGGAAGATATTATTACGACGTAGATTGTGAAAAGAATAGAAAAAATGATACATGTGGTTCTGAATTTGATGGAGACTTGATAGGGTCAATTCAACAAACTAAACAATGTAAGACGAGTGCTTTTGACACCACAAATTAAATTAAGTGGTCCATATCAAAACAAAAGATGGAAGGAAGATATGTCCTTTTTTTTTTGTTGACGTTGATTCTCGTAGATAGCCCTCGACAGAACTGCTCGGATCCCACTGATAGGTCCCAGATTTATGACAAGTCAATGTTTGATCAAAAGACATCAATACAAAGAACACTTTGGTTCTTTAAGACACAAGTTACTTCAATATTTTCCTCATATCTTTCCATTAACCGTAGTTGATGCTTGAATACAAAATAAAACTGAAGAAACTAAGAAGTGGGGATGAAACGCATTGATGCAGGAGATAGAATAAGGCACATCTTTGACTAATCCAACTTCAATTAATTTAGGGGATGCAAGATCGATGTTTTTGACGCAGAACCGACGACACCAAAAGGATACACGGAACCTTGTCCCATTATTACTTATGGCTGTCTTGGGCCACCTGGTAGACATCAATTTGTTCTTTGATTCTCGTTTCTTTAATTATTCTTGATTCTTGATAACAAAGTCAAACTTCTTCTCGTTTTATTTTAGCTCATCGCATGATGAATTAAGAAGAAGATTACTGCGCAGTAGAAGTTTCTCTCTCGACGAAGCTCTTTGGTGTTTTTAGTTTGTGATATAATGCAACTTCATTTTATGTTTCTCTTTTTTTCTTTTTCTGGACGTTAAAGTAAGCTTAATATGTATAGAGTAAAGCTCAATCATCATTATTAGTTGTGTTAATTAACACCATTAGCTTGGGGAACACCTTGTATGTACATAGACAAAATCGTATAAGTTCCCAAAATCAATTCCAGCCGATGAAGCTGATAAGCATTCATTCTTTTGCCCTTTTGGGTTTAAGACATATATGCTGCATCAGTATCCATTACTAAGATAAACCGTTTATCGAAAGAGCTCGTTTTAATTTCCTACGTTCCAAGTTCCCAACAATAAACAATATCTTGTCTCACCGCATATCATTTTGATGCTTGCTTACTCTATTGCTTTAAAAAATATTATATTTTTGTTTTGTATTGGTGAAAGCCTTTTGCGTATTTTTTTATTACTTTTTTTGTTCTAAAGTGTAGTTCAAGTTGTACGGAAAAAGGTTCATTTATGATTCCACTAAACATGAGCTTAAATCCATTTTAGTTTAATAGAATTGAGTATTCCTTATGATTAAAATTCTGATGGGAAAGGAGTTTTGTTTGAGGAAGCAAACGAAACCAAATCTCAATGTGTTGAAGATCAAAATCACAGGAAGCAAACAAAATAGCACTTTTTTTTTTAAGTCCATGGTTATTAAGAACTTTCATGAATGTGTTTATAACTGTAGACCGTAAAAAGTTACAAGTCATATTCTTAAAATTACGAGTTAAAGCTACATGTGAACTTTGACGTTAGTTTGATTTCTATCCAATGTCAGCATGAGAGAACATGCAAAACATTGATCCCATAATTACATGTTACAATAATGTATCAACAACACTACAATTAAAAGTTTATATAATGACTAGCAAACACAATCTGTAATCAATCTCTCACATAAGAAACAATAGTGAATTCAAGGGTGTAAAACAATGAATTTTCCTTGGAGATTACATCGTCAAATTTGTGACGGAATTTTTGTTTTGCATTAAGTTGTGTTGTTAACTTTGCAGCGAATTTTTTGGCAACTGATCTTAGATTAAAATGCCGACTCAAATATGGCAGCTAATAGAAGACGAAAATTCCGTGCCAAACTCTACCACTACTGTTTCTTATTTTGTTTTCTTCTTGTGGGGCATAATAATGATTGATGACTGTTTCAGACTTTCAGTGTTTTGTTTCTTAAACCAATTTCAAAATCGAAAGTCGAAACCATAAGATAAAAAGCATCATCCTTACTGATTTGCTGATTGAGCCCATTGATTCTCTCTCTTTTTTTCACAATCACTCATTGGCTCTTTCTACTGATACTTTCTCTTTTTATCTCATGTGCGAATATTTTATTTCTCCACCCAGATAAAAACTTTCATTTCTTTTTATTTCTGATATATCTCTAATAATAATCACAGGTTAGCCTAGAAAAAAAGGGAGTAATTCTGAACCTCTTTAATTCTCCAAGCTCGTGTGCGGCGAAGAAATAAGGTTTTTTTTTTTTCCTTACTACTGCTAAAATCTCCGATTAGTTTATGATCCTAAAATTAACAGTGACCTTGGAGTGGTTATTCCTAGAATATTGTTTTTTTTTCTGGATTTGTTATTGTTTATATGAGAATTCTCTAGATCGATCTTTCTTCGAGGAAGGAGGACTTTGTTGTTGTTACACACTCACATTCACACTGTCACACACATGCAAATATTGTCTGTAGTCGCTAAAGTAACATAACAGATTTTCACTTGGAATTTTGGAGAACCCAAGCAATATATGATGGAAAAAAGTGAATCGCTAGCTTGATCGTTGTTTGAACTTTTGAAATATTTTCTCAGCAGAAAGAAATGGAGAAAGAGACAATTGTTCAACCGGATGCAAAACGTGAAGAAGAAGAAGGACAAGGGCAGCCACAAAACCCACCGCCAGAATTACGACGTCGTTTAGTGGTTTCTCTGTACGTTGGATATTTTCTTGCAAGATGGAGTGCCAGGTTTGTTCTTTAAACTCTTCATCTTTAAAAAATATTTTTTTTTCTTCTTCTTTGTTTTTTCTGGATAACATGCCTTATAATTGAAGATAATTAACGAATGGATTAATTTCACATATAAATATAGTTTTTTTTTTTACTCTTGTTTTTCTTGATTGATTTGGAATCTTGGATGAGTTTTTAGAAGCAAAAAGAACAAAAAAAGATAAATACATCTTGGATGAGGATGAGTTTTCAGTTTTCACATGTAAATATAATTCTTGTTTTACTCTTGGTTTTTAGAAGCCTTTAATATAAGTTTCTTTGGGTTTTTTGATGCAGAACTTGGGAATTCTCTGTGGCTTTGTATATGATCTACTTGTGGCCAAACTCTCTACTTCTTGTGGCGCTTTATAGCGCCATAGAATCGGGTTCTATTGCAATCTTTGGCCCCATTGTGGGGCAATGGATCGAGGGAATGGACTACGTTAAAGTTCTCAGACTCTGGCTCATGTTTCAGAACCTCTCCTACACCGTTGCTGGTGGCGCAGTCGTCAAGTTGTTGCTAGTTCCCGATCTTAAGTCCCACAATATCCCTCTTTTTGCAATCTTGATTGTCTTGACCATTGTCGCTGGAGCTGTAGGGATGCTCTCCACTCTTGGTGGCACCATTCTGATAGAACGAGACTGGGCTGTGGTTATGTCGGAAGGTCATCCGCCAGCGGTGTTGACAAGAATGAATTCTATCATTAGAGGCATTGACCTGAGCTCGAAGCTAATGTCTCCGGTCATCACCGGTCTGATCGTCAGTTTTGTCTCTCTCAAGGCGTCAGCGATGGCTTTCGCTGGTTGGGCCATTGTAACAGCTTGGGTTGAATACTGGCTCTTCATATCTGTGTACAACGGTGTTCCTGCGATAGTAAGCAGCAACGAGAGACGTGTCTTGCGTTCCAAGACAAAGAAGACAGTAGAAGCAACAACAGATGAGCCTGTTTCTGTTTCCATCGTTCCGGGAACAGAGGAGGCCTCTCGAGAAGACCCACCGCGTAGTAGAAACGGAATGTTCAAGATTCTTGATAAAGTATCAAAGTCCTCTTTCGTTGAAGCGTGGAGGATTTATGTCAATCAAGAAGTTGTACTCCCAGGGGTTTCTCTAGCTCTCTTGTACTTCACCGTCCTTAGGTTCTGCTTCTCTTTCTCTTTCTCTTTCTCTTCCTCTATTGAATGATTGTTACGTGTTGCAATGACTTACTGGATCTATTGTACCAATGTGACACAGCTTTGGAACACTGATGACGGCTACATTGCAGTGGCAAGGGATACCTACATATATCATCGGTATAGGCAGGGGAATAAGCGCTACTGTAGGACTAGCCGCTACGTTCTTGTATCCTCTAATGCAATCCCGTATATCGACGCTGAGAACCGGCCTCTGGTCCTTCTGGTCTCAGGTATGTTAACCATATGAATTAGTGGAAATGGACCATTTTGTGGAACTTGAGTAATAAAGAAGAATATGTTGTATATGTGAAGAAAAGAGTCATAAAACTATGGTTCTTGAAATCTTGTTTTTTTTTTCTACAGTGGAGCTGCCTTTTGATCTGCGTTGCATCGATTTGGGTTAATAAGGGTAACATAGCATCTTACATGCTAATGGCTGGAGTTGCTACTTCGAGACTTGGCTTGTGGATGTTTGATCTTGCAGTCATCCAACAAATGCAGGTTTGCGTGTGTTAACATTTTTCTTTAGGAGGTTAATAGTAACGTTTGTTTTCAAAGAGTTACAAATAACCATGTTGGTTTATAATGTTTGGTCTTGATTAGGATCTGGTTTCTGAATCCGACCGTTGTGTTGTTGGAGGTGTTCAAAACTCGTTGCAGGCGGGTCTTGACTTGATGGGAAATGTGTTGGGTATCATTGTATCCAACCCAAAGGTAAATGAAAATCAACTCTACACATTGTTCTTAAGGATCACATAATGATTTATATTAATTTGGTCTGTTTGCATGTTTTATATCTTAGAGTTGTTCTTAATTCGCTGGACATGTGATTTCAGGATTTCTGGATATTAAATATCATCTCATTCGCCACAGTGACGTTAGCAGGAATCATCTACACAGTCCATCTGTACCACCTCCGACACCATATTTTTCACTTTGAGAAGATTCCTCTTTTGAACAAATTTTTATTAAAGTTGCTCCCTTCTCGTGGAACCATGTAATATATTGTGGAATGCGTCACAGTTTTGTTTTAAAGATGTTTATCCTGAATGATATTTCTCAAGAAATGTATAATCGCCATTCACAGTTTTGTTTTGAAGGTGTTATTCACTTCAATTAAGACTTCCTTGATAAAAAAAAAAAAAAAAAAAAAAAAAAAAAAAAAAAAAAAAGAAGAAATGTATAATCGCCATTCACAGTTTTGTTTTAAAGGTGTTTATTCACTTCAGTTAAGACTTCCTTGATAAAAAAAGAACTTTTTTGTTTAATTGTGTTATTTATCTAACTATTTATGCGTCTGATGAAGAAAGAAGAGAGGTTGAAAACAAAGATAGTCACGGATGTCTTGATAACAATAATACTTTCGGAGAAAGCACCAAAAAGTACCAACGGCAGTATAATCATGATAAGAGTGACAATGGTAAAAGTAATTTTGAAAAGAGAAGTTGAGTTTAATTTGACGTTTTAACATAGTAACCAATTTCTTGCCATCGTACTTTAATTTGACGCGTATGAAGATCAAACAAAGCAACTTTATTATATGTATAAGGATGTTTATTTTCATTATAATTTGTAAACGTAGCATATAAGGGAATATGTCATGAATGATGAATCTACAAGTTCCTATTTCACAGGTTGCAAATTGAATTTAATTATAACCGAACCAATTCTATGCGTTAAGAAACAAAACCGAAATTGCTTTAACAAAAGAGAAGTTGTAGTTTTACTAAAACTTAACGAACCACCCAAATTTGGCAATGAAAAATAGCTCATCGCATGGACTGAACATTACCAAATAAGAGATGGTTGTCTAAATTAAACTGTTAACATACTTTAAAACTTATTTAATAATGTACTATGTAAATTTGATAATAAAAAAAGCACAATAATTAAATTGTGCCTAGAAAGCCTTTAGAATCTCTACGGTTAAAAAAAAAAAAAAAAAAAAAAAAAAAATAAAATACACAATAATTTTTGAAAACAGAGTGAATACATAAAGTACACAAAAAAATGAGAATACATAACAACAAAAAACATCCAACACAATAAATTAATAATTTTAAGAAAAAAAATAAAACAATAAACCCGCAGGTATTCATTTAAGTGTTCAGTCAAATGAACACGTATAGTAAAAAAAATGCTTGATTAAGTGTTTAGTCTCATTACTATTTCAACTCAAAATCCCAAAGAATTATTTGACATGTGTGGATTTTTTATTATCTTCATTTCATTTTAATTTGTAATAATCCTAACTGTACAAACAGGGTTATTTTACTGATTAGTTAAGTTTTGAAAAAACGAAGTAGTATTTCCCTTTTTTTAACATCATTTGTTCAACATTTTAGAAAACACAAATAAAATCAATATCCAGAAGACATTGGATGTGTAATACTAATAAGTGAAACATTAAGAAGACTGATGAAGCCTCTTCTTGGCATTTTCTGCTTCATCGGTTGCTTCAACTTGCATTTTTGTCTCTGTTAGTTGAGCATCTGTAGCTTCCTTCTCGTTCTTCGCCGTCAACCTCTTTGTCTTCCAAACAAAAAAAAAATCATGAAATCAATATATTTTTTCCCAAAACAAAAAGATGCATTCATAATTCTGCTATAACAAAATTAATTTCCACGGCATGAAGTTAATCAATCAAGCAATTTTCATTAGTCACCAAAACACGTCATGTGATCATGTTTCATGACTCAAGAGGCAAGAACCACACACACTCAACAGAAAGCTGAAGAAAATCTATAACTAATGATAAATAACATTCTCAAGCGACGTCGTCTTGAATATATATATATACCTGGCCAACAAAAAAGGCTTTGACATAGGTAAACCCTTCCTGGAACGTGACTGCCATGGATAAACAGTTCGTCTTCACCCGATCCGTCAGAGACTTAGACGGCCCTCGCGATGTGTCGGCCTCTTGCATCGGAATCTTAATACGCTGCTGTTTACACAGAGAGATATTTTGAAAGCAACGAACCTTTCCCTTTCTTTCTTGTGCCTAAAAATTTTAACTACTATAAATGATGATCTAGGAAGCAAAGATCGCCACGTCTGTTTACGTGTTGCGTGTAGAGGTTACGCACGTGGATTAAAATAAGAGTACCATTTAGATTTACTCTTGGGCTTTTGGGCTGAAATTGTACTCATCGGATCATGAAGCATAGGATTTGCAAGAAAGTGACCACATGATTTATCTTGGGCTATTGACGATTTTCTCTACGCTGGTCAAAAGATATGCATGTCTTCTCTTGAAACATGCATTGAGGTCTTATTTACTTTCAACAGAAGCAGCACTATCACTTCCTTGGTCCGACATTGCATTAGGAGGCTCCATAGTATCATTAAGAGTATAATATCAATGGTGTGCAAAGACTCCAAGAACAAGCAGTTTTGAATAAATTAGCCTGTTTTGCTCCCAAAAAAAAGACAGGTTAAGTCTCAATAAGTAATTGTAAAATCAAGAATCAAACAAACTTAGAGATTCAATATTAGTCAAGGATGATAATAGCTAGAGATGTTTAAGAAAAACAAAAATTTGTAAAAGAGAAAATATTATTTCTCCTAAACACGAGATTTGTGGACAACCTCTACGTGAGCTTCAATCTTGAGATCACCGTGAAGATCAAGAAAACAATCTTTAGGTTTGTGAAGGCGAAACCAGTTTGACATACCCCACTTAGGACATTCGGCATCAAAACGTATTTCCTCACCATCTAATACCATACGTTCGGACTGGCTTTCTATAGAAAGCCAAACCTTTGCGTCTATCTTCCATCCGGGAGGCTTATCTTCAGAATCAACAACAGCCATATACATAGACATGCTTAGGTGCCCTGTGACCCCTTTCGGGTAGAACATTACACACCATTTGCAGCCACCGCTTTCGAATTCCGGTGACTCAATTACTTTTGGGTCTTGCACAGACTTGAAATCCTTTATCACCCACGTTAACATTGGAGCGGAAGCACCAACAGGCATGAAGAGCTCCACACGAAAGAAAACAGGTTTGAAATAATACACTTATTTGTCAAATAAACTAGCAAGAGTAAACTAAACGATTGGGAGCTATTCCTAATCATAAAAGGAAATTCAACTTTTAAAGAAAAGGAAAAAGTAGTGATAACTGTGGATAATATATGCACCGAATTTTCTTTTTCTTTTTTTCGACCCCGGTTAAGAAAATTTCGGATTCGCCACAAGTTGAGTTGATCATATAGTAAATTATATGGTTTCAACCTCACACAAGCGTTGAGCACAAGTTTTCAAATATATCATACCAAACACACAATTTTTGTTTAAGCAAACAATGAACAAAATGTACGGATCAAACATAATCCTATCGCAAGTTATGTGTGTGAATGAAAGAAGTGAGCAAGTGAGCAGTCGCAATCCTAAAGATCATAATCCAACCCTAGATACATTCAAGAGTTTCATTAGAGTTTTAATCATTTTTCTTTTTAAGTAATTAGTAAAAACATAAACCTAACAACTGTCATCCTTGTTTCTGAGAACAAAATGAATGTAATGATATAAATAAAATTTGACATAAAACTTAATATTTCTCTTATGAAATAAAGCTAATAATACAGAATTAGTAAATAATTCTAGTTCACTCATACAAAACTTTGGAAAGCACATAGTTCCAGATTTAAACTAGGATCCAATAATGGAAACAAACCAAGTGTTTAACATCGACTTCAATTTGGAGGTTTTGCTAATTTATTAACTCCTAATCATTACTCATGTGCTTTAAAAGAAAGAGACGACCCTTTCTACTTACCTACTAAAACAGTCAAAATTTTCCAAAGATTCACAGAATCGTATTTTCATCCAAATAAACTGAATAACGCGAATATTACACGTGGCAGTGAGAGAGGCATAATGATGATGCAAGCGTAAAGCTGAGGGAAGCCGCCTCTCGTATCAATCTGTTCAAAGTCAAGGCCACAAGGTCTGACCAATATATCTCTTCTTCTTCTCCATCTTCTAGTTTTTCAACGGTCAAACTTTTTATCACCTTCTCAGAAACTACTCAACTTTTTAATATTTTTTTTTTTTTTCCATGTGTAACCCCAAAAAGAAAACAAAAATTAAAAAAAGAAAATTAACCAATCATACCGTGCAATATGTTTTTTATATATACAGACAGAACCAACAAAAGACTTAAACATTGCAAGAAACCCATCACATCTCTTTTTTTTTTCCTTCTTCGTCTTCTTCTTCTCCAAGCTCTCTCCTAACTCCTAAGCTTTCTATATATATCTTAAATCGGTCTTTCACAAGACAAAAGAAAAAACTTCCATTTTCGTATGGCTGCTTCCTCTTTTCTTACTATGGACAATAGCAGAACCAGACAGAACATGAGTGGTTCTGCTAATTGGTCACAGCAAACCGGAAGAACATCAACATCGTCTCTGGAAGATCTTGAGATCCCAAAGTTCAGATCTTTTGCTCCTTCTTCCATCTCAACCTCTCCTTCTCTTGTCTCTCCTTCCACTTGTTTCAGCCCTTCTCTTTTCCTCGACTCCCCTGCTTTTGTCTCCTCCTCTGCTAACGTAAGCCCTCTCTGTTTTTTCTTCTTCTTTCTCAATTTGAAATGAATCGAACTAAAGATAATCTGGGCTTGATTAAAGATCATTGATTTAACATCTGTTATTGAAAAGAAAATGAATTCTAGTCGGAAGTAATAACTAAATTCATTGGTCAACGACTTTTTTTTTGTAGAGAGAGAGAGAGTCAATATCGGTTCTATTCTCGGATTATGATTCTTAATTATTTGTAAATGATCATAATAATAATGTTTTCAATGGTTTTGCAGGTTCTTGCGTCTCCAACCACAGGAGCTCTCATCACAAACGAAACTAACCAGAAAAGTATAAATGAGGAAGAGAAGAAGAACAACAACAACATTAACTTCTTTGATTTCTCATTCCATACACAATCATCAGGAGTTGTTTCTGCTCCAACCACTACAACAACAACAACAGCGACAACAACAAACAGTTCTGTCTTTCAATCACAGGTATGTTCCTCAACAGCTTTCAATCTTCTAATCGCTCTCTTACTTTTCATTGCTTTTTCCTCAAATTTTAGATGTTTGTGTTTCAGGAACAACAGAGGAAGAACCAGTCAGATCAATGGAACCAAAACGAGACACGTCCAAACAACCAAGCTGGATCTTACAATGTAAGGGAGCAGAGGAAAGGAGAGGATGGTTACAACTGGAGGAAATACGGACAGAAACAGGTCAAAGGGAGCGAGAATCCACGGAGTTACTACAAGTGTACTTTCCCAAGTTGTCCAACGAAGAAGAAAGTTGAGAGATCTTTGGAAGGTCAGATCACAGAGATTGTGTACAAAGGAAGCCATAACCATCCTAAACCTCAGTCCACAAGAAGATCATCATCTTCTTCTTCCACGTTTCAGTCAGCTGTGTACAACAACGGCTTAGATCACCATGATAGTTCCAATAATAGCTTCCATCACGCTGATTCCTTTGCAATCCAACAAGATGATAATAATACCACTTCTGGTTCTCTTGGAGACGATGAGTTTGAGCGAGGCTCATCTGCTATAAGCAGAGAAGAAGAAGATTGTGGGAGTGAGCCTGAAGCCAAGAGATGGTACATATCATCATCACCTGCTAAAAATTTCCATTCTCTTTAAACAGACTTGAACTAAGATTATTTTTTATTGTTATGTGTTTTCAGGAAAGGAGAGAGTGAAACAAATGGGAATGGTAATGGAAGCAAGACAGTGAGAGAGCCGAGAATTGTCGTGCAGACAACAAGTGACATCGACATTCTTGATGATGGTTACAGGTGGAGAAAATACGGCCAAAAAGTCGTCAAGGGAAACCCAAATCCAAGGTAAATAAAACATCAAACATTTGTGCTTCTTCTCACTAATCACAAAGGCTCTAAGAATCTGACCTTTTTTGTTGTCTTTTTGATATGAACAGAAGCTACTACAAGTGCACAACCATCGGTTGTCCAGTGAGGAAACATGTCGAGAGAGCATCACACGACATGAGAGCGGTGATCACAACCTACGAAGGGAAACACAACCACGACGTACCTGCAGCTCGAGGTAGCGGTTACGCCACAAACAGACCGGCGCAAGACTCTGCATCAGCGCCAATCAGACCAGCTGCTATTACTGGTCACTCCAGTTACACTACTTCTTCTCAAGCACCATATACACTTCAGATGGTGCATAACAACAACAACTCTAATGCTGGGAGTTTTGGTTACGCTATGAACAATAACAACAACAACAACCTTCAAACGCAACAACAGAACTTTGTTGGTGGTGGTGGTGGTGGGTTCTCTAGAACAAAAGAAGAACCAAACGAGGAGTCATCGTTTTTTGATTCGTTTATGCCTTAGAAGACTTTTTGTACATTTCTGCCATGAAATAGTAAGACTATAGTCTATAGTCCATAGAGAAAATTATTTCATTTGTTTTTTCGTTTGCTCATGTTGAGCTTTCACACACGCATGTAATATTATTTAGTGTTTGTACCATAGAAAAAAAAACGAATAAACACCAAATCAATTTTCACTTTTATATAATGTATAAACAAAGAAGAACACACAAACAGAGTAACAGAAGTAAGTAAGATTGTCTTAACAAGTTTCAGCTATATGCACACATCAAAAGAATGACATTTACATGTATAAATTATATGGAAGCACGTATTGCTGAGAGAGAGAGGGTTTATACGCAGATTTAGATAAAAGAATGAGTCGAGAGTTTGTAACCGGAGAAGAGAGCAGAGAGAGCTAGAGCGACGAAGGCGAAGATCGCCATGCTTATAGCTGAAGCAGCGGAATCAGTGAATACGTTATCTTGACCTTCTCTGAATCTGTTTGTCAATGGAATCGCAGACGACGCAGCTGATATCAGTAGATAAGCTACAATCTGAAATCACAAAGAAACACTGTCAAAATCAATTTGCGATTTCACATATTATGTTATTAAAATTTTGGTATTTACCTGGTCGCCGGAGAAATCGATCAACATGGAGGTCCGGCGTTCGAAGAATTCCTTTTTCGAGAAATGTACAAACGTTTGCCACGCGGTGTACAACGTCGAGATAATCGCGATCGCCAATACATATCTGAAGAGACGAATTTAAGAAATCTCGAAAATTTTAATTGAATTTTAAAATCATGATCGGAAATAATGTAAATCGGAACCTGTATTCTTCGTAGTCGTCGAAGTTGCGGCCGTATCCATGTTTGTTAGAGACCATAATTATGAACGCGAGGAGAGAGAACAGAAGAGCCAATGCTCTCGAGATCGGAGACGCTTTTTTAATCAGATCCTCCCTCTTCCACCTCTGAGTGATCGCGGAAAACGCCGACGTTCCAGACGCCGGCGTCGTCTCCGGTGTCTTCTCCGTCGTGGCCGCAGCCTCCACGTCGTCGACCGGCTTCATATTGTCGGGATTCGTCATTGGCAATAGATCTCGAAACTTGAGATCGGGATCGGTTTGCTTCCTCTTTGATTCAAAATGCGAAGAATCGGGAAGAGGAATAACAAACTTGGAAGAAAAGAAAACTGCAAAATTCGGTTATGAAAACGTAATTAAGATTCGGGTTTTATAGGTTAAGTTTGAGGAAAACGCGTAATGGCGGGAGTGATTAAGGTAATAAATGTGAGTAAGAGTTTATTAAACCCGAAGAGCGCGTAAGCGTAACAGAACAATGCTTAGAGATCAGATAATCGTGGCTTGCATTTGTTAGCCTTAGTTACAGACAGCGAAGCCTGGGAGTCTCATTGGTGGAATGAGAATGATATATTTTGAATGATATTTTTTTAGTCTTTTTAATTATTTTTAATGAATTGTTTATAGAAATTTTATGGTAATCATTACATTTGTTCCCTAAAAATATCGTGCTAGTTAAGATTTGAATTCTTTGTTCCAGAAGTTCAAGAAACATAGTTAATGGAAAGTTTTAGAGTATTGACTATTGACTACTGACTTTCATAAGTTTGTTATATAACTTACCATGTTTATTTTTGCTGATTTTGTTGTTGTCATATGTTATGTGTTTGATTATTTTCATAATGATATACAAGAAAAAAAACTTTATAAATTAAGAATGTTGGGATTTTGATATTTTGATATTTTATTAATTTATAAAGTTATTAAATTATCAATTTTGAAAAAAACAATGTTTATTAATAATTAATTAAAATAATATAATAATTATTTGAATACTATATATTTTTAAAAGTTATTGTATTTTATATTGTTTCATTCTAAAATTAGAGATGAATTATAAATATAAAGATATTTTAGTTCTAATAAAAAACAATTAAAAAGTTATACTTATATTTTAATATATTATCATAAACAAATATATATTTGACATTCATGATAATTATTAATTTATAATATGAATGATTTTGACATTCATATTTTCGGTGACATTAATCTTGATGATTTTTTATGGGATCTTAAGGACGATAATCTAAAGCATACCATTAAAAAGATTGATACTAACTTTCTTCACATCGTAGAACTTTGTCTTGAAAAGCAAAGAGCCTTCGTATTTTCATCCATCGTATTATATTCGGGCATGGCTTGGTTCTTCAGCAAAGACATGGAGTGCGTTGCCGTGGATCCAATACACGAAGTTTGTAGTGAGACATCCATGCATGTCTATCCTGTAAATCACGCTCTCTTTTGTCTCTTTCACTCTGAAAATCTATTTTGTTAATGATCAATTTGACTTGTGGACACAGTATACAAAAAAATAGCCACTCTATGGGTTATGGGGGAGATTAGTTAGTTCTGAATTCATGATAGTTAGCCAGGTTGCCAATGTACAATAGCTCAACAACTTGTAGTTATTACTTATCAGTTAGCAAGAGTTCTCATTTTCTCACGGATCTAATGCTGAAATAACTCCTTTTCCTAGAGAGATGTTGAACACAAGACCTTAAATAAGTCTACCACACATCACACATGCATAATATGTTTTTATCAAGATGAAGGTCAAAATAAATTGAATCAACACCGAATTATCAAATATGTGTTCTTATTCCTAAAACTTTTGTAGTCTTCGTCATATAATTATTTCAGAATATTATAACCTTAACGACTTTGAGAACTTTAGAGCATGTGCAGCGGACAGTTTTTCAGAGTTTCTTCCCAAAAAAGTTAATTTAAAAAAAAAAAAATCTGATGTGGCGTGCTGAAGTGGCGATGAGGTGGAGAGCTCAAGAAAGAAACGTATATGTGGGAAGAGTTCTGGAGCCCGTTTCTGACACAGTCTCTACACGTGTCGAAAGCTGATTAGTTATTCTTTTTTTTTTTTTTCAAAATTTTTAAAGAAACCAGGAGGGGTTTCTCCGCTGCACATGCTCTTATAACTCGCTGTTCTGATGAACTTGTCAAATGCTGCATTGAGTCATTGACCACCATGTCGAATTGTGGCACTGAAAGATGTTTGAATTTATTTTATTTTATTTGGTTGTTAGTTCATTTTAGAGAACATAATATAACTCAAAAGAAACATTCATAGCTTAATACACCTAAAATAGTAAAATACCGAAAGATCACCAAATGATTCTTCCGATTCCCAAACACAGTCGCCAATAATGACGCATATTACAAACGGTGTGGCATGTCCCTTAGCAAAAAACAAAGGCCAAGTTTGCAAAACAAACTTAGTCACAGTTACACATAAAAGACTACAGATTTGAGTTTTATTCAAATTCTCTCCAACAAATAAAGCAAATAATTTTTTGATTATCAATAATACTCGGAAAAAAAATGGAATTCCGGTTTGTATCCTTCCTTTTTTTTTCTTGTTCTTGTCAGTTTTTAATTTTTTTATATACAAAGAGGCGATTCTTTCCATTTGCCAACCGAACCGGTTCACCATAATGCTGCTCGATCCTCTATGAATTTCAAATATTAAAACCGGGTCTTGTTCAACCGTTGAGCCTCACTGGATTACTTGGTTAGTGTTGAGACCATTGTACGGTTTGTCAAACCCTATTAACCGGTTGGTTAATCATACGACGTAGTTTTTTCCTGAGTTCGTCGGCCCAAACTAAGCCCACGTCTCTTTGCTTGTTCTTCATCTCCACCATCACCAATTCGTCTGTTAGACGGCGAATTTTGACTACGACATTTGCTACTCCCTGTGGCCCTTCCAGCTTTATCGCTCTCTCCTTCTTCTTCGCAATCCTCAGATTCAACTGCTTCGCAGCCTCCACGACTTTACCCATAATCTCTGCCGGACTCTCGTCGGAGACGAATTGGTCGCAGTGGTCCGGCGTCACGAAGTTGCTGAACATACCGGCGAGATTCGCGTTCGATGACGACGCGATTAACTCGAAGGCGTTTAGCTTTTTCCCGTTTTCCTCCAGATCGTAGTCATCGGCCTGGATCCCTATGATTTCACTCGGATCTACTCCGTGATTGAACCACGTGTCCTTTAGAATCTCCTCGACGGTGATCCGCTTTTCCGGATCTGGTTCCAAAAGACGGCGGAGCAGATGCCGTAGATCTGGAGACGTCCAATCCGGCAATCTGTATTGAGCCTTGTGGATTTTCCGGTAGAGCCCCATGATGTTGGGATCTCTGAACGGCAAGTAACCGGCATTGAGGAGGAATAAAACGACGCCGCACGACCAGATATCCGCCTTTGAGCCGTCGTAGCCTTTCTTCAGGAGAAGCTCCGGCGCAACGTAAGCCGGAGTTCCGCAGAGCGTGTGCAGCATACCGTCGGGCTGAATCTGCTCCTTCATCGCACTGAGACCGAAGTCGGAAACCTTCAGGTCTCGATTCTGATCAAGGAGGAGATTCTCCGGCTTCAGATCACGGTGGAAGACTCCTCTGGCGTGGCAGTACCTCACGGCGGAGATCAGCTGCCGGAAATATTTCCGGCTGAGTTTCTCCGTGAAACGGTTGCTGGTGATTCTGGAGAAAAGCTCGCCGCCTTTGGCTAACTCCATGACGAAGTAGATCTTCGTCTTGGTGGCGAGCACTTCGGAGAGGAGCACGATATGGGGATGACGCAGGCGGCGCATGACAGAGATCTCTCTCTTAACGTGCGCCGTGAGACCGTCTTTCAAACGCTTCTTCTGGACGACTTTGATCGCAACGCTTTCGCCGTTGTTGTGAAGATCCTCCGCTTGGTAGACTTTGGCAAACGCGCCGCTCCCGAGAAGTGGACCGAGATCGTATTTTCCGAACAAGGCCGATTGGTTATCATCTCCGATGACGTTAACGATGATGGAGTCAGAAGAGTCTTCGGCCATTTAACAATAAACGCAAATTGAAAAAAACAGTATACAAATTACAAATGAGAAGCATGCGCGCGGTGCCTCTTCTTATTGAAACCCCTCAACTTGCCACGTAAGCTAATTTGAAAATTGAAAAAATATATAAATATTTGTTTGACTTTTTGTAGATTAAAACAAATAAAAGAAAGAAAGAATCATCATATAAGACAATTTCAATGCGCTTAACTTAAGTTACGAATATATTTAACCAGGTAAGAAGAAAGAGGCTCATTCCTAGCTTATCGAAAACACAAACATGCTTACTGCTTAGAGTCATTTTAATTTAATCCCAACAAAAATAGATTAAATTCAAGAAACAACTTTTGATGATTCTTCCCAATATATGGTTCATGTTCCTGTTTTGTTAAATATCTTTAGGTCAACCAAAACATTATAATAATAACCTTAATGCCAAAAAAAACATTACAATACCAGTTGGGATTCAAGTCTTCATTTATCTGTTTACGTATGTAGGACTAGGAGCTGGGATACATCCTTACATTGTTGCCAAAAAATATTTCGATATTGAAAAGCTAGTATATAACTTGTTTCAATACAATTTTGAAAAAAGAACGTGGACTGACTATTGAACGGTAAGCAATATTCATGAAAATGGTTGAAGCTGCACTATTACAGTAGATTTGTAGATGGAAGTTAATTTGGTTCAGAGGTTCGTATAACAACTTACGCATCTATTTCAGTTACAAAGAAAATGGATTTTGGTGTATTTTGGAAATCGGAGGGGATGCTAAAAAAGTGTGGGAAGAGTTATGTTTGGCTCTGTTTATTTAGTCATTATTCTGTTTTGTAAATCTCTCTCGTTTTTGGCCTTTTGGGTTTGTGTGACCTGCAAAGTTTTGAGGAACCCCAAATGCACCTAAATATGCTGTGCATCTAGTTACTTTTTCATATAAAGAGGTTTAGATTAGACACGATTATTTGAATAATGTAGGAGATCTGTGGAATACAAAATTTGTAAATTTGGGATTTTCATTAACCACCCGTTGCAATCGTGTCTAGCTGTCACAAACCAATAGCATTTTCCAGTCAATAAATAACATTTAGAGTATGACAAAATAAAAACAATTAAATTTGAAGGGTGACAAAACAATAGCAATTTCATTTGAATACTATTTGAACTTCAATGTCAGCATAAAACAATTACTTTGGATAGCTGGAAACTACATAAAAATAGGGATTAATAGATGAAGTTTTGTTCTAATTTATTAGAAGTGGGATTCGTGGATCCAAGTCATTCGTGTGTGGAGTAAACTCATACTAGTATTCCCTTTTTGCTGTTGAAAAAGCCAAAATTTAATCCTTACACGTGAACTTGTTTAAAATATCATACCAAGAAACCTGTATAAGAATTAGTAAGAGATAGAAGGCAAAAACTCGACGAAGTAAATAAACAATAAACAAAAACTCTTTGCTCATTCATGGTTTCTAGTGTAACATCCAACAGCCGAAACATTTTTGCTGTAACATTTGATCTGGTCATATCGGTCGTTCCATCCAGCCGTCGGATGAGTTATTTCCCGCCATAAAAACTCACCATTGAATTATCACAGCAGCTATATATTTGGCTGCCGGGTCAACTTCTTTTATCGTGCTTCTATTCATGGAAACATCAATTCTTTAAAGGGTTAATACATCAAGTCATCACCATATATCTTAACATTAAAACCAAAAAAAAAGTCATCACCATATCATTTTTTTATATCTTTCATCACCATCATTTTTATTATTAATTTCTCATCGTTATCGTCATCACGAATATAAAGAGACACTGTCTTTAATACCGCGATGGTGTACGTAAGCCATCGTCCCTAGACTCCGTACCATCACAACCACACACACCGTCACTCTTAAATCTTAATCTAGGACGTTTCCTCTTTGTCAAACATCATCATTGTTTGATTTTTGTTTTATCAAAAGTTTCAAAATAAAAACATGACGTACAATTATTCAATCAATATTGAAGAATTGAAAGATTTATTTTGTGATTTTCTCAAAAAAAACAAAAAAAAAAAAAAAAAAAAGTCTCTCGGCTTCTCGAAGCTTGGTTACGAAGTTACACTTCATTTTGTTTATGTATGACAACAATCTAATCCCAAGTCCAATAAGAAGAGAGGAACAACGTATTCAAGAACGCACAGAACGGCATAAACCCTGCATAAGATATTGCTTTAAACAAAAATTTGCGTTCAACAAATTTGTGTTAAACAAAAAAAAAACTCAATCAGTTCTACATTGGCATTTTCTTTTTTGAAAAAGCAACAAATTGTGTGTATTGAGTTTACATATACAACCGAACCTTCCACCTAATAGATAAACACACTTTACCAGTCGATAAGATTCAAATGTACGCATGTCTCCCACCCCAAAATAAAACAACTATACATATAAAAACACTTTAAGTACCCATATGGGATCCATAACTCCAAAAAAATTGGAAGCAAAAGAGTAGAAGTAACGCAGTGAAAATCTGATGGGTTAAAGAGAACGTTTTGGAAGTTTTTTCAACAGAAGCGTTCGATAAGAAAAGAGACATGCACTTGAGCTCTACAGAGAATGAAGTTGGCGAGCCATACGCATCTGGATGGTAAATGATTTCTCCTTGACGACATTTGAATTCTCCTAAGCTCCATTCCTAATTTCATACATTTTTTATTAGAAATCTTTTAATTTAGGCTGACATGCATATATATTAGTGTTAATACGTACCTCAAGCTGGCGACCAAAAGTGACAAGGATAGTGTCGGGATCGGCGTGGAAAGAAAGTGGACCTTTCCCTGAGTTGACACGGAACTCGCAGTTCTTAGCCGGTAGGTGAAGACTGAGCGTGTAATGAAGCATCTCCTCGGTCTTCTCTTTGGGAAGAGGAGGGCTTTGCTCTGTTACGTTTTCATGGTTATACCTGTAAACACTTAGCACAGATTCTCCTCTTTGTATCCTTTTATCAGTCTGTCTCCTTGAGTTTTCCACCATTATTTGCCCTAGCTTTCTTGCAATCCCTTCAAGTTTATCCGCTACATTCTCCATTTCTTCGCTGCAAAGTTAAATCCAAGAAAAAATGATTCAAGATTTCTATAACAAATTCATGTATCAAACATAGAGTAATGGACTTTTTTAAATGAGGCCCAATAACGGCCCAATACCTGAAGCAGCGGTACCTTTCCGGTCCGATATATTCGCGCGCCCATTCCATGCGCTCTTTCCACGACCGAACCCAAACGATCTCGTCTCTGTTTCCGACAACGCTCCGGCGAAAACCGGTGTCTCTTCCCTCCAAAACTCCGAATACCCGACCCGATTCCCTCACGAGCGACCTCAGCTCCTCGCTGGATATCCCATGGTAGCTGACGCGAAACGCCCCGAACTCCCTCGCCGATCGCACCAGACGATCCACCGAGCCTTCTCTCCTCGAAGCCAATAACCGGAAATCAATCTCCGCCGGGATCAGGTGTCGCGAGCCGGACGATTCCCCGCCGGAATGCGATTCAGGGAGCGTGAGCTCTGGAACCTGAACGGATCTCTCGATGATCTCGGTGAGGATCTCGTTTGCCGCGGAACGAGATCCTCTGTGTCGAGGGATCGGAGACGGAGGAGGAGGAGGTGGAGTCAATGAAGATACGTTCAATTGGCTCCTGGTTCGCATCAGAGCCATTGGAGGAGGAAGATCGGAGGTTTCGTTCGGGCGGTTTCAATTATAAAATCCGCCCCCAAAGAGAAATGGGAAAGACTTTGTCCGATTGATTTGTTTAGAGGCAAATTCGTCGTGTATTTCTTTTAATTTCTAGAGAAAGTGAGGGTCCATTACCATTACTGAATTCGAATTATTATTATTATGAAAGAATGATGATTATGCATTGATGATGATGAATGATATCATATGGTTTCTCTAACTTCATTTCCGCTGTGAAAGATTCGAAATATGTCAGATGGAAAAGCTTTGAAAAATGTTGCCAGCTTCGACTCGGGCCAACATGTGGGCCGCATTGAATGTTTAGATCCGGCCCACATGCGCTATATCGGAAGATGATTATTTGTTTCTAAATAAGTGCGAATCAATCTCAAAGGGCTTCGAACTTCTCCTCATCAGGATTCAGGACCATACTCCATCGAAGAGTGGGAAAAAAAAAAAGCAAAGAAAAAAAAGGTATAAAAACATTAATTGATGTAATGATAGATAATAGCGTATTTTTAGTTAGTCCAAATATAGTTGAAGTTAGCTAGAAAAAGTTGTTAAAAATGAAAGAATTTATCGTGATTTTTCTATTTTCATTTGTTCTGAGCGATTTAACAATGTTGAGATTGGCCTTGACATATCAATCTCCAAAAGTGCCTATGTATGTAATTATCTCCTATGATAAAGCTTAAGCACTTAATACGATTTATGCTTTTATATAAGATATAAACTTTTTATTACTGTACTCATTTGAATTATATACAGTATATGGTTGTTGAGCTTATGATCATAAATATATAATAGCAAAGTAATGCACAAACAGGTGATTGGATCAAATCTTTTAATACTGTATTGAGTGTATTCACTTTCAGAACTTCCCTTTTAGTAAATATTAAAGATTATTAAGCCCCATAAACTACAATTTACCAACCAAGAAAGTTATATGAAAGAACATTATTAGTTACCCCGGAGTTGACATGAATGATCAAATGAATCTAACAGAAACAAATCGTATAAAGTTAGCTGATAGAAACCCCAAGCTACTCCAAGGGTCGTTATTACCCCCAAGTTATGTTTATATGTATTAATGTATATCATTATAGCTATTGGCTGTCTCTGAGTTCCAGTTTGTTTTCGTGGAGTAATTAAAAACAAAAAAAATTGTACCAACAAAGTTTCGCTTTCTTAATTCAGATAAGTGTACCAACTAAGTTAACAAGTACTGTTAACTACATTTTAACATAAAGAAGAAGAAAAAGTTGTTAAGTGTGACTTGTAAGTGTGCATAATTGAAGTTGAAGAGCAAGCATGTGATTATAAACTAATTGGTTAGTTGTAGCATCTTCCGTACGTTAATAAGCTTCGACAATGGTCCCCATTCGATTACTCTCTTCGGATTTTGGTCAATAAGATGACAAATTTAACTATCAGAACGCACGAATAGGATTAGCAGAACTATTTGAAGGAAAAGTATTTTATTAAATCTTATACAATTAAAAAATCAGTTGTTGTTTATAAACGATATGATTATATGTAGGTGCCGCATTAGGGAGACATGGAACAAGTTTTGGTGACATCGAAGCTGTCGCTATCAAAGAAGATGTAATGAAGGTATCGAATAGCTTATAAACTCTTTTGCATGGGTTCGAGTAGACAATCCCCATCTCCCCTAATGATTTTGTATTTCAAAAATCTTCACTTTATCGAAGAAATTTAATTTTAACTTAAGAAAATTGCAACTAAAATGCCTTTAAGATGACACCATCATTGATTTTGTTTCTCAGAATCTTTTACATTATCAAGAAATTTATATTTATAAAATGTAAATTGCGACTTGAAGCCCTTAATTGGTGTTTCCCTTTCAGCAATGTATGACAATTATGATGTTTATCCTTATGTAAATTTTTTTTATTAAGTGAAATGTTCTGAACTGAAAAAAATAGCTAAATGTTATATTAGTGACCACCAAACAAAATATTTTATAAAAAACATCCTGGTGGTTTATATGACAAAAACTTTTGGATCGATGATGAAATTTTATGTCATTTTGATGGACTGCCGATCAAATTCCAAGGAGCACGTACAAATCCATACGTTGATGTGTATAGGATTGAGTTTGCTAGGAAAAGAAGCTTGAATTGAAGTCGTAAACTTGTACGACTTATAAAATTGTGAATATATATATCACAAATATATTCTTATATAGTGGTAGTAGTCAGGCAGTATATAGTCCCACATAAAAATATTTATCTAACATTAGAATATGGATATGAAGTGAATCTAAGTCATAAAAAATTAATGATGTTGACAGCAAACATGATAGAGTGTTTTTCGAGTTAAATGTGACTATGAAAAAGGGATAAGATAATGTACACTACTATCTGATGATTAAGATATATGATGGTGTTTATGGATCGGAGAACCTATTCATATAGTCTAACTACCAACTCTCTGATTTAACTAAATTATCCAACATAATCATCTTTTTCTATCTCTTGTTGGTCTTGTTGGATATGTAAAACAATAATCAGGCTAAAAGGGTACAAAACCCTACTGAGAATCAGTTTTACCAAGAGACATACCCATCGAATGATCTTCATGTTTGAAATCAAGAAATATCCAGTGAAATCAATAAGATAAATAATTGGACATTATTTTGGATATTTTAAAAATGAATTTGTGTAGTATATTTCATAAGAAAACAGGAAAACTCACATCAGATTTTTTTTTTTTAAATTGTTTTAAAATTTGTAAGTTCTTAAATAAGTAACTACAATTTGATTCCAATTTAGGAACAATCAATTAAAAAGAGTGATGCGGAAGTATGTTTGTTTGTTAGTGACAAAAAAATATAATAACAAAAAAATCTTCCGAAAACTCTCAATCATGTACACAATCCAAAGAAAAGTCGCCATTACCACATAAAATATATGGCACATGAACATTTACTCTCTTTTCTTTTTTTTGATATAACCAGTTAAACGCTGTTCAAAAAAAAAAAAAAAAAATGATATAACTAGTTAAACATTACTTGGTCACGCACATTTAATAGTTTATTCTGTAACTTATCACATCCGAGTATTTCATACTATCACATAAGTTGGGATGAGAGCGTCGATATCATGTCATCGGCTCATCGCTACGGTCATCAAAGACATCATCAACATGTATATCAGCTAGACCAAAATCTCCAGCGAGATTTACCATGTATTCCGCATCTTCTCATTTTCATATGCATCGAAACTGGACAAATCTTCTTCAGTATCTATATTTTTAGGGGAATAATGGTTTAAAAAAAAAAAACTAAAACATGTGTATGATCATTGATCAATGTACAATCACTACACTTATTACGAATTTGAGAGGTAGACAACATACATTGAACTTTTTATTTCTTTATTAAAGTTGTGTATTCTATATGCATAACTAAGGAATTTAATATTATAAGTATTGTTTATGTATAAATATATAAAGTTATCAGTCTTAACAAAATGAAGGAACTAAAGTTTTAAATAAAAATTTGTAAAACGGATGTATATAGGAAAAATTCAAAACTCATATAATAAAAGATAGTTGGCAAATATGTTATGCTCCGAAGAACCACCAACGTGAACTCACATTATAATTGATTTTTTTACTATAAGTGTCAAGCCTTTCTATAAGTGGAAAATAAAGTATAAAGGAACCACTTTATGGTTAATTGGTTCAGTCTAAAGATATGTGTAAGTATATTTAAAAACACCCTTAACTGTCTACATAAATAAAAACGAAGAGACAGGTTCCCCAAAAGAAATAAAGAATCAGTAGATTAAAACAAAGTTAGTCCTAAATATTTGAAAACTTTGGAAAGGCGAGTAAAATAATTGAGATTAATTAGAGTGGACTACGGAAGTATACATAAATACGAGTTCAAGGAAGTGAAACATTCTTCTTCTCTACCACACACACACACACACACACACAGAGTAGTGAGCTTCGATGGCAATCCTTTTTTCGTAGTCACCATCACCAACATATCTTTTTTGTTATATGTGAAGTGTCACTATATAAAAGCTAGATATATGAGCATGTGCAGATCCAGCATGAAAAGCAGTGAATCTGGAGAAATTATAAACGGAGAATATGATGTTTCAACGTCGTCCGTCAAAGAAGAAACTATCGGCAGCGCCAAATTCTCCGCTGGTCTCCGTCGCATCCCTTTCAACGAGGCTTGTTTCTTTTTCTTTTTCTTATTTTGCTTACATTTTCTTCCACAAAATATTTACGATTATTTTGAAGTTATAACAACTCACTCTGTTTAGTGTTAGATTTGCATAGCTATCTTGTTTCTTTGTCCAATGAATTCTCGTGTTTTAGGATCATAGTAATTTACTATGGAGACGTTTTCTACGTTTATAGGAAGCGAATTTGTTGATTTTGGTTTTTTTTTGGATTATGGTATTATTTTTTTCAGTATTTTGTGGTGGTAAACGATATGCAATTCTTGGAAGTTGATCTTATTCTGGATTGAATGCTGCTTTTGACTGTTTTAATTGCATTTTGATGGAAGGTAATGCATCTCTTCTTGAAAAAAACTGCTTGATGAAAATTATATTTTGTCAGAAAAATAAAGCTTTCATCTATTTTTCACTTAGTTGACAAATATATTGACACCCACTATATATAAGTATATTTACTGCGTAAGTATATATGATGTTTGTTTGTATATATGAATATGCTCATACATATAAAGCATCAGTCTGATGTAACTTCAGTTTCATAGACTGGGAGAGATGATCCTTTTTTGGGGTTGTACTTACTTACTAAAGTTTTCTATATATGTTTCCTCTCTCATTGTAGAGTAGTTAGTACAATATAGCAGTTCACCTTTTGATATAATCTAGTAACTTTTCGATATATTTTTCTTGAAATCCGAATCTAATTGTGGTTCTTTTTTTGGTGAAATCTCAATAGTACAGTTCATGGTATTTTTACAAGCATATATATATATATATATACTTTTTCTAGTTTGATTTTATGTTCTCAAGTTACTGTTGTATTTCTAGTGAAGTTCATAAAATGGAAGGTATACATCTAAACTGATTTTGTTTTTCAAAAAGGAAAGTTATAAGGTGAGCTTTTAAGAACCCATGATGGATTTTATTTAAAAGATCCTAGAATGTTGGTACAGTTAGCCATTCGCTTTTTCTGTCACTTGTTGAATTTGATTATTCAGTTGTAAAAGTTGTAGAATTTAAACTTTTTTCTCCTCTTTTTCAACTTTCTCATCCCAGTCCCAGTGGCCATGTGATGCGACCATCTTTCTCGTGCGTACAAATTGCTCTTATTTTTTAACGATAATATTATTTTTCTTATTGTATGTAATATCCTTCTGTTTCGCAATATAAACTATTTAAATTTTTTATTTTACTTTTACAATAGTTTATACTTTTAGCGTAGAAAGTTTCTCTAAAACATCATTTTGTACTATTTATTAATTAATTGTTGTCAACAAAAATATTAATCAAAAATAATTGTTGAGTTTTGCTCACATTTTATTTTTGTCACATGCAGGTGGGAGAGGAGATGGCGTCGCTCACAAAAATAGCATGCCCAATCGTGATGACATCACTCCTCATATTTTCGAGATCAATAATCTCAATGTGGTTCTTGAGTCACCTCGGAAAAGTCGAACTAGCTGGTGGTGCACTCGCCATGGGCTTCGGAAACATCACCGGAGTCTCCGTACTCAAAGGCCTTTCCGTTGGTATGGACCCAATCTGTGGGCAAGCCTTCGGAGCCAAACGCTGGTCCGTCCTAAGCCACACGTTTCAGAAGATGTTCTGTCTCTTAATTGTCGTCTCTATTCCCATCGCCATTGCGTGGCTCAACATCGAACCCATTTTCCTCAGGCTAGGTCAAGATCCTGATATAACCCGAGTTGCCAAAACCTACATGGTCTTCTTTGTCCCTGAGCTCTTGGCTCAAGCGATGCTCCATCCTCTCCGAACGTTCCTCAGAACACAAGGCCTTACGTCACCGCTAACGATATCCGCCATTGTCTCCATTCTTCTACATCCTCTCTTTAACTACGTCTTCGTTGTGCGTATGCGTTTAGGCGTCAAAGGCGTCGCGGTCGCAATGGCTTTTAACACTATGAACATCAATGTGGGACTGCTCGTTTACACGTGTTTTTCGGATTCTCTCATCAAACCGTGGGAAGGGCTAGCTTTGCGGACGCTTTTCCGTGGTTGGTGGCCGCTTCTTTCTCTAGCCGCACCAAGCGCCATATCTGTTTGTTTGGAGTATTGGTGGTACGAGATCATGCTTTTCCTTTGTGGGCTTCTCGGAAACCCTAAAGCGAGTGTGTCGGCGATGGGGATACTGATTCAGACCACGGGGCTACTCTACGTAGTCCCGTTTGCTATAAGCAGCGCCATTGCGACCCGTGTAGGCCACGCGCTCGGAGGCGGACAACCTACACGGGCGCAATGTACGACGGTGATCGGTTTGATACTCGCGGTAGCATACGGTTTATCAGCTGCTGTCTTTGTGACCGCGCTTAGATCGGTTTGGGGGAAGATGTTCACGGACGAACAGGAGATCCTAGGGCTGATTTCGTCCGCGCTTCCCATCTTGGGGCTTTGCGAGATCGGAAACTCGCCGCAGACAGCTGCTTGTGGAGTCTTGACGGGCACGGCAAGGCCCAAAGATGGAGCACGTGTTAACCTATGTGCGTTTTACATAGTGGGCTTGCCAGTGGCAATCACGACCACGTTTGGGTTTAAAGTTGGGTTTTGTGGGCTATGGTATGGACTGCTGGCTGCGCAGATGACGTGTTTGGTTATGATGCTTTATACGTTGATCCGCACGGATTGGACCCACCAGGTGAAGCGTGCGGCGGAGCTTACTTCTGCTGCAGCGGACAAAGGTCTATCGGAAGAAGAGACCATTCATACTGAAGTAGATGATGAGGATGATGATGTTGCTAGTAATGATCTGGAGATTGGTTTACTACAAAACACGAGATGACTAATCTAGACATGTTAAAATTTTCAGTCGATAATTTTAACGGATTGTTAATGACTTAGGACTTTTTTTTTTGCAAACTTAAAATACCGAAAATAGATTTCCATCCGCATTGTTAACCAATATTTTGGGATAGAGTCACAAACAATTAATTGGTTAAGCTTACTTTTATTAATATGTAAGCTATATATAGTATGGTTTAGTTAATCTATTTTTTTCATGTTTTCTTTATGTAAGTACTCAGAAGTATGTTGTAGTGAAGAACAGTTTGTGATGAATTAGTTGAATGTTTGATTCAAAGGACTATAAGCAACAATCCCGACTCGCTCCAAACCCACTCAACCATATGTGATGTACCTAACCTAACCGTTGTTTATTCTCTTTAATTCGACACGTTAATTATCATCACTTTACAAGGATATAATGATCTTTGTAATAATTTTCAAAAATTTGTATGTCTACTTTAGATAACTTGCTTCTTTATATCATTCTAGGTCAATGTCACTTAGATTTATTGCAATGTTTCATGGAATGTATTGCCATTTTTAACACGTATCGAGGTTCTTACACCTTAGCATTCGTATTTATATCGTAAACATTTATACCAGTGTACTTTATGCTCACACGTGTTTTGCCTATATACTAATGGCAATGTACTCTTCCATGCCCACACGTGTTGTGCATACATGTAATATATGTTGCATGAGGCATTTCGGTGCTTAATTTGCAAGTTTTCAACGACAATCTATGTCTCTTTAGGCACCGACGATAAATGAAACAGTAAAAAGGTTTTTTTTTGTTTGGTTGGTTCTTCTTAAACAGTAAATAAGATATTACACATGAATAGAAGGACATGAAACCACAAATAAATAAATATAAAACTTGTTTTGAAGCCATGTATAGTGGAGAGAGGTACTATGACTAATTTTTTAGATGATTTTTTTCTAATTTTTTTTTGAAAAATCATGGTGTGGTTTGTTATATGTAGATTATAAAAGTTTCAATGGAAATGTGTATTATCATCATATATTAATGCTGACTAAGAAAAACAGTGTTCTGCAGTGGCATGAAACGACCACAAACTACATCTACAATAACCAACTTCTATAAATCCTGATAAAATTAAAATTTACCTAATGGAGAAGAGAGTTGTACAAGTAAAACACTTAGTTTTACCCAAATATGATTAGAAATAGTTCTATGGAGCGACGATCGAAGTGATGGCTTTGGAAAACAAAGCCAAAATAATTGCACAATGTTCAAGCAACCGACAGTGACTCCATCCGACCCATGTGTCCTGCATTCAATTTTTTTTGTCAAAATTGTCCACATAATGACGAACCATCTACACTCTACGGTGTGGTAAGGCAGGACAAACCGACATATTCTCGTGGTTATCCTTACGGAGAAAATTTTGTAAATTGTAATGAAAAGTTAAAAAAATATAACTAAAATTTATTTATTTATATACTAAAATCATATTAATGATAGATAGGAAAAACATTGTTTTAGTCGAAATATCCTGGAATACAAAATATATTTCAAATTAAAGAAATCTCCAACTTTTTGTTGAATTAGTTTAAAAAATTGGTCTCAGGTTTTCTTTAGTAAGTTACTACGTTAAGATTTAAACATGGATCTCCACTGCCAAACAATAGATTTTGTTGATTTTACTACGTAAGATTATGGTCTTCGCATTATAAAAAAAAAACGTTACCACTAGGCCTTTTAACAAAAAAATTAAAAACGTTACCTCCAACGATGCTCTTGGATTGGTAGCTCTCAATATAGTATCTGCAATTTGTTTGAGAAAGATGAGAGTTTGGAACTAATTTTATCTTCTTTTTTTGACATGGAACTAATTAATTTTATCTTGTTTCCTGAAGAGTGAACTATTTTGTGTTATTCAAGCACATACGTATAAATTTAGATTTATATACTTACATGCATACATATTTGTTGGAAAAGGCAATTTATAGAGCATTACATCTCAGTAGCAACTAGCAAGCTTGTATGTATTTCGTTGGATCCGTGAAATCATATAGATTTCTTACCTGTTAAATCGTATATTCTGGTCTAAAAAATCGATGTTATGTTGGACAGATTGTGTCAAGGTCAAATACGGAGTAGATAATATTAATGAGATTTCTATGTAAAATAACAATTTATGCGTATCCACATCTATTATCATTTTCCCGTTTTGCTCTTACCACATCTATAAAATTTATGTCTTGAAAACTATGAAAATGCGAAAACAAGTACGTAGGTTGTCGAATGTAGAGGTTTCAGAAAATACATATATGTACGAAAATGTCAAAAGATGAAAGTAGGACCTCTACATTAAACGTAACCAACAACCAGCCAACCACTCCTTTCCTCTGGGTCACATTCACATTCATTTACATAAACTTTTCTTCTCTATATAAACACTCACTCCCCCAACACTCTTCATCACTCATCACTTCCACACATTATCTCACTTTGCAAACCAATAAAAAACCACTAATCAAAACTAAGATAAAAATGGCTGGAGCAATGAAGTTGGCATGCTTGGTCTTGGCCTGCATGATTGTGGCCGGTCCAATAGCAGCGAACGCCGCTCTGAGCTGTGGAACCGTTAACGGCAACCTGGCACCGTGCATTGGCTACTTGACTCAAGGTGCACCTCTTCCCCAAGGGTGCTGCACTGGCGTTGGTAGTCTTAACCGCCTGGCTCGTACAACCCCCGACCGTCAGCAAGCTTGCCGTTGCCTTCAGGGAGCCGCTAGAGCCTTAGGCTCTAGTCTCAACGCTGGCCGCGCAGCTGGACTTCCTAAGGCATGCCGAGTCAGTATTTCTTACCCAATCAGCACCAGCACCAACTGCAACAAGTATGTCTTAATCTCTCTCATCACTCTCTTTTACTATCACTCTAGATGAAAACCTAAGTATATATTGTAAAGGTTTTCTTGTTAAACAAAAACTCGACTGTTTTAATTATTTACTATTTACTTTTTTATGTTTTTGGTAATATTTTATATGGAAATCAAAATCACGATTTGGGGTCTTTCCGGTTCAAACATGTTTAAATGGAAGTTTAAGGTTTTATCTAAACACAACAAGTATATATTACTTCAAAAGTTGGAAAATTGAGTTTTGTAATAACGATTTGATACATTAATTTTATACAGTATATTAGGAATATATGAGTTTAACGAGGGAAAACCGATTTGAAGGCTTCAAATGCATGTTAAAACTTTTGATGAAAATTTTGAGATTTTGTATTAAACGGTCTAATGTTTGAATGGTTGTGATTGCAGCGTGAAATGAGCGGCAGCGGTCGGATGAAGCTTCAACGGATGTTTCGAATGTTAAAAAATGGATGAGAGAGTATGTAATAATAAAATGTTCGAATGGCTGTTTTGAGAGTTTTTAATTTCCTGTTTGTGATGGCGATCTTAGTAATTGGTCGTCTGTGTACTATGTTTGTAAGCCACGCTATATGAATTTCAGCTTTGAAGTTAACGTTATTCTGCTATATTCTTAACTAAAGGCTAAAAGCTTATCGATAGGAACAAATTCACTAGCTTCCTTTTTATTGAGACGAACAAATTCATTAGATTATTAGTTTAGTTTCAGCGATACGAACAAATTCCTTAATTAGTTGCCGAGTAACTGAGCATTTTAATATGACAGAAGATTAAGTAACAGGACACTCTCCAATCTTGTACTGTTTAGAGACAACCGAGAAAAGGACCAATCTTGCCTTCATAGTTGACAGTTTTATATATCTAGATTTTGAAAAGATAATGTTAAATTATAGGCAATCGAAATTAGTACTTAGTATTTGCAAGTGTTTGGCGTAATAACTGCATTTCTCCATCACCTTACTTGGAATTTTTGTATGATTCTGCATTAAATTCGTCACTTCTGCTTTGCAATTCGTCATTAATATGGATGGTAGCTACTAGACATATGGTGGTCTTTTACTCTTCTTTCTCTTTGGTCAAAGATGGTTTAATAATTGTTTTTAAGGGTTTAGTTTTTGGATTTTACAAATTACAGATACAAATAACTACAACAAGAAAATAAAGCCCATAGATAAACAGAATAATAGCCTAGTTAAACCCTCCTAATGGGCCTGGCTTAACAACAATCCTAAACCAGAGAAACTGAAAAACCGGTTTTAAACCTGGAGACCCTTTAACCCTAGTAAAAGAAAACGAGATCTCTCAAGTCGCCGTCATCTAGATTTCTTTTTTTTTATGGATTTAATTTAGTTTAATACTAATAAATATTTTAACCTTTTTCTTAATAGAGATATGTAAATTTTGCCGGACACCAAAAAGGACTGTATACAGTTTTGCAGGACACCAAAAAGGAGTGTAAATTTTGTAAGTGTATTCATCCCCAAATTTACCAAAACAGAAATCCCACTGATGAGACTACATACAATATTTCAACTATGAAAACAATTACACAATATTAAAACAAAGAAAAAACTAAAGGAGTACGTACGCTGATAAATTATGAAATTGTAAACTTGTATAGTATTTTACTATTTTGGTAAAAATCTCTCATTTGATCAAATAAAGTTAGACTAAAATATGTAAGAAAATAGATGAGAGGTCCACCGTCCCTACGTAATGTGAACCTCGAGATCTACAATAAACGAGACCATTATTAAAAACTGGCCAGCTACTTTTTTCCTCCTAGATCTATCGCATTGACATTTAAACATAAACAAACCTTCACTCATCTCTATATAATCACTCCCTCTCCCCACTCTCTACATCACACAGATCTGCTTTTGCAAACCCACCCAAAACAAAAAACAAACAAACACTAATCCTAAAGATAAAAAAATGGCCGGAGCAATGAAGTTGGCATGTTTGGTCTTGGCCTGCATGATCGTGGCCGGGCCAATCACAGCGAATGCTTTGACCTGTGGCGTTGTTTTCAGCACCTTATCACCGTGCCGCTTCTACATGAGCAACGGTGGTCCACTTCCCCCAGCGTGCTGCGCCGGCATTAGGAAACTTAGAGCCATGGCCCGTACGACGACAGACCGTAGACAAGCTTGTACTTGCATTACACAAGCCGTTAAAGCCTTCAACTCCAAGGGTTCCCGTGCAGCTGCACTTCCGAGTAAATGCGGAATTAATCTTCCTTACAAATTCAGCTCCGCGACCAACTGCAAGAAGTATGTGTTAATCTCTCACTATACATGAAACTTACGTTTTATTTAAGTTTTTTTTTTTTCTTTTTCATAACGGAAGCAAAGAGCATGATATCTCTTACTCTTACGGTTGGAAATTTGATTTTTTACTATAGTAATGATTTTATGCTGTATGAAAAGGTCTTTTCAAATGAGAATTCGAGTTTTTTTTGTTCCTTATAGAAACAGAAATCTTATATTAACGGACTATGGTTGTTTTTGCAGTGTGGCATGAGCAGATGTCGGATGAAGCGTTAGGGGCCGGGCATTTTCGAATATTAAAAAAATGGATGAGGGAATATAAATTAAGATGCTCCAATGGCTGTTTTCGCTAGTTTTCAAGTTTCTGTCTTCTTTTTCTTTACTATGGCAATGTCGCTTTACTATGGCAATGTCGCTTTGTACTATTGTTGCAAAAAACATTATATGAAGTTTCTGTTGGATCCGTGTTAATCGATGAGTAACTAGTCACAAGATCTTTGAGCTTCTTAGCGAAATGTTATCCTGTTTATAAAAAAAATAAAAGAGCTAAAGAAGTAGTAATTAAAGTAAAGAATGGTAAGTGTTAACTAGGATGGAAAAGGAATGGACTGAACTAAAGTTGTTATATATCAAAAAAATTAAATACAAAGTTCATGTATACAGCCAATTTTAGCTGGTATTTGTGAGTATTTGGTGTATCCACATATCTCGGAGAAATTTTCTCCATTACCTTTGACAATCTACGGTTTAGAACATGTTGAAAAAAGTAGAAGTCATTGTAAAAGGATACTGAAAAAGAAAAAAGTTTGAGCATGTGGATTATTCGACTGGTTGAAAATAAAGAGGGTGGGGACAAATCAAGCACCACATGCACGAGCAAATCAAGCGCCACATGACACGAGCACATCAATGATACCCATGATACACACGATGAAAAAGTTTATTGTTTCATAATTTTATATTTTATTTTAGTTATTTATGACTAATTATAAATCATTTTTAAAGAACTAAATTTATACCAAAATATATAATTTTTTATACTGTGCAAATAAAAATTTGGTTCATCTGATTTAAATACAAAAAAAATCCTTGTTTAGAGTTTTTCTATTAATGATTTTATGTTTTATTTAAGTGTTTTTTTTTTAATAATGGGAGCAACTAGCACGATTTAAAGTCTTACTGTTGGTATTTAGGATTTTTTATATTTCCTGTACGAATTTTCAAATGAAAATTCTGAGTTTACTCTTATAAAAACAAAACCTTTATATCAACCGATTATGGTTGGTTATGCAGGGTGATATGGTATGAGCGGCCGTCGGATGAAGCGTTAGGGAACATTTCGAATATTATGAAATGGATGAGAGAATATTAAATAAGATGCTCGAAATGGTTGTTTTCGCGAGTTATTTTAAGTTTCTGTTTCCTTTTTCTTTATTAGATGTACTAAGTGTTATTATGGCGATGTACTACTTTCGCGAGTATCAATTTTTTTCTGTTGGATCGTGTTAATCGATGAAACAGTCCACTTGAAACTACCTACATTGCAAAGAATCCCTTTAACAAACTCAAATGAGTCCACTTAATGTCAATGCGATGATGATATATCAGTGCAATACTACGATGCTGTATAGATCTTGCAAATACCAATAGTGTCACAGAACTCTACTCACATTTTGTTTTTTAGCTTTATTAATTGTTATATTTTTCCTTTTTGCATTTCATGGCAGTATTTTATCTTCTTGCTTTCTGGGGATGGAAGAAAGATTCCCTCTTGGCAAATGAAATTGATATAATGACAATATATTTCCACATTTTATTTTTATAAGAACTTAGGATGAAATTACTTTATTATGTATACACAGTTACGTACTAGTCGGCATTATTGAGATAAGTTTGGAATACTAGGGGATCCAATGAAAGTCGTCAACGACAGCATCCTTTTGTCATTATCATAAACAAAAATGATTTATCTTGTTCTTGTGCTAATGCTCTTTTTTGATGATTACAAATATCACGAATATAGGGTGTGAATGATGATCATATTAGAGCAAAAAAAGCAGGTGGAATTTCACTTTTACTCCATTTTTTCTACTGTTAGTCAAATCAAGTGGAAAAAAGAAGAATAGATTTACACCCAATTACTTAACATTTAACTTTATCTATTACTCTATTTTTTAGAGTAAGCCATTTTTTTCACTCACTTGCTATAATTATCAATTTTATTATATCCAATAAAATAGCTGAGAGGTCCTACATAATGTGAACCTCGAGATCTACATCAATAGCCGCCCAGCTCCTTGTTTCCTCTAGATCTATCACATTGACATTCATAACCTAACATAAACCTTCAGTCATCTCTATATAAAACACTCACTCCACAAACTCTCTACATCACACACATCTGCTTTTGCAAACAACCAAAAATCACTATAAATAAGAGAGTATGGCTGGAACAATGAAGTTGGCATGCTTGGTTTTGGCCTGCATGATTGTGGCCGCCTGGCCGGTCCAATCACAGCGAACGCTTTGACTTGTGGCGACGTTTTCACCAGCTTGACACCGTGCGTTACGTACTTGCGCATCGGTGGTTCCATACCCACAACGTGCTGCTTCGGCCTTAGAAGCCTTAAAAACGCGGCCCGTACGACCCCGGACCGTCAGACAGCTTGCAAATGCCTTAAACAAGCCGCTAACTCCTTTGGCAGTGTTAGCCGTAGCAATGTTGTAGATTATGTTCTGTATCCTATGTAAATACTCTTACTCTGTGCCTTATCGGATATGAAGTTGGGTTAGCCGGTTTAGGCGTAACCGAGATTAGATGTGTTGGTTAATACACATTTGGGTAGATCTAATTGTACCGACTAAGTATAAAGTCGTATTAGGATCAGGAACCCAGAATAAGATCGGAGAGGGATCATCTATGTAACGGATCGGGTTGAGAGAAGAGAGAGGCACAGAGTGAGAGATCGTCGAGCTCAATTTTGAGGCTCCGCTCTAGTGGAAAAGTTGCCAGGCGTTGCCGTGCCCCAGGAGAGTACGCAAGGAACTCCTGGGTTACCAAAATTCTCTGTGTTGATTTTATCTTGTTTCTTCTTCGTTCTTCTTTTATCGCATCAAATCCGGGAAGAGAAAGAATCTAGATTTAGGAGATAAATCTTGGTCGATTCTTCAACAAATGTTGACCGTGCATTTGGACTTCCTAGTGCATGCGGAGTCGCTATTCCTTACAAAATCGACCCTAACACCGATTGCAGCAAGTATGTGCTACTCTCCCACTATATATGTAAATTAAAAGTTCGTTTAGAAAGAAAAAAGGAGTATAGATTATAAATGTTTTTTGTTGAATGAAAACTTGAGTTTTTATATCAAAGTTTTTTTTAAATGTTTTTTCATACTAGAAATAGAGAGCATAATATGAGGTCTTACCGTTGGAAATTTGAATTTTTACCATAATGGTTTTAAGCTGTCGGAAAAGGTTTTTTCAGATAAAAATTTGAGTTTTTTCCCTTAAAAACATAAATCTCACATTAACGGTTACCGTCGTCTTTGTTTGTGGTTGCAGGGTGGTATAAGCTGCCGTCAAATGAAGCTTTGGCGGACGTTTTTCGAATATCATGAATGGATGAGAGAATATAAAATAAATAAATAAGATGCTCGAGAATGGCTGTTTTCGAGTTTTTTACTTTCTGTCTTTCTTTCTTTTATTATGGCGATGTTGTGTTTGCAAAAATCGTTATATGAATTTTCTGTTGTGGATCCGTGTCAATCGATGAGTAACCATCTGAGGAATATATATATATATATATATATCAACTAAAATTTACTCTGATTAATTCATCATATATTGTGGAATATTAAACTTAAGACTTAAGAGACAAGTGTATTTTAAGTGTTAACGAGTTTGGCTGCGGTGTGATTAGCCTACATGACTACATCTCGCCAAGAACGGTGTTCGGAAATTCACTATCATCAATGAGTTACACCAATAGATTACAACATTATAAACACTGCATAATATTTACCAAATATTGACATGTTCATCTCGTATTCTTCCATGTAGCTCTCATCCTTGTTGTCCCTAAAATCTCTGGCCTATGTATTCATTTAACCAAGAGATGAGATTAGCACCTTGAGACATCTTCCTGCCTGCGTCACGCTATTCCCCTTGCAGTCTGTCACGCGATCATCTCACATGGTCTTACACTCTTACTTCTGCGGCCAGCACGCAAAACATCTCCTCCAACCCAGCTCAAAGCCATTACACGACTTCTTTAGCCGTTTTGGAGACCATGGCAACTAGCTAGTAACAAGATCTCTGAGTTTCTTAGCTAAATTTTTACATTTTTGTTGGCCTCTTCTATATATATAATTAGGTTTACCCCAAACAAGTAAAGTAGTAAATAGTGATAAGTATTGACTAAAAAAGAAAAGGATGGATTGAACAACAGTGTTTAGTTGGTATTACTATTTGGAAGTGTTTGTTGTATATGCATGCATTTCTCGGAGAAATTTTCTCCATTACCTTACATGGAGTTATTTTACGATCGATTGTGCTTTAAATGCTGCAGTTCTCCATATGCACGCTCTAACTAGTTTATTATGCATAGTAGACAGGTGGTCTTAAACTCTCAATGGTGTATAATCTATTTTAATTAATATAACTACAGTATCTAACTTTTGTTGGAACTACCAAAATCGACCACAAATTTCGTAACCATGGTTAACATCTGAGTCGCCCTACGTAAGTCACATGAGTCATATATACTTGAATTTCCACAAGGAAAGGGATTGCCTTTGTTTTCGATCAGGTTGCGTCTAATTTCATATACAAGTGTTTACGTATTTTGTTGGATCCCAACCAAATTTTTTTCCTTGTATCTGCTAAATCATATTCTAGCAGGTAATATATATCCTGTCTAAAAGATAACCGATGGCATATTTCCTATTATGTAAAGATATTGAATATATGATTTCATGAGATAATTAGAGAGATAAATATCCAGTTATATTTATACGCAAAAAGTAACGATTTGCTTATCCACATACTGTAAATAGTTACCAAAATCATTAAAAACAATGAATATGCAAGAAAGGAGTACGTACGCTGATAAACTATGAAATTGTAGTATTTTACTATTTTGGTAGGATTTTCTCATTTCAGAAGATAAAGTTGGATTAAGAAAATAGACGAGAGGTCCCTACATAATTGGAACCTTGATCTACATTAAATGAGACCAATAACCTGCCAACTACTTTTTCGCTCCATTGCATTGACATTCATGAGAGAAACCTTCTCTATATAAACACTCACTCCCTCAACTCTCTACATCACACACACATCTGCTTTTGCAAACCTACAAAAAACACTATAGCTAATAGAAAAATGGCTGGAGCAATGAAGTTGGCTTGCGTGTTCTTGGCCTGCATGATTGTGGCCGGTCCAATCACAGCGAACGCCACTCTGACTTGTGGCACTGTTGTGACCAGCTTGTCACCGTGCCGTGGCTACTTGACCCTAGGTGGTCCCCTTCCCAGAGCGTGCTGCACCGGCGTTAGTAGCCTTGAAGGCTTGGCCCGTACCACACCGGACCGTAGGATAGCTTGCAGTTGCATTAAACAAATCGCTCTAGCCACAGGTGCCAATCCTGTCCGTTCAGCTGGACTTCCTAGAGCATGCAAAGTCACTGTTCCTTACCCAATCAGCGCCAGCACCGACTGCAGCAAGTATGTGTAAATCTCTCACTATATATGTAAATTAAATTTTAAAGAAAGAATAAAATGAGTATATAATATCAAAAGTGTTTTGTTAAATGAAAAACTTGAGTTTTTATATTAAAGGTTTTCTCATAATGACAATAAAGAGCACGATTTGAGGTCTTACCGTTGGAAATATGAATTTATACAATAATGGTTTTATGTTGTAGGTCTTTCAAATAAACTTTTTGGGTTTTACCCTTACAAAACGAGTAATCTCATATTAACTGTCTTTGGTTGTGATTGTAGGGTGAAATGAGCGGCCGTCGGATGAGCTTTAGGGGCGCTTTTCGAATACTATAAAATGGATGAGAGAATAAGATGTTCGAATGGCTATTTTGCGCGAGTTTTTTAAGTTTATGTCTTCTTTTCTTTATTATGGCGATATATCGCTCGTACTATGTTTGCAAAAAAAAACTATATGGATTTTCTGTCGTTGATCCGTGTTAATCGATGAAAACCCGTCTAAGGACTCCTATCAACTACTTACACTGATTCATCAATTATTGTGGAAAAACAAACCTAAGAGACAAGTGCGTATTAACGAGTTTGGCAACGGTGTGATTAACCTACGTACACCTTGCCATGAACGGTATATTCCTCAATCCGCAATTCACTATTCTCAATGAGTTACACCAAAAGATTACACCAATATACATATAAATCATTAAACACTGAACAATCCTTTCCAAAAATCTCTCTCACCTGTATACTCTTTTAACCAAGAGACAAGATTAGGTTTCTCCATACCTTTCTTGTCTTTACAACCAAGCTCCACCTTGAGATTTCTTCCTGTTCACGCTCTTCCTCTCTCTCTCTCTTGCCTTGCAGTTCCATTACGCGATCATCTCACACGTACGGTCTTACATCTCCTCCAAGCCAGCACAACGCCATCACACGGTTTCTTTAGCCGTGTTGGAGACCACTGCAACTAGTCACACGATATTTGAGCTTCTTAGCTAAATTTTTTATCTCTTCGTTAGCCTCTTCTATATGATTGCCTGATTGGGTATTTGGGTCTACGGTCTACCCCAAACAAGTAAACAGTGTTAAGTGTTAACTAAGAAAGAAAAGGATGGAGTATGTACATATCAAAAAAAAAAAAAAAATATAGATATATAAAGTTAATTTATATGGCAGTGAAATTTAATTTAGTTGGTATTTGTAAGTGTTTGGTGCATATGCTTTTCTCGGAGAAATTTTGTCCATTACCATACATATGGAATTAGTTTATGATTGTGCTTTCAATGCTTCACTTCTGCTTATGCAAGCTGTAATTTAATATGGATATGCAGTAAACAGGTGGTTAAACTCTTAAATGGAGTATAAACTAGTAGTATTTTAATATAAATATTTAAATATGCAACTTTTGTTGGAACTGCCAAAAACTACCACAAATTTCGTAACCATGGTTAACATTTGAGTCGCCCTACTCTCATGACTTACGTGGACGGTGGACCACGTGATCCGTCCGTTTAATTTAGGATTTAAAATTATCGTTCACAAAAAAATAAAACTATGGTTAACAACTAAACATATTTTTTTATAACGAATTCTTTTTAGTTTTTGGAAAATACTGCAAACAAAAATTGTTGAAACTAAAAAAAAAAAAAAAAAAATTGTTGAAACTGGTTATCGGCGAGTGCGAGGCCAATTTGCCACAGATTAATCAGGAAAATTTAATCTGGTGTGCCACAACATGATCTAATGCCATTTTTCTTTTTAATTTAAATTAAAATCTATGTGAAATTCCAATTTACTCCTTAATGAAATCTGATTAAAAAAATAATTTTAGAAAATAAAAAAAATCAGTTTAATAAAATAAAAGAAAACCAAATCATTTTAATAATAAAAAAGTTTCGGATAAATTAAAAAAAAAAAAAACTGATTCACTTTCTTCTCCCGTCGACATTTGTTTCGGTGAAGCTCATGCCGGCGGCCCGGCATAGATCCGCCATTACCTGATCACCTCCATCTCTACCTCATTCTCTTTCTTCCTGCAATTGATTTTTTCTCTCTTTCACCATTGTTAAAGCTTCAAGAGGTAAGCTTTTCTTCTTCCTTAATCTATAAATTTATTTTGGGATTCACAATTTAGAGTTTGGATATTAAAATTGGTTGTTTTAGTGGGTTGATAACCATATTTTCTGGATATATTAAGGTTTTGATGCAATAATTTGTCGATTTTAGTTGTTAAATCATAGTGATTCTCAGGTAGATTGAACCAGAAATTGCCATAGCTGCATGTACAACTGGTACAAATGGGTACAACTGACAAATAGTGTACAACTGGTACAAATGGGTACAATTGAGAAATAATAGACAACTAATGCAAATGGTATAATTGTGCAATATGAATTGATTGTTAACTGAATATTTTTATTCTATTTTTCAGGAGGTAATGAACAACAACCGTTCCACAAACATATATTTTGGTTATGGAGGATACTAATCAAAAACTATATGAGTATCAATGGATTGAAGAGAATATCACATTTACCAAACATAATCTATGGAAAAGATAACTTACTTGATGTTATTGGCGAATTACTCTCAAACAAAAAAATACATTTTAGTTTATTTTTGTAAGTGATGTAAATTTAGTATTCATAACACATTTATGTTATTTGTCGTGATACAAGAATTTCTGATTCTTGTCATGTATATGTATTTTTTGGATTTGCATTTACTTATTTTTCACTACTAGGTTAAATTTGGTTTAACTATGAATAATTATGGATTTGTATTTGTTGGTTTTGTACTACTAGGTTAAATTAAATATAACTAAAAATTATTGTCAGTTTGTATTTATCATATTTCTATTTGTATTTTTACTTTTGTTATGTATTGAATATAATTATATTGTTTAAATTATGTTTGACTTTTAGAGATTGGTTCTGTTCAAGTATGTACAAATGTTCAGGTTCTACGAGGTTCAAGTACGTACAAATGTTGAAGGTCATGTGTTTGTGTTTCCAGATATTTATTTCATGTATGAACGTGGACATCTGAATGTGGACGTATTTTGGTTTCTCATTCACTTTGTACAACTGGTTCACATTGGTTCGACTACTCGGAACTAAATATTTATAACCAATAAATACTAAATAAATATCTTTATGATATGCAATTTAGACAATTAAGTAAGATAAATACATGTTCATGTCTTAGTAATTAATAAAAAGATCAATAAATTGGAATTATAAAATTATGGTAGCAGATAATGGTTTAGTCATAAGTACCCTTTACAATATATGGAACATATAGGTAATATGTCTACAATATGAAGCAAATTAACAACAATATTAGATTCCTTTTAAATGATGATATAAACATGTTTAGAATGATAAAAGAGTATCAAATATCAGTTGTTCAACTGTATCATTACAAGCTAGATATGGTTCAACTACAAATACACAAAAATCGCAGATGTTCAACTATTACCAATTTTGGTTCCACTGTTGGCAAGGGTACAACTATGTGGTTTTTGGCAGGGCCACGTTTTTTTTGGCGGCGCCACGTCAAAAATGTTATTTATTTTTTTTTTTTTTTTTTTAATTTAATTTTTTTAAAGCAAAATTATAAAATGTTCTTAGTTGTACGTAAACAAACTCAGTTGTACCATATCATATCATTACAATCAATTACTCCTATTCTATATGTGATGACAACCAATTCTTTCTTTTGCTTTGACCTACACATAACCATTATTAGAATTATATGTTCTGTTTTAATAACTGAAAAAGAAGAGCAAAAAACAATTTCTCTTGTTGTATTGGTTGTGTATCAACATCTTTATCCTGCAAATTCAAACAATTTTAGTTAATAGTTGAACCTAGTAATACGTAGTTGAACCTAGTTATGAACCTAGTAATACGTAGTTGAACCTAGTAATATTTTCTTGAAAAACTGAAACTGAAAAGAATATGCAGACAGAACACGTAAAAAAGCAAAAGTGATCCATAAGTTCTTTTGTTCACATGGGATTTATGATGCTAAAATCGACAATCCTTATACATTCTCCAATTGTTCAATGATCCAAAAGCACTCAAGAGGAATCAAAAACAAATGAAAAGGGAGAAAAAGATTTGAGACAACTACTGATGAACGAGGAAGAAGAAAGAGTGGACTTGTTTGAGTTTGAGAGATGAGTGGTGAAGAAGAAGCGGTGGAAAAAGACAGTGACATATTCTTACTAAACCTCTTTGGCAAAGAAATTGAATTTCATAAACCAAAGATTGAGCAAGTTCTCATAGCTGAAAGAATCATGGTGTTCGGATTCAATACCCTACGGATACCAAAGCCAATTTCATTTCAATGAGTGAATCTCTGACATTCGGAGCCGAGGAGGCGAGGAAGCGGAATAGAGAAGAAATGGATTTAGTAGACGATGCTTGAAGTATCTTCAACACCAACATATCAGTTTGTACAAGAGGAGAACAAATACAATAAACCGTCTATAGGACAACGGCGGAGGTTCCTTTAATGGTGAGAGCAGTCGCGATTGGCGGCGTGGCGTAAGTGCTTAGCCAGATTTTGGAGACCAATTTGCCAAATCCTTCGATGTTATGTATATATCTGAGCCCCCCAATGACAAAGCAATGAAGTAATGGAAGAATGAACATCAAAATTCTCACATTGGGAACTATTGACTCAGATCCGAAAATAGAGTAATGGAAGCGATGGAGAAAATAGAGTAATGGAAGCGATGGGCTTTGAGCTGAGAAAGAACACAATTTCTCAATGGAGAAAAACGATTCTTCTTTTACTAATTCCCTTGAACACATGGATTTCTGGTTTGTTAGACAAATCTGGAAGAAGAAGAAGCATTCTTCGTCGAGAAGAAGAAGAAAGAAGAAAAATAATGATTTTTTTTTTAATTGTAATTTTTTTTTAAATTAATTTTGACCCAAATTCAATGGATAGATAACGGATCGGGTGGATATAGCTGGTTGGGTCTGTAAATAGTTTAAGTTGTTAAGGACTTTGTTGTATTTGCTGAGCTTTTCAATTTAAAATAAAATGAAAAAGAAATTAATATTAGGAGTGTGGCAAAATGGCCTCTGGTTCGACAATTTGTGGCAAATTAGCATTTCTTTCGTTATCGGCTCACTAACCGGACAAAGACGGTTTAGCTCGATTTGGGATTAAGAAGATTGGTTCAACTGAGTTTTTTCTATCGACTCTCAAACGTGAGATATTATTTTTAAAAAGCCCCCACACGCTTCAACTCTTTAGGTATTTTCCAAATGCTCCGACGTCGTTTTCCGAATATCTTTTTCTTGCGTTTTCAGTCCTTTGGAAATTCCTTGCTTCGTAGTTGAATCATTCGGAACAACACAGCTCAGCTCCCTGAATCCCTAAGCAGCAAAACTCTCTCTTCCTCTCTAAAATCTCTTCGCTGAGTACTCATTTCATCAGGCGATGAGTATCCCAATGGAGTTGATGTCGATCAGAAACCCTAATTCGAGCTTGCTCTACAGAGCTCACTCTCGTCCGCCGGTGACGCAGTGTGCTTCGCGTCCTCTCCGTTCCCAGCTCCTTCCGAGTCGACGCCAATTCAGTGCTCAACAGTTTACTAGAGCTTTCGTTTCTTGTACAGGGCTACAACGTCTCGGGTTTAGCTCAGAGCTCATGCTTAATCGCTCCGTCGTTGCTTTCGCTGCATCCCACGAGGAATCGGTTAGTAGAGATTCTGCTCAAAACTCCTTATTTACATGTTTATTACTCCGAAATTTTGATCCTTTTATCTTGAAATCTAGCTTGATGCTCGAAAATGTGTGGATTAGGATTAGCAATCAAGTTTAGGAAATGAAAATCTATGAACTTTATGTTTGATTTCTTCTAAAGAAACGATTTTTATGTGAATTTGTTGTCTTGATTAAGCAATTTGGGTTTAAAAATCTTCACTTTTTGTGTGTTTTGACTAAAGTTGGCTGTCAAATGACAGTTTTTGTTATGATGATTGATTACCTTTTGAACAGGAACAGTCAGGAGTTGAGGTGGAGAAGGAGAAGAGAGATGTAGATGGTGAAGGTGATACATCTCAGGAAGCATGGAAGCAAACTGTTGCGTCATTCAAAGAGCAGGTCACAAAGATGCAGAGCGTGTCATCGGAGGCGTACACTGTCAACTCCCAAAAAGCAATGACAATCTTGAAAGACACTTCTGAGCAACTCAGGGTTCAAGCGGAGAAGGCGAAAGAAGAATTGGGTACAAAGGCGAAAGTTGTTGGTGAGGAAGGTAGAGAGTATATCTTGAAAGCTGCAGAGGAATCACCTTCAGATGTGAAAGAGATTGTTGAAGCGTTTGCCTCCACTGAGGATTTGAAAGATGTGTCTCGTACTCAAGATTTTCATGTTGGAATACCTTATGGTAAAACATTTATTTATATATCTTTTTCTTGTTTTAAGACTTTCAGGGTGCGTAATTGGATGATAACAAGTGTCTTACTTTACAGGTTTGCTTCTGGTTGTGGGCGGTTTTATTTCCTTTATGGTATCCGGAAGCATTGCGGCTATTAGGTTTGGGGTCATTCTTGGTGGAGCTCTGTTTGCACTGAGCCTTGGAAGTCTAAAGTCTCAGAGGAAAGGAGAATCATCTGACAAGTTCTTTAAAGGACAGATGGGTTAGTAAAACCATTGTGATTTGTCCAGTTTTGGTTTGAAATTAGATATAAAGCAAAGTTGTTGACAGTCATTTGTTTCATGTTCTTATGTTTAACAGCTATTGTGGCAATCATATTTTTGAGGGAGCTGAGGTTGATACTATCTCAGGTGAGTTGATTATATTTCGATATATGTCATTTGTTTGAGAAATGGCTGTGAATGAAACATAATTCACTCTCCTTTTTTCTCTTTCTACAGAGATCATCGTTCATGGGTCTTTTGACCACCCTTACAAGGTACACACTAAAACCAATTACACATGTGGAAGCTTCGTACTGTAGTTGATAGCAAGATGTAGATTTAGTCATACTTAACACATTTAGCCAGAATTAGTTCCTAGATTCAAATTTTCCATGAGGAAAAGAAAACACACATTGCATATAATGATTGACTACGATTTACATCAGAAGAAAGAGAACAGCTTAAATTTTGTTGGATTGCTGTTGCAGTGGTGGTGTGTTGGCGTTTTACGTGTACAAGCTGGTGAGCAAGAGAGAAACGGGACCAACCTTGGAAGAAGATGGAGGAGAAGATGAATCAAGCGATGGGGTTGTAAGAGGATAAAGAAATGGTAACATGAGCATCCTGTGTTATGTTATCTTGATGTCCTAACACTTACGTGTTTCTTTAAGCTGTGTACAATTTTTGAGATCAATCATCATCTTCTATATCATTCCGTGTATTTGGATTGGTGAATTATTTTACGATATAATCAACAACAATAAAAGGGTTTAGGCCCATCTGGATGAAGAAGAAGAAATATAAAAAAGTGACTAGTTTTACACCAAAGATAAAAGTTGGCAGGACTAAAACAAAATCCATCTATGAACTAATCATACAGTTTGATAGGTTTCAAAAGTCCATATGATCAGGTCCGGTAGTGTTGGGTTGGCTGTCCAAAGGCATGTACTGTGCCATGATCGCCCGAATCTCCGAGTCCATGTAACTCTGCACGTACGTAATAACATATGTTTCTTTTGGTTAGAAAATATACTTCACTTATTAATATCTAGATCGATAGAGACACCAAAATCGTCAGTCTTTTATGAAGCAAACCATTACCCTGATTCTGTATTTGTAGATGGCATATGCTGAAAGACTCGCGGCAGCTAATGCAAGTACGAGAATCCACAGAGAGCTCCAGCTTAGTTTCGTCGCTCCAAATTTTCCTGATCATCAAAAGAATTTAGGTTATAGTGAGAGTGAGTGGGAGTTTCTTAATGGCAACATTGTTAAGGTCTTATTTTGAAATATGAAAGAATTGTTTACCAATGCAAGTATCATGCTCACGCATGTAAAGCAAACCCTTCCCGCAGCTGCATTCAAAACTTCCCCATGTGTTTTTGCATTTACATTCAGGACACTGGCAAGCTAGTTTCTCTTTGCACTCATCCACATCTGCCAAATGCAAACAGAACAAGAACAACCGAGCAAAGATGAATGTGAAATCGATATCTAAAGTTCCAATCGTAATCACATTAAGATAATAGTAAATAGTCCTTCACATGTACCTTCACAGCTCTTTACTCCATCTCCCTTAAACCCTGGTGGGCATTTGCAGCCACTTGAATGATCATCCTAGAAAACCCCATTTTTTTCAAAAAAGTGTTTCTTTAAAGTTTCATGGAAATGATTGTAAAGATATTAGTCGTTGGCAATGTCAGATTACTTACATGGCAAGCAGAGTATGTATAGCCACCTCTGGTTTCTCTCCAGCATCCTCCATTGTTGATTCCACAGTGCATAGGTCCAGAAGCTGTCCACACGTACACATTTGGAAATGAATATTCTAAAACAAACCTCAAGAGCCTTTTGTGAACAATGCTCTCCATCGCAATAGTCTTTACTTTTTTGCTTGGTCAAATGATTAAAAGTGGATTACACGTTAGCTACCAAAATGTCAAACTTAACAGAGTAAAAACCAATTTACCTTTGCAATGAGTGTAACCATCACCAACGAATTTGACACCTTGAACAGTAGGGCACTCACACAGTCTTCCCCTAAAAGTATCCTAAAATATCGAATTCAGAACAAGGGTAATATCAATCAAAATCACCAGCAACAACAAAAACCAAAAAATCAAAACAAAAAGAAGAAGATCAAGCTCAAGTGTATACCAGGCATGCAGTAATGTTAGCATCTTTGTCTTGCCAGCACCCACCATTGTTTTCTAAACACTCATTGGTTTGTTGATCTACAAAACACACAATAACAACTTTTAACTCCTCCAAGTTATTAAATATTTAAGATTTCTGCAGATTTTAAAGAGGCACTGTGAATATTGTGGGACATTGACCTTCAGTTAAACATATTGCTGGTTCCGTTGTCTCTTGAAAACCGGCACATAAAGCTTTGAGCACTGCTCCTTTCTCCAACTTACCTAAGACCACACAAAACAAAAAAAATGAAACAGAAACAACAAAATCAAGAAGATGCTTTAAGTAATAACTTAAACTAATCAGGTACCTCTGTATTGCCTGTTGTTCACCACAAGTGTTGGGAGGATAGTCACGTCTCCACGAGTACCTTTGCCTATCTGAAAATATATTACAAATCCATAATAATGAGCTTACGTTAGTTACAAGCCACTTGTCTCCAAAAAACACAGAACAAACCTGTGACTCCTGCTCTGCTTTAAGAACTGGATTCTCCACATCAGCTTCAGTGTCTCCAATACACTTATCTACCTTCTTGAGATCAATACCTTAAACAAAACCTAAAATTAGTAAAACTATTTAGGAAACAATAAAGGCTAATAAAGCAATAAATAAACTCACCAAGCGACTTGATAACTTCATCAGCACACTCCTTTGTATACTTCTTCTCTTTCATAGGACACCGGAGAGAAAAATCAGTCACATAGTCCCACCACATCCAAGCCTTACCAGTCTCATTAACAACTCTATAAACACAAGCCTGCCTTAAATTCTGAACAACAACATCTTTCCCATCGTACCCTTTATTAAAATCCTGCTCAGGATCCGGAGCACAGTACCTCCCACCATTGATACACTGAGACTTACACTGCTTACTCACCAGAAACGCCTCAGGACAATACCAAGTAATGTAATGCGGCGTAAACTGAGTGTACCCTCCTTTCTCAAGAATCTGAGCTGCTCCTTTAAAGCTCCTGAGAAACTCAATCTGCGTATCACATTTCTGTCCGCACTCGTCGTTGCTGTTGGTCCACAGCTCGTATTCGACGCGCTCGTCGGGGTGTGGGACTGATTCTGTCCAGTCTAGGTTCATGTTGACCATGTTGCCGTCGGATAGAGCTGACTTTATGCTGTCTCCTAATGATTTGGTGACTAAAGCTGAAGGAATGTTGATCTTCTCGAGGTAATCTGAATCAGCCTTGTCTTCTTCAGGTGTGTCCATTGTGATCAACGGCTCGATTTTGTTATCGGCTACAAGAATCGCCGCTGCTCCGGCTTGCTGCGCGTTCCATGCTTTCAAAGTGAAGTAACAATCTGTTCAAACAGAACTAAACTCAGTTTTTCGACAACTAAATGAAACAACTCAACAATAAACATAACTGATTTGGCAGAATCCAAACAAGGAAAGTACAAAAAGACAGAAAAGTTGACAACAAAAATAGTTTTCAGACATGAAGCAAATTCAGACAAGGAAAGGACAAAAAAGACAAGACAGTTAACAGATTTAAGGACATGTAGAGAAAAGAAACCGAACCTCCTCGATCAATGAGAACAAAAGTTGGTAATCGACCAGGTTTGGACTTGAAGGAGAGATCGAAGTCGTTGAAGCTCTTACAAGCCTTGTGGTTTGATTTGGGATAGTCGACGGTTCCGACAAGTGTTCCACCGTATTTGGGAATTCCGAAGTTCCCAATGGCACATTCGTAGACACCTTTGATGGTTTCGGGTGACGTCACTTTCAGATTGTTCTTCTCCACCAAGAATTTTCCGAACGTCAGTTCCAATATCAGAGCAAACGCGAGTGTTAACACTCCAAGCTTCCTAACCCTCATGATTTCTAAATTTCTCTTTCTTCAAACTTTAATCAACCAAATGAAGCTGAAGAAACAAACAGTAATTAAGATCCAAAAACGGAGGAAGCCCTAGTGATGCGCAAAGGATGATTCGTGTCTATCGTGAATGAGACGACAAAATCAACGAGGAAGCTTGACGGAGACTTATAAATGTCAAAAGGTTTCTAAACTTGTAAGGGAACACAGTGATTGACGGTTGGGAAAAAGTCAAGGAGAAGAGAGCCTTCTCAAGTAGTAAGAAACAGTTAAGTAGGAAGAAGAAGATCTAATCCTAAATTATGGCGACTACTAATCACGTTTCAAATTAAATATCAGAGATAAAATCATAAAAGAGATTTTGTTTAGATAATTTAAGGAAAAAAAGGATTAAGAATGCATGACAAGCACGTGTTCCACGTCGGTGCTTTGGCACGAGGACCTCTCAGAGTGGCCCTTTGCCTTGCTTCTCTCACGTGTTGTCCATTTTCAGATTATCTTTGTTAAAGCTACGGCAACGTCGTGATATATGCCTAACAGCCTAAGTTTACGGTGTCTGTTAATATTATTCATGTTTTATAAATTTTAAAGATTAGAACTTCGATGATATTTACAAAAAAAACAAAAAATTTGAGTGTACTACTTTAGACTTTACTTTCTAATAATATGCTTACAAAAAGTTGTCTAAAATACTTTGAAATGGTTTTAATACAACAAACTTTTGTTGTGGATTATGAACTAGTATATATTTTCAATTTTGACATCAATCGGATCCATTAATGGGAAATTCCCTTAAACATTCCCTTTTGTTCTGCAAAGAGGAAGGAAAACAGAGAAAAGAGAATTTCCCTTTTGTTCATCAGAAACCCATAACAACTCTGGCCCAATAAGGGCACTATAAAGCCCATGATTGATGCAGTAATCTGATAATCTCGAGCAGAAAGCGTGAATCTAGTAGTATCCATAGACTCAGCCACGTGATCGAGACCGTTGGTTTCCATAAGGTTTTAACTGAAACCGTTGATCGCTTCCTCTCGGTTTTATATAAATAAATAAGAAACACTGTTTCACTCGGTAATCTCTCTCTATCTTCTCCGTCGCGACCTGAACCAAGTCCCCGCCGTACACATCTCGTAATCCTTTTTTAATCCTTCCTCCATTCTTCTTCTTCGAATTCGCTACTTGAGCTTTTCTGGGTTGTTTTTGATTCTTAATCGTCTCCGATCTGTCGGTGTTTTGCGTAGAAATTGGGCGTTTTGTTCTTGGAGCGAGGGCTTCGAGGAACGATGGAAAGTGAATTGATTGGATTGTTCGAGGCGGCGAAGAAGGCGGCCGATGCGGCAGCTCTAGACGGTGTTTCCTCCTCGGCCCCGGAGGTTTCTCAATGCCTCGATTCCTTGAAACAACTCCAGACGTTTCCTGTCACATACGACACGCTCGTCGCGACTCAGGTTCGTTTTCAGATTTACCTCTATACATTAGAAATATTGTTTGTCTTGCATTTAGGAAAACTTATAAATCTCTTTTCGATTGATATGCTGCTTAGATTTGAGGATTTTTCTGGGTGTTGCTTGCTTAATCTCAGAGCATTGACTTGTGTTATCTTTATTAGGGTTCTTCGATTCCACCTGAATTTTTTTACAGAAAAAACTTAAAAGAGTAAACTTTAATGTTGATAGTGTTTGTATTGGTTTAGAGAAATAGAAAGTTGAATCCTTTTTCTTGCTTTGCTTCCAGGTAGGGAAGAAGCTGAGATCTCTTGCAAAACATCCTATTGAGGATATCAAAAAGGTGGCTACCGATCTGCTTGAGATTTGGAAGAAAGTTGTCATTGAAGAGACAGCGAAGGCTAAGAAAATTGAAAGCACAAATGGTTGCAAAGAGGTTAAGTTAGAGAGGAAGGATGCTGAGAAGCCTTCGAATCCGGCGCCTGTTAAAGTCCCAAAACTTCAGAGAGGTGACTCGGCTAAGAGTATGAAGGTAGAGAGAAAGGAACCAGAGAGCACCAAAGCCATTAACGGCGTCAAGAAGGAATCAGACAACAAAGCCATCAACGGTGTCAAGATTGAGAAGAAGGAACCAGACAACAAAGTCACTATCGGTGCAAGTATGAAAGCTCCAGCGAAGGCACCTCCAAAGCTAACTTCAATGCTTAAATGCAATGATCCCGTGCGTGACAAGATCCGTGAGTTGCTTGTGGACGCCTTGTCCAGGGTTCATGAAGAATCTGATGACTACGATAGAGAGAAGGTAAATGGATGTGATCCACTCCGCGTTGCTGTCTCAGTGGAGTCTCACATGTTTGAGAAACTTGGCCGCTCAACCGGAGCTCAGAAGGTCAAGTACAGGTCTATAATGTTCAACCTGAGAGACAGTAACAACCCTGACCTAAGGAGGAGAGTTCTCACCGGAGAGGTGCCACCGGAGAAGCTCATCACACTGTCTGCTGAAGAAATGGCAAGCGACAAGAGGAAACAAGAGACTAATCAGATCAAGGAGAAGTTCTTGTTTGATTGTGAGCGTGGTCCTGCACCAAAAGCAAGTACTGATCAGTTCAAGTGTGGGCGTTGTGGTCAGCGGAAATGCACTTACTATCAGATGCAGACGAGGAGTGCTGATGAGCCGATGACGACTTATGTTACCTGTGTTAACTGCAACAACCACTGGAAGTTCTGTTGAGGAGTGAGATCTGTCTGTGTGTGTTCTTGTTTTCATGAGACCATGTTGAGACAGAGAGGCTCTGGTTGATTTATCAGGAGCTTCACATGTCCCATTTGCCGGCATTCTGAGAATGCTCTGGCTCAGATGTTTGTTCCATGTCTTTAGAGATTAGTAAGTAGGAGTATTTACTAATTTAGGTGTTTGTAGCTCTTATTTCTTTTGCTCTCTCTTGTCAAAACTCATCAACTTTGTTGCAGATTTTATCAAGTTTTGAATTTTATTTTAGTTTTAGAAATGTGTTTAGTGTTTGTCTTTTCATGTATCATCTTGAACTGTTGAACCTTCACACCCTTCAATGTATGTGCTATGGATTGAAAAGTAGCATCAATTCAATCTTCTGATACAACTTTGTATTCCCCAAATACAACAAACAAACATAATCTTCCAGATAACAAGTTTAGTCCGGTCTTTGCAGATTAAAAGTGTAAAGGGTTTAAGGTTCGAACAACAGGAGTGCACACAAGGGGATGAGCCATGGCCAAGACCATTCCTAAAACAGCCTCTTCCATGTCAACTTTCTTTTCTTTAATTCTCCAGTCAAATCCCTGCACCATCATTCCAATGGCTGTTCCTAGAAAGATATAAGCAAGATTCTCTCCAAGACAGCCTCTCCTTCCGCTCCCAAAAGGAAGGTACTTGAGTGCTTTCTCTCTCATCTCCTCTTCTTGCTCTGACCTCAAAGAATCTAGAAACCTCTCTGGTCTAAACTCATCAGGATGTTCCCAATAATCAGGGTCTCTCATCGCATGATAGGCATTAACCACGAGTGTTGTCTTCTCTGGTATGTAGAGCCCTTTGATCTCACAACTCTCTTGGCACGTCCTAACCAAGAGAGCCGCTGGTGGGTGCAACCTCAGCCCTTCCTTAACCAGCGCTTGCAAGAAAGGCAGGTTTGGTAGATCCTTTTCTTGAATCAATCTTGTTTTCCCAACAACCGCATCGATCTCCTCTCTTAACCTCTCGAGGATATCAGGGTTGTTAACCATCTCCGCCATTGTCCACTGTATTGCTTGCACTGGTGTGTCAGTGCCTGCAAGGAAAATCTCCTGCAAGGTTTCCTACTCATGAGTAACATTTTAACACCTTGATATATAATAGTTTCAAATTAGTTGTCGTTTTGAGAAAATGTATCTGCAATATTTGAATATATACATTTTCCCAAAACGTCAACTATTTTGAAATGGAGGGAATTTGAAACGACGATTTAGTTTACCACAAACACAGACTTGATCTGCTTCCTAGTTAACTTATACTCAGGCGTTTTCGTCTCGATAAGCTTCCAAGAACGAATCCATCAAGTCTCCATCTTGATGCTTCTCTTCATGTTCCACAAGAATCCTCTCGAGCAGCTCGTCGAACCCGCGAGAAGCTCCCATGATCTCATTCCTAAACAGCGAGATTCCAAGCTTCTCCAGCGGCTTACGGAAGATGTTTGAGAAGAATATCTTCTTGGTCAAGGCAAACGACTTGAGAATCAGTTCAGTGAACCTCTCTGCATCCTCTGAACGAGTCTTCCCCAGGGTCATACCGCAGATCATGTTGACAGTGAGCTTCATCGCTTCTTTACCGATCTCGACGCTCTCTTTCTTCGTCGCCTTGTCGAGCAAGTTTGTGTAAAGCCCTTGTAGCTCAGTTGCACGGACGTGGCGTGACTGCTCGATCGCCTGAGGTCGAAGGAGCTTCGTGACCACGAGCTTCTTGATGAACTTGAAGTAATCATTATAGGGAGTGCTGACGATGCCGTCAGACCCCATTATGAGAGACTCGCCGTCGGAAGCAACGCTGCGAGAGGAGACGTTTAGGTCGTGCGTCGTGTAGATCTCGTAGGCGACTGAGGGAGAAGAGACGAGGACTATAGGGAAGCTGAAGAAGCGGAGATGGAGTAAAGGTCCATACTTTGTGGAGATTCTCTGAAAAGACTTGTGGGGTAGAGTTGAGAGAAGAAGGTGGAAATGACCAATGATGGGGAAAGAGGGAGGGCTCCGAGTCAGGTCAATGTCCTTTGGTTTCATGAACAAGACAGAGTAACACAAGAGTGGGAAGAAGCAGAGGAGAATGAACATGCAGCAGTTTTGAAAGTCAACGACGGTGCTCATTGCTGCCATTCTTGCTCAAAACTCAAAAGTGAAGGAAGAGTTTGATGAAACCAATCTCCATTCCATGAATATTGGTTATAACGTGTCACAGCTCACAGATAATGCTTTTGCTAGTTGCACTAAAAAATAAGTATTCCTTGTAGAAGAGGTTAACGACTAACGAGTCGTGAGCTGAAATTCTGTTTATTAAAAAAAAAACAAATATAGAACAAGTTAATGCTTACCATATTTAGAGGATCTCATATTTAATGAATTGACGCACAGAAATGATGCAACACGTTACTTATAATAAACTCCTAAAAAAGCCATGAGAAACCATTCTGTACAAACAATAATATGTTTCTATTTCATCAACAATGTAATAAGAATCTGTTACGAGTAACTCTTGATAAGTGCACTCAACAATGTAAACATAACTCTTGTATTTCCGATTTGCCAAAATGTAAATACAAGTTTAGAGAGGTTTGACTAAACGTTTAATTAAATACACAAAGAGATTCTCACTCACTCCCATGCGCCTTGCTGGCAATCGTTTAGAAGACCACCCAACGGAAAGATTACTACACATCCTTTCCTCTTATTCTGCAACTGATAAAAGCCACTTCACGTTAGCTCCTTAGCCAAATGTAAAGTGGGCCTCGTGCTCTTATTTCCTCGAAGGCCTTTCTCAAGCCTGTTTCTTTCTCTTCCTGCCATACTGGTACAGAAGTGGCGGGACACTATCCTCATACGTAACAGAATCCTTCATTCCTATCTGTTGTTAAGAATTTAGATGAATTTATCAAGCAAGTGTTCAACATGAAGAATGCAATGCAAGAGAAACAAACAAGAGCATGTCCCTTGGATATGGCTTTCGGATGCCATTTATATTTGGATACTTCTAGTGACATATTGACCAGACTGCTCCAAAACACTTGGAGAGAAAAGAAAACCAGGATTAGAAAGAGACCGCAACATTCGTCATCGTCTAAATCTCTCATTCTTTCTATATTTAAATTTATTCTAGTTTAGAAATGTGTTGTGTTTGTCTTTTCATGTATCATCAATTCAAACTGTTTCTGATGCAGTTCCAACTTCAAAAGCAAGGGCCTGACGAAAACAGAGGATATTGTTGCATCGATGTAAAGTTCTCATTGCTTTAAACCATTGTTGTGATTGTGAACTTGAAATACTATTTGAACAAGACGTTCTTTTACATTTTCTCTATCAGACACACCAGACGATGTATGTTAAGTTGAATGGCAAAACAATGAATGCATGACTGATCTAGCGGAACATATCCCATTCGTCATCATCCAAATCTCTCTTCTTTCGACTGGATCTATTGCTTCTCCTTTGCCGTCTTCTATCAGATGAGCTTTCAGTCTCTTCAGCGTCAGAGTATTCACTACCAAACTGAGCATCCCAGAGTCCCTGTTTCCAAAAGTTGTTCAGTCTATATCCATTTAAGACTACATGAAAATGCATGCCATTACAAGACACATATATACCTTAGTCAACCTCTGTTTCCTAGAAGCTGCATTTTCGTGAACCACAACTATGTCTTCTAAGACCTCGATTATGTCCTCCACTTGTAATCTGTATGTGCTCACCTGCATTATCACATGCATTGTTGTATTCCTAGATTAGATGCTTGTGCTTGTATCTCACATTAAACAGGAATGTTTTTATTTGGATGTCCTCAAGAGAAGAGGGGAGAAAAGTTACACACACCAGGCTTGATGGTATGATGGTTATTCCGAAAGAATCAAGCTCCAACGATTCAACTATTCCTGAGTTAATGTTGAATGAGTAACCTCTAACCTAAAGCCAATCCCAAATCATATTGCTTTCAGCTAATAAACAACATATCGGTAAAGAGACAGATCTAGAAGGATTTATCAACACCTTTCCGATGTTTCGTCCTCCTGGTGTCACTACTCTGTAACCTACCTAAACAAAAGGTGAGAGAACTTCAATCTCTAAGACTTGCTTAAAGGTGGATGATTCAAGAGACGTAATCGAGTTTATGTACCAGTGTTTCAAGTCCAACCATCTTGAATTCAGTATCCAGTACAGCCTCATCTTCCACAAGCACAACCTCACCTACCTACAGAGAGATATCTTTAACATAAACTCCAGAAAGAAACCAGTTTCGATGTAGTAGAAAGTAGAAACCATAAGTAGTACCCGAACAATGTCTTTGAGAAGGAATCTCTCACATTCTCCAGATAGCAAACTCGGTTTCACATCCACCACCAAAACCAACCACTGAATAATTGACAAACAATCAAATTTCAGAAATATTTAGCTCATTGTGACTTTCATAGCCTCCCAAAATTTGGTAAAAAGAGCCAGACTTTGAAACTCGCTAGCATTCAAAAATGTGATCAATTCTCAATTATAACTTACAGAAGTAGTGTCAACCCAAAGCTGAGAGATAAATCCTAAGCTCCGAGCTGATTGTATACTGATAACTTGCTTAGCTACAAGACTCGACCTCGTCGTCGTCTGTTTGAATCCTTTCGAGCCAGTGTTTCTCAGATCATTTCCACTTTCTACCCGAATCAAATCACCATCTCGAGGAAACTCTGCATTACTATCTCTTTCCACTAAATCCGAAAGAGAAGAATCCACAACAGCTTCTTCATTAGGTAGTGATGATGAACTCAAGCAAGAGACGAATTTGTCCCTCGATTCTTCTTTAAAGCTCAATTTCCCGAAATGGGTAGAGATATGAGAATCAATCCCACCGAAATAACATCGAGATCTTGCTTTTGACGAGGAAAGTGTTCTCATTTCATGGATTGAGACGTGACTCGTATTGATGATCGAATGCTTGAGTCGAACATCGAGGACGGGAAGAGAAAGGAAGAAGGAAGAGAAGCAACTACACATACCTAGAGAACAAAGATGGGTCCTTTGATTGCTGGTTTGAGTTGATTTTGAAAATGGAGAAGCGATGATGATGACACCATTTCGAGACTGTAAAGTTCCAATTTTTAGGGATAAACGATGAGTCAAGGTTCCATTTTGCAAATAGTCAAACTTTCGATTTTGGTAAATATTAATCTTTTATAAACTGTTCGCTCGGAGACCTCTTTCTCTTTGTCTTTTTCTTTCCTGAGAGAAAATCTTCCCAAGCGCTAAGTTTTCGTGTCGAATTTGCACTCGCCCTCGTTTCACCATCCAACGTCGCAGAGTGAGCTTACGAATCACGCATTTCTCCAATTTGATTTCTTTATGCAGAAATATTCCATCTCTCAATGTGCATTCAGATCTGACTTCGTTAGAAAAGTTCGGCGATTTTGCTAGTTTTGATGAGATAAAAGTCGAGTCTTTTGATTATTTTTATTCAGTCCGTAACTGATTACGGTTTTGGGAAGGTGGATCAGGTATGGAAGACGAGAAGAAGAAGAAGAGAAACAAGAAGAAGAAGAACAAGCAGAATGCTAACAAACGTGCAGACGACGCTATAGCTACCGGAGTCGCGACCTCGGAGGATGGGAATCACACCGGAGACGGTGACATTTCTCAGATTAGCCAAGTCCCGGATGGCAATGAGTTGCAACCAATCAATGTCGTCGAAACGGTAAGTTCATACATCTTAGATCGATGGAACATTGCTTCTGAACATTTTTCTGATTTTGGTCCTTGATTTAGTTGGGGTTGATACGAAATTGGTATAAATTTGATTGATTTCTTAGTTTATAGGTCAATGCTGTTGGATGTTGTTGGCATTTTTATGTCACATTGTATTGATTCAATGCAATTCGGTTTCATCTTTTGGAATGGATCCTTTTAACTATGTGATGGTAGAAAAAAAAGTGTGGGATAGTGCAGGAGCCTCATGGTCTGATACATTTAAATCTTCTAATTTCAAGCAGGTAGATGAATCTGTTGTTGAGAACAAGTCCTCCCAGACCAGTGAGGTTCAAACGCATCCACACTTCTTTGTTACTATGAAGAGTCTCCTGTTTTCTATCTTTTCTTTTCACTTGAATCCCAATACTAGTTTGCAATGCTGTTGTAGGTGTTGCTGGAAGAAAAAATCAAACAGTTGCGTGATGAAAATGGATCTTACCTTCAGAAAGAGGTGATATTCTCTTATCAAGCATTTTGTGTTGGCTTTATAAAGGAAACCTATCCATCATGGTTTCTTGCCTTTGTGGAATAGTAAAAATTGAATTGCCATGTCTGAATAGGCTGGTTTTGAAGAAACTATTAAACGCTTGGAAACTGAGAATGGAGCTCACGTACAGAAAGAGGTTAGTGAAGCATAGAGTATAGCCTTTTTCATTGTTTTTGCTGTTTTCCTGTTTCATCTGCAAGCTGAAGGGTAAAAGTAACATGGTCTTTCACAGGCACTGTTAGAAGAAAGGATTGTGCATTTGAGAACAGAGAATGAATCCTACATACAGAACGAGGTTAGTGAAGAAATAGCATAGAGCGATATCCGTAGGCTTTAGCTCTTTTGGGGCATAATCTGTAAGCTGAAGGTCGCTATGATATGGTTTTTAATAGGCACTGTTTGAAGAAAAGCTCGTCCATCTGAGATCTGAGAATGAAGCTCACATACAAAATGAGGTTAGTGAAGAATTAGCATAAAACCGTATCCATATTTTTTTGCGGTTTTGCTGCATTATCTGCAAGCTGCTGGTCAAATTAACATGGTGTTTTACAGGCACTATTAGAAGAAAAGCTCTTGCAATTGAGAACAGAGAATGAATCCCACATACAAAATGAGGTTAGTGAAGAAATACCATAAAACCATATCCGTAGCTTTTAGATATTATTCTGCATAACCTGTAAGCTGATGGTCGATCTAATATGGTGTTTCATAGGCACTGTTAGAAGAAAAGCTCTTGCATTTGAGAACTGAGAATGAAGCTCACAAACAAAACGAGGTTAGTGAAGAAGTAGCATAAAACCATATCCATAGTGTTTTGCTGTTTTGCTGATTATCTGCAAAGCTCCAGGTCAAAGTAACATTGTTCTTTTACAGGCACTATTCGAAGAAAAGCTCTTGCATCTGAGAACAGCGAATGAACCCCACATACAAAATGAGGTTAGTGAAGAAATAGCACAACGCCATATCCGGAGCTTTTAGCTATTTTGCTGCATTATCTGCAAGCTGAATGCTGATAAAATATGGTGTTTGGTAGGCACTGTTAGAAGAAAAGCTCTTGCATTTGAGAACTGAGAATGAAGCTCACAAACAAAATGAGGTTAGTGAAGAATTAGCATGAAGCCATCCATATCCATAGCTTTGCTATTTTGCTGGATCATCTACAAGCTGAAGGCCAAAATAACATTGTGTTTATGCAGGAAAAGTTGGAGGAAAGACTTGTGCAATATAAAACAAAGAACGATGTGCTTGTTCATGAAATGGTGAGACATCTTAGTTTATCCTTTGTGCGATCATATGCAAAATAGGACGACATTTCGCATTAAGTCAGGAGATGAATACTATTCAAAGGGAGAATATATGCAGGAAGATGATTATGTGTAGTTCTCACACTTGGATGAATTTTGCAGTCTATTACGGAAGTCAAAATGAGAGAATTGCTTGATGAAAGATCTACCTTCACTCAGAACGAGGTATGCCTCCATTCACTGGAAGATAACAGTTGCTTCTTCTTCTGTTATTGGTCGCAGAATCTTACTCAAAATTTCATGGTTTCAATCAGGCAAGTCTAGAAAATAAAGTTCGGCAACTTCAACATGATGAAGAATCCGCTGTGGCTGTGGAGGTAACCTTATCTTACACAAGGAAAGCCTGATACCTATTTTCGTAAGAGTTACAATAAGATGGTAATAAGTTTACCCGTCATACACGTTTAACCTTGCAGAAGTTATCCAGAGAAATGATTTCTAGCCTGAACAATGAAATTGCAACTCTTCGAGCACAGGTATGTGTCTCATCTTATATTTAAAGCATAAGTGATTTCTCATTTCCATGAATGGATCAAGGAATTGCATCTGAACACGTTACCATAGCGTCGTAAGTGAATGCTTAGTGATTTGACTCGTATAGAACAGGAAGCTGGTAAGCATAATAGTGCATAGATTTAGTCTGATATGAAGATTAAAAAAAAGTTTGGCAGGTTATGGAGTTGGAAGCATCTAGGAGTAATCTTCTGGAGCAGAACCAGAGTCTTGCGGAAACTGTATCCAATCACCAAGTCCAGCATGAAAACCATGAGAGCAAGGCAAAGGTTAGGCTTTGAATACTTTCCAAATGCAAGATTCTAATGGGAAGATAAGGCCTCTTTAATGAAGTTCTCGTAAATTTATGAAACGGTTCATGTAAATAGGGTGCTTCTGAGGAAGAACTAAACTCACAGATCGACGCAGCTTGTACTCTAGTTGAAAAGCTTATCACTGAAAATGCTGAACTTGTTGAGAAGGTAAGATCTTACTGAGTTACTCTGTTGTTGAACGATTCAAAATCTCACTGGTTAATATTTTTTCTACACTGTCAGGTGAATGAGTTGTGTATTCAGCTAAACCAATCGCAGCGTGCTTTGGCTTCACCCCCTGAGAGCCTAGCAATTGAAGTACAGAAGTCTGAATCCTTAGAAGATATACCCATACACGACGAGTTGACTAGAATTGATAACTCTAGGGGCATGGATGCTACATTGGTAGAAGGAAACTTGTCAGAAGGCGAATCAGAAGGAACAATGCCGGTTTCTGTATTTCCAAATGGGGAAATAGATGTGGAATCACAGGTTGTGGTATCTGGAGAAGACGAAGTAAGAGCTGGTGTGCCTCTCGTGGACGCTCCACTGATCGGTGCTCCGTTCAGGCTAGTCTCGTTTGTAGCAAGATACGTGAGTGGTGCAGATTTGGCAGAAAAGAAATAGTTTTTGTAGAATTTAACAGCATATGTATGCGGAGAAGATGCATTAGTTTTCTTTCTCTCGTCTAAGTCGTCTTCTCTTTCTTTTATTACATATATACTCAGTGAGGATTTTGATTAGTTTTGCAGAACACTTACAGTACCAAAATGTTTGTTGTAACTTTTTGGTAGGATAATGACATGATGATGATGGATTTTTTAAAATGTTACTTTCTAAGTTTTTGGCTTGCCTTGTCAAATTTTCTTTTAGTGAAAACGAATGAGAAAACAATATTGCCGCATTTTCACCAAGGGATTTGATTAGTATATCTTAGTTCATATATTTTTATCATAAAATCAACCCGAAATGATGTGAACTCTTATTTTATCTCATTTTCAATAGTATACCTTGTTTTTCTTTCTTTTTTGTTCTTTTGATAAAAATAAACCAATCAATTTAAGCAAGTATTCAACATTCTTTATTAAAAAAAATGATTTCTTTATCCACTAATTGTCTTATATTTGCACCAACATGATTTATGTGCTAAACAAAAGTAACCTGAAAAGGTTAATGTATTTATCCACTAATTGTTTTTGTTTTTCTTATGTGAGCACTTTTCTTTTATCCAAAATCTTATTCTCTTGTGTTCATGTTGGTTCTTATATATATATATATATATATATATATATATATATATATATACAAAATATATATTATAGTCAGCAGTCGTCTCCCTTTTCCTTTCCCTTTTCCAAATTTCCCGGCTGCTGTATTTATATTACTAACAATTTTACTCTTTGTAGTGATTATTCTTTATAATCTAAATTCAAATTTTTTAAAACAATTGGTAGTTTAAATTAATGATGAATCTAGAATTGTATTTTAATGTCTGTAGTTTATTATGTTTTTACCAAAAGAAAATTGCATTTTAAACTATGAAAGTGAAAAAAAAAATATAGAATTTTAAATCTCATAAGTTTTTCAATAGCAATCACAACCCTCAAACAAATTTCTCTCATACTATTGGGACCGCCATGTAACTGTTGTTTTGAACTTTTGATTAAGTGTTTTTCAAAATGGGATCATCCTCAAACAATTAAGGAATTATTAAGAGATCGTAAAAGAAGGTGTTGCGAGTGGCAATCAAATCTATGAAATTTCAGAGGGAGAGGAGGAGGACATGGAAAGAGATATCAAAAGGAGAATTAGTGAGATGAGCTATGATTACAGCAACAACTCTTAACGGAATTTGCCAATTTAGTATTGTTGACAACTCTTAGCTCCATTGGTTGTTGTCCTTTACATTTTCCATTAATGCGACTAGGTACGTGTCATCCACTTTTCTGTTGACAAAATTAAAAACAATCCAATCAAAATCCTTGTCAGCATCCAATTCGTTTTTGGTTGGTTTTGTCTTTTGACTAATTTCGTCCTTAATTCTTAATTTCTTGATAATTATTACATGTAAGACCCTCCTAGCTAAGAAGCCACACACGATTTTGTTTTTCTGTCTACAATGAGACTACAATCTGGCTTTCTTTTAAAACCAAACCCTTGTATCGAGCTTATCTCAAGAAAACCTCGAATGAAACCCAAAAAGTTGGGTATGAGTATGACCATTGAATGTGTGCTCTAAGTGGGTTTTTTAGTCTTAGAAATAATATTTGAAAAATCAACTCTATTGAGCTCCTCCAACTAGTGTTATATACACTAAAGTAAAAGATATCATGCCACTTAGTCAAATGCAAATGGTGTATTATTAGTAATATATAGTAGAGGACGATATGGTTATATATGTTAAAGTGTTGAAATATAAATAGTGGCGCATACATAGATGCATGTTAGTGAATATGTGCGCTTCCTGGTTTTGACCATTTTTCCAAAATTTATAAATTATTAACATAACTTTTGCTTACCTCACAATTAAGTTGGTCGAAAAGAAAATAATATGGTGGTGCGACTTCTTAGTGGATGAAACTAGCATCTTCTACCCAACCAAATCTCTTTAAATACAACTATATAGCTAACATCTCTGCTTATCACTGCAATACTAATTACAAGCTGATCCGCCACCACATCATAGGTATTATTACTCTTCTTTGCTTTTCAAGCATCACTACTAGTTCTTGTTTCACCATTGACTCAACACAACTCAACTCTCTTTTTCCATTGCTCTCTCTCTCTCTCTTTGTCTCAAGTCGTCTTGTATTGTGCACTGCTTTTCTTTTTGCTAATCTCATTTATTCTTCACCTGGCGAGTCTCGTTAGACTTTAGAATATTTTCATCTTCCATAAGTACATTTCATTGATCACCATTATATTCTAAGGATTTGTTTCAGTTTTTGTTTTGTTTTTTTGCTATAATTGATGAACTACGTAAAAGATATTCTTTTACTAATTGTGTCAACTCATTGGAACAGGATCGCCTTGCAATGTTTTTAAATTTCCAAGTCAACTACAATAGTTTTAAAATTAATTTGATAAAAGAAAGTGCCATCATTTTCCTTTCTTAGTAAATTTATTGCTCACTAGCCACTAGATTTGACAATCAGCATTTTTATGATCTCTAACTATTTTTGCATAAACCCTAGAAAGCAGAAGAATCAAGAGCAATATATGGAGATGTATAAGAGAGACACATTTCTTTTCCTTTTCCTAGCCATCTCCTCAGTGGCAACGAGCACAAGTCAATGGATGCCAATGGAGGGCAACAATGCTGCTAGCTATTGCTTAAGCTGGAGACTAGCAATCGAAACCAACAATGTACGCATGTGGCGGATCGTTCCTCCGCAATGCATGCGTTACGTTGAGGTATATATGCTTGCTGGTCAGTACGACAGAGACGTTCAGTTGATTGTGGAACAAATCAATGTTTATCTCAATGAGATACAACTTCCTGGTGATGGCATGGACGCATGGATCTTGGATGTTGATGATACTTGCTTCTCAAACCTCTTTTACTATCGGCTTAAGAGATACGGGTACACACACTTGTTAACATGTAGACTTAAAGATCCAAAAAAATTTAGAAAAACGTGGCTAATGTTATATATGCTCTTTGTTAACATGTAGATGTGACCCTTATGATCCAACCGGATTTAGAACATGGGCGATGAGAGGAGGCTCACCAGCAATAGAGCCTGTTCTTGAGTTGTTCAATAAACTGATAGAAACAGGATTCAAAGTTTTCCTAGTAACCGGTAGAGATGAAGAGACTCTTCGTCAGGCAACAGTAGAAAATTTGGAGAATGAAGGATTCACTGGTTATGAAAGGTTGATTATGAGGTAAAAGAAGGTTTAACTTTATTTTCAAGATTTTTTCAGAAACAGCACAAACAATGAGAAATAAAAGGAAAAAGTATGACAGAATATTCTACTTGCAGGACAGCAGAAAACAAAAGACAAAACGCTACAACATACAAAGCAACAATTAGAAAGCAAATGATGGAACAAGGTTACAGGATATGGGGCAATGTAGGTGACCAATGGAGTGACTTACAAGGAGAATATTCTGGGGATCGCACATTCAAGATTCCTAACCCTATGTACTTTGTTCCCTAGGAACTTTTACAAGAACCATTTTCTACCAATCAAAATACATGTACAACATATACACACAAAGGGTTTATCTCACTCTAGAATCCTCACATTGGGACCACAACAAGCCAACAAGACCTCCTTGCTCATCACTGCAGAAGCCTAACTCGTTTTCGATTTCTGAAACTTAATAAAAAAAGCAAAGTGTGATTCACTTTGCGTTACTCATCTAAGAAACTCGAGTAATCAAACTTGCTTGGTCTACAATAGTTCTTCTTTTACAGAGCATGAGTAAATTTTTACCATCTAAAGGGTTTGTAGAGTATTATGATTTAAATGTAGTGGACAAAAAATATATAAATGAATATAAACAAAACTTTTACATAAAAGTTTCCCAAAACCAAACAATAAGAATCAATCCAATAAATATCTTTTTATTTTTTTTTTTGTTTTTACAATAAGAATTTCAATCCACGCCCTTTAAGGCTTTACCCTCCCCAACCACCACATCTTTTTCTCTCTATATATATTATCATCCCCATTTTTTTCCTTATAAATTTTTTTTTCATGAATCTTTTTTAAATAATTTGTAATGAATCTCTGATGTAAAAAAAGAAAAACAAATAAATAAAGAAGAAAAGGAAGAAAAAAGGAAAGCCACAGGGTCGCTCACCGGAGAGAGACCAGGAAGGCCTTGACTTGACCAATGACCACCACCATTGCAGCCACTACTGGCCAAACCAAATATACACATGTGTTCTGTATCCAGACATGTACTCTTTTGGTTGGAGAAACCATTAAAACGCTTCTTAGTGACACAGAAAACAAAACGCTCCTTTAGCATCCTGTTTTGGGGCGTTTACCACTTGAATTGAACGGCGAAACGCTTCCACCTCCGCTTGGCCCTGGACTCTCTTCCCTTAGGTTGTTTGAGTTTAGCAACGCCAGTTCCCTCAGCTGCTGTCTCTTTATGAAATCTTGCGACTCATCCTTCATTATAACAAAAAAAAAGAAGTCAAAACGCATGTAAAAATGTTATATTACAGCATGCGTTTCAAAGACAAAAACAATGAAGTATTCGACAAAAAGATAGTTTCTTTTTGGCGTTTGCGATCACAACTATTGCTGCCTTGACTGGTGTTTGTGGTCACACATGTCTGCATAATTGAATCCTAACCGCAAACTCCAAAGAGTGGCTACAGAAATATAAGCGTTGAGACAAAAAATACAAGAGACCCTACAGGTAATAAGTATAAAGTCTCAATGGGGCTAAACAACTAAGGGGAATAACCTATAAGAAAAACGTGGCCTTTCAATTTAATTCCCCACCAACGGAAGACGAATGCCTTGTACTAGTGATAGTGTAATGGCAAAAGAATTCACAGAAATAAAATAGTAAGGGAGTAAAAATGAGTGTTACCACAGGTTTTAGTAACTCTTCAATAATTTCCTGAGCTTGTCGCAGACGTATCTCCACGATACTGGCTGGTAGATCTGCTTCTATTAAGATGTGAAGCTGCTCATTCAAGTGTTCATAGCCTGGTCTTCCCCTTAGCTTATCTTCCTATTATAAACCAAACAAAAACAGTATAGAAATCAATAATCTTTTAATAGCCAGAACACCAATTTTTGTTGGTTAATGTTGTGGAAAGTGTTTAACAAAAGTCCCAAAATATTTAATGAATCATACCTTTTCAGGATCCTTGATTGAACCTTTCCCTCTGATGAACACACGGCAGCCTGTTGTAGCTTCAACGCGTTTTAACGAGTTGCCTCTAGGGCCGAGAAGTCGTCCAACAAAGTTGAACTAATAAAACAGAAGAAAAGAGCATAGAAAATTCAGAAATATGACTGCAAATGAAGCAAAATGGTGATCAAGACACATACAGTGACTAGAAAACCTGAGTACTCACATTAGGATAGCTATCTACTGGAATCTCCAGACGCAATATCCTTTTCACTGTGTATGAGCTGGGACTTCCCGGTGCACCTTGCCAATCCATTGTCATTCCAGGTGTTCCTCCACTAAGTCTCTGCAAGAAAACTGAGTGCTTTAGCTTATCTCACAATGCTTAACAAACGCACTATGAAAGGCAGAAGCTAACATCAATGATTCTTAGTAATCAGACCTAAACTAAGACAACATTACAACAAAGCTTAAAACAGATCACCAAGTATACAACAGGGCTCAGGATGATGATACCTCCTGAGAGATGCCATTCCAGCCGCCAAGCCCGGTATTAGAGACATTAGACATAAGATTAGAAGAGGCCATAGGGCTTGGACTTCTGTGTCGGAGTCTATCAAAATCGCCAAATCCTTGGTTAGACATCATTCCAGATACCCTGAACATCTCTGCACATCAGGAAAAGGTTTATTATATTTATATGAACAAGAACATAAGGCAATTGACAGTAAGGCCACTACTAAAGAGTAGGTAATGTTGGAACGCACTGATTCAATTGCACTAATTGAAAAATCAAATCAAGCAAGGCACATGCCAATACAATACTACAACAACAATACAATACTTCATGGACCAAACAATGACCTGACCATTCAACTTGATCTCACACTCTTGGCTAACTAGAATAAAAGATTGAACATTTTGCAGGAAATTGGTGAGGGAAGTGAAATAAAGAAGGAAATCTAAGATTTTTAAGTCATCCCAATCTGGTGAAGCAGAAGACGGAGCTAAAAAGGGTATAAACGCACTTGAGTGGATGAAAAAAATTGAAAAGATAGATCCGAATCAAATCAAGAGAAGAGTGGGAAAAAAAGGACAAACCTTGATTCAACAGGCGGCTGCATATCGGCAAGACTTGCATAAAAGGTGTAAGCTTTTGATGTTCGGCGAGAAGCTCCGTCAAGTACTGAGAGCTGTTGAAAAGCAAGACACGAAAACAGATCGGTTTCCTCATAAAAAACCCCAAAACAGAGTGTCTTGAAGAGAGGTGAAATCAGAGTTTCGGGGACGGACATACCTGTCGATCTCAGGAGTGCTTCGAATCTGAGGAGAAGCAGCTCGAGCAGGAGAGAAGTAAGAAGAGTTATTGTATAAGCCAGACATGGGTTTTTTGTGCTCAATTTTCTTCTCGAAGAAGCCGTGTACAGAGAGAGAGAGCTATGGAATCGCAGGAGAAACGAAAAGTAGAGAGAGAAAGGGAGGAAACCAAAAGAGCCAGCAGACACCAAATGTGAATTCTGCAGAAAGACGCCTGACTTTTTTTTATTTGTTTTTTTGTTTTCTTCCTTTTATTTTTATTTTTTCCTTCTCTTTTAATATATTTTTCCTCTTTTAATATATTTTCTTTTGATCTTTTTGGGGAAAAATAATGAAATTTTAACACTCGGATGAAAAGTTTTAGGCGACAGCGTGGATCTCTCTGTTACAAAGGTTGAAAGAAATTGAGTGATTTTTTGTGATTTTCAACCGTAATAATAAATAAATAATTGACTCTGGAGGAACTTTGGTCTGTGTGCGTGACTACGTAGACGCGTATCTTTTAACGCCGCTAAAGGTGGACACGTGTCAACCATGCAATCGCTCATCGGAGCTGTCTTTTGGGCTGGACATATGTATACATCTCCTTTTATATTGATTAACATTAATGTGTGTTGTGCAATTTGTCCATGTTTTTTCTTTTTGTATGGTTGTTGTTTGAGAGGGTGGTCTCTATAGTGTTGAACAACCTTCCAAGTCTAATATTTTATGGCACTTTTGTAATCATACAATGGTGTCAACATATTGACTAAGTTAATTAATGGGACTTGGGAGCTGTAACGGTCGGGTTAATTGTCATAGACTTCGGGGAAAACAGTCACTCGTTTCTTTTTTGTTACTGACATCTTTTTGTTTCTTCTAATTCGGGGTAAATAAAACGATTAATGTGGCAAGTGGTGTATTAATTGAACATATTTCAGAAGGCGAGGTGTTTTTTCTGGGTCAAATTTATCAACTTTCTTTATTAAAAAACGTGCTAAACAAGATGACGAATTTTACTAGCAAGACTTCATAGTAAGCACATACAGAGATAAACTATACTGTTTCATGCAATATTACTATGTAAATAATACGGTATTGAAATTAAAACTGAATAAATTTACAAAATAAAAAAACTTTGATTAGTCGTCCAATTTCTTTTACAAAGACATTTGATCATGAAAATGAAAAGAACGAGCATTGAATTTCAGGGACATTGATGTGATGTTTTTGGATAATTTCTGAAATCAAAGTTAACAAAAAAAACAAAGAGACTAGTCGGAGAAACATCTACACCCTTAACTGGAACCATATATATATTTGAAAGTCAGCCACCTAAACCCTTCACGTTATAAGTCTTGCGGCTTCCACTTTGGATTCACGTGCCATATATTATATTCCCGCGCCGTTACACTCGGCCAATGCTGCAGAGTTGAAAGCTTTTACACATAAACCGTAGCAAGTGGGCTTGGAAGAAACTATTGCCAATGGGGTCTGTCACCGTAGGAAGTAGTCAGCGAGTATCCTAGTTTCGGGTTTGAGAAGCCATGCGACTGTATACCGGTATTAATCTAAAAGAAATTCGCATTATGTTTTAAAGATTTCAGCTGTCTATTGTAATCTCATGTGCTGCTATATTGATATTGGACTATTCCCCATTTGTTGATAGTTTGTACCGTCTTAGTAGTCGTTATATATAAAATGTTAAAGACTTTTTAAGCGAGTTATGTAATAGATAGAAAAGAAAAACGTTAGAGACCTTAAAATCAACAAGATGATGATGAGCAATTGCTGACCATCTTAGATATACGACATCAACAATTAGACGAAGTTAATGGCATTTGCGAGATACAGGGTCGAGTTAATTGTCATTACTTCGAGAAAAGAAAACAAAAAATGTTACTGACATTTTCTTTTTGCTATCCAGTAAACATCAAATTATGCTACCATGACAAATTCTCAATAGAAGAATGTTTAAGTTGTGTTCAGTGGAATAAAAAATTAGTGGGGGCAAATTTTAGGTGTTATCACTTAAAAGATTGATAGAACTAGTGAATGTAAATGTTTTGAGCTTATCACTTGATAAAACTTACCTAAATTGATTGGTTTTGGACTTAAACATGATTGAAAAAGTGAGTTATGGGGGCAAAATATTGATAGAACTAGTGAATGTAAATGTTTTGGGCTTATCACTTGATAAAACTTATCTAAATTGATTGGTTTTGGAGTTAAACATGATTGAAAAAGTGAGTTATGGGGGCAAAATTTAGTTTTTTTATGGTGGCATATATTATTTTTCTTTAAAAACATTCACAAATTTTTGTTTTGAGTGATGGCAATTGCCACCTCTCCTTGAACTAGGTGGGTTCGCCACTAGTTGTGTTTCACAGACCATAAAGCCATATGTTTATACAAGATTAAGAATCTAAACCCTAATATGATAAGTAAGATTTACAATTTGATATTTGTCTAACTAGGATATATAACATATTCCAATAAAAACGGATCATGGGACAAATGGAGGTATTAATTGAACAATTTTCAGAAGGTGCATGGTGTTTTAGTGTTTTTAGCCATTTTCCCTACAAAATTATGTGTTAATATTCTATTGAAATCAAAATATATATTGTACGAAAAAAAATAGAAATAGAAATTTTGATCGTGAAAATGATAAAAAAAAAAAAGAATGAACATTGAATTCCGAGGATATTGATGTGATGTTTTTTAGAGAATTTTCTGAAGTTTAAGTTAGACACACAAAAAAAAAACATAGACTAGTCGGAGAGATATGAACTCTCGTAACCAGATCTGACCACATTTCAAACTAAGTCACTTAAACTCTCGGATAAGTGTTTAAGAGTGATTATGAGGTTAGATTCGGCTGTTATGAGAAACCTTGCCGATCATATTATACTAGAGGCTACGGGAAGTTGTTCCAAGTACTTTACTTCCAAGGCTTTGCTGGGGCTTGACTTCCTTGAGCTGCCAAAATATTATGCCTTTTTTTTTGTTGGTATGAAATATTATGCCTTTATATTGGAAAGTTGTCATTCATGGATTGCAGTCTGCTGTTTAGACTGATAACACAAGAAACAAACCCAATCTTATGGACCACCAAATTAGAAGTTTTAGCCATGAAGATTGAGGAATCGAAGTTGGAGATTACATAACGTATTAAAACGCCAAACATGCAATCCTCCAATGAATTGTTACAAAAAAAGTCAACAAACTTAGTATACATCAATATGTGGAAATAAACCCTGATTGAAATTCCAACAACAAATATAAGACTTGGCCGCATAACTTTTCTCAAGCAATCACACTAATCAAACCATAAATAGAAACGATAAGAAAAAAATGTAAAAATATGAATTGTTTCTTTAAAAAGAACTCTGCGACGGGGTTTCAAAGCCCAAAGGAGCGGGAAACGAGAGAAGCCACGTGGAACTGTCTCGTTAACGTTAAAGCGAAGAGGCGCTTAACACAGATCTAATCGAATCGAAAAGGGGCTTAGGGTTTATAAAAACCCAAACGAGCAAAAAAAAAATCATCACTTTCACTTTCATTCTTCATTTCTCCGATCTCAGCAACAATGGAGAAGTACGAGAAGCTCGAGAAAGTCGGCGAAGGAACGTACGGGAAAGTGTACAAGGCGATGGAGAAAGGCACCGGAAAGCTTGATGCTTTGAAGAAGACGAGGCTCGAAATGGACGAAGAAGGCATACCACCGACCGCTCTCCGCGAGATTTCACTTCTCCAGATGCTCTCTCATCGATCTACGTCGTTCGTCTCCTCTGCGTCGACACGTTCTCCAATCCAAGGACTCGGTCTCTCCATCGTCGCCTGTCTCTCCTCACGCCCAAAAATCCAACCTTTATCTCGTTTTCGAGTATCTCGACACCGATCTCAAGAAATTCATCGATTCGTATAGGAAATGCGCCAATCCTAGACCGCTCGAAGCTTCTCTCGTGCAGAAACTCATGTTTCAGCTTTGCAAAGGCGTGGCTCATTGCCATAGCCACGGTGTGCTTCACCGTGATCTTAAACCGCAGAACCTTCTTCTTGATAAGGATAAAGGAATCTTGAAGATCGCTGATTTGGGTCTTGGTCGTGCTTTCATTGTTCCTCTAAAGTCTTACACTCACGAGATTGTTACTCTTTGTAATCGAGCTCCTGAAGTTTTTCTTGGCTCCACTCATTACTCCACTGCTGTTGACATTTGGTCCGTTGGATGCATCTTTGGTCAGTGTTCTCGGCTTCTTATATCGTTTTTATACCCTTTGAAATGTGTCTGTTGTTACATTATTTGTCTCATTGTTGTTTTTCGGATTGTTCACCAATAACTTGCAGCTGAGATGATTCGGAGGCAAGCTCTTTTCCCTGGTGACTCCGAGTTTCAGCAACTGCTTCACATCTTCAGGTATATGCCATTGTGTGTGATACAATGACTAATACAGGAACCAATTTAAAAGAATGAAACTGATTTAGGATCATGAGGCTTTTCTTGTGGCAATGTAATATATGGACTATATGTTTAACACATTGTTCTTTTTTTGGCTCCTGGAGATTGCTAGGAACACCGACTGATCAGCAATGGCCGGGTGTGATGGCTCTGCGTGACTGGCATGTGTATCCAAAGTGGGAGCCGCAAGACTTGTCACGTGCTGTTCCATCTCTGTCCCCTGAAGGAGTTGATCTTCTCACGGTATGCTCTTCAACATTGTTGAACAAGTGGTCTAATATTATCTTGCATACTTGACCTCTTCTGTAGCTTTAAAAGTTCTCTTTGTTTCTTAGTTTCTTTGTAGTTGATGATTGTTTGTTTTGAGTGAGGGTTTAAAGTTTGAACCTTTGAACAAATGCAGAAAATGCTGAAGTACAATCCAACTGAAAGAATTTCAGCAAAAACAGCTCTTGACCATCCCTACTTTGACAGCCTTGACAAGTCTCAGTTCTGAAGCTGCACTGTCTGATCGAAACTCCCTCATCACCTCTGGCAAATTGCAATCTTGTATTTGAAGTTTGGAAACTGATTGATCTTCTTTATTGCTATCATCATCTTGTTGATTTTAGCATTACGTTCTTTATTTCCCATGTATTGTGTGTTTTAGAGATTTGTACTTTTACAGAAGAAACCTGAATAAAGTTTGTTTGTCCAATTGAAGAAAGAGATGCAATGTTTTCATTAAGAGTCAATTCTTTTACTAAAGTGGGAAACTTTGTTTGTCGATATAATCAGATTTTATCATGAATTCTGAAAGCATGGCAAATTCATGAACTCACTGATTGCTAATTGGACTACAAAGTGCAAAAAAGGAGACAAGCATTCAAAAGCTCTAAATGGGAGCTTTAGTGTTCTAAAAAGGAGACAAGTATTCTTAAAAGCAGACAAATCATATTAGTGTACATAAATGGGAGCCGAATCCCACAGAATAGTTTCCTGCTTCATTACAACCACAATTGCTTCTCACTTGCTCAAGAGACTAGTAAGTTACAAATCAAATTACACACAATTTAAGAAGGAAAGAAAAACACAAGGTACAGAGAGATCTCCATATCTAATTAATCTACACAAACAAAAGATGAGTAGATTTTCAATTAGACCAGACATGGAGAAAGCCATGCCTGTTTCCGGTGTAGATTTCATTACGTTCCTCGTCATAGAAGAGAGATGTTATGTCTTCCAACGCCTCAGCAACCGCAGTTTTCCTCTGCTTGGAGTTTCTCGAACCGCTACTACTGCACTCTTCCTCCTCCTCTTCCTTTGGAGGGGCATCGTTTGCTTTTATCTTAGCCAAGCATTTCCCAGTCAAGATATTGCTTATGTTAATCGATCCCGCTGCAACATCAACCAAAACCACAAACAATTTCTCAAGCTGCATTCTTTTAAACCATATCAACTTTCTTGATTAAAAAATGTGGATGAGTCTTGCTTACCATTTCCTTCCATCCACTGATCTTCAGTATCTGCCTTGCAATATGAGATGATCATATCCTGATCGCTTGTTATGTAGATGTTATTTGTGTTACAGTCTGGATGCCAAAGAAGGTGGTCCTCAAACGAGGTCACAAGCTCTCCGCGGAAGTTCCACACAGAGACATTTCGGTTCCTGAACGTTAGAAACAACTGGTTCTCGTACAAAAATATGAATGCGGAGGGCGTCATGAACTCGGTTGTGCTAACTTGTATCTGCTCAGCGTTTCGGACCTTTTAAAGAACAAAAACTCTATTAGAAACATAAAAAGAACACACAAGTATATCATAAAGAGGTTTGAGCCAAGAATGTGAATAACTCACGTCAAGAATCTGAAGATTCTCATTCTCTTGCTTAACGAGAAGCTTTTCATTGAATTGTTCAATGAAATCAACTTTCTTCTTCTTGTGAAGCAGATGGTTGAAGGACTTGAGAACCGTGCCATCTTCGATTGATAGAATCTGCAAAGGCACATGGCTTGTAGCTCTCTTGAAAGTCAGTAACATTATCCCTGGACTGTTGCAGGAAAAACACATGCACGAGTTATAGATAACACATAGCAAAGTTGACAAATCATCCAATCCAATCAAGCACACCGAACACTCACAGGAAGGGAAAGACAGATATAGAAAAGCTCACCTGATCTTAATTTCCTGGACACTCTTGTCTGATATCGAATAATACAGCATGGAATAGTTATTCAGGTCAAACACCTTGTAAACACTGCAAAGCAAGGCTCTGGCTCAGTTGAGAAACTTCAAGTCAACACGAATATGCAGAATATGTAAACGAAGACCAGAAAGTACCTGTCTTGTGCAGAATATGTAAGCCTGGCCATTTTAGTGACTCAGGCTCAAAAAGAGGATACCCTGCGTTTGGTTGACTCCTCAGAATATATCTAACAGTACCAAAAGAGCAAAACAGATTAGCTTTAAGAGTGTGAGAGCTAGCTTAAGAAGGCACAGCAGCAACAAGAGTTAGTCATACTCGATTCTGGTGGATCTGCATTTCAAAGAGAGGCGTAAACAGAAACAGTGATGAGAGAGTCATTGTTCTTGTTGTAGAACAAGCTCCGGATGACTTCATCAGGGCTAACATTCAAAAAGCAAACCCTTTTGTTCGTCTCTGCAATCACATTACACAAACCCAAAGTTTAAAAATCCCAAAAAAATGTCAGCATCAAATCACAGTGACAAAGTGCAAATTTAGAGTAGAAACCTCTGCTGAAAGCTGCGCAAACACCAGAATGAGCAAGCGCAAAGACAATGTCTCTCGCAGCCACAATCTCGATGACTCTCGTTCGTTTCATCAAGAAGGGTAATGCGTACCCTTTGGGATCGTGCGTATCGTAATGCTCCTGATTGATTTCAAATTTTCAAAATTTCGAAGATTTGAGAAAATTGACGAAAGTTCGATGAAAAACCCAAATTGAGGAGTGAGAGAGAACATACCACGAGACGCATATTGCGGAATCGCTCCTGAGCGGTGCTAATGGAGAAACCTCGATCCATACGGGACGAGATTTCTCTGCGTTGAAGCTTTTTGACGCTGTTGATGAATCCATCGGGACGAGTTCTCTTCTTCGCTGAAACTCTCCTACCGCTGCAAGGTCTAGGGTTTGCTATGATCCTTCTTCCTTCCATTATTAGCTTGAGTTGAAGATTTAGAACAGAAGAATCATGGACTTGAAGAAGAAGAAGAAGAAGGGACGAGGACTGGAAAGGAACAAACTTGCCGACTGCAAATTGATGCAGCAGGAGAGGTTCCAATGGCAGATTTAGGCTCTGTTACAAAAATTCAGTGTCAATCTGAATCTGTGGGCCTATAGGGGATTAAAAAAGAAAAGGAGCCATATGAAAAAAAATATCACAAGAAAGTTAGGCTTTGCTTCTGGTTTCTGTGTTAGGGGATATCACATTTTTGAGTTTTTGTTTTTGCTTGTGATTGCAAATTGTCTTCTTTTTGGTTTTTCTCTTTAATTTTCACTGTTTTGAAAGTAGATTAGGTAAAAAAAAATGATTTTATTTTGTAATTTAGGTATTGAATCTTGAATGTTTGACGTAATATATCTATGAACATGTAATTTCGCGGTTTCATAATTTTCAATTTTCGATTCAGCGCTAAACTATAATTTCAATTTCGCGCCAAATCTTAGTTTCATTTTTATGTTAAATCGCAGTTTCATAACCGGTTAATAGTAATTATGTTTTCGCGCCAAAACTTAAATTTTAATATTTATTTGCGCTAAATCATGATTTCATAACTTTTGTATTTTTATGCGATTTTGTAATGTATTTTCGCGCCAAATTTTAAATTTAAATATTTATTTGCGCTAAATCATAATTTTATAACTGTTGTATTTTTATGCGATTTTATAATTTTAGTGTTAAATCTCAATATTAAGATTTTAACACCATGCATATAGTTAGTGTCAATACTTTTATGAATTCGTCCTAGAAACTTTTCTTCATGGTTCATGACCCTAGAAAACATCAGCCACTTTGCAAGCTCTTAGGAATCTCCTTCACCGGAAACTCTTCTCCGGAGATCGGAGCACCTCTTTCCCGGATCCTTCCGATGCTTTTGTTCATCCTCCGCCGGTGAGCTTTATATTGAGTTCTAAAGTGCATCATCTATTTTTCTACTATTTTGCTTTGCTTTTCTTTTTCTTTTTTTTTTTTTGTACAACTCTTAATTTTCATAAGTTAAAGTTGTGTGTTATAAACTTATAATAAGATAGGGAATTAATCATTCTCTTAGATCTTTATTATTTGACACTACATATTTATCATGTTCATCTAAGATTCTAAAGCAAAACAGGGAAAACAAAAAAAAAGATCATGCACTTTAGAACTCAGTTCCAAGATTTAGACACAAATTTTTGATTTTACGATTCCACTAGTAATTAGGCGCAAATTAAGAAATGAAGGGATCCACTAGACAAACGTTGACTAATAGGTATGACATTAATGTAACTCATTTAATTTCGACATAAATTTTGATATTGGTTGACCCAAATTCTAGCATTTCTTTTGGCAAAACCGTTAAGAATTTATTTTACCCAAAAGAAAAACTGTTAAAGAATTAACAACGATTTTGTAACGAATGGTTTCATCAAAAGTGAGCAAGAAAGCAGTCACAAACTAAAACCTCTTTATTTTTCTTGTCAACTCAACATCAAACTTACATTTACCGATAACTATTAAACATTTGATTGCATTTTGCAGTATCAAGTCCAAAAACAAAAACGTAAACCAAAAGTTAGACCTGTTCATGTGTGTACACTTTCAAGAACACAATCATAAATTACATTAAAAAAGGAACTAATTTACTTACAAAGCTTAAAAAAAAAGAAAAATCAATAAGATCGAAACATTTGGTCGAGGATGATGGTAAATGCCATGGCCACACGAGGCTCCATCTCCGATTCAACTATAAGTTTAAACACATCTTTTCCAAAGGCAACTCCTCCGACCATTGCCTCTTTCCTCTTGATCTCCGCCATTTTCTTCTTATTCCTCCTCTCGTCCAACATTTTGCAGCTTCTTTGACCGTATGATCCCTCAATCTCGTACCACATCGTCTTCTTTGCGCTGATCCACGCCAAGGTCCTCCGGTTTGTTAGTATGTTAACGTTCTTTCTCGCCGTGAATATTGGGTTTCTCTCTGTTTCTCCATCGTATACCATCCAGCAATCTCCAAAACTCAACTTCTGCTCAAGTAAAAATTAAACAAGGAAATAATATTAATAATAGTTTCATTATATTTTAATAACAAATCTTTCGTGTTCTTGCGATTTCTATAGTTAAGGATCTTGCCATGTGGGTCGATCAGGTTTGGATTCAAGTTCTTGATATATTTATTATAATTGACCACTGTATATGTGTTTTAAATTTAGATGACAAGAATATCTAGCTATGGATGTTGATTATCAAGTTACTTAAGAAAGAAGAGTACCTTGCGGCGGATGGAGAGGAGGGGTAAGCCGGAAGCGTCCATAAGGACGATGTTGTCTTTAGGAGAATTCATGTAATTGTCAACCCTAAAGACAAGATCTCCTTTGGAGTTGTAAACTGTGAATCCGTCGCAGTTGAAGAGAAGAGACTTCTTCCACACCGTTAAGACGACGGCTGCTTTACTATCACACAAGCTCTCCTCGCAAGTGTTTGGGAATTTTGGGTGAACTTTTGTCATCGATCTCTTTTTCTTTGATTATGCGTGTTTCTTTGTTTTTGTGTGTGGGTTTTGATGATGGTTGTTGTTGGAGAAGATGAGTTGATCTTTGTTTGTTGGACAAATGAGAAGAGGTTTGGGTGTTTATATATACACAAATGTAGAAAGAGAGAATGTGGTGCTCAAATGAAAAGAATGGTCTCATCTTCTTTGTTGTCCACTATAGAGATATCCTTTTCACTCTATTACTATAAGATATCTAGTCTTTTTTATTTAAGTCGGTTTTTGATGCATTTAAATGTTAATAAATTGTTTCACCTAAACTCCAACAAAATATTATATATGAACCTTTGTTTTTGATTCCTGATATTACCAACATTGGACCTACAAAATAGCTTATGGTCTCACGTTTAATATAACTCTAACGCTAACTCTAGTCACAGAAAAACATAAAAGAGAGTACTACATCTAACTCTAGTTCGTTCACATGGTCGAAGTTTTAAGAAATTTACAAAATAAACAAGAGTACTATATACTGCTGGCAATTGTGAGTTTGTGACCCCATTTTTGAACTGATAAACTAAAGTAATTTATTTAAGGAAAGACACAAAAATGCATTTCAAATAGGAGTCCTTCTTATGTTTCGCTTTAAACATTTCTATGATCATCGTTCTCTCTTTATTTTCCTTAACAAAGTTTGTTTTAAATAGAGAATATTATTGTCTCACAAAAAGAAGGAATATATAGCACACGAAAACCTACGGGCCATAACCATCGTCATTTCCAGTGCATCTTTCTATGACGGAAAAGGTGAGTCTCTATATGAAAAGTTATTCTTCACTTTCTTATACTACTATTACTATATCTGCAAGATTATAATTATCGCATTATGAATAATCGGAAAGTAATATATGATCACTAGTCTCTAAGATAATCAATATGTATATTCATTATCCCAAGTTTTAAAGATTACTTGGTGGATCAACGTCTCGCAAGTCCTAATCCTAATTCTGGTTAAGAGCTCTTCTTAATCCAATTATCTTTCAAACATTTGGTAATGAATTTTTAAAGATATCATCAAGCTTTGAATGATCAGCATGGACATGGAGCCAAGGAAAAAAAAAACATAAACATAATCTAGTGGAGGATAAGAGCGAGTCGAAAGCAAAGTTCAAATAAAAAATAATAATCATTCAACCATGGACGTGGAATAAAAATGAGTTAATAAATCGAGTTTTGAACCAATCCTTGGTCCAAATATGATAATATTTGGAAGGTGGACCACTTTACCATGATTATAAATAATTAAGCTTAAGAAGAAAGTGTGTGGCGGAGAAGCAATTAGCGGTGGGAAGAAGAGAAAAGAAACCACCCCAACAAAAATTTCCACTAAATGTTAAAAGAAATGAAAACTTAAACTATTATTTTCATCGTGAGATTTTTCCACGTCCATTGTTGTAATGAATGTTCCACTTACGTTGACCTCTATGATTTTTTAATTCCTTTCGTTATCTATCGTTTGTTATAAAATTTATAAACAAAAAGATTGCGGTTTATGCGTCACATGTAAAACAAAAAAAAGTGACTACGACATTTGAGAGGTAAGACGCGTCCCACTTTCGCCAAAAACAGTGGATTGAAAATTACGCACACTGCAATTGATCGATTCGAATATGTTCTGTTTCTTTAATATAATGCAATGCAGTTGTAGTACAACCTAATGTTTTTTGTCTTCCTACCAAATCTGATTCCTCGCTAGCTAGTCACTACTCTATACCAGCTGATTATTCCTCTCCTTTTAGGTTTAGTGTGTTTTCAACTTTTTATATGTTCATTTTTGCATCCTACCTCGTACGTCATCATTAAATGGAATGAAGGTGTTTCTAAGTATAATACAAGACCTTTGGTTACGAATGATGAATCCGATTACATATTTACTGTGAATGATATCTCTCTAGGGGCTTTTGACTATTATTATATCGATATGTTTAAACTAGATCGATTTTCAACAAAAGTTTCATATCATATCTCTAGTCTGATTTTTCTTTATAATATTGTCTGACTTGTTCGAATCTCCAAACAATTTAACATTACCACAAACCAAACTTAACACATCTATGCTACTGAATAGTGAGTACTGATATATTATAGTTTTTTATATGCCCATTTTGCATCCCACCTCGTACCCACCTCTACCTATCTTCCACTATTTCTCTTTCTTTCTCGTGTCCGAAAATAATTCTCCATCCTCTCCAATTTTTTATTTATATTTTGCAATCTGTTCATTAAAATTGTTTCAGTCTCTCCATCTTATCAATAAATAAATAAAAATCAACTATAGTGATTTATGCCCCATGATTCAAAAAGTTGACTTTTTCTGATTCAGTAGCAGTGGATATATTAATCACGTATTCGTTTTCCAAGCGAAACTCAAATGATACCATTATTCAAGCATAAAATTCATGCAAACGAACATGTGATTCCACTGTTGAATCTTTCATCTGAGACAAGAAAAAAATCAATAATGATGTATATTATGTGAGTTTATAAATATGAAATATAAATCCTTTGTCAAAAAAAAAATATGAAATATAAATCAAAGATTTCTAACCCGCCCGGTTTAAAACCTCACTCACAGTATCAGTTTGGGGACCACCTGAAAATGCATGGATATGTGAAATGTGCCGTCCGATTAAGAGATTTTACATGCAAATACAGGAAAACTTTTTCTTTGGGTGCATACATGCGAAAGGTTGATTGTTGAGATCTTCCAAGGATAACAAGACAGAAAATAAGAAACACAAGGGAACAAAAGCCATAAGAACATGTCTTTACATTCAAATGTTAGGACTGAATGTCGGAATAAATAGGAAAGGGGACTTCAGCTATACCCTGAATTACGTTTTTCTTTCTTTCACTACAGTGTAGAAATACAGAGGCTCATGGAGAAACTAGATAAACTTCTTATCACTTTCTATTACGTCAAAAGTAAAGAATAAAAAAGATTCACATGACAAATGGAAAATAACGCGAGGAAAAGAAAAGAATGGCCACACATCTTTTGCCAAAAATCATATACAACATCAAAGTTTCTTCACATCCTCTCTCTTTTTTTAGTAAATCATATATCAAAGCTTTTTTTCAATCAATCTTCATCGCGTCTCTTAAAATCAATTTAGTATCACTTTTGACCCCACTTTCGCTAGCTCTTCTTCTTCTTCCCCCTTCTGCATTTCTCCCTGCAATGCATCCGGGTTTATTTTTACCCCAAAAATTGACACTGACACTCTAAAATCTTTTTTTTTGCTTTGCGTGTGACCTGCTTCTAAAGCATTTTCCTTACTCATCAAGGATTCACGTTACAGTCACTCAAGAACCGATCTTCCCGATTCAGATGATTTCTCCAGTAGTTTTTGTACTGTGGGATTCCCAGCTCAAGCCACGGCTTCATGTTCCCGTTATAGTGCAATATGGCTGCGTTTTTTATGCTTTGGGTATTGATATAGTAGTCGTAACCGAGTCCCGATAGAGCCCATTTGTCGTCGAGAGCATAAACTTGGTCTTGAAACGTAAGCAAGCTTGCTTGCAATGCAATTGCTTCTCTCGACTCATCTCCACCACTCATCTGCTACACAAAGAAAGTAAAGTCACCATCGCTCACAAACAAACATACAGAATCTACCCAATTTCTCAGATAACTGACCTCTTTATAAAACTTATGGTAGGTTTCTGAAACACCTAACTCCCTCCATTTAGCAAGATCAATGACATTCAATCCAGACATCCAGAGACATGCATTACTATTAAAGCTTCCTCCCTTGAGACTCTTTAGCTGACCTAATCTAACAGAGCAGGACTTCACAGCGCCATTCACTTTCCCTGCCATGTCAAGCTCCCAAAGGGGAGATAAGTCTCGCTGGACTACGACGTCATCATCCAGAATCACAACCTTTTCCAACTTGTGGAATAATTTGGGAAGAAGGTAATGAGACTGAGAGAAAAGGGACAAGTAGTGTGTTCTATTCTCCGAATTATCACCACCGGTGAAGGAGACACGGAACTCTGTAGGCAAAGTCAGTTTCATTTCTGAACTGTCCATCTCGAATTTTTCAATGTTCAATACTTGAACAGTTGCTTGTTTGCAGGGATTCCTGATAAACCATTGTTTCATCGCAAAGTAATTCTGCTCGTCTGTCAGTACGTGGAAAACAAAGTTTTTACTTTCCTGAGACATCAAAAGCCAACCAAGAATAAGAAATAAGGATTCTGTGAGTGCATGAAAAAAGTATAAAGTAAAGATGATAGTTGGACTTTAAATACATACCCTTGCGTGTACAACCGTTGAGTTGATCACAACGGACGATGCAAGTATATTGTCAGAGATGATAACAAAGTGAAGCAATGAGGGATCTGAAAATTTCTCACTATCCTCAATATCAAGTGCAGCTGACTTGAAATATTCAACAGTTAGTCTCATTGACAAGCAATGATGACTCTTAGGCATTGTCTGTATTGCAAGCTGGTAGAGGAACACACTCTGTTTCATGTGGAAACTAGCTTCGTCCTCGGTCAAATCCAGGATCTGTCTCAATTTCTTGTCAACATTGTTACAGTCGACCGGAAAAGTCTTTGCCTTTGCAATTACAGCTTCCATCTTCTGAAACCTTTTATCAACCCTGGCAGAACAGTGGAAAGAGAGACACAATAAGTACGGTTAAGGAATTTAGCAGATGATTATACACATAAGCTGCCTACTGAATAAGTTAAGTGAGGTTGTTATGGTTAATTACTTAAAACGTCTAAAAGCAAGTAAACCAATAGCAAACAGGATAACTGCAACCTACGAGAGATTCATGTGAGCAGCATCCAACAAGATCTTTTCAGTATAAGTATGGTAAAGAACTTACTGCGGCGGAAGATCATTATCTGCCGAACTTTCACTAAGAATTTTCTCAAAATCTTGGATATTCTGTTTCATATCCCGAGTCAACTTGCTTTGAGAAGGCATTTTAGCAATAGTTGGATAGTATGCCCTAGCCACAAATAGCAGATCCTTCATGTGCTTCACCTTAGCATCTTTCATCGGTTCCTTATTTTCCTCTCTCCAGAGGCAGTAGCTCCCATATTTCACTTCACAAGTTTTCTGAGTTTCATCACCACTTACTGTTGCCCCCTGACCACCTTTATCTGAGGCTTCAATTTTGGTATTCTGTTCAAAGAATAAGGCGAATAAGGTTATCTTTAGACGACTGCTGAGAGATACAATGACTAAAACAGAAACTACTTAAACCATTCGTACATTTGCAGGGCTTGGGTTGGCAACAACAGTTGGGGACACTGGTAATCCTGCACATTAATTGAGGGAGCAGACATAAAGTTGCAGATCAGAATCAAAATAAAATAATGGGAGAGGAATTTCAAGAAGTGGGACATGTAAAGCAAACCTCGTTTCTTAGGAACACTGCTGCTTGCCCCATTCATATCTACGGAACCCACGTATACGTCGCTTTTCTAGCATGTTAAGAAAACAAAAACGGTAGTGTAAAAAAATCTTACAAAGCAGTTTAACCATTTCACCAGAGTAACCAATTCTTGACCTCGCCTTAGACAATTTAAAATACATAGGTACTTCAAGTTTTTAACTTTCCAGTCTCATGAGATAGCCATATAAAACATTTCACTCATTCATCCAAACTTTCTACCCCTTAACTCTTAAGCATCATCATACAAAAAAATACAAAAAGTGCTTAGCAACAGCCTCTTGAGGTCTGGTTTATTTGTTGTGCCAGGAAAGCTTTCAGATTCACTGGTAAATTATGGGGCATCTTGCATAGTTTTATATAAGTTTCTTCCTAATCTTAGCATTCACAATATGCAGGAGTACTGGCAAACCTGATAGATCAGATATAGCCAAGCTTTCTATAATCAAACTACAAAGCTTATACATCTTCACATCACTCAAAAGACAAGATTGGAAACATTGATGCCAAGAATAGTGACATAATTCATTCTTCAGTGGTAGAAAATTGAACATATATAGACCAGATCTGAAATGTGTGCGTCAAGTTGAGTGTAGTGGGTTCTCCAACGATCAAAAAGGTTTCAATCACATTTGAGCCCAAAAAAAAAAAATGAAACCCCCCAGAAATGCCTTAAACAACAGTGAGACAGTGGAATCTACAAAGGATATAATTGGAGAACCAACCTTGGGAAGAACTGGATTGATCTTTTGGAGAACCTCATCGACTCTGTCAGATAGATCTCTCTGCAATAGCGAGGAATGAAGATCAAAAACGCAGCAAAACGATTTGGTATAAATGGGAATCGATTTGATCAGTTACAATACCTGGGTATGTTTAGTAGCATTGATTCTGCTTAAGCTCTCAAACTGATTCCAAAGAAAGAAACGTTAGAACAAAATCAACCATTACTCGCCTCTTAAAAAGCAACAGAGAAAGGGAATGAATGCTTACAGGAGAAGCCGGTTGAACAGTGACAAATCCTGGAGGATAAGAAACAGAGTGAAGAAAAAAAGAGGAGAGATTAGATAGATCTGAGACAAGAGATCGAAGAAAAGCAGAGTGTGAGAGAACGAAAGAGATAAGAGATACCAGGAGAGTGAAAGCCGTTGTGAAGGCCGAGCAAAAAAGCAAGAGGAACAAGCATAGAGAGGATAACGAGAACCAAAACTCCAATAACCAGAACTTTCCACCGGCGCTTTCCGCCTCCGCCTACACCACCACCTCCTCCACCGCCTCCGCCTTTCATGTTCCCGATTTAGATTGAATCAATGCCTTCAAATTACGAACCGCATTGGATCCCAAAACGTCGGCAACGATGTTTTCCTCTCCTCGATTACACACTCAAATCCACACTCTCTTCTAACGATGCCAATACGTATCTCTCTCTCTCTCTCTCTCTCTATCTGTGTGGCCTCGCTCTGTGTGTGTTGCAGAATGCAGAACTATGAGTGCTGCACTTTGCTCGATCGCATCGTCCCTTCCCCTTTGTTTTTTTGTTTGCTACTTGGAAGGGGAGATACACAACATTACTCTCTCTTTTTCTCGCACGTGTGGAACTGTCTCTGCCGTTTGATTATTCAGCCCACTTGCGAGATCTATCTCCAGATCATTACACGTGTCTTTTTCACACGGTGTTACATTATTTAATTTATTTTTTTAATTAATTTTTTACATCGTTTATAGTCCCACCGATAAATCCAAAACTCCGGTATGCCTAGCGATATTCGTCATCGTCAACGCCATTGACGCTTATACACTGGTAATTTCTCCTCCTCCTCCTCCGTATTTTCCAATTTCTCCGATTTCATTTTCCGTTTGTTTTTTCGTTTGCTAAGAAGTTGTGTAAGAAGAAATTTTCGCCAACTAAAGAAAGTTGATTGTGAAAGCATATGACAGTCTTGTAAAATCTTTGTTCTTTTTGGGTTTAATCTGGTGCATTAAGATGTAATGAAGGAGATGAGTTAAAAAGGATCAAACTTTTGGAATATTAAGCTAATTACTAAATCACTCTTATATGCATTGTTTAAGCTTGCTTGTCTTAAGTTCTCATATCTAGTCTGTTTTTATTCAGACTGAGTAGGTTTCTTTCATTGATTTTTCTGTGTGTTTAATGTGATTCAGTGACTGTTCATTTCATTTCGAGCATGTTCTTGATCGCGAGGAAAGCTTTGGCCTCGGCGCAAAATAAGGCTATTCATTTGAGCACAAGGGAAGTGCATTGCCTCAGCTCAATTTTAGTGTCTCCTCCTCTTGTCTCTCTTGACTTGCCTGAAAATTGGACTCCTTACTCTGATCATCCACCTCCTGTTTCTTTTGGTAATTCCTTCTCAAGACTATTGTAACTATTTATTGCATTTACATGGTTTTGTTATCTTCTCATTCAAATATGATCACAAGAAAATTCTCTGATTGTCTGAGTTGACGTCTGCAGTCTTAGTTGTACCTGTACTTCTCTTATCTATATTTATGTCCTTTTCGCAGAGAGTGAACAGAAGACTGTGGTGATAGATGGTAAAGTTATCTCCGAGGAAATCAGAACAAAGATTAGTGATGAAGTGAGGAAGATGAAAAATGATATCGGAAAAGTCCCCGGCCTTGCGGTTGTTTTGGTCGGCCAACAAAAAGACTCGCAAACTTATGTCAGGAACAAGATTCTTGCTTGTGAAGAAACTGGTATTAAATCTGTTTTAGCTGAATTGCCAGAGGATTGTACCGAAGGGGAAATTATGAGTGTGTTGGCAAAATTCAATGAAGACACCTCTGTTCACGGGGTTCTTGTGCAACTTCCTTTGCCTCAGGTAAATTTCACATTTTTGTGTGCCACAGAATCATGACATTGTGATGAGGTGTGTTAATGCTGTTGACTTAAAAAAATTAGCTCTATCTTAAGAGGTCAAGTTTCTATGTTTGCTTTTGATCTAGTACTTATTTGTAGAAGTACTTAATAGTGCACGCTTGAACATGTACTCTTTGCATAACAAGTTTCCTTGGAAATTTATGGTGTGCAGCATCTTGATGAAGCAAAGATCTTGAATATGGTGAGGTTGGAGAAAGATGTTGATGGGTTTCATCCATTAAATATGGGGAACCTCGCAATGAGAGGTAGGGAGCCACTATTCGTATCTTGCACACCTAAGGGCTGTGTAGAGTTGTTGATCAGATCAGGCGTTGAAATAGCCGGAAAAAACGCTGTGGTGATTGGACGAAGCAACATCGTTGGACTGCCAATGTCTTTACTCTTGCAGGTATTAGTCTTTTTTGTAGATAGTGCAAGAGTAAGCATTTTGGTTTGTAATGTCTTTTTACTGACATTGTTGAATAGAGGTATGATGCTACAGTAAGCACGGTGCATGCTTTTTCAAAGGATCCAGAGCAGATTACTAGGGAGGCTGATATTGTGGTTGCAGCTGCTGGTATACCTAACCTGGTCCGTGGAAGTTGGCTGAAGCCTGGAGCTGTTGTCATTGATGTCGGAACATGTCCTGTTGAGGTAAAGAGAGAAACAGAAACTGATATAAAGTATTGCTAAACTGATTAAAAGGTTAGAGCCTAAATAAAGAGAGGACTTGGGATTGTTTTGTTGTTAATGGCAGGATAGTAGCAGTGAGCATGGTTACCGTCTTGTTGGGGACGTATGTTACGAGGAAGCCTTAGGTGTTGCTTCGGCTATTACTCCTGTACCTGGAGGAGTCGGTCCAATGACGATTGCCATGCTACTATGCAATACTTTGGATGCTGCCAAGCGGATATTCCTCTGATTATATGGTACATTCTCTTTAAGAGGATATGGGATATATTCCATTTTGTTGGAGTTGACTACAAAAACCCTTTATAGATTTCTGACTTATAGTCTTCGTTTCTAATATAAGCTTTTTCCTGAACGGTGGATGCCATATCATTGCCATGGTTTAGTCTACTCATGAACATCAAATTCAACAAAATTGCGGCGAGGAGTCTTAATGCTTGTTGTAGTGGGAATGATTTTTGTTTTTCATTAGGCGTTGTACAAGATGGGAAGCCATTTAGTTATGGATGGTAGTTGGATCATTGGATCAGTGGTAGTTGAATCTCACAAGTAACATCAAAAGGATGGAGGATGAGTCAAGCAAGAGGTGTCACATGAAGGGTCACGAAAGATATGCTTCTTCCAATATTTACACGTGTTTTTAAGTTGCTTTCACCTTGAGGATCTAAAGTGTGGGGAAGAAAAAATATCTGCTTTAGTTGTTGCCGTCTGGTATGATTTATAGGCTTTTGACAGTTTCTGCTTGTTAAAAACCAATAAAATAATGTTATTTATGTTGATCAGTTTCATATAACATTTGGTTTACCGTTTAGTTTAATTTGTAAGCCAAAAATTAGATCAAAAACGGTGATTAATTATGAACCAAGAATTGTCTAGATCATATTCAGCTGAGCACGTTTTCATGCTAAACCGAACCAAACCAAAACCGGGAATATTTCACAGCAGCTGAACAGGTTTTTACATTTAACCAGAACCAATTAATTTTGATTCGGTTTAGGTGCATTTTGTCTGGCTCTAGAGAAAATATCAAAATAGGGAAGAAGGAAAAATAGGATTCCGATTTCCGAGTCTCTAGTTCCAAAAGAGAAGAGGGAACGTCTGTGAGAGAGAGATCTGATTCTGAGACGCCTGGGAAATGTGAATGAAAAAACAATAAAGGATAAAGGATAAAAAAGGATCTGAGAGTGAAACAAATTCTGTAAACAAAAATGGTTTGGGAGAAGGAGAAGATCGTCGGAAGTTGTTTGGTCGGAGGAGCTGCGTTCGCCGTCGGAGCTTCCTTCCTCCACCTTTTCCTTAAAGGTGAGCTTCCGTTAGGCTTAGGGTTAGGCTCGGGTTTGCCATGGTGCAGCTTCAGAAAACGGAAGCCCGTTCGCGTCTACATGGACGGTTGCTTCGACATGATGCACTACGGCCACTGCAACGCCCTACGGCAAGCTCGTGCTCTCGGTGACCAATTGGTGGTCGGCGTCGTCAGCGACGAAGAAATCATCGCTAACAAGGGACCTCCCGTTACGCCTCTTCACGAGAGGTCTCTCTCTCTCTTTCTCTCGATCCCAAATTCATTTGTTGTGCCTTCCAATTTTGATTATGTTTGTTTTTGATTATCTGATTTCGTTTTCTCTCAGAATGACAATGGTGAAGGCTGTCAAGTGGGTGGATGAAGTTATATCGGACGCGCCTTACGCGATAACGGAGGATTTCATGAAGAAATTGTTCGATGAGTACCAGATCGATTACATCATCCATGGAGACGATCCTTGTGTTCTTCCCGATGGTACCGATGCTTACGCACTCGCGAAGAAAGCTGGCCGTTACAAGCAGATTAAGCGCACTGAAGGAGTCTCAAGCACTGATATCGTTGGTATTAGCTTCGTTTCCGATTCGCTTTCTGAAATGTTTAATCACATGGATGTTTCCAAAATTCTTGAGTTTGCAATCCGTGTATGTGCAGGTCGTATGCTTCTCTGTGTGAGAGAAAGATCTGTTAGCGATAGTCATAGTCATTCCTCTCTGCAGAGGCAATTTAGCCATGGACATAATAGCCCAAAGTTTGACGACGGAGCTTCTTCTGCTGGTACTCGCGTCTCGCATTTTCTCCCTACTTCCCGCAGGATTGTTCAGTTCTCTAATGGCAAGGTATGCGAGTCTTAAAGAGTGTCTAGTCCTCATTCCTCAAGTTCTTGACCATTTTATCTTACTTAGACACATATCCGCTAGTTTTAACTTGGATAATTTTCCTTGATAGATTCACTTTTCCCTTATATCTGTCAGTTTTTTTCATTCTCCTCATAATTGTATCTCTGAAGTTACATGCTTATGGTGACAGGGGCCAGGACCTGATGCACGCATCATTTACATAGATGGTGCTTTTGATCTTTTCCATGCTGGCCATGTTGAGGTATAGTAAGCTCATTTGGTGCAGACGAACCAAATTTGTCAAGTCTTTATGTTATTCATTTCAAGATTGAATATGTACTATCGACATACTTGAACGCTAATATATATTTAACTACATATGGCTTCATATCTTATATGTTTGTTCAGTTTTATTTTGCCAATGTGTTGATTCTTGTTCTTGATTTACTTGACTCGTACAGATTCTCAGGCGTGCTCGAGAGCTTGGGGACTTTCTACTTGTTGGAATACATAATGACCAGACTGTCAGGTAAAAAAAACCTCACTATTGGAGTCTGCTTTATTGTGATTGTCTCAGTTTTTATTTTCTTATCGTTTCTCTTTCATGTCCTGGCCAGTGTTAGAGGATTGGTTAAGTTAATTGTTGCTGTTAGTTTTAGGCATAGCTCTTTTCCCACACTTTGGTATCTCTAGCCTTAATTCTTATCTGTGTTGTGAAGTTTAGATGTGCATAACTGTATCTCTGCTTAAAGTCGTCTGACCAAATTGTGCTTGTTATACGTTGTTGTGCAGTGCTAAAAGAGGAGCTCATCGCCCAATTATGAATCTCCATGAAAGGAGCTTGAGTGTTCTGGCGTGTCGCTATGTAGATGAGGTGATAATTGGTGCTCCATGGGAAGTGTCGAGAGATACGGTGAGCTTATCTGCTCTTTACTTAACAATATCCAAATGACCTTCATGGAAAAGCTAATTCTGACAATGATTTGGATATTGCAGATCACGACATTTGACATCTCGATGGTGGTTCATGGGACAGTAGCCGAGAGCGATGATTTTCAAAAGGTAAAGATAAGATTTGGATGTCAGTAAATGTATTAGCTAAAAGAAAAAGAGCTGTGTTTTCTCAGTGTGTGTGGTTGATGATTTGGCAGGAGGAAGATAATCCATATGCTGTACCAATAAGCATGGGCATATTCCAAATTCTAGATAGCCCTCTTGACATCACAACTTCCACCATAATCAGGAGAATTGTAGCCAACCACGAAGCTTATCAGGCAAGTGTTTTTTTTCTTTCCTTTTTTGGCTCATTCTTCTTCTTCCTGTTGCTTCACTCTGACCAATGCCTCACTTCTGTGTTCTACAGAAGCGTAATTTGAAAAAGGAAGCGAGTGAGAAAAAGTACTACGAGCAGAAGTCTTTTGTGACCGGCGACTGATAGAATCAGAAAAGCTACATATGCTTAGAGCTTTTAAGTCCATCTTTTGGGGATGTGAATCAGTTTCTCTCTTCTTATCTTATTATATATCTTTGTACTGGCTATATATTAGGAGGGTGTTTTTTGGATGAGACTCCAATGCTCATAATACAGTTTGTTCTCTATTTACCTAAAGAGAGCATTGATGGTTTAGTACACCAATTGCTTCTTTTATTCTCTTCTCTCTTTGGAAATCTTTTCATTTTATTTTTACTTTGATTTGTTGCCTGCCCCAAATATAATTTTTGATTGTGCATACTACATATGCTTACTATCTCAGATAATACAACGATGAACTTCATTATACAACGATGAGCTACAACTCTCTCAATAATAATCCTTTTATCTTCTACAATTCTACTTCCAATATTGCTTTCATGAACTGAAATAAAGAGTCTTGTTCTTGAAAGGCATAACAGCTAAGTCTCTTCTGTTGAGAATAACCGAGAAACAAGCTCCACAGCTCCCCACATCGGTGCATCATTCTTTTTGAGACCCACAAAACATAAAATCTTAGTCAGCAACTTTTCAGCTTATACAGATCATCTATATGTTCAACATCGAGTGCGTATGTGACACTTACAAGATAAACAAGATCAAATGCTTGACGGTAGCTTTCAAGACTCTTCTCAATGTTATCATTCCTGGAGAAGTAAAAACACAGTCAAGAGGAGATCGAAAACAGAGCAGAAGCATATAGAAGAAGAAAGAAAAACACTCACAGAAATCCAACAGAGATTCGAGTCTCATAACTCAAACCATCAGACATCCTCAAATCTCCCAAATGATCTCCCATAAGCAAAACGTTTGTTCGTTGTTTCACGTATGCATTTGCTTCATCTTCATCTTCCTCACCAGTGTCAACACCAAGCTGATCGTGAAGCGGACCAGCCATGTCTAAAGCGTGTTCGTTCTTGTTTAGCACATGAATTAGCTTCCCTGGATCGTTTTAAGTTGCAGAGACCAAATCAAAGTTTATAAAACTGCAAGATATCAATTTGACTGACAACAAAGTAGATTTCAATTTTCCAGCAGAATAATCATTCACCAAATATACCTTTGAAAGACACAAGCCGTCCATTATCATCGAACACCATCCTGTTTGAAACAATCTTTACATTCTTGAATGTTCTGTGAAGGTTCTGCCTCAAAACCTGTTAAAGAAAAGTGAGAATAGAGCCAAAAAATCATATCCATTATATAAGCAGCACCAAATAAGAGATAAATCTGATTAACTTATACTCTAGATTCACCTCTTCAATGACATCAGCAAGTCCTGCTGAAAAAATCAAAACTGGGATCTCCTTTTTCTGAATCAAATTGCAAAAAACGTGGATTAAATATAATAATAGCTAATTCTTATACCAAACAAGTATAACTACAATCATGGTTTTGATCCTTTACCTCCAAGAATTCAAACAGTTCAACCACACCTTCTCTAAAGGCTATGGAAGAATTCTCAACAGATTTCTTGATTGCATCATATGTTAAACCTCCCTCAATCAGAAGATCATGTGTTTTACTCCACCTTGTAACACCATCATCACAACAAGAAGAAAGTTTGTCAGGTATTTTCCAATTAGAATATCAAATCGCAAAGCAAATGTTAGTATATATGACTGATAAGAGAGTATCATACCATTCTTCCATGAGTTTGGTTTTTTCGTCAATAGGAATCACAGGAGAAATCTCGAGAGGATGATAATGATCATATAATGCTTGCCTCTTAGCATCATATTCTGCATTTCCTTGCTGCAAGAGGTTATGACTAGCTATAAACAGATTATAGTTTCAGCTTGATTGATTTTGGTTTAAGTGAGAAGATAAGATTAGGATTGATAAATGTGTATGGAGACATACTCTGGCCTCGAAGTCCATTGACTCGGTATCTCGTCAAAGTCGCATCGAAATCTGCAATTACCTAACAATTCGCAGAGACCCAAACAACACAAAATTAAAATCTTTCAGTGAAGAAAACTTTGACCTCGATTCCGAGATGAAGAGAGAGAGGGAAAGACCTGAAATTTGGACGGACCCGCGTCACGAATCAAGGTGATTTTATCGGTGAGAGCTCGAGGATGATCTATCACAGTGTTGGCAGATAGATTACGCTGCTCCATTTGATTCGTCGACAGAGAGCAATTCTGAGAGGAAAAGGAAAAGTTTTTACGGACAATGTTGATAATTCCAATTGATAGAGTGAGAGATATGACTAACTCCGTGGCCGACGCAGCGATATGAGTGTGTTTGCGAGTGATTTCGGCGAACAAATGAGAGACGAATTGACGACGGCGCGTGGAGGCGCGTGCAGCAATTGATTACGCGCATCAGTGAATGAAGAAGCGATGGTTGAAGTCAATCTTATTCTGCGTTACTTTCCTTAAAGGTCTTAACTTTTTAAGTTTTAACATTGACATCTCCTAAAAAGTTGTAACCTTTTTGTATTTCATCATCTTCAGTACAATAGTTACAGTAAATCTGTAAAATGTTTCTTTGGTTTCCATTACAAAAGTTTCCACAACAACAACAAATCAAAACAACAAAAAAAAAGAGAAAAACGTTGCAACAAAATGAGACTAGCAGATTCTATCTAAATCACACTTTAGTAAAGCTCAAGTGGAGCTTTTAGAGAGGCTTAAAGTAGAGGTGGTGATCAGAGAAAAGAACCCTAAAAGCAAGTTTGCATCTACACTTCAATCTAATTACGAATCCATCTCCAGATCTCTCTATCCTCATCCCTTCTCCACAATCTTCTTCTTCTTCTTCTTGCTCCTCCTCCTCCTGCTGCTGCTTCTGCAGTTTTACAATAAAAATTCATCAATAATTATCAAAACCACTCAAGACTTAAAAAGGAAAAAGCGAATGATAAAGAGAAAATCAAACCTCATAAGCATCATAGTTAGTCTCTTCGTGATTCGTCTCCTCCACGCGATTGTTTACCATCTTCGTCGTCTGTTTTAACAACCAATAAAAGATTCTTGATTAGTAGTTAAAAGTAAACCCAGTAGAGAACAAAGATTACAGAAATGCTTAATGATAACAACCAACCTCTGTATCAGGAGTCTTGGAAGCAAACGGCGTCGTTTCTGTCTTCTCGGAAACAGGGCTTGCGTGGGAACAGCTTCTTTTGCCGCCGGTGAGATCCGTGTACCGGGTCGGGTCGTCGATGGTGGAAGATTGGGTTTCCGGATAAGTAAAGCGAAGAGGAGAGTTGATCAAGATCGGGCTTTGCGGGGAGATTTTTCTGCGTTTGGACTGATCGGACTCGTCGGAGACAGGAGAGGAGCGTTTCAAGGGGCTGATCTCAGGGGTAACGTCGGAGAAGAAGGAGGAGTGAGAGGAGTAAGGTGGGGATGGGGAGGAGAGGCGGAGGAGAGATAGATCAATGTCGTCGAGGCTCAGGTTGTTACGGTCTTGGAATTCTTCTTCCGTCGTCATCATCATCATCTTCTTGCTTCCTTCTTCTCTCGCTGATTTCTCTGGAAACGAAAAGTTAAGTGAGAGATTAATTGATAGAGAAAGAAACAGAGAGAAACAGAGTATATAAAAAGGCGCGCAAGTGAATCTATCCGTGGCGGTTAATAGATTCCGGTTCAAATGAATATTCATTAGTTCCGGTTTAGGTAACATTTTCTATTTAACCGGTGGAAATCATAACGTTTATCATTTTTTCATTCGGTTTAACATGCTGTAAGCATTATTGTATACGCAAAACAAACAACTTTTAATGTTTATGCCAAAAATATGTATGCTCACATAACTTATTAAACATTAAATTCGTGTATTATATAATAGAGAAGAGTTACATAATTGCACGAACAGGAGGAATACTCTGTTCATACCTGAAGAAATTCTCAGGATCACACTTAGCTTTAACTTCCATCAACTTTTTCAAATTCCCTAAGAAATATTTCGATCCATAGATCTGAGCTTGATCAACATTCGTCTCATCACTCGGATTGCTTCCAACATCAATGTCTCTATAATTCAAGAACGCCTCTCTCGGGTTGCTTGACACGTACGGCTCCGTCAATTGGTAAAGCTCTTTCATCAGTCTAAGATTCAATGCCGTGTTGTTCACGTCAGACCATAACGCAAAGTAGAGAATCTTGAACAAGTTTCCTTTCCGGTGAGGAAACGCGGTCGCGTTCGCCGGAATCTCGTCCATAACTCCGCCGTAAAGATTCCACTGCATCCACACGTTTTCGAATTTCAACATCAGTTTCCAAATCTTCTCCATTCCTTCTTTCGGTATCGGTTTCTTGACGTAGTCCGACTTGTTCTTGAAGTATGGTCCGGACTGAGACGTTGGCCTATCAAGAAGAACGCTCGTCGATGTCCCAACCGGATAATTATTCCAAAACGTCACCGTGTTAATCCAGTTCATTTCGTGGCAATCCTCACGTTTTAGCCCTAACTCAGGCAAACTCTTGTTTACAATCTCCACTAGCTTCTTTGCTGAGCCTTGGAACTGAGCGTAGAACACAACTGCGATGGTTTTATTTCCGGTCCAGTCGATTATAGTTTGAGGCATTGCTCTCACGAAAAGCTCTCGAGGAAACTTGCTAGACACAAGCTGCCATTTGTAGAGAACATCAGTGGCTCCTTGTTCCAATGTTTTGTTAACCTTAAACACTGTCATGATCTCTGGAACGTCGACGAGGTTGATTGTCCAAGAGAGAATAACTCCGAAGCTCGCGCCGCCGCCGCCACCAATCGCCCAAAAGAGATCTTCTCCCATTGAAGCTCTGTTCAAGATCTTCCCATTGGCGTCAACTAACTGAGCATCAACGACATGATCGACCGAGAGTCCGTATTTTCTGATTAGGTTTCCGTACCCTCCGCCGCTGAAGTGTCCTCCCACTCCCACCGTAGGGCAAACGCCGGCCGGAAACGCTAGCGTTTTGCTACGTTCGGCGATCTTGACGTAAAGCTCTCCCAAAGTCGCGCCAGATTGGACCCAAGCTTTCTTGTTGCGCACGTCAACGGTTATAGATCGGAGATCGTGCATGTCGAGGATGACAAATGGGACAGAGGAGGTGTAAGAAAGGCACTCGAAGTCGTGACCACCGCTTCGGATTCGGATTTGGATTCCGTTGGAGTTTGAGCAGACCACAGTCGCTTGAACATGGGATTCATGTTTTGCGGCGACAATGGCTATTGCTTTTGTGACGTTAGGGTTTGATGAGTACGTTTTCTTTTTCGCGTAGGATATGTAAGATGAGAGGAAGGTAGAGTTGTTGGGAGTGTAGAGGGCTTCATTGATCGGGTTTTGTGGAGTGGTCCGGTGACGAAGGCATTCGAGGAAGTTTCCAATATTTGGTTTGGTTGCTTTTGCATCTGAAATAGAAACAAGAAGCACGATTAGATACAAAAGAGAAACTACTTTTTTCATTTTTTGTTTTTTTTGAAGAACACTTATACAAAAGAAGGATCAAATGTGTACGCAATGTCGTTTTATGTATTTTTTTGGATTTTATAATTTATAGGATGTAAAATCTGCGAAGAAAAACTTGGAAAGATGAATATGGAAACTGAACCAAAAGGAGAAAACTGAACTCGTAGCTAGATTTTTTTTATTAATGGAAATGTAACGTGAGGTGGATGTGAGGTGAGGCTTCGTGCTTCAGTTTATAACTGAAGAGATTCAGTTATGACTTTTGAGTGAATTTTGTTGAGATGTTTTTAAAATTATACACTGAGTTCCTTCTGCAAGACACTGAATTCCATCTCTCTTTTGTCAATTACTTTTTAAAAAATAAAAAGAAATCAGTTATAAATTGAATCTCAGAGATTATGACAGTGTGTATAAGGATATGATGATGTTCCAGAGATTATGACAGTGTGTATAAGGATATGACGTTCCAGAGATTATGACAGTGATATGACTGATAAATAAATTAGAGGGAAGGAATTTGATTTCTGTAGGAATTTTTTTCACTTTTTGAGTTTTGTACATATAAAAACAAAGGTAATTTTTATATTTACAAAACTCAAAAAGTGAAAACAATTCCTACAGGCTACAGCTAACAAAAGAGTTTTTTTTTTTTTTAGTTTTGTAAATACTTGTCTTTTACCTTTGTTTTCTACTTCTTGAACTGATTACAGCAAACAAAACAATTATCTTATCGTTTTCTTAATTTTTTTTCTGACTGGTGAAAAAACCAAAATCCAAAAGAAAACGAACTATTTTGTCATATCTAAAAGGTTTCTGACTTTGTGGTATTTTCTTGATTTTTTTTTTTTAATTTAAATCTGATTTTGATGAAAATAAAACAGAATATGGTATTTTAGAGAAATGTCAAATTTAATCAGTCACCGGAAAATTTGAGTCAAAAAAAAAAAAAAAAAATCAAATCAGTCACCGGATGAGTGTCGCCGGCATCCACCGCTTAACTCTTTCTCTACTGCCGGTACTTTTTCTCTGCCTCCTCTCTTAAACGCTAATTTTTGGAGCTGATTACTAATCTTCCTCCTCTGTTCCCACACCAGTCTTCTTTCCCTACTCCATATGCGTCCTTCGGTTTCTCCTCTCTCAGCATCCCCGCCAATCGCAAGCGGAATCAATCCGTAGTCCACCATAGTCACCGATTGGTTACCTCCTTTAGTCACAATGTTGGTCATTTTCTTCTCCCTCAATGTTTGCTTTAATGATTCTTCTATTATTGTAGTAAATGTTCGAATTCGAGCTGTGTGTTACCTCTTACTTGAACTTGTTTCACGAATCCTTAAGCCTGTTTTATTTTTCCTTTTTTCTGAATGTGTGCAAGTTTAGGCTTCTGATCAATCTGATGATGCTGAAGCTGTCCCTTCCTATGATGAAGGTACAATTCATACATTGATGACTCAGTTTTTGGGTGGATTATAAAAATGCAAACTTTTCAAATCTTGTATACTCTCTAGTTGATACATATAGTCATTCTTGCACACAGGCTTTGCCTTTTCATCTGGCTTGCTGTATTGTTGTTAACTTGAGTTTTAACGCTGTATTCTCTTCTCTTTTCAAGGAGACATGTTGGATAAGAATGGGACAAGCAGGAAAAACCCGTTCGTTTCAGAAGAGTATGTGATATGCCACTAATCCTTTATTTGATTTCATCAGTTTTCCACTTTGTCGGTGATGGTGAAAATGTCATTTGTAATTCTGACATCAGCCAAAGTCATTTCGGTTCTGTTCAATGTGGTTGAAATCTGCATTGCTAAGAAGGATTTGGGGAATTTATAAAGTTTCTCCCTTTTGATGATTTTGAACACCTTGATGTGCTGTGAAAATTGCAGGCTTCTCAAGAAATTGAAGAGATATGGAGTCTCTGGAGTATTGTCCTATGGCTTACTTAATACAGTCTATTACACCATAGCTTTCCTCTTGGTATGGTGAGTAGATTCTTTGTCATGGAATGCTACTATGTTCTCCATTTGCTCTCTCTTTTCTATATTTTTACATTCTGATTCTTTTAGTACATAGGCAGCTGAAGTTTCCCTTTATCATTGTTGAATCTGTCTTTCTAAGAACACATGCTTTAGTTTTTTAGATCTTCTCTCTATTATTCCATCTTAACATATACTTTAGCTGTAACAGTGACGGTTATGTATGTATGTGTATAGGTTCTATGTAGCCCCAGCACCTGGAAAAATGGGTTATCTTGCTGCGGCTGAGAGGTATGGAATACATTTCAGAAACTCCTAGCGTTATAGGGACGTGAAAGATTCATGTTGGATGCAGATTTCTAAAAGTGATGGCCATGGTTTGGGCTGGAAGCCAAGTTACTAAGCTCATGAGAATAGGAGGGTAAGTTGATGATACTAGTTTCATACCTAGTTAGCTCTCTATAGCTTAAATAGTGGATTTAAGCATTCCTAGTTTTGATTATTGTCAAGCTCGCATGAAGTTGTTTACACATGAAGAATGTTGATGGATGCAGGGCAGTGGCACTTGCACCTATAGTTGACAGAGGATTGTCGTGGTTTACTGTAAAATGCAAGTTTGAAAGTCAAGGAAAAGTGAGACTCCCAAACTTGCTCTGTGAGTAATACTGTACATATATCGATGACAAAGATTAATTATTAATCTGTGGATGCGTTGCTGTTGTTGACAGGCCTTCGGCGCATTGGTTGGGATATGTCTTGGTCTGGCTTTGTTGCTGTTTACCGTTGTGACACTGCTCTGGGCATAGAACAGAATCATAGCTGCATTTGGTAGGATCTTGCTTATACAACAGTTGTCATCTTGGTTACAACAATATGGACTTGAGAGGCGTTGTGGTTGTGGACATGCCTATCTTGTTTAACAGAGAAGTGCAAGTTTTGCTTAAAGATAAACTTCATAGCAACACTGATGTTTTGATAAATATGAAATGATATTTCTCAAGCTTTTTTTTTGTTTTTAACACTACTCTATAGCCGTGAAGAAATTTTTATAATCCCGATGAAGAAGAATTGTATGAAAACTTAAATAATAGGTAAGGATCCAAATGTGTTCTCACTTAACCTTAGAACAAGAGTTGGAGCCGGCTAAGGAAAAAAAAGAAGCAGATATGGTTTACTGCGAATCTCAGAGTTGCAGTAACAACGACACATAGTAATATGAATCATTTGGGGAGACCAGTTTGAGGGTTGAGAAGAGCCTGAGTTTGGTCTTGAAGCACGACAGGGCCTTTCCCAGGTCTGCTGCATATAAAGTAGCTAACTTCACCTTTTTGGTCCTGATTCCCAATTTTGTCTTTGATTTCTTGTGGAACGTCTCCTCCTTCCAAGCCTGCCTCTTTTACAATTGATTTATCGCCCAGTACGTAACTATACAAAGTACCACACAACGTTTGTTCAGTCAGAGAGAGCAAATGGTAAAATCAAACAGTCACACTTTCTACTGCACATACCTCTTCATGTCTGTGTCAGGTTTAGGAGGAAAGCAGTAGAGTAGCCCCTGCAACAATTCAACTGCTACCTTTCTGCTTTTCGCAATCAGGACTGCGTTTGGTCCAGCGTCAAATGTGTAAGCAATCTGTCCAGGAAAAATGAGATTAAGATCTGTTCAACACCTTCGTCTCAAATCGTAATGATTGCTTTCGAACAATGAAACTAAGCATACATACCTCAGGTGTCCCAACAGAGCGGTTCCACTTTTCAACTAAGCTTATTATCCTGGCAATATCAGTTAGCAGATTGAGAACAAAAGTCAAAACCATGACACTGATAGCTAAATCAGCAATTGACTGCCAAAAGAAAAAGAAAAAAAAGGAAGAGAAAGATACCTGTGGGAGGTGTCATTCATGTAGAATATGGGTGGAGATGTATCCATACAAACAGCATGAAACTGATTACTGTCTGTACACGTCAGTTTCGTAAAAGATGTGAAATCTCGGTTCTTTATAGCTTCTTCCATTTCCGAGATCCGCCTTGGCACAACTTCCTAAGGAGAAATTAAAGCAGAGCATGAAGCTAAGGAAAAACTTCTAATCTTTGAAGTTAAGCAAGCAACCCACAAGGATTATTTTAGGTGATACAGACTGTTATCAAACATGAAAGAGGAACATACCTCTGCTCTGTGCTTTAGAAGCAAACTTGTCTCAACACTCTCACGCATTCCTGAGGTACTGCTTGTTTCCTTCTCTCGTGAACTCACCTGCACGCAGCACAAGGTATAGCGAGTTGAAAAACGAGAAAAAAAAACAAATGAAACTACTCAAGATCCATGTATAATAACAGAGTTAGGTCTTATTATTCAAGCTTGTCTCAGCCCTCTTATGATGCACAAGACTAAAAATGCTTAAGATCCATACCACAGCGATAATGATAACAAGATCATCCCAGTGCTTTTCATCTGCCAGTTGGACTGCAACGCTGTCACTTCCATCTTCTTTGACTCCCATGTTCCACTTGACGAATCCACCAAATAAACTACGGCAAGCACTTCCTGATCCTTGCCTACATAGAGAAATGAACATCTAACCTTATAAACCGGTACCATTCAATTTCTAGAGAAATGTTTTGACTACACATTGTCCCACTAAAAAGCACGTAGGCACATAGAAACTTGGAGAAGTACAGTGGATGCAAATCAGGTAACGTAAGTCATACCTGGCTATAGCAGAAAGTTGGCTCTGATCTTCATTCACATTCATCAGCTTTGCAAGCGAAAAAACTGTACACAAAGAGGCAGTTATTATATACTACATTTAGCTGTTTTCAATAAAGAAAAACCAACCTAAGGAATCTAGAAATTTACTTCACCAATTGGAGGAAAGAGAGTACCTAAGCAAGCAAAACCAGCTGCTGAAGACGCTAATCCAGCAGCAGTAGGGAAGTTGTTATAAGAAGCAATGTGTAGATGCAATTTCTCCCAATCTTTCTTCGCAATCTTAATACCCTTTGCTTTGTCTTCAACATCATCACCACGGCTCCTAATTTCCCTCAAGCAATTCTGGTACCTACTTCCAGAAAGGGAAATTTCCTACACTAGCACGAAACAATCAATTTCTTGAATCAACTGTTTCCCAGTATATACATTACGATCTTCACTCATAGTCCAATAGAAATTTCTCAGCGAATCTCAGCTAAGAGATGAAAAGTGGGAAAATTACCTTGCCATTGAGCCACATTCGATCTCGATCAAAGGAGGGACTAACAGCGACAGTGGTGAGAGTGCAGAGATGGTCAGGATCAAGCGTGACGCTAATGCTATCGTTGATTGGGAGAATCCGAACCTCGTCTCGCTTTCCCCAGTACTTGATCACGGCGATATTCGTCGGCGTCTGCGCCGTCACCATTAACACCCATTTCTCTTCCGCCATAACACTCGAGATCCAAACTCCGTCCTCACCAGATTCAAAGAGAAAGAGAAATGGAAGTGACGGAGAATTCGATAAGAGGAAGAGCTCTTTACATGTTCCAAGTGAAGTAGTTGTAGTTGGTGATGATTGATGATAAAGATTAACGACATGAAAGTCCGGTTTCGTTTCTAAACCGGTTTGGGAGAATTCGAATTTATTTTGACTTTTTTTTTCTCTGGTCAAACATCTTCTTCTTCAAGAGGATTAGAGAGAAAGATAAAGTTGCTCTCTTTTTTTTTTTCAATGTGATTACAAACAATCGTGAAACAGCAAAGAAGCTTCTTTTACCAAAAGAGCCAGACAATTTCGAATCATCAAGATAAATAAGGGAAGTGCCCCAAAACATAAATGATGATCATCAAATCGGATCCATTTTTGCAGCAGTTTCATGAATCATGATGGTGCAAAAAAAAATCAGGACTTGCTGGTTCCATTAATGCCATGAGCAACGCCTCTCGTCGCCTTCACGTAAGAAAGGTACTCGCTGTAATGCATGGTGAACAATGTGCTCTGGTATCTAGTTAGACTGATTCGCCTACGCACCGAGTCCGTGATCTCACCGTTGTATCCTGCTTTACGCACCAGCGAGTCTATTGCCTCAATCTTCGACCATCCTGTCAAACAAAAACAAGCGTAAGCTTTAAAGAACAGCTCGTACCATACAACATTTTCAAAATGTTGTATCAAGATGGTACCTTCATGAGCTGGCACCTCAGGCAGGTATGTGGCGCTTCGTCTTGCGTTAGTCCCAGGCTCGGTGAACTCGATGATGATACCATGCTTTCCGACCTTTTAGAGTTTAAATCAGAGAGGAAGTGGAAGAAGAACTAAATGAATGTGCTCGGTGTAAAGAAGAACAGTTGATGAAATTTTGAAACAGAAGAGTGAAGAGAGTAATACCTCCCAATCAAGATAATCTTCTGCAGCTTCGTAATCGGTGAGGACAGAGACGGTACATTGCAGAGATGGCAGCTCTTTGGGCTGTATGGGTGGGAATCTACGATCCCTTAGGGCACTGCAATGTTATATCAAAGGAATATGTCTTTAAGAAATTTAGCATAAGAAGAAAGATATCATTGTCTAAGACGACAGAAGAAGAAAAAGATAACACAAGCATTTTAGCCATATACAACCAATGACATGAAGAAAAGGCAGATAAAGCTATGCTTCATTTTTGTGGTTTCAAGACTAAAAAGGATCGATAACTGAAATCCTCAGTTCCTTTACAGGAAACTGGAGCCTGATTTGTTTTCATATTGTAGTTCTTAGCAGTATTCATGTTCACGATCTAAACAAAGTTTTGTAAAAAAATGACAAGGAAAAAAATCTAAATATCGGCTGCAGAAGATTTGGGTTGAAACACATACATTAAACACCTAGTTAAGATATGACAAAATTATAAGAGAAGCCAAGCAGACAGAATAAGAAAAATTCAACAATGTTGTTAATAAACATATCTAAGACTTTGATAAGCAAAGTTACAATTTCAACGTTGAACAAAAGAAGCTCATTTAAAGGCAAAGCAGAGCAAAGGCACATCATTGTTGCACTTGGCCAAGGAAATAATATGAGAAGCGCAAAAAAGGTAAAAAAATGAAGTACCTAGTCAAGGCATAATCCTTGAAGCCACTGATCAAGCGGCGTGCTTCCAGAGTACCAATACATCCACGCAATCGAGGCTCCCCACCATTCACTATCTTCTTCCACGTGACAAACAATGGACTACAAGAAAAAACACTCCACTATGAGTATGGTATGAGTAAAGAGAAGATTCTGTATACACAGCACATTAAACTCAGAAAACAAAAAAATAGTTAGCCATGAGACGTTTTACAAGGATATGCTCATCACACAGTCTATGAATACCAAGATGAAAAATGTCACTGTCTAAAGCCTAAAAGACAAGCATGAAACTTTCGTTGTTGTGGTGACTAGTGAGAGACCAAAGTGTACTGATTGGATAGGTTAAAAGAAACGTACTGATTGGCCTCGTCGAATTCAGGTGGAGGAGTCTCTTCGTTGTTGTAGTGAGAGACCAAAGTGTCGAAACAGTAAACAGCCATTTCTTTGTTCGCCGACGCCATTTTCGCTTTTCAAGACAGAAACGCACAAAAACGCAAAATCAGCTAGTAATTTGAGCTTGAAATATCCAAAATCCTTTAAGCTTATAAGATCAACTCATGAAGAAGAACAAGAATACAACTTTGCATGGAGGAAACATAACTGAATTTTCCCGCAATTTCGTGTGATCCCAAAAATACCGATTACTGCAGCGAAGATTTACACTACCCAGAACTAAAATCGAAAATCTAAGAACAAATCACACTTATAGAGCAAAATTTGCAAATTTAATAGCGATGGTCGACAATGAAGATCGGCAAAGAAAACTAATTCCTTTTCTATGTGGATAATTAAAATTAAATGCCACGAAATCTAGAAGAGCATAGATCTGTGAGAAGAATTGAATTGAAATCAAACAGATAGAGAGAATCAAATCAGAGCAACAAAGGAGAAGAGAGCGGAGAGAGAGGCAAAACCTGAGAAAAACGCAAAGGAATCGGAAGATGGGTGAAATTGTTGAAGTGTGTACGTTTAAGAAAAGCTTTGAGCACTGACAGGTTTTGGTTGGTGTGTCTTTTTCTCAAGGATTTTAACTATTTGGATCTACGGCGTTGATGTTTTGTTTTGTTTTTTTTCTTTTCTAATATACGTCGCCATTAGTAAAAGATTTTATTTTAAAAAGACAAAATTATTGATTTATTATTGGCACACATATTCGGATAAACCCCACTAATTTTTGTATTACAAATTTTCCAGACCTTTTTCAAAATAACTATAGAGTCTAAATGGTAACTGCAAAATATTGCTGAATGCGGAATCTGGCAAAATTAAATTATACTTTTTTGCAAAATCTTGCAGAATAGTTAGTATTGTGAATGGTAACTGCTGAATGTTGGTGAATACAGAATAACTTTAAAAAAAAATTGAAAAACTTGAAAATTTAAATGAAATATTGCTATTACATTGTAAATACATATGTTTAACCTTATGAAATCTAAACATAATTTATCTTTTTTCTTTTTGTCAACAAAATGTAATTTATATTTACAAAACAATAATATTAAAACAATAATATTGTATTATAACTAAAACATTTACTAGTGATTGATTTTATATTCTAAAATTTGGAAAAAACTCATGTTTTCAAATTTTTACAACCTAGTGTTTTATTATATAATATATATATATATATAATCATTAATCTTTAAGTTTTTTCATGATAAGATAAATATTAAAATGTGCTAATATTAACAAAATAAAATAAAATTGATGTTACCATGTATTTACAAGAATAGTTTGATAATTTGAAATCAATAGTATACTCATGTTATAATTACCTTTAATTTTCCATATTACTTATTATTATAAAAAAATGAAAATTGATAATATATATTCATATTTGTGGAATCCACAAACTTTTTCCATCAACATTCTTCAAATTTTATTCCTCAATCCAATTCCACAGCATTACTCAAACTCTATTCCACAATATTCCTCAAATACAAATGGTGACCATTATTTTTTTTTTTTCAACATTCCACACAATTCCTCAAAATGCATGTTACCAGTTAGGCCCTATGAAAGTTAATTCTATTTTTTCTGAAATAACTCGTTCATATAGCAAATTTTCACAATTTTCTGTCATTTTTATGATTTATAGGCATTATGGGTTTATTTCAACTCACAAAAACTAAAGTCTAGATCGAACCTAATAATAATGGGGGCATTTTCAAATTTCAAGTACATATCACTAGGCTAATAGTAATTTTCCCAAGCTTCCACATTGGTGAGTTGCTTCGCTTATGTTCGTATGAGTGGATGAAGTTGTGTCCAGCATTCCTCATTTTGAGCAGTTGCTTAGCAAATCCGGCATCACTACTAATCACCATATTATTGGATGGAACACTGTAGTTCTCAGCCCAAGTGTCATGATCTCCAAATCAGTTGCTTCCGTCTTTTGGAAGAGAACAAAAACAGCAACATCGTTGTCAATTCTGTTTGTACACTCACCGCGAGTAAATGGCTGCAACAAACACAATTTCAATCGGCCCATGGTACTTGCATCAAAACTACGATTGTCAACGGTACTTGCATCAAAACTGTGACTGTGAGTCACCGAGACCGTTCTCAATATCATCTCACATCACAAAGGTCTTAGCTCTAGCAAAGGGTTGTAGGAAAACCATTTGCATCCACAACACCACCTGCATGCACCATTTACCTATTTTAGCACAAATCAAGTAAGTAACTTTAACAATATACAAACGATCTGCAAAGCACAAATTACTACACTCGTATTCACAACTCTAATAGTCTAATCACAAACCACATAATACTAAGATAAATATGCGTTTTTCTTAAAATGTAGATTTTAATTTGGAATTTACAAGTAAATATATAGTTTTGAAAATAAATAAGAAAAAAATGTATAACACTTATCTTATTATCTGTTTAAATTTTTTGAGAAAAATATAAAAATAACCAAAAAGACCAAGTTAAATATATATCTGATCAGCAAACATGCATGGTACTAAAACATCTGGCAAAATACATTTCTACTTCCTTACTTTCTGAAAAAGGATTTACCAAAACTACATTTTTTTTTTGTCAAAAGTTAATAAAAAGGAATGTTGCAAAACAAATTTAGCTAATATTCTTTCATATAAACGAAAGAGAAATTTTATGAAATACATCTCTTGAGGTGCAAATTTTCAAAACTACACCTATAGTGTGGAAATTTTCAAAAATACACATTTTCCCAGTTTTAATATATATGTTTGGGTTCACTAATTCTATATTAGGGTTTAGATTTTGGGGTTTAGGGTTTAGATTTAAGGGTTCAATGTTAGATTTTAGGGTTTTGGATTTATATTTTAGGGTTTAGAGTTCTTTTAAAAAAGTGTAGTTTTGAAAATTGACACCATAGAGTTGTATTTTTGAAAATTGACATCTCAAGAGGTGTAGTTTTGAATAAATGTTTATTTTTGTTAATTCGAAATTTGGTTATTCTCTAAAAAATTGCTCATATTTTATATCAAAACATTTGGAAATTTAACAAGGATATAGAAAACATTTGGAATTCCAGTGCACAAATTTCGAGAGGGAGTCAAAATTTATAGTTTAGCGCCAAAACCCTTCTTTCCAAAATCGACATTTGCTCTCGTCCTTGAAACCATATCTCTCGGATCTTCACGCTTAATCCAGATAAGCCTAAGCCTTCACCTCCTAGGGTTTCTGAGCAGCGACGAATTTGTTACTCTGCGCCGGCGGCGGTAGAAAATGCCTCCTTCTTCAGCCACCACTTGCACTTCCCTTCTTCAAGAGTTGCAGGTTTCTCAGTTTCCTCGCTTCTCTCCGTAACTTAATTCATTTTCCCCCAATTGCTTCGATTTATCACGCCATTGATTTTCCGGCGAGTCCGATTACCTCAATTTCGCTCGATTTGCTTCTCTGATCATTCGTTGATTAGTTCGGCAACACAATCGAAATCAAATCAATTTGTTTTTCTAGGGTTCATGGTTCTGATAACTGTCTATTAGATTCATTTCTAGGCCTTTACTTCAATTTTCTTAGTTCGACTTTGAAACGCCGAATTACGCGCCGCTATTATCTGTGCTTACAGTTTTCAGTTTCTGCTGTGAAGGATTGTCACCGTAATTTTGCTTGGGTTGGCTTTTAGTATGGTAGATTCCGTAATTGGCCTCGTTTGCGTAAATAGTTATAGAAACATCTCACTCGATTGCTCATCTTTGATCAGTAATCGTTATCAGAATTCTGATACTGCTACTGATATTATGTGAGAATGTTTTTTTTTTTTTTTTTTTTTTTTTTTTTTTTTGGCAATTTAGCATGTATGTTACCATTTTCTCTCACTTTGTATTGTACTTGAGCAAGAATGGCTTGATATTTACCACAAGGTTTATGCTGATGTAGATCATATGGAATGAGATTGGTGAAAGTTTCAATGAGAGAGACAAGATGCTGTTGGAGCTTGAGCAGGAATGTCTGGACATATACAACAAAAAGGTTGAGAAAACTCGCAAGTACAGAGCTGAGTTGCAAGGAACGTTGGCTCAAGCTGAAGCTGAAATCGCCAGCCTCATGTCTGCACTTGGTGAAAACGTTTCGTTTCCAAGGGTATGTTTACTCTTTAGCTTCACTTCATGTTTGTTTCTTTGATAGCAGCGTAGAGATTGTTTTCTTATGTGTGTTGTTGTTTAATTTCTGTTTTGAGAAGAAAGAAGGCTCTTTAAAGGAGCAGATATCTACTGTGAAGCCTGTGTTGGAAGATCTGCTGATGAGAAAGGATCTAAGATTGAAAGAAATCTCTGAGACTCTGACACAGATAACAGAGATCTCTTCTAACATAGCGGGGAATGAGTATCCTGCTGGCTCTGGTCCAGAAGTTGATGAAAGTGACTTGACACAAAGAAAGTTGGATGAACTTAGAGCACATCTGCAGGATCTTCGCAATGAAAAGGTGTTCTTGCATTTATTAAGTATTTGTCTCAGAATTATTGTGGCTATGTACTTATCATCTTTATTTTCAAATTTCAGGCTGTCCGACTGCAGAGAGTAAACTCTTATGTCAATGCTGTCCATGACTTGTCAGAGATAATGTCGTTTGATTACTCCAAGGCCTTGAGTAATGTCCATAAAAGCTTGACCGACGTTTCAAAGGCTCATTCGAAAAGCATCAGTAACGATACTCTTGCTAGATTAACAGAGCTTGTAGAGTCTCTGAAGGAGGAGAAACATCAGAGGCTGCTTAAGGTGATCAACGAAAATTCCTGAACTGTTTGGACATTTACTTTTGCATTATACTTGATCAAGCTTTTTATTCTGATAGTGTGCGTATATGAACTAGGTTGCTGATTAAACTTTGGATTCAGATATCAATCCATGAAAACCAAACCATAGCTAATACAGATTGATACCTTGTGATTCTTATTTATTTCAGCTACAAGGTTTGGGAAGAACCATGCAGGAGCTGTGGAACCTAATGGAAACACCTATGGATGAGAGGAGAAGATTTGATGATTTCAGTAGCTATCTTTCTGTTCCAGCTGATGATGCCTTAGAAAAAGGATGCCTTAGCCTAGACATTATCCGTGAGGTAATGCAATCATATCTTTTCTTTAATACATATCATATCCTCTATTTTGGTTTGTCTGAGTCAGCAAATATCTAACCTTTTCTCAAGTCTAATATTCATAGGCTGAAGATGAAGTGAAAAGACTGAATGCCCTGAAGTCAAGCAAAATGAAGGAATTAGTGTTTAAGAAGCAGCGTGAACTAGAAGAAATCTGCAGAGGGGTTCAAATGGATGTCAACAGCGATTCTGCAAGACAGAGTCTTGCCGACCTCATTGATTCTGGTACCATACAAATTCTTCTTGAGTTTGTACGCTTTCGTAAGAACATTATGGAAATTCTATGCAATATATCGGGTGTGCAGTGACGAAGTTTTTCTTTGCAGGAGCCTGTGATCTGTCGGATATTCTTGCAAGCGTAGATGATCAGATTGAGAAGGCAAAAGAGGAGGCTCTAAGCAGAAAGGAAATTTTAGACAAAGTTGATAAGTGGAGGCAAGCAAAGGATGAAGAAAAATGGCTTGATGACTATGAAAAGGTGACTACCATAATAATGTGTTTTAAAGTTCATTTCTATGAAGATAGGTCAAGTTAAGATCTTTGGACCTTAGAGCTGGTTGCCAGTCTTGTTCTGATGAAAGTGTAGAGTTATCAATTTTAAGGTTAACCGTAGCCTATAACTATTAGGGAGAATCACTCTTATTCTTCAGAGAGTTGTTTTCTTAGTTTAAATGTTAAGAGAGTATCTAATTTTTGTGCGAACTTTCTGCAGACTAGTTATTAAAATGTCATCTTGATTGTCTATTTTGCATTCTTAACAGGATGAAAATCGCTTCAGTGCTGTAAGAGGAGCGCACAAGAATTTAAAACGCGCAGAGAAAGCTAGGAGTCTTATCAGCAAACTTCCTGGTGAGTCTTTCAACATTCTACTTAAGATTCCGTTTTTCTTGCCTACGATCGCATACGAAGTTCTTAGTTGTTCAACAAGAGGGTTTTGAGGTCTTTAACTCTGTAACACGATCATTGGTTCCAGCCCAAACTCGAAAACTCATTGTTAGTTGTTAAGAATTTAAGATTTGTCTCCTTTTGTTAGAGTGTGAACGTAGTAGCTGTACCTGATCCAAATCAAGAGGTTTTTGAGACTTTTTGTGATGCTTACTCATCCTCCAAAATCTGTTGTAAAACTGATCGGTCTTAAGATGACATTAACTTCTTTTGTTTATTCTGTAAGCAATGCTCGATGGTCTGACCACCAAAGTGAAGGCGTGGGAAAAAGAAAGAGGAGTTCCCTTCTTATGTGATAAGGTAACTAACTGTACACTGGTTTACTCAATTCTCTTTTACGGTTTGATTCAGTCTCACATGATTTATGCCTTTTTGATTCCAGCAACCATTGTTACAAACATTGGAAGAAGACATTGTTATGCGTGCTCAGAGAGAGGAGGAAAAGCGTCACTTCCGAGTATGTGTTTTACTAAGAAAACATGGATTTGTATTGTAGACGATCGCTGTGTTGTTGAGATGACAACACAAAGCTCATTGTTTGCGTTTTTTGTTTTGTTGCATAAACAGGAGCAGAAAAGACTACAAGGGCAGCTTGCTACAGAGAAAGAAGCAAAGTATGGTTCAAGATCTGCAAAGAAGAAGCCATTGGGACAGAGTCTTAACACAGACAATGTGACTAAAACTCCAATTGGTCGACGGATTGGGACTACACCTGGACGTTCTGGTGGCAAAGACTTTAGAGATAGCGGAAGAGGCAATACCGTGATTCCGTTGAACTATGTTGCTCTTCAGAAAGATGATTGATGATAGATACTCAAAAAGGGGGGAGTTTAAGGTTTAGATAAGCTACATTTCATGTTGATGAGAGGTGAAAGTTTAGTATTTCTGTTTGGTTTCTGCTAATGAAAATTTCACAGATATATAAAGCAGCACATTTCAATCATTAGTTACTGATCTTCAAATCAAGTTTACAAGAGGCTTTCGCTTAAGGAAACAATAATTTTCAAAACACGTCACAAAGCGTAAGGTTTACAACTAACACGCTTAAGGCTCTCACTAGATTCCTCTTTCAGCAGAAAAGTTCTTCACGGAGTCAAACATTTCACATCTCTCCACACTCTGTAATTACAACAGCAAGCTTAGGTCGATTGTTAGGTCCAACAGCCACGTTCTCGATCTTCCGCACCACCAATAAACCATCACCAAGCACTCTCTGCACATCAAAAGAAGAATTTGCAATGTGTTATAACAAAGCTATTACCAATTATCTGCACAAAAGGTCAAGGACTCAATGCCTCTTCCTCAACTATTCATGACAGTCTCAGTAATAACCACAAAGTTGAAAAGCTTCTTGAACTAATCATGCAATACGTGTATGTGAAAAAGAGGACATACCCCAAAGACAACATGCTTGTTGTCAAGCCAGTCGCATTTTGCACAGCTGATGAAGAACTGCAATGCAAAGAGTACAGGCATCGAACTTTCAATGCTTGCATTATCCACAGTTTACAATTCGTCTCGTTCCACAGGTATTAAGGCCATTACAGTGAGACTAAAAAATTACCTGGCACCCATTTGAGCCTGGTCCACTATTCGCCTACAAGAAAAGAATGAGTAATGAGTATTGTAGCAGAGACAGAGTATGGCTCTGAATAGAGAACAGTTTAGAGGGAACTACACTGAACGGAGGTATACAAATTTATAATCCATGTTCTTAAACATATTCAGAAAGCAAATTGCATACCATAGAGAGCAGTCCTGGCCCAGTATGTTTGGCTGTGAAATTTTCATCATCGAACTTGTGGCCATAAATTGACACGCACCCACTACCATCATTCTGCAGAGTTTTAACATATTTCACATCCATTAAGAGGGGAAGAAAACAAAAGATTCAGTAACAAAAAAACCGAGAACACAAGCAAGAAGAGTTTGAAATCAGTGCCAGCCGACGAAACAACATAAATTAATCAAAACTATAACGAAAAACAGAAGCATTATCAGATGTTAAAGGCACTAACCTTTAGAAAATCCCCACTCTGAATCATAAAATCTTTGATGACTCTGTGAAACTGACATTCTTTGTAACCAAGAGGCTTCCCAGCTTTTCTGCATTTAAACCAAAAGCCGAAACCAAAACCGATAAAGAAGATTAGAGTAAGTAGCAAAAACTGCAGATTTGTCCACTCATATCTTTCAATTTGATCTACGTTTAGCCTTTCAATCTAAAAAAAAATCTAAAACCTCATAAACCCCAATTTAACATTTAGTAGAAAAGGATGCAGGAGTGAAGGAAGAGAATCGAATATACCTGTGTTCACCAGTACAGAATTGCCTGAAAGTTCAAAATAGAAGGATTTAGTTCGAATCAAAATCAGCTCAGTAGAAAAAAGGGATAGAGAAGAGAGAGAGGGAAAAGAGGCAGGACCTGAAGTTTTCAGCGGTTTTGGGGGCAATGTCGGCGAAGAGCTCCATCTTGATACGACCAGCGGGGATGCCACCAATAGAGACGTCGAAGAAGACGACTGGGTTTTTAGGGTTCGGTGGTCGCACGTGCCACTCCACGTTTCCACCGCCGCTTGACGGAGCTGCTGCTCCTGTTGGTGCAGCCGCGATTCCTCCTCCAGAACTCATCGTAGCTCAACTGTTTGATCTCTCAACTTCTTCCTCTTTCTCTCCGTCTGTGTTTTATGATCGGATTCTTTAGCTCTTTCAGTTTCTCCGACGTGTTTAATGGCGAGAAAGCTGTTCTTTGGTTTTGGGCCTTAGATTCGTACCTTCTTGGGCTTAGAATTTAACCGGAGAAACTTGCAAGCATACCCTCAAACTTTCTCATTGTTTGTAAATCTACCCCAACCAATGCAAAATAACCATCCGACTCCCAATCAACCTTGTAATATAAGTCTCGTTGGTTTCATGGTTTGTGTTTCGTATTCAAACTGAAGTACTGTGCATGTATGAGTTATATACGACCAATGAAATCAGATAAAGACAGATAAATTAGATATTCGAAAGCTCAGATTATCATAATTTTTTGAATAATAATCAACAACAACAACAACAATCAACTCAGATTAAAAATAAAAATAAAGAGGACACTTCAAAGCAGAGGCTGCTCATGAGCTCCATGAGGCAGACAAGTGACAAGGCAACGAGAAGTTCTCAATGAGAAGTCTTCTTGTTATCAAGCTCGTCCAACACAGCCAACAGTTTCGGATCAGCATAGTTCTCAATGAGAAAAGCAGGTTTTGCTTGCATAAGCACGCTCGCTGGATTACCTGTAGTGAGTCCAATCACAGGCAATCCAGCTGCAACTCCAGCACTTATCCCAGAGATCGAGTCCTCGAACACAATAGTGCGCTCCTTGGACACGTTAAGCACTTCAAGAGCCTTCAAGTAAGCAGCAGGGTGTGGTTTCGGATACTCACACTCAGATCCAAGAATCACTGCCTGGAAAAAATCAGTCAGACCGAGTTTCGATATCATCAGCTCTGCGTTTACTTTTGGTGCGTTTGTGACAGCGGCGCGTTTCAAACCACGTTCCTCGATCCATTTGGTTAGTTGTATAAGCCCGTCAAGTGGCTTTACCTTTTCCGCAACAAGTCTAAAAAAAAAAAAAAAAAAACAAAGTTACTTTCAAATCTTGAAAGAAGTTTTATGAAATTCAAGAAGAAGAGACACACACACACACTTACTTGCGGAAGAGAGATTCTTTTGCATCGCATAATTCCACTCCTCTTGGAACATCATCAGGGAACAGAATTACAGCAACTTCAGAGTTGTGTTTTCCAGCGATGTTCTCGATGAAGAATTCCTCGTCGATTCGGACACCATTGTTATAACCAATCTGTGAAACGTTACAAAGAAGCAAAACTTGACACAATAACTCGAGAACTCGTGAATATTGGCATAATAAGGTGAAAAAGAATTTTAACCTCTTGAAGAAGTTCTTGAAAGGCAAGAAGGTGGAATGGATCTGAATCACAGAGTGTTCCATCAACATCAAACAGAACTGCTTCTAAAGGAGCAACATGTGAAAGCGATGGTTTGCTGAAAAATTTGAACAAATCAAAACACAGAGATCTAAATCTTTACAGTGTTTACAATAGCTAAGCGTCCCATTGATTCTGGAGACTAAAACATTTGCAAGAAAACTGTAAAATCGTAGATTCGTTAAACTACATAGACAAGAATTGAAAACAGATTTTTACCAACAAAATAAAAGAATGAAAACAGATCATGCATCATATATATACACGAAAGAGAGTATAACGTAACTTATAAGTATCGTTGAGTGAAAAGACGATCAGAAAATTAAAGCGTACCTGTTAGAGTCATTGAAGTCGTTCATTGTGATGAAAATGGAGGGAAAAAAACGGATCTGCGATTGCAAAATGAGGAGAAACAATGAATGACTTCACTGATTATGAGAGAGCTTGAAGAATATAAAAAGAGTGTCAGAGAAAGATTCGCGACTTTTTTTCGTCACGTCACGTGACTCAAGTGGGAGCTTTTGATTATCTTCAAACCAAAATGACAGAACCGTAAGCGCAGGATCCAATACATTGGTCCGGTTTAGACATAAAATCGGCGCTGTCAGAGAATGATTCGCTGATTTTCTTCGCCACGTGCCCACATGGGAGCTTTTTGATTCTCCAAAGCAAAATGAGGCAACGGTAAACCGGGAATTAATATCTTCATCCGGTTTAGACATGGAAATTCGGTCGGAAGTTTATTCATTTGAAAATGTATGCTTATTGGTAAGGTCAAGAAGTGGCGAACAAGAATCAATAAATTAGTATTTTTTTCCGAGTGCTAATCCTTTTTAAAGCGCTTTAGATATGATTAGTCGTTTTAAAATACGGATTAGGTGAAACAGTCAAAGTTAAGCGTTTATAGGGATATAGTAGGTGTCATGATTTGTTTTCGAGTGCTATTTCGGTTGATCCTTCTTAGAACGTTTTAGATAAGTTTAAACGTTATAAAATACGCAGCCCCTGGCTCTAAGTCATGGCGAGAGGGTCGAGGGCCATGGGCTCAAAGGAGTTTTTTATTTGTTTGTTTCTTTCTCTTTATTCTTCTGTTATTAGTTGACTGAAGAGATTTTAAACCCAAATTATGATTCTTTAATTGTCTACAACACAGAATATGGCCCATAAATTGTTAGATTGAAAACAAAAGGCCAATTTATGTCCATACTTTGCATTTTGCTCTAATTATAGAGCTGGGGTGATTAGGTGAAACAGTTAGGAGTTAAGCGTTCATAATCATACGTGTCAAAGGAAGATTTTGTGACACACATACACCCAAACTCAAAACTCCTTCCCCAATAAAAAGAGAAATGTTTAAACTTGCAAGTTTTGCTTTTAGTTTTGCCACCAATTCCTAATTTTGTAACACATGGATTCTCTCAACAATTCGTCTCTAGTTCTCTAAGCACTAGATATACAAATTCCTCTTTTTAATCTTTTGAAGGTGAATAGATAAACTTTAGTTTAACATGACACTCTCTTCTCTTCTTAAAATCATGTCAGCAACGACAAGAACTCTTTATCATCAGATAAAAAAACGTGGTAGAGTTTGGAATAAAAACATAAAAAACCAAAAGAAATTCAAATCATCAAGAGCCAAAAGTCTACACTTTGTCAACAGCAATCAGTTCAGGAAATCTCTGTAGTTGCCTTTAATCTTCTCTTGGATATGTTGGGCCAAAGTCTCACAGTCACAGTAGGTCTGCTTATGTTGAGTAAGCTTGGTTAGCTTGCCACCTAAGGAATCCTTAAACAAGTCGGTTTAGGATATGAAAGGTGTAAACCTATTAGGATTAGGAGTTATCTAGTTCAATTAGGACTAGGTCTAACAAAGTTGTGTTAGAACTATATATATCAATGTCGAGTTGTGACAAAGATAATAAGCTAAGAGCAAAGGTGTTTAGTTTTTTGAGTTATATTTTCTAAACATCAATAAAGAGAGTTATTCTTTAACAAGAGTGTTTTGTTCTTAAGAAACTTTAGCTTATACTCTTCTGCAATCTCCTTCATATCTATCATTGCCATCCGCTCTTGTAACCACAACTCTTGCTAACCATTTCTTGATGGAAAAATAAGAAAAAAATATCAAGAAATCATCGAGAAATTACATATACATATTATGTGAAAACGTGAATGATTTTCTTGGACGAAATAATCAATATGAGACCAATTTGATCAAATTGTGATTGTTTGTCGAGATGTGATCCCTTGTTTTTTAAGAGAATGATTAAAACGGATGATTCGTGTTACACACACTCACACAAAGCAATGGAAGTCATGGCTTGGATTATGATCAGAGTACTACAAGCAAAAACAAACACACATAAGCAAGACAAACACACACACACACACAAAAGTGTAAAATGCTATGTGCAGATTTAAACTTCATCTAATTGGTGTTGTTTCAAAAACATACATGTAAAATTAATATAACTAAACTTAATACTAAAAGTTTATGTTTATGGAAAACTTAGAATAAAGTCAATATATCTATAGTGACGGTGTAGCTGAAGACTAATGACATGTTTTGATGCGAGTAATAATAGTCGTCATTCGTCAATCCAACTCTAACACGTAAACGAACATTTGTCGGAATTTTCTGCAAGCATGTTCGTCCCCACTCTGAAAACTGGACAAATCGTAACGGTCATGAGTCTCAGATTCGGTAGAGGATTTTGTCAAGAAAAGACCCAAGAGTTCAAGAGTCAAGACTTTCTGTATAGGAAGATATATTGAGTATATCACTTTTTTATATCACAATTTTCACTTTTAGCGTATTTCGTAAAATCTCATTCTCTAATTCCGTCAAAATGAACATTCGAGTGAGAAAAACTATAGGGATAAATTTCAGTTATCAAGCATTAACATATTGTAATGTGATATGGGGATGAACAAACACACCTTACGCGAATGACAACTTGTGATAGGACCCATGCATAAAACGCATTTTTTTTAGGAGAAGGTAATTAATAAACTCATTATATTTATCTAGTTAACTTCATCTCTAGGAATATAATTAATAAATTCCTGGATCGACAAGACAAATGCAAAACCCTTCACAATCTTCTTAATCGACTCACAAGAGCGATTGCCCAACAATTTCCCACGAGCTGACTGATGTTGGAACCCAGATGCGTCATGGCAAGTTCAACGAAGGAGAACTCTGGCACGTAGATCGACATCTCTCTAAAATTTACAAATTGACAAAACGTTGTGTTTTGATACGATGATTTTTTTCTGAAAAAAAAATAGTTCGTGATTTTTTTAGAACAAAAACTTATTAAAAAAAAAATCTGACAATGTAACGTCATCAAAAGGGGCAAGGATGGGCAAGGATATTGTGAGTGACTTTTGAGGTGAGTGGTTTGACTTATATTTTTCTCAGATTAGCATTTTTCTTGCAAAAATAATATAATTTGAATTATTTTTTGCACAAAACCCAATTTTAAAAGCCATTCACAAGTAGATTTCTATGAGAAATTGATTCCGAATTTTGTAACACATGGAATCTCTCAACAATTCGTCTCTATTTTTCTAAGCAGTAGATATACAAATTCCTCTTCTAAATATTTTGAAGGTGGACAGATTAACTTTAGTTTAACATGACACTGTCCCCTCTTCTTGAAATCATTTCAGCAAAGACAAGAACATGGTATGGAGTTTGGAATACAAACATAAAAACCAAAAGGAATTCAAATCTTCAAGAACCAAAAATGTTTGGGAACACTTTGTCAACAGGAATCAATTCAAGAAATCACTGTAGTTGCCATTAATCATCTCTTGGATATTTTGGGCCAAAGTCTCGCAATAGACCTCCTTATACTCTTCTGTGATCTCCTTCGTATCATTGTGATCTGCTCTTGTAACTACAACTCTTGTCAACCATTTCTTGGTATATAACCAAAGAAGAGAGACATAATGTTTATTTGCATTTGCGTTTACATAATAAATCAGAACTGAGATTCTTCTAGTTTAAAAAGAAAACGTGAAGAATATTCAACAACAATTTACTAATGATTAAAGAAAAGTAACTTTCAGAGGCTGCTCATGTGAGCTTTATGAGGCAGACGACAAGCTCCCTCACTCATTCCTCAAGACTTTTGAGAAGTCTTCTTGTTATCGATCTCTTCCAACACAGCCAACAGTTTTGGATCAGCGTAGTTCTCAATCAGAAAAGCCGGTTTCGCTTGCATAAGCACGCTCGCTGGATTACCTGTAGTGAGTCCAATCACAGGCAATCCAGCCGCAACTCCAGCTTTGATCCCAGAGACCGAATCCTCAAACACAATAGTGTGCTCCTTTGACACGTTGAGCACCTCAAGAGCCTTCAAGTAAGCAGCAGGGTGTGGCTTCGGATACTCACACTCAGATCCAAGAATCACTGCCTGGAAAAAATCACTCAGACCAAGTTTCGATATTATAAGCTCTGCGTTTTCTTTTGGTGCGTTTGTGACCGCGGCGCGTTTCAATCCACGTTCCTCGATCCATTTGGCCAGTTGTATAAGCCCGTCAAGTGGCTTTACCTTCTCAGCAACAAGTCTAAATCAATAAGACAGAGTCACAGAAGAAAACAGAGTTAGACTCAAAACCTGAAAGAAGTTTTGGTGAAGTTTTAAGAAGAGAGAAACACACAGACTTACTTGCGGAAAAGAGCTTCCTTTTCCTCGCAGAAGTTCTCTCCTCTTGAAACATCATCAGGGAAGAGAGCTCTAGCGATCTCGGAATTGTGTTTTCCAGCAATGTTCTTGATGAAGAAGTCCTCGTCGATTGGGACGCCATTGTTGAAACCAATCTGTGAAAACAATACAAAGGAGCAAACTTTGACATGAGAACTTGAGAGTGGAATAGTAATACGGAAAGAGGAAGAAGGAAGAAGGAAAAGAGGAATCTTTAACCTCTTGAAGAAGTTCCTGGAAGGCAATAAGGTGGATGGGATCTGAATCACAGAGTGTTCCATCGACATCAAACAGAACGGCTGCTAAAGGAGCAACATGCGAAAGCGAAGGTTTGCTGTATGAAGAAAGTTTGAACAAATAAGAACACAGAGATCAAAAAGCTGAGAAATTGCGATGAGATTACATCGAAAGAAGCAAACTTTACGAAAAATCGATCGATAAGATTTGCAGATAATTTGAAGATACAGTCTTCTGTTTAACAATAGCTGACGAGTTTCATTGATTCTGGAGATTGAAACATTTGCACGAAAACGCAGCGTTTTGTAACAAAAACTAGACGAAATCGTAGAGCAAGATTGAAACGGAAGCTGAGAGTCGAAATTTAGCCAGAGGAACGAATGAATACAGATCATGCATATATGACAGAGATTATTAAGTATCGTTGAATGAGAAAGATGATCGGAATATTGAAGCGTACCTCTCAGAAGGATTAAGATCAGTGAGACCATTCATTGTGATTAAAATGGAGAAAGAAAAATGACGGATCTGCGATTGCTAAACGAGAAGAAACGAATGGTTTTGAGACATTCGTGAAAAAAAACAAATAACGGAGACATTGAAGAATATGCAAGAGGATCTATTGGTCTGTCAGTGTCAGAGGAAGATTCGGGGGACTCTTCTTCGCCACGTGGCGCCTTATGGTTCCTTAAAGTAAAAAATGACAATGCAGTAAACCGGGAATCATACCTTGACCCGGTTTAGACATGAAATTCGGTCGGAAGTTTCATTTGAAACTTTGAAAATAAACCGGATTGTGGATGTGGTACTAAGGAGAATAGCAAACAAAATCAATAATTTATCATATGTTTTCGAGTTCTATTTCGATTGATTCTTTTCACAACGTTTTCAATATGATCAGACTTTCAAAAGTTATTAATATTTTATAATGTCTTTCTTTTGAACAAAAGTTCTTAATATTTTATAATGTCTAACTCACCTTTTATAAATTCATTCATTCATCAGGATAGGTGTTACAAAAGATTTTGGTATAAACAAAATCTCAAATCTCATTTCCTAAAAATGTTTAAACTTACAAGTTTCTCTTAATCGGAATTGACATAGTAATTTCATGTTTAATTTGCCACCAAACAATTTTTACTAGAAAATGATTTCTAAACATCAGTACATGATTTTGTATCACATGGAAACTCTCAACAGTCGTGTCACGTTTTAGTGTTTTATAAGCACTAGAGATAATACCAATTTCTTCATCATGTTCGAGCTCTCTGAGTAAAAAACTATGATACTACTACTACCAATCGGACGAAAGTATTACTCATGGACTGATATAAATGCACTATGTTTGTATATTGGAATTGTGACCATAAGATGATAACACACGAAGAGTGAGTTAAACATGACACGCTCTTCTTGAAATCATGTCAGCAAGGACAAGAACTCTTTTATTACCAAATCAAACAACATGGTCTAGAAAACGCAAAGTTTGGAATAGAAAGTAGAAACATAAAAACCAAAAGGAATTCAAATCTTCAAGAACCAAAAGTCTTGGGGGAATACTTAGTCAAAAGAAATCAGTTGGATTTGGATAGAAGTGTGAGCAAGAAATCTCTGTAGTTCCCTTTGATCTTCTCTTGAATGTTTTGGGCCAAAGTCTCACCATAGAGGTGATTATACTCTTCAGCGATCTCCTTCATCTCAACGTGATCCGCTCTTGTAACTACCACTCTTGTCAACCATTTCTTGGTTCCCTTGTCCGCTTCTTTGTTCAAAGATGCATTCAAAATCTAAACCACCAAAGAAGAGTGTCACAATGTTTATTTTCATTTTCATTTATATAAAAATCAAAAGTTGAAAGTCTTATTTAAAAAAAAAAAAAAAAAAAAATTGTGAAGAATTTAATTCTTAAAAATTCATACAAAAAAAAAACACAAATACAACCAATTGTGGTTTAGTACCTTGCTGAAATACAAAGAGGGTTTGAGCAAACAAAGCAATGCTTCGTTGAGGAGCGAAGACTGAGATACACCACCCTGATGATCAAACCACAAAAATTTCTTGATCATTAGAAAAAACTTATGCATAATCATATAATACAAGAAGTGAGCTAATACAAGAAGTAATATAATACAAGAAGTGAGCTAATAGTTATATTAAATGTTATACCCCAAGAAGATCAGAGTCTTTGATCTGATTGAAATGTTTGTAAACATGTTGAAGATGAAGTTTGCTTCTTGTGCTCAAGATCCTAACAACCTCATCCTTCTCCACCACTCCTTCTCCGGAGGAAGCCACAGCCTCGGCAAGAATCTTAGCATCGGATTTGGCTGAATCTTCCTTCACCTTGTTCCCTTCGTATCTGTAAGCACTCACGAGCCCCACAAGCAGCTGCACAGCAAAACAGAGGAACAGTGAGTGAGTTAGAGAAGAGAAGAAGAAAAAGAGATCCGGTGCGGGAGGGTGTAGGGTAAGCAAGAATGCACATACCTTGCGATGAGAGCCGTGGACGTGGGAGGCAATGTCTTCTTCCATTGACTGGTCGAAGAGAGAGTGATAAGCCTTACGTGCTCCTAAGAGATCCTCAGAGGAGCGCGTGCAAGACACCTCCACGATGAGGTTGTAACATTCAGCTCCTTTCTTCAATGCTTTCTTGACCAACCTTGCGTCTCTCTCCCATGGATGCATAGCCCACATGACCACCGCGTTCTACATCATCACACACCAATTAAACTTCATTCTCTTGTTTTTTTTTCTGTAGAGTTAAGAAAAGGAAAGATGTGGAAAAAGAAAACTGACATTGAAGCGAGAGAACTCAAGCTTGAGATGTCTGAGGAAGTTATCATCGCATTTCTCAAAAGCTCTTTCCTCATCTTCCACAAAGAAGGTCTTGCTTGCTTTCCTAAACAATTTTCTGTGATCCTTGTGCGAGTTTCCTAGTGTGCTTATCAACGCTTGCTCATCAACTCCCATTCCTAAAAAAATGTTTTTTGTTGTTGTTGTGAATTTAAATATTTAACCTCGAAATCAACATTCACTGGTTTAGATTATCATTGTAAAAAGATTAAAATAGTTCTGATTACCTGAGATTGCTGCAGTGACAGCTTCCAAATCGAGAGTAACAGCCATTTTTCTTGCTTTTTTTTTTTGCTTGTTTCTGCTTTGATTTTGTTTATGTGGAAAGCTATGGAAGAGAGACAAGTCGTTTTATATGATGAAGATTAAGGGGGTACTGTTGTGGTTTACGGAGGGAGACAAGGGTGTTTTCGGTACATCAACATTATGATGTAATTAGTAAAAGTTTTGTGTTCAGACTTTAAGACAAACGCTAGGGTCATTGTTGTAACGCCCATGAAACTAATTGCATCTCTTACAACTGTTTCGTAGAATTACAGTAGTCCAAGACAAATTAAAACTTGCTGTTTTTGTTTTAAGTGGAAGTTATAAGTTTGACCATTATATAACATGCACTTAAGTATCATCATATCTTTACTACAAAACAGGGTTCCAGAAAAGAAATTAGAAGAGAGTTTTATTTTACAGGTTTACACTTAATTTCATAATAAAAAAATTTACACAGAGTATCATTTTATTTTATGTGTCCAACAATATCAACCAAAATACAATCTTCCTCATCTGAATGGTAAAACCAAATATAATATTTTGAAGATGAGTTATTTAAAATATTGTTTCTAGAATACTGAAAAACAAAAATATTATGCTGGATATATATATTTTGAGAATGAGTTATATACTATGTTGATTAAAATTTAAAGCTAATCCTGAAGGGCCACATGTTCTGGCTGATGATTTAGGATATAATAAGATTAAGATCCATGTGGTTTTGAATAGGTCGAATTTGAGATAATTAGTAGAAATCAAGTTAAAGTCAACTATTTGCAATCCTACGCAATCTTATACGAATATATAAAAATGATTTAACAAAACATGTACAGAGTTGTTTTTTGTTTTTTAATAATCAGAACAGAAGGTTCTCATCGTGTGAATATGATCATCTAATAATTCAACTCACAAATTTTGTTTAATAGACCTTGATCGTGAAATCATGTCGACTAACCAAATATAAGGAGAATACAAATTTACGAAATGGTCAAAGCTGGACAAAGCTCAGATCATTGGTTTGGGCCCCAGGACTGGTCGGTGACCGTTCGGTCGACTCCTCGAACCCGGATACCAGAGATACACAAAAAAAAAAAAATTTACGAAATGGTTTGTTCACTAATCTCTTAGCAGGCCAACACCATAAAGTTATGTACTGTATCTAAGGTTTTTCTTACACCAAAACAAACTTTCAACTGCAAAAACACATTAAATCGACCATTGCATATATTTCTAAATATCTATGTTAGATTTACTCTCGGACATTGAATATTGAATAAGAAAAGGGCGCTCAAAACGTCAAACCAATAAGCATCAACCAAGAGTTGGCTTGGTTAGTTGGTTTGTTACATTTTGAGTCTGTGATAAAAATATAAGTGTAATGGATCACCAATCACTGGTGTTTTGGAAGGTTCAAAGATCATAATCCTATTACAGAAATAAAAAAAGGTTCGAAGATCATGGCAAATGCATTACCTCTTCTTTTTTTCTCTCTTTTTCCTTTATCAATTTTTCTCTTTAACTTATTGTATTCCTTAACAAAAATCTAATGCATTCTCATTATGTCCAGACTGTCCTTTAAGTCAGCTATGCACGTAATTACTTAGAAATAGTAGATGAGAAGCCTCAATCACGTTTGCCTCGCAATATTTTAAGACTATAGTATATGATAAGTAAATTAATACTCCCAAGCATCACATGGTGTTTTTAATAAAGAAAGCTATTGCTGAATATCGCTCTGTCACTGGGTTTTGGACAACCACATTTTGTCGTACCTTGCATGTGTCTCTTTCACAATAAAATATTTGGTCAACCAATTAATTGTTTTCTATCTAATAATAGAGCTGATAATTATTAGTATATGGTGGTAGAGTGATTCGTTCGGACGTGGGCGAAATCAAGATCACGTTTTACACGACGAGAGACGACGACTTGCAATAATTTGGAGGGGACAGCTGTGACAGTTGAGCCTTAAGTATCATCTACATTTCGATATCAATTTATTTGATTTGGTTAAACTTATACGTCACTTATGAGATCCCATCAATTTTCATTCCCTTAAATATTTATACACGCACATGTCACACAGACAGTACAGACATGTTGACCCTAGCATTAGTTTATAACTTTATAGTATACACGCACACGATAAATCTCTAATTTTGTTTTGCCAAACATGATCTCCAATTAAAGGGGCCATTTATATTAAAGATACAAAGATATGAAATCTAAAGAGTTGATTTGCCAAATGATACTAATTATCGAGGAGGAAGTGTAAGCTACGTGCAGCTAGTAAACAAGGTTATCAAAGAATAGTGAGCTTTGTTTTTTCCTAACTCAATTGTTTGGAGTGCTGATTTGTGTCCAAACATTATCATCGATGACTAATTCCTGAATTTCTTTCTTAATAAAAACGAGAATAACTTCTTTGAAAAGAATAGGTAAATGACAGTGATGTCAAGTTTCTAAGAAATCAAGTTAGTTTTATGTAACACGTTATTTTGTTATGTCATGTGTGGATGTCAAATTTATCACCTATGAACAAAACTGAACTCTTAACTTTTATTTAATAATTGGGTAGATGTCCATGTAAAAGATATTACGGAAACAAATGATCCATCTCATTCTTATAACAAAATGAAACAAATTTCAAAATTACCTCTATATTTTTGAGATCTCACCTACGAACTCAAATTTAAAACGTTCATGATGCTAAGGAACCTAGCCTCTGATCACAAAGAAGTTAAAAATTGAACATGATCTTAAGGTGGAGCTGTTCGTTAATTTGTAAGTATTGGACAGATTGTGAAAATAACTATAGGAAGAGTACTAGTAAGCAATATATAATTAATAGTTAGACCCTTTTTAATGTCATCTCGCCGGAAAGAGGTTAATTAAGTAATTAACAGTTACGCCTTCGGGGGGCATTTATGTCAAATTAAGATTCCCCAGCGACATAACTACACGCCTTTAGTAAATAACTCCGCCTTCAAAAATTAAAAACGGACCGAAACTGAAACAAAACAGAACAAAACAAGAGAGAGAAAAAGAAAAGAAATTAAGAGAGATAGAGAGCATCGGAGAAGAAACAGTGAGAAATCTCAAAATGGCCACCATTAGAGTACCAGCCGAAGTTCCTTCTCCAGCTCAGGATTCCGAAGCTATCAATCACGCTTTCCGAGGTACGTTACAATCAACCAACCAACCCCTGCATTTGCTTGGTTTCTTCTCAAAATCAGATTTTTCTGGGTTTATGTTTTTGAAATTTTGAGTTTGAAAATGCGTTTTTTATTCTGTAGGATGGGGAACAGACGAGAAAGCGATCATACGCGTCTTAGGGAAAAGAAACGAGAGCCAAAGAAAGAAAATCAGAGAAAGCTACAGAGAGATTTACGGCAAAGATCTTATCGATGCTCTCACCTCTGAATTGTCTGGTCATTTCATGGTACCACTCACATTTTCAAAAACCCTTACTTTCAATTGAATTATAGATTCAGAGATTTCTTCTCTGTTCATGAATTCGCAGAGAGCTGTGATTCAATGGACTTATGATCCAGCAGAGAGAGACGCAAGACTCGCAAACAAGATTCTCAAGGAGAAGAAGAAGAGCGTAGAGAAACTTAAGATTATCGTAGAGATCTCTTGCACTCATTCTCCACACCATTTAATCTCTGTGAGGAAAGCTTACTGCTCTCTCTTCGACTTATCACTCGAAGAACACATTGCTTCCTCTGTTCCTTTTCCTCTTGCAAAGGTCTCTTCTTTTTCTTCTTTCATATTTTCAAAAATTGGTTTTTTTTTTAGAAGCTTAAATTTTAATGCTTTGTATGGTATAAAAAAAAAACACAGTTACTAGTGGCCTTGGCAACTTCATTCAGATACGACAAAGACAAGGTTGATGCAGAGGTAGCTACAATCGAGGCGGCTATGCTACGTGAAGCGATGACAAAGCAGCAATTAGATCATGATCATGTCCTGTATATAGTAGGAACACGTAGCGTCTTCCAGCTCAGAGCCACTTTTGCTGCTTACAAGCAAGAATATGGGAACACAATAGATAAGGTTTAGACTTTAGATCATATATAGTTTGATTTTTCTTTTCATTACATATATAAATACTTAATGTTGTGTTGCTGTGTATGGACAGGATGTTGAAGGATGTCATGGAGATGCTGACCTGAGAAGTCTATTGCAGATGGTGATCTTGTGTATTGACTCCCCTGAGAAACACTTTGCAAAGGTACTAACTAACTAACACAACATTTGACAAGACAAAAGACTCAAAAATCTGATTTGGAAATTGCTTTAACTTTGTGTTGATTGTTTTTTTCAGGTTGTGTATGATTCGATTGAGGGTTTTGGAACGGATGAGGATACGTTGACGAGAGCGATCGTGACGCGTGCGGAGGTTGATCTGATGAAAGTGAGAGGAGAGTATTTCAATATGTATAATTCAAGCATGGATAACGCTATTATCGGTGATGTTTCCGGAGACTACAAGGACTTCCTCCTCACTTTACTTGGTTCCAAAATCTGATCTTTGTTTAAATTTTTTTATGTTCTTGGCTTGTGATTTGTAACAAAACTTCATTTTCCAACTCCTATTTGAAAGATGTTTAAAAAATAATCAAAGCACTCTTTGTTCTTGGATTTTTTGTTTTTTATGATGTGTGTATATTATTAGTCAATTTATTTATTAATTAATAATGAAATAAAATATACTCTGTTTTTTCTGTTTATAAAGATGCTGAACAAACAAACAAATGAGTAGTCAGAATACAACCAATGAGCTCTCTTTTTTCTCTACAACGACCAAAAACGATTAATGCGTTGAGAAGAAAACAACCAATGAGCTCTCTTTCTCCACATTGCAATAAAGTTACTTCATTGTTAAACGATTGTGTTTCTTTTGTTGTAACGTAAAACTTTATTGCAACAAAAGAAAACCATTTTACAGAGAGATTTGTAGTAACGTAAATAGAAGAGGCTATCTGGCGCATATGTTTCTTCGCCGTTTATATTATTCAAATACATAAAGTTTTGATCTTTATTTTGGTGAAATTGAGAAAGTTCAGTTTATTTTACATTTTTTATGTCATTTTCCCAAATTTCGTTGAGATATTTTTCAGATAGGATTGTTGAATGAGAGGGGAAGAAGAATGAGTGGCTCTCATCTCCCACCAAAATCCACAAAACCCTTTAACTCCTGCTTCTTTGGAGTCTTCTTCTCTAATCTAATTTTCCTGAAGCCTCTCTCGTGATCTCTGAGACTCTCTTTCGATTACGCTTGATGGCTTCTATTTCCAGAGTTTTGCCAACTGATGGCAGATTAAGTCAATGCAGTGGCATCTCCAGAGTCGGCGCTTCCTGGGTTCCTGCTACGAGGAGAGCTCAAACTCAATTAGGTATCATCATCACAGATCCCTTCAAACTCTCTAATTTCCGAAAAAGTCTCTCTTTTTCTGCTGAATCATTTGGTGTTTCTCTGCTTCAGATGCTTCCAAGTTGTTTCCGGTTAGTAACTCTGGGATAAGTTTGAGGATTCAGAACAGTAAACCGTTACGCTCTGTCTTTGCTCTTGAAGCTTCCTCCAATGCTGTACATTCCTCCAGGTAGTTACGGAATTAGATAGAGTGTGATCAAGTGACGTTTTTTGCTCTAGATTTGGATTTGAGTTCTTAGATGTTTGTTATGTGCATTTGTGTGAGCAGAGTTGCTTGCAAAGCTTCTGCAGATGTGTCAGGGAATGTACCTGAAAGCACTCCCAAGGGACTTAGCCAGTATGAGAAGATTATTGAGCTTTTGACAACCCTTTTCCCGCTTTGGGTACTTATCTATCTTCCACTCTTGTTTGATGAACTCTATATATGCTTTTGATATCTCAAAGTGGTGAATGTGATTGTTTCTTTGTGCAGGTGATTCTGGGAACACTTGTTGGCATCTTCAAGCCATCTTTAGTATGCTTTTCTCTGCATCTCAAATTTGTTTTCCATTTCTATAGACGTCCGTGTTTCTTGTGCTAATAGATTGAGTCTTTGTAGGTTACATGGTTGGAGACAGACCTTTTCACTCTAGGTCTGGGATTTCTCATGCTCTCCATGGGATTGACTCTTACTTTTGAAGATTTCAGAAGGTGTTTACGTAATCCATGGACGGTGAGAGCCAATGAGCATTCTTGGTGTATTTATTCTCACTGTTAGATTTGTGACCCGTTTAACATTTATATTTCTTCTGCAGGTGGGTGTTGGTTTTCTCGCACAATACTTGATCAAGCCTATTCTTGGTTTTCTCATTGCAATGGTATGTTTCCGTTAATGTTTATCACATCAACCTCTATTTTTCTTTTCTGAAATGGATGCTTATACAGTTTTATTGATGATTCTTGCTTCAGTTCTGTTTACTTCAAGAAATTGGTTATGTGCATTTGTAGACACTATTGTTTGGTTGTTGATGATTGTCGAGGAGCCAACTTATGCAAACCCTCTCTGTAATTTTATTTTAGACTCTGAAGCTTTCGGCACCTCTTGCGACTGGGCTTATCCTGGTCTCATGCTGCCCTGGAGGACAGGCGTCGAACGTTGCAACCTACATTTCCAAAGGGAACGTAGCTCTCTCTGTACTCATGACGACGTACACTTCTATTTCCACTTGTTTTTCTTTTTCCGCTTCTTGAGTATGATTAGAGACCTCAGTTTTTCATATATAAACACAATCTGTGTCTCTAATAATCAGGTGTTCAACCATCGGGGCTATTATAATGACTCCTCTTCTCACTAAGCTTCTTGCTGGCCAGCTTGTTCCCGTTGATGCTGCTGTGAGTTTTCTTTGCCACTATTTTTAATTCATTCAAAAGTTATTGAATGATCATAACGAAAGCTTATGGATCCTTTTTTTTCTTCTGATATCAGGGACTTGCTGTAAGCACTTTCCAAGTAGTGTTGGTGCCTACTATAGTTGGAGGTAAGTATAGTACTGAACTGTTTCCAGAGCAATGAATTTACCTTATGATTCCTTACGAACTTAAAAGTCTTTTTTTCTGTATTGTGTGACGACAGTTCTGGCCAATGAGTTCTTTCCTAAGTTTACGTCGAAGATCATAACAGTGACACCTCTAATCGGAGTCATTCTGACTACTCTTCTCTGTGCCAGTCCTGTAAGTAGTTAGTTAATCATACATAAACCAGAAACATTTCTTTTAACTGAATTTTCAGAGTGAGAGTAGTATTAATTGATATCACATTTGTCTCTTGTGAAAAAAGATTGGACAAGTTTCAGAGGTTTTGAAAACACAAGGAGCTCAACTTATACTCCCGGTGGCACTCCTTCATGCTGCAGCCTTTGCTATTGGCTATTGGATTTCAAAGTTCTCTTTCGGCGAGTCCACTTCTCGCACCATTTCTATTGAATGTGGAATGCAAGTAAGTTACTTTCTTCCTCCTACACCAAAATATATATTGCGGTTTGCTTTGTTTTTGGAACATCTTTTTGAACAGAGGCCTTTGTGTTTTGTAAAATTGCAGAGTTCGGCGCTAGGGTTCTTGCTTGCACAAAAGCATTTCACAAACCCTCTCGTCGCTGTTCCTTCAGCAGTCAGTGTTGTCTGTATGGCGGTAAGTTTTCATAAAGCATTAACTGAAACCAAGTGTAGGTAGTTATGTTCAACGGCATAGGTTGTAATCACTATGTTGTATTTGCATTTTCTGCAGCTCGGCGGGAGCGGCCTGGCCGTGTTCTGGAGAAACATGCCGATTGCGGCAGATGACAAGGATGACTTCAAAGAGTGAATCAACTAGGAAATGCAAGTTTGTGTCTTCTCCAATGGAGATGGGATTGTTGTATTGTTTGTAGAACATGCTCTCCCTTTTGTTGAATTTGAATTGACATTATTAAACAAGAGTGTGCATGTTGAACTGAATTTGTGGTCAGATTTTTTGTTTGTTTATCGCACTGAACCAGATTATCCATTTAGCGGAAAAAGGAACTTGATTTTGTTTTCTGAGAACTAAAATTTAATCTAAATATCATTTGAATATGCTTTGTTGTGCCTGGCTTCTATTTTCAGGTGTCGCACTATACTCGTCCCACTGTAACCATCAACTGTTGTAAATGTACCCTTAGGGAAGATGGACGGCGGCTGAGTATGTACAGGGCAAGTCTCGAGTTTTATGTTTGTATAATGTGTTAAGAACCAGAGTAAGAGTTATGTCCTGTTCTTAGGTCTAACTTAAGAAACCTAAACCTAACAAACAAATAACTTCACTAAAAAGTTATCGTTCTAGAACATTGGAGGATTCATCTTATCAAAAAATCTTACAATGAAGCTTGATATGTCATGTAATGATAAGAATATAGGTTTTGGTTTTTCAATTTGTATTCACCTCTAAGTTACTTTTAAATAAAGGATATCTTTATTCACTCAAGAAACTAATTGTTTACAACTTTCACTATAAAAGCATAATAAAGCAACAAAGGGACTATAAAAGACTAAAGTAGTATCAACTGATTCTAGCTCATATATGTTCTCATCATCCTAACTTATCGTTTGAATACTTACAGCAATCAACAAAGTTGAGAAGTCCATCCTCAAATTCAAACCAATTCGGCCGTCTGATCCAGCTGCAGACTGTAGAAGAGATGCACAACAACCGTAGTCTGAAAAATGGGTGCATCCAAGATGCGCTCGTACTCGTACATGCGCCATCCCGTTCTCTTTTCCTCCACCGTAACATAGTCCACAGTGTTCCTCCTACCTAGTATAATAGTGTTCCCACGAGTAATCTGTTTAGGCTTACCTACCGCCTTCCACTTCCCATCTACCAACATCTGTTGAATGAATCGTCTAGGTCTTGAGCTTGAGCTTGAGGGCGTGTAAGGCACTCGAGGAACGAAATACCAAAAGTTTTGTGCTGGGAAGTTAGGCTGAGCTGGGAACACAGTGCTGATAGGGTCTCTCTCAGGTAGATGTTAAAGTCAAGAATCGGCGAGTCGACCAAAGCTCCTAAATTCCCCTGTGTCTTTGGGATGAGAAAGTCTTCGAAAATCTGTTGCTCACTGGGAGCAAACCACACACCTAGAGGGACCTGAGCAGCCATTCTAAAAAATAAAAAACCAATGTCACGACGAAAACAGTAAGATTAGAAGCTCAATTTTACAGTTAATCAACATTCAATTCCTAGAACAGAGCCAACATACGTAAAATTTATATCTAAGAAACCAGAAAAAAAAAGAGAGCATACATGATAAAATTCACTTTGTTTCAAAACCTAATTGCGTGACTCAATTATTCAACACATAAGATAATGATCCATGAATTTTCAAATCACACGAGACATGGCAGACGAAAACATTAATTGAAGAAGCAAGAGAGATTTGAAACCTGCAGATTGGATATTTGATGCGGCAACGGTGGACTTTGGCGACGGAGGATCGGACCGGTTCGGCTTTGGCGAGAGAAAATCGGATACGGCAACGGATCGGCTTTGGCGACGGAGAATCGGAACAGGCAACGGCGGATCGTGGCGACGGAGAATCGGAACAGGCAACGGCGGATCGGACGTCACCGGCGACGGCGGATTGGATTACGGTGGGGATTTGCGCTACGAACGGATTTCGACGCCGAGCTCAGCTTTCGAAAAAGGGACTCGACTTTTAGTTCTTCAAAATCTAACTATATATATAGCGCGCCCAATTATAAAGTTAAAACTTTTAATTGGTTAAAAATTAGGGGGAGTGGTTATTTTTTTGATAGGGTAAAAGTTTATTTGAACTTTGGTTCGGTGCTTGTTCCCGCCCATTTAGTTAAATAATTTTTGAATGTGTAACCTTACATTCTAAATAAAATAATTTTTAGATAAAAACTTATATCAAACTTATATCTTTCTGTTTTGTGCTCTGCACTAGCAAACAATCACTCGGGATTAGCATTTGCCTTGTTTGTTGCTTGTTTCCTCTCTTCACTAGGACCTTCACTTGAACCTTCACTTCAAAAACACTCATCGGAATTGTCATGTTCAATGCTGGTCTACCACGTAACTCCAGCTTCCTTTGCTCCATGCTCTACTGTATCCACGAAACGAAAACGTATCAGTACCTAACCATGTTCATAGTCATACTGAGATTTCCAATCCCTTGGATCTTTCAAATTCAAATATAGATAAAGAACTTGCCTGAAGTAAAGCCTTCAGCTCTTGATCAAAGCTGCTTGTTCCTCAGGATCCACGGTTACTACCTTCTGTCTTACACGAAATTCATTATCATCATCAGATCCAGGTCCATCGCCATCATCATAGTCATCTCCATTGTCACTCCCAGATCCCCGTTCATGATTTCCATCGTCCAGCTCTTCGTTCTGTCCACCTCGGACCCCAGAGCCACTACCAGAATCACTGTCGCTTTCTTCTTTATGAGCTGCACCATTCTCTCCAATATCTTTTGCAATACTTTTACCGTTAGAAGAGATAACACCGGAAGATGACCTGCTTAAAGGCTTTGTATCTGAAGAAGCATGCTCACGCTCTTCCAGCTGCAGTATAGCTGCATTGACCTCATCAATAGTCGCATAGCGGGTCATATTGGGTCTCAAATTGGCAAATAAATCCTGCGTTGAGACAAAGATTAAGATACATTAATTTGCTACAGATACTCTGAACCCTTAAGTGAAAACTGGATCAACAACTTCTACAAAATATCTAACCTTATGTCCCTCATGAAAAATATACAAAAATTATAAAAACTGACCTGCAAGTCAAATTCAATATCCAAGGGAAGAGGACCCTTGCTCAGTATGTATCTCTGGAAATGTATCAAAAACTGATCAAGCCTTTTCTTCGAAGAACCTCGATCAAAGTAGTGCCCACAGGTTTCCAGAAGAATGATAACCATCCTGACACGGAAAAAATCTTCTGGTGGATCCAGCACCTCTTGCTAACATTACAAAAGGATATACAACAGCCAATCAGTGAAAGAAAAGGACGACTAAAAATTAAACGTAAAGCAACGATCCTGCAGAGTCGAGCCACACATAGCATTTCGGTAAGATACAAACAGCAGTTTTACTCTTTCCATATGAAAAAAAAATGACTTGTGGCTTCAATCATTCCACAGTTTATGTTGACATAATCAGTTTTACAGCGTGGTGTACCACATTTTTGCAAAATGACACGCCTAGATACAACAATAATAGAAAAAAAAAACATGATATGCCTGTATACAAAACAATAAGAGGAATGCATAAAAGGAAACTAATCACGGAAAGAGACGCTTACGCACGAGGAGCATTTAGAATGTAATGAAGGGATGAACTCTGAAAGAGTCTGAGGCTAGCATACCTCTGAAGTACCATGACCATATGAAAGAGTTACATTAAGCGTCTCGAATATCACAGATGAATCTACGTGCTCGTAGTTGTACAGCTCCCCTAAGAATCTCAAATGGGCGAGTCGCTTCTGTTGTGCCCCATATTCATTCAACTCAACTCCAACCCTTATTTCCTCCAGTACCTTCAAGTGAAAACAATGCAGCACGTTACATAAAAAAAAGTCATACTAACTCGCGGACAATGTGAGATGAATAAGCACAGCAAAAGCTATTGATAAAATTTAAGCCAAGCATGTAAAAATCACTCGGGAAACGACATAAACAAGCAACAAATTACAACAAGCATCAAATTTTACGGTGGGAGAGCATGAAAGAATCATGTATACAACATGGAATCTAAACCTACATGCATGTTCCTCCTAAGCATTTTCAACAGCAAGTTTATCTCAGGCTATACTGACACGTCCAATTTCACATAAGGAAATATCATTTCAACTTGGCAGCAACTTTCATATCTACTGACAAAAACTGGGAGTTTAGCATCTTAGACTTTTTCACTGCTGCACATATTTAAAACCAAATGGCTTTAGATTTAGCAATACTTTTCCAGTTATAACTACACAGTACGAGAACAAGCTACGGATTTTGTAAGTTAAACCAGAACCTTTACACCTAATTAAGTTCTCCAAGTTGAAGTGGAACCTTTAATATTTTTCTCAAGAGACAGGGAGAAGCCATTTATGCAACACCATCCAAAATAATAATTTTCTGATTTTTAAAAACTTGCAGGATTTAGAGATCCGGACAACACAAAATACAAAATCCGTTCCGTATGTGTGAGCCATAAAATACAGTGGAAGGAACATACCTCATCAACAACAGCCACCGCAAACTCATCATGATGGCGGCTCAAACCAGAGGTCAGTGAAGCAATTAAGTGAATCTGTCCATATTTTCCCTTGTGAACCTTCATAAAGCACTTTAAGATGTATTGCTCACACTCACTCCATGGCAGCTTCCGCAGTTGCTTTAGTACATTCGTAATCGAATCTTTATCAAGATCTGAGAATAGCAGTTTCCGAATATACTGCAGAAATTTGAATGAAAGTATAAGAAACGCCAAAGTCGCCAATACAATTGAGCAACCGAAACATAAAGGACATAGTAGTTAGAGGTTAGTAAGTACCTGATGCAACGGTGGACTAACTTTAGAAATTCGAGCTGATCTTTCAGGTGGTTTACAGAGGTAGTAGGCATTTTCCACAAGAGTACTTTGACGAGGATCCAAGTTCTTAGGCGCATCAATATGTCCAGCATATTGCTCATCCTTTGCGCGGTGTCGGGAGACCGATAAAGAAAGCGGCCACATGTCTCCAGGAGATTGCAAGCAACATCAATGTTATGATGCGTAAATTCATCTAAGCAAGCCTGCAAAAAAAATATTACAAGTGCATTTTTTTAGAGTTGGATGGCTCGTGTTTTGCCAAAGATGACTGAATCCCCATCCCCATACAATTACTTTTAGATCTCCGGTGAGTGGATTCAAGTGAAAGTTACCTAACATATCTACAGAGAATTCAAGAAAATACATATCTCTACAGAATGCATGTGTTGATGGATTGAGTAGTTATACCTTCAAACAACTGAATACAGTATTAGGATGCACGATTTTAAACTTGCAGAGTTCTCCAATAAATCTGATGTTCCGGATTGTTGTTTCGATATTCATTTGGTCCTGCACATATTAAATTTGCAGCTCCATCAGACAATATATTATCAAATTTGAACATCGCTTATAATGGAATGTTGGGAGCCAAGTTGAGAACAGAGGCATTCACATTAACAGAGTGAATTGACTTCACACTTCCTGCCCAAAGGATAGAAGTGCAGTCATAATCAAATTATTTGAAAGAAAATTAATTACTTACTTTTTTATGGACCAGAGCATCGAACTCGTCCTCCAACATCTGCACAAGAGTAGAAGGGATGTCCTTCATGCATGTTGCTAGTGTTGCAACCATACGCGAATAGTATGCTAGCAACTCCAGAGATGTCCTAGGGACATTGAATAACGCTTTGACAAGTTTTTTTATATTTGTCTTAGGAGTTCAAATAACAATAGTCCACCTGAAAATAAAACATAGGAGTAAACAATGGAGACAAGACGTTCAACTGAGACAACATCAAAGTGAAAACCATTTCCAGGACTCTTACCGTTAACTGGTCAATAAGATCACGGCTTACACAACCAGGAAGTCGCTGTAACAATCTTTCAAAGTTTGCCACGTCAAGGCTCTTGCCTTTCTCCTTCTCATGATCCACTTTCCTGTCACTATCCTTTTCTTTCCCTTTGTCCTTCTTAGCATCCTTAGCCTTCTCCTTATGTACTTCATCCTTATCTTTTGGCTGCTCGATATTTAATCCATCACCCGTACTACTAGAATCAGCAGGAACCTCTGTTGTGTCCTCGGTTTGTTTGTTGACTTTTGAATAAGACAACCTTTTCATTTTTCTTTTTTTTTTTTTCAATATGAAAAAGTAATAAGGATGAGAGGTGTTAAGCTTTTCATCATCCTGGCGTCGAGCTATTTTTCCGCAGGACAATTTCAGAGGTAGACTCCTTCAATAACAACAAGGCATGGAATCAATAGTGTAGGATTTATATTAAACAATGCAAGTTAGGTTTTCACAATGCCCAAATATGCAGCACAAAATCTTTCAACAAGCAAAGCATGCCATTCTGAGGGCAGAAAATTCATCCATGCATTATCGACCAAGTCCCCTTCAATTCATAGTCTATCAAAAAAGGAATACCATCCACGTTCTCACATAGCAGCAACAGTAAATTTATTCTTATATGCTAACAGAGAAAGAGTGACAGAATATATGCCATCCACTCACTGATGATTTATCTTTTGCCTTTGCAGATTGCTCATTCGATTTAGGCTCTGATTCTTCCAACAAGACTGCTGGAACAAATGCCCTACAGAAACAATGCATCTGAGATAAACAATTGAAAACTGAAAAAGAGTAAACGCTATAATGGACTAGATAATCCAGAAGAAATCTATGAACATTGCTTTCTATGCCACTTCCAAACTACTCATTTTCCCATATCTTTGTTTCTTAGGAACATAAATAAGAGCTGACCTCAAATCAGTCAAGCATTCATAAAATGTTCTGGTGTCCTCGTCGTCCCAAATAGGTTCGGGGACAGATGTATCTTTTACAGCAGCAGAGGATGAGGGTTCGTCCCCTGCTGTGAGCCTAGTTGTACCATCTTCTGGCATAGCAGGAGGCTGCATATCAAGTGACTCGGCCAAACTGCAACAAAACATAAATAGTACATAACTAGTTATGCAGAGGTTATAGATGAGAATGCTTAAGCAACTGACTTTGTTCTGTAACAAATATTTATCCTAAACATAAACTCTGTATATTAAAACTTTAGTTGTTCCTGTACCAGATATCCTTTCCAGTTAAAAGATGTAGAAGGTATGTCATAATCAAAATAAAAAGTTTGGCAAACGAACTAATGGATGCCCAAGATCTGAACAATGACACTATATATTAATCTACAGTGACAGCGACATGACGCTATATTATGACAGAGTTAAGAGCTCAGCACTAATAGCATGGGTTATAAGAGTTCAGTTAACGACCAGTAAGAAGAAGGCTACAAAGCTACCAATATACTCATCATTGAAATGATTACAGTTGATAATGTTCTAAGCTTTTCTGCAATCAACTCTACTACAGCTAGACCACAGGAAATGCCAGTTGAGTTATACAATTACAAATGATCAACTTACGATGAGATATTTCGATAGAGATGGGCATATGATTTCCTCAGCTTTTCATATGAAGATGCACTGTCTTCACTAAGCTCACCTTTAGCATTCACCAGTTTTGAATTTTCTTTTTCCATTTGTTGAAGTGACTGTCAAACAAAAAGTATTGTGAAGATACTTCAGAAAAAGGAGAAACTAAAAGCGAAAAAGGAAAAGGTGCAAACAATAAGGCTAACCTTGTGCTCAGATTGAAGTACATCTGTCAGAGCATCATAATACGTGTTGAAAGCTTTCTTAAAATTCTTTTTCTGTTCTGCAGTGACCTCGAGACCCTTAAAAAACTAGAGTAAGCCTTAGTCAGATTTAGCTATACACGAGAAAAAAAGAAGATATGGATAATACCAATGAACAGAATTAGTGAATGGCACAGACAAGAGATCATCAAATAGCGGGGATAAAACTTCAGCTGAGAATCAAACCCACTTACATCTTCGTCATGTCCAGAAATAGGAAGCCCAAGAAAAACTCTTCCTTGCCGAGCAAAACTGGAGAGAAGTGTCAAATTTGTTTGGGTAGTATCTCTGTCTTTCATATGTTCAGCACTGGTAAGGTCCTTAATAATATTGATGAAGATATTACTATCTTCTATTACTCCAACATAGTATAGCTCCAGAAGAAGTTTAAGGGTACTGCGGTTTTTTCATGGCCTTTGCATTTCTGTCTGCTTCTAAATCGTCTGCAGATTTTCCAGGAAGGAATACTTTCAAGAGCCCTTGTGTTAGACTAGACGAAAATTCTTTATACCTCTGATGAAGCAGTGAACATATCTGTCAGAAAACAAGGATGTCAGGTTAAGTAGACCGCTTTGAAAAACAGAGAGCAGTGTCTCTTATGCTACTTTATTATGCCCTATAAAAAACAACAAGGCAAACCTGAACAGCTGCTTGTATGTCTGAGCTTTTGAGCTTGGCCTCACAAATGGCAGTAACTGCTTCACTAACGAATTTGCTAAGGTTTACACTTCGCAGATCATCTATCAGACCTTCTCGCTGCTCCTCGTTGATCTGCTTTAACTTCTTGATGACTGCTGTATTACGCTTGATGCTAGAATCCAGAGTCCTAAGATATGCTAAATCTGCAACATTGGAGGTGGACACAGTATCAGTAACAACTACATATTCTAAAATAGAATTATCCTAAGTCGTGTGCTCCCAAAGTCCTGAACAGTTATATCAATAACAAAGACAACTGTTGCTAATACAAGCTGACAAATTTCAGCAATCGACCATTCACAGAGGCAATGCGAAAACCTTAATTAGTCAATTCCACGTATGTAAGCTCGTCTCATCATAGAAAATCAGAATCAACATGAACCAGAAAATTACTCCGAAGAGACAAATTTCTATAAGAAAAAGACTAACCAGGTCTTTCAGGATTGAGGTTGTTTTGACGAAGAGCCATTTTAGCTTCAACTGACTTCTTAATCTCCGCAAGGCGAGCAAGAGCTTCCTGCAATACCCAGAAAACAGGAGACAATTTTCGAATTAAAACATGAGAATAAGGTTTCGGAAAAGAGAAAAAAACAATGAGATCAAATTTCAGTCTCGAACCTCGTCGTCTTGTTTCTCGCTTTGGGTTTCCTCTTCTTGGTGATCCATTAGGGTTCAGGTCGATAAAGCCGTAGAAAAGTAAGGAAATTTAGAGGCAAGTGGTCGCCTTTTTTTTCTTCGATCAGACTTAGGTTTACTGAAAAGGGATTTAACTGTGTGCTCTTCCCTTAGGTAAGCCAAACGGGTAGTATAATTTTAGTATAATAAGCCAAACGGGTAGATCCGAGACAATCTATTATATATTAATAATTTTAGTATTAATTAATTTCAGTTATAATAAAATTTCATGATGATTTTAAAATTATAAAATAAGAACTTTACCATACAAACCTATAAAATTGGTAAATATATATTTTTAATTTTAAATTTTGGTCAATATAAAAGTCTAAAGGATTTTTTTAATATAATTTAATCATTTTATCTTTTTATTTTATAGAAAAAAATAATATTTCTGAATATAAAATTTGGTTCGGATCGGATCGGATCCGAATATCCGGCGGACATCCGATTTTTCATATATACCCTGTGTTAAAAAAAACGGGCGTTTTGCCTTTTAATCGTTGAGAAAATCGTGCATCGGTAGCCCACCGTTGCGATTACGCTTCATCGGTGGTCATGTCTGGTCAACGACGTTTGACCAATGAAACCCATTTTTTTTTTCCAAAAACTGCGTGTAATAGACAAGCGTTTGGGCCAGATTTGTTTCCTTTACAATTTGAATAGATGTGATCCAAAGAGAGAGAAAAACCAAACAACATACCTAAGAAAAAGAGAGAAAGAAGCCACAAACTAGATCCGATTATCAAACTAAATAAAAAGAAATCAAAAGATATAGAGTTATTGTATATGTGTTTTTAGTTTCTGAGTTTGGGTATGTATGTATCTTTTTTTTCTGTTTTGGTTTTGTGTATAACTTCAAATTTTAACACATCTTTTTACATTTGTTTTAGGTTAATAAGTATATGTTGCCTTGATCTAACACATTACTAGTCTATTGCACCTTAATTACTTGATCAATGAAGAACAAAAGGATGAAGAACTATAATCCTTCTACTATATTTTTTTGTATGTTCTAAATTGATCAAGACGATGTTTTTGGGTTTCCAACTATTTATTATGAGTGAAACTATGTAACTTTAATCTTTTGTAATAGATGTGAATTGGCAAAATAACAATATATAATCTTTTGTAATGTGATCATGTTGATTCAAAATGTGTTATTGAGTTACATATAAGAAAATGTTTGAAAAATATATAAAATATAGTCAAAAATTCATCCCCGTTTAATCCCCGCTTAATCTCCGTTTTAAAAAAAATCTCGAATCCCGACCCAAGCGCCCGATGAACGATTTCCGATATTTTGAACATAGTATATACCCTAAATCCGAATATACAGATACAAAATTTTCGAATCCGGATCCGGATAGTAAAAATCACGGATCCGGCGGATCCGGATTCTGATATTTTGAAAAAGCCGGATATCCGACCCGTGACCGGGCCTAATAAAATAGATGGTACAAAAAAACTGAAAAAGAGGTGGGTCGGCCATAAATAGACGGCTGAGATTGAGAAAACTGACAGATATATGTTGACGAGAGAAGTTGACCTCAAACAAACGGCTAAGATTAAAGAAGATGTTGAGAGTCGATGTTTGTAGATCTGTCTGAAAGATAACGCCGAGGAAACACCCATTAGGCTTTGCTAAGTACAAAATCTTGTCTGTTGATTCTCTCTGATCTATCTAGCCCGAGTCGAGTTTGGAGTTTCGTGCCATGTCAGAACCGATCCCTCTAGATCTGAAGAAGATGACTGAATTTCCGGTGAAGTTTCGGATGAAGGAACACCAAAAGAAACGAGTTTGCGGAGTGGAATGGAGGGAGCGAGAGGAGGACAACGAGAGCGACAAGAGGCCAAGTAAGCCAGAACCGATCCCTTTTGATGTAGAGGTGGAGATACTAACTAGATTGCCGGTAAAGTCTGTTATGAGGTCCCGGTGCGTGTCAAAGATGTGGTCTTCCATCATCAGAAGCCAAGGTTTCATTGATTCTTACTACGCTATGTCCTCTGCGACACGGTCGCGGTTTGTAGTGGTTTTCAGCAACGGTGTATGCGTCGACGGTGTTGCACAGCGTCTTTTCATCTTCTCCGGAGAGGAATCTTCTTCTTCTTTGGTTGCTGCCAATCTCGACATGACAATACCTTCCTTGACCATGCCTCACCGTGCCAAGTGTCCTTCCGTCCATGGCTTTGTCGGTTGTTGTTATTATAACCGGCTAAGTATATGTAACCCTGGCACGGGGCAAGTCGTTAACTTACGCTCTAAAGGAGACCGCACGTCCTTGGGATACGATCCTGTTGGTCAGCAATTCAAAGCATTGACCCTGCTGCATTGTCGTGGTCCCCATGCTTATGATGGTTGTACAGAGCACGAGATTATAACACTTGGAGGAGGAGAATCATCTCGCAGTAAGGTAACCTCGAGGCCTTATTCCCCTATGACCTATGGGCTATGCTTTAATGGTTTCGTGTATCATGGTGCGTGGGAACCAAGACAATATACGAAGCCGGTGATTGTGTGTTTTGATGTGAGGAACGAGGACTTCAGTTTTATCACTACGCCTCCGGATGTCCTGAAATGGCTAGGTGAGTCAGATTTGATAGAATACAAAGGCAAGTTAGCTGCCATTGTGACACACGGCAGCCATATGACCTTCGGAGGTTTTGATTTATGGATACTAGAGGATGTGAAGAAAGAAGAATGGTCTAGGCAATCATTTGTGCTTCCCTACACTTTGGTGAATATGACTTGCCCTGGCACCAACAAGGCTGGTGAAATCGTTTTTGCTCCCAAAAGACTCCCACTTGATTCTCAACCCTTGTTCTACCTTTTCTACTACAACCTTCAAACTAAAGACATGAGAAGAGTTCGGATCCAGGGGGTTGCAGACGACCAAGGTTTTAGGCTCCGTTATGGACTCTCTGGCCAGTGTAATGTCTCTGTCTCACTCCAACACGCTGAAAGTATTGCCTCTTTATAAATGGTGTTTTGTTTGTTTTAGGTTTCCTTTTCGTTTTTCTATCAATATCTATGTAAACGAATTAGGTGAGAGCTTGATTTGGTCTTTCGTTATTTATAGTCACTTTTACTTTTATCCTCTGCTTATTAACTTCCAAATGGTTTTATCTCAATAAGTCTGATGACTTGTACCAAGAAAATGTAGACAAGAGGTTTTCTTCAAAGTTTGGTTAGGAAGAAAACTTTCACAAGCTGTATTTACTTATGACTTATCGGTTAGTAACTCTTTCTCGTGTTATATATGTGTATCTCTCTTCTTCAGGATTTAAACTAAAAAGGATTCATTTGTGGCCGCACAAGTAGACATTTGGTCCATCACAACGTGATATTGAGTCTATATACCAGTTGATTCTTGCGTTTACAAGTTTTGTTGTAATATTCTGATGGGTGATTTGCATGTTTAGATTGGTTTTACGTAACAAATTCGTTGAACATGTCGCTGATAAATAAAGATTGGCTACTTTATATGTCTCAAACTCTCAATATACAAAACAAAACCTTCATGAGGAACATACTGAAGTAGTTGCTCTATGTATAATCTTTTCCCTCAGCCATCATAATCCTAATCCAAATCCAAATCTTTCTCTACAACACCTTCATTCGAAAACCCGCACATACTCCTCCTACTCTTGAGAATCAACTCCGAATTCTTCATCAACTGGATATATATCTTCCTCACAGCTAACACAGGATGTATAAGGCTCTCTCAAAATAGCCGTACATGTCTTGTTCTATAACCGGAACAGCGATTTCAGGGTCTTATCTTGTTGATCACAAAAAAAAAACTCTTTTCTTTTTCCATCTAACACATTACAAGATAAAACCAGGGGTCAAGCTGGTACTGTGGCTGAATAAGATGTTCTCTGCAGATGTCCCAACTTCTTATTTAGAACACATCAAGTCTAAGGTCTTAATGGATTCTGTTTTGACTTAGAAAAGGAAGATTCACTGTCAAGGTACTTAAACCAGAATTTACTCGGTACAATAAACAAAAAGATATCTTACATTAGCAAAAAAAAGTTCTAGACCTTTGTTCTGTATCTCCATTCTAAACATAAACTCATTTCTTCTATTACCCTCTGCGTGGAGATATCTATTTTGATCTCTTCTAATTCACATCAGCCTTTCCGTTGTCCATCTCCACTCCAACCATCTCTGTCGGCCCGTCTGAGTCTGGCTGCATCTTCTTCTCAGCTTCTTCACTCACCATGTCCTGATTGCTGTCTTCGATTTGCGGTATGTAAGTCTGGTATTGCTCATACACGCCTTGTGCCTGTCCCCAACCAAAAAAAAAACACACAAAGACATGAGACAAACCAATTTCCAAACGAACATAAATTAGCTACCAAAGCAAATAGCAGAGTTAGGTCGTTACCTTGTAAAACTCGTTCATCCTATCGTGAACTATGTGTGCCATTTCTTCAACACCATGAACGAGATAAGGATCTCCAACTTCCTCCACCGCACGATCTGTATAAGCTGTTGTGTTCTCACTCAGGTTGAGGCCGAGCTGATCGGGTCTCTTCAGAAGAAGCTGAAACGTTGGTTGCAGTTCGTAGCATTGCTCAAAGAGTGAGCGGCGGCAGAACACGTACAAACCGAGCCGAGCACGTGACATTGCAACCACCAACCTTCTCACGTCACGTAGATGCCCAACAAAGCGGGTACGCACAAGAGACATCAAAATAAAATCATTCTGTTGTCCTTGGAACTTGTCCACTGTAGTCACCTGAGAAACACAACACCACCAACCAAGTCATTACACGATCTTTCTCATATATATTAACATATAATCATAATACTTGAGTAGGATACTATACCTTGCTTGGCGGGCCGATGAAAGCATAGGGAACACATCGACGGTTGATAACATCACGGATTAAGAGCTTCTGGCCATTATATGTCGTCAAGATTGAGATCTTGTTAGCAGGATAGCCTAGCAATCTCATGTATATATAGACACTGACGATGTACTCAGCTTCTCCCTGATTCTGATAAAACCATGGAGATGGTGTCGACTCTCCTTTCCCTTCGTAGTCAGGGACATTAATCAACTGGTAGTCATAAGAGAATCCAGCGTTTGCTCTTTGAAAGATGGGTGCTTCCTTAACAATGGGAAGGTCTCCCAAGTCTCTGTATCTCCAGTTGTAGAGTTTGGCTAAGCTTGGCCTTGCTCTTCCTTGAGCATTCAGCTCAATATAAGGAATACCAAGACGAACAAACCTCGTGAACAGACTCTGATCCATGTGACTATATTTCTGGAAAGCCATATTCTTCACCACGGGAGGCAGCTGGTGGTGATCACCAATCAATATACAGCGCTTGAGTCTTGCATGACCATCTTCTTGCCTCTGAAGCAACATCGGTATGAAAGTCTCAATTTCCAGAATCTGGGCACTTTCTTCCATCAATAAGTTGTCGTACTTGAACCCCAACTGAAGAAAATCTCTCCTTTTTAATGCCGCATGAGTACACGTCATTGCTACAATCTTTGCTTGTTTGGTCATCAGGTAATTTGCTCTATCAGCAGTTGACTTGAGTAGTTCAAAGGCCCTACACTCTTCTAGCTCTTGGAACATAGTCTTGAGATGAGAGAAACAACCTTTAGCTGCTCTCATGTCTTTCTCAAATGACTCCCCACTAAAAACACTCTTAGGGGTGTCTGAGAAGAAATCTTTGAACGGGAAGCGATCTTGAACGAAAGATGGATTGTTTTCGTTTCCTGCACAAGCAGCAAGGAAAAGCTCCCAACGCGAGTATACATGAAGCAGCCAGAAATACCCAGCTGTTTCACAAGTATAACCAACATCCTCTGGAAGCTGAAGAGATCTTGCTAGTCTCTCAACCTCGCTGAGCAGTTCTAAACGTCGAAGAAGCATGGCATTGACACGGCCTTGTCTGCTAAAGTCGAGATCAGTGGCAAGCTCTTGTTCACCTTGACCCAAACGAAGTAGATACCGCGTAGGAACATCCCTCTGAAAACCCAAAACAATGTAACATTTGTCTGTCAGAACCTGTTAAACCATAAGATTTACTCCATATAATAATAAAATGAAAATATGAGAGATGCTAGTCGTACCTCCATTATCTTCTCAAAAAGATCATTCAAAGCCTGATTTGAATGAGTGATAATTAAGGTCCTCTGAGAAGGGCAGTTGTGATATAAAACATTTAAGATTTGCACTGCTGTATCAGTCTTTCCGGTACCCGGTGGACCAACCACCATAGTTAGCCCAGGCTGAATACCAGAGATAATCGCTCCAACCTTCAGGAAGATAGTAGGCATGGTTTGATTACAAGTTAGTAATCATACGTCTTGAATCTATACCATATGTTCTCATACAGAACTTATCAAATGCTTTACTATTCAATGGAAAGAAAAAGCGCAACAGTTTATATAGGTAACTTTCAGATATGAAACACAATGAATCGCCGTACAGATGATAAATAGATTCTCGTATGACATGATTGTTCTGTAAGAATATATGGTTTCTAAGATGATCAATGTCTCATTAGCCAAACAAATGTCAAAAATAACAAAAGCCGATGAGATAAGGAAGCACAAATGCACAATCACATAAAACCAATGGTATCAAATGAGAATACTGCTCTGAGGATGAAGAAATTAGTAGTACCTGTGTAGGCGTAAATTTAACTGAGTTCTGCTTCGGCTGGTCCTGAGGGTAAGGCCCTGGGTCAGGTGGGGTATATGCCTCGACAATAAGTTTCTCCTTCGGGGTAACATCCACCATATCAACATCGTCTGCTGGATTTACTTCAGATATCTTATTTCCAGAAAGAGCATTAGCATTCCCTTTTAGTGTCTTCGGAAGAGTGATTCGAAACGGAGGCCTTGGATCCAGAACTTCAGCACCATCAGTATTGACGAAAGATACCTAAAGAGCAAGAGTTATGAGAACATGGAAAAAGAAGCAGTTCCAGTCCACATCATATACCAAAGAAAATAATTACTAACCTCGTAATCTGGAAAACTTCCCCTGAGATGATTCGCATCAAGGAAGGTATCTTTGAAGTCCACGGTTTCCAACAGGTTTGGCATATTAGGCCACTGTGCAGCAGAGGGGTCCCCATACCCAAGAAAAACATTATGCAACCACTCCGGAACAATACAATATTCGTTCATGAGATCTCTGATAGATTCCAAAATAGCCTTGAAGTTGTTCTCTTTCGGTTTCCTCCTCACTAGCACATTAAATGTTTTATACACATCCTCAGCACCTTTTTCTTCTTTGTCTGTGGCATCGATTTGATACTGTGCAGCATCTAAAGCAACAGTAACAGTCCTCATGTCACCTTTTGGGGGCTTCCATTCATCCCGTTTAATTCTTCCAGTAAAATCATTCATTAGATTACCCTCCTCGTCACGGATATCAATAATTTCACAACCGCGAACATACTGAAGCCCGAGCCTCTGCGGTACTGTAGCTTTATCAGCTTCCTCTGCTCCTAATGGTTCAAATGAAGGGCGTATACAGAGCAAAAATAGCACATCATGCTCTTTAAGGGAATTCCATTCAGATCTTATCTGTGTTCTGTAACTCTTAATATTGAAGGTAACTTCTGCAGTCACAGATGCTGGCTTCTCTTCTCCAATATTAGGCTGTTTCACCTGAGTTACTCTGAATTCCTGAATCGGAACAGCCATTCGTGACCAACCACGGAAAGCAGTTTCTCCCTCATTATCTATGTGCGCAAGAAGATGTGGTACAGCTTCCTGTATATCTTCACGAATCTCGTAGGTAGATTCTAGACGGAAGAGATTGAAGTTTCTGAGGAGGTAATCGTGGAGTGTTAGAAACTGAAGATTAAGCTTTGGGAGAGCAAGGCAACCTTCCCCGGAGTAGTTAATGCTTGGAATAACACTTTCGTCCCACATGATTTGCTCATTCGGGTACAAAGGCAGAGCGTTTATTGCTTCCTTCTGAGACTGTTGCTTCTCAAAAGACGAGACAACGACCTCAATCAGAAAATCCTTACTATCAGCCCAAGGATCATCTTTTGAAACCAGTTTGAGCTGTACAAAAGCAAAAGAAAATGAGAACTGATGTAGGTGGCAAGGTGTATTATTGCCGTAAGTGAAACTGTAACGCAAACAGAAGTATTTCAAACAAAAAAAATCTAAAACTAAAATCCGCAGCAGGTAGGCAAGTGCATATTTTCTTTCCAACCTCCATCGGAACAAATTTTTCTCTTGACTGATTTCTAACGCTACTCTGCATAATACTGTAGTGGGAATTTACACAAGCAGATATTTAACTTCTATATTTGTCATTTGTGTCAACCCAGATATCTTATCATGTCAACTTGGACTTTGTATTGTCCTTTTGCTACCCATTTGGCCAATGGTACTTACTGAACCTCACAACTATAAGACCCTTAGCATATAAATCTCTATGCAGAGTTTGTATCATAATGCCCAAACATGATAATTTCACATGTGAATCTACGAGAATAAGCTTTCCAGATATATACCTTTGAGCAGACAACATCCCTTAAATCTTCAAGAGTGAGCGCCGACAGTCTCCTCCGAAGATCAGAACTCTTGTGAACCGAACCAATGTTAGCCAAAGACACATCTCGCAACTGAAGCAAACAAGATATCAAAAACCGTGAGAATTTAGAGAAGACTCTCCCAAAAAATAACTAGAGAATAAGAACGAAAGCAGATCGAAGTCTTCAAAATCTACCAGTAACAAAACAAAAAACCTAATACGCAAAACTAACTATCGATTATTAATTAACAATGGGTACCAGGAAAACACCTTAGGTATTTTCTTGAAGGCAAGTAACTGTAACCCCATAAAACGATCGTAATGAGAATGAAGCGCTTCAACGTCCGTCAATTGTGTTCCATCATGATCCTTAATCTCAAACTTTTCGTAGAACTGTAACAAGTCAACTAATTGGGCGAAAAGCTTCCCTTTTTGATGTTTGTACAGGACACTCAGACGACATTTGGCAACAACAGCTATATCCGCCACAAGAGGTCTTAAGTATCTGCCACAATCAAGAGGAAGAGATTAAGAAAGAAAAAAAAAGGTCCAGTAGATGAATGGTACAGAAATGGACACAGCGTATCAGGACCAAACACAAACATCCAGAAAGTAGAAGACAGTTTTTGACCTACTACAAATAACTTGCATAGAGCTCTGATATGATATAATAATACCTTCTTGTTGGAAGTTGGTTCAGCATATCAATGAGAAATTCCATGAATCTCTCGCAATATAAGACAGAAGACTCATCGACCAGTTGAGATCCAGCAGTACCATCAACCCCATCCGCAAAAACCTCGTGATCAAGCACCTGGAGAAGAGCATATGAATTTTGCATAACTATGCCAAATATTTGAAGAACATAGACCACTACAGCTTAGTAAGAACAAGTCAATTACCTTAACGAATTCTTCTATTAGGCCTCGAACAAAATTTACTTCAGGAGATGAGGATGGATCGAATTGCTCTCCCTTTGACATTGCCTCAGCTACCCATTTCTTTGATGACCTCTTCCACTTTTTTATTAGATCAGGTTGAAGGCAGACCTCCAACTACAGTTGTGAGAATCAACGATGATATCAGAGCAGCTACAAAATATTTTACCATCCTTAACAAAAGCTGTGTGAACGTATCTCATACCTGGAAACGTCCGTAAGATAAACTGAGCCAAGATTGTAATCCTGCTAGACTTAGAACAGTCTCATTAACCACGGCATCTTCCAAACTCTGCAAGTAACATCACGCAGTTAAGGATTTTGAAGAAAACAAATATAGTTCAAGGATATAAATTGTGCACAAACAACAAACAAAAGGTTGTCCGCGTGAAATAACAATCTTGATAGACATTTTAAGTTGCCTCCTATATATAGCAGCAATTTAAGATACTTGCAAACTATGTAACAAAACTTCATTCAAGAAATAGAACAAACCTGGAAAGCATTGATCATGAAGACCAGATAATTTGTCTTCTCAGCAATATTTAAGTCTCTTCCCTACAATGGTAAGCAAAAGACAATATGAATCACTTTTCGCTTGCCCCCAAGTATATAGCAAAGCTTATAATGTTAAAAGCAGTGAAATGTGAATCCAGTAAAACTAAGACTATCAATACCAATAGAGCTCGCAGAAAAGCAACAATGTTCTAAAGCACCACAAGCAGGACAAAATTATCTCAAATATGAACAACATTAGCGAAAAAGAAGACCACAAACCTCTTTAAGGCGAAGAACCTTCTGAAGAAACTGTTTGAATAGATCTTCGCGATCATGAAAGCAAATCCAAGCTGCCACATTCTCCCGGAACTACAAAAAGCGTGAAATGATTTTAGATTCAAAATGTTTGCAACTCCGTCCAACAACAATGATTCGTCGTTTGTAAACAGTAAAGTACGACTAGAGCTAGCTTACCTTCTCGTTAATCATAAGAATCATGGACATGACATGCTCGAAAGTGGCCGTCTCGGGATCGAAATTCGGCCATAGGTAGTTCTCCAAGTACTGACTCACTTCCAGAATCATGACTCGCTGTAGCGGAACCGGTTTCCGGCCACTAGTCACCTTCAGCTCAGTGACATAAATCTCCTTGACCACTTCCGGATCGAACGGTTTCTCCGGCAGCTTGCCTCCGGTCATAATCCAGCTCTCCTCGGCAATCTTCGTCAACCGGTCTTGCTGAATCTCCGATAAAGTGATGGAGCTCGGCAAAGTGGATCCAGGCTTCGACTCAAGGGGTTTCTCAGCGGGATTGCCAGGTAACTCCAACGGATACTCAGCCACTCTGTGGCGCTTGAAGTCGTACGTGCCTGTGCCATAGACCTTCGTCATTCTACTCGAAAGCTCGCTTTCTCTGAGGGAAAGAGCGAGAAATCAAGATATACAGAAAACGAAGTGGAGATGGTGGGATTTTTAGGGCTTAAGCTTAGCGGAGGAGAGATTCGTCGACGTCGAAGATGAAGGTGTTAATGACCCGATCCGACCCGACCCGACTCGTCCCGGGTGACGCTAGTTTAGTTTTATAGGCAGCTGGACTTGGGCCGACATTTGAGGCTATAGAAGTGTTTTACACATATATAAAACCAAACCAGAAACCGAAATGTTTCGAATTGAACCGAATTTTAAAGATTCAATTTCAAACCGGTTTTCCAATAACTTGTGTGTGGCTAACGAATCTCTTCTCTCATCTCTTCTCTTCTCTCAACGAATCAATCCTCCATGGCTTCTTTCAACCACTATTGCCTCTCTTCTCCACTCGCCGAAACTCCCACTTTCTTCCTCTCTCCATCTCCATCTCCACAGTCAAAATCCTTGAAACTCTCTGTTTTCCGGAACAAATCTCCGCCGCCGCCGCCAAACTCGTCCTCGCTGGACCGCTCTTCCGAGGTCGAGCTCGCCGTGGATCCCGTGAAACTCGCATTGAAGAAAGCCGAAGCGTACAAGAAATCAAAAACAGAGGAGCAAAACAACCCTCAGAGAAATGCCGGCGATGACGAGGATGAAGGATCGCCGCTCTCTGTGAAGCTTGCTAAGCAAAAGGCTGATGATGATTACAAGAAGCAAAAAGCTCCTGGGAAGAAGAAAGAGCTGAAAGTCTCCAGCATTGATTTCGTTGGGCTTGGCTTCGCTGATAAGAAGAGCACAAGGGGTCTTCCTCCAGGACTGGTTCCTGTTGTCGACTATGGAGACTTACCTGAGGTGGAGTTTATAGTTGGTGATAAAACAAGATTTGCAGAGACAGAGAAGAAGCTTGAGCAAGAAGGAAATGAAAACTCTGATGTGTATAAGCCCAAAGTTTCCACATGGGGAGTCTTCCCAAGACCTAGCAACATCTCTAAAACAGTATGTGATGATTAAATCTTAAGTTTGAATAATTCATTTCTTTTGTGATGTTTTGTTAAATATGCTTTTCTTGTTTCAAGTTTGGTGGTGGAAGGACTATTCAACCTGGAGATACGGTTGAAACCGCTGAGGAGAGGACTGCGAGAGAAGAACGGACAAAGAAATTGCTCACTGCCTACAAGGAATCAATCGGACTGAATATTGCTCCTGAACTCAAACTTGAATGTGAGGAGGTACTTTCAAAGACATTTGTTGTTCTTCCTTTTCTTGATGAGAGAATTGATGCTCAAGTCAATTGTTCTGAACACAACACATGCATGTGTTTCCTCTTCAGCATGTAAATTTTGGAAGCTTTTAATTTGGATGTCATTATTTAAAAAAAATATGATTTACAGAGTACTCTGTCTTACTCTCAATGAGAATGCTCCAAGCTTTATATCTTAACGGTTATTAGGTTGCTGTCTTTAGAATCCTACATTTTGATCATAACATTGATATGGTTTCGGTCGTTGTGCTCATTGTCTACTTTCTTCCTTTGATTTTGACACTTAATTATAAACAGGCACTAGAAAAAGGGAATTTGCTTATGGATTCAGGGAAACTCAAAGAAGCTTTGCCGTACTATGAAAAGGTCATGGAGGCAATAGTCTTTAAGGTAATTTCTCCAAAGCTTGAATCTATCTATCCACTTAGAGCCTGCTTCAGAAAATGCGACATTAACTAACTAGTTATGAGTTTAGTTGTGCAGAGTGAGCTTCATGGATTAGCGGCTTTGCAGTGGTCTATTTGTCAGGATTCACTCCGAAAGTAAGTAGCATGTTTTATTCTAGGAAACTCCAAATCATTTTCCCTTTTCTTCATTGAAAGCCATAACTGTTTATGGTCTCTTATGTGTTAAAAACATTGTTTTGGAGTCATTGGCAGGGAAGATAAGGCAAGGGGTATGTATGAGAAGCTCCTATCCCACCCAAATCCAAGAGTGAGCAAGAAAGCGAGACAGTTCATGTTCAGTTTTCAGGTAACTCAAACACCCTCAAAAGTATTATACCAACAAAGCACAACGAGCAAGATGAGTTGTGTTTGCTTTTTGTGGCAAACATTTCCAGTAAAAGGTGGTTTTTATTTTTGGTTGTTTGTTTTGACGAACTTGTAGGCAATGGAGATGTTGAAGGTTCAGGGTTCGAGCTTCATACAGATAAACCAAGGGTATGAGGACTACTTTGAAGCCTTTGTCAAAAAAGACAAAATTGATTACAAAGCAAAGGAGGAAGAAGGAGAGGCAATGGGAATAAACGAGACGCTCCTTTATGTGATTCTTCTTGCGTCTCCGATTCTATTGGTCTTTGTTGTGGCCGCACAGAGAGGGAACTTGCACTGAAGACACAAACTCTTGTCAAACTTCTTACAAGTAAGTTTTGTATATATATATATATGAGGTAATGTGATTGATGATCCAAAGCAGCCAAATTAGTCGTTTGCATCTATCTATTGTTGACCTTAATTGAGAAAAATCATTTTTCTTATGAACTGGAAGATAAATAAAAGAATATAAGAAACAATTATCATACACCAAAGAAAACAAATAAACAAAGATCAAATGAGTCTAATACTTCATCTCTATGAATACTAAAACAATAAAAGAAATCCCAACTAGGAAAATACATGACTTAAAATGTCCCAAACTTATAATCACACGAATCACATTTCATTTCATTTTGCAAAAAGAAACGTCTTGTGTAATGCAAAAGTTGCAAAACAATTCATAAGGCCTGACTACTTCTTGGTCTGGCCTTGACCAGCCGCCGAGCCACCTTTACCTCCTCCTGCAGTACCACTAGTTCCAGCGGCAGCACCACCAGCTCCACCGGCTGGAGCACCTCCGGCGTCAACCGTTGTAACTTTAAACCTTCCTTTTCTTAAATCTGGTGTGCCCAAATTGACACTTCTCAAGGTGACACGTGGTGAACGAGCGCTGAGACTCCTCTGCATAGTCATTGACTTGGCAGGAGGACGAGAATCTTGTTTGAATTGAGACATAGCATCTCCAATTTTGTTGAAGAAACCAAGAAACTCGTCTTTAGCTACACCTGGAAACATCTTCTTCAGCAGCTGAAGTTGCCCCACGTAAAGCTCTCTCATATACTCTAATAGCATCAGCACTCTCATGTCCATCCTCGATCCCTCATCATCATCACCACCATTATCATCAGCATAATCAGCATCAGCATGATGTTCTTCATAAACTCTGTGGTAGATATCTCCCATGTCGCTGTATTGTCTCTTCATACTCCCACTTCTTAGCCTTGTGGATTCAGAGTCGTCGAACAATCCGAAGAAGAGACTGTTCTTGCAGTTGTTGTCTTCTTCGTTTTCTTCGTCATTTCTTGATTGATAACTCAGAGAGTTAATGCTAAGATGCTTCTTCCCCATAGACATAATTATCATCCACCAATCACCACACAATTTGATTCCCAAGTCTTTTGAGCAGCGTATATTTGTTTTCTGTTTTGTTTTTCTGAGTGTATTTTTAACTTTTAAGATCTGAAGAAGAAATCAAAAGGATCTTTAGGTATATAAAGATTCAAGTAGGATGGATCTGGAAGCAAAAAATGTGTAGAAAGATGAGATCTTTTGCTTGTTCCAGACTTGTCAACACGACGTTGGCACGACTTCTTCAACGTTGACTTGATGGGTCCAAAGCATTTGGTTTTCGGCCAATCATGAGGTAACAGCTCGGTTTGATTTATGCCATATTGTCACCATTCTTTGAGTTGTTTCTTGGGAGAAGCTGCAAACTTCGGATACAAGTGCATACATTATACATTTACATTACACATTTATCATCTTTAAATTTCGAAGACGTGTAGAAGAAGCGAGGATTATTGTATATAAATGATAAAAATAATTTCATAATGGTGGAGCCCCGTGGAGGCTTATCCACTTATGTTTATGTAATTAAGTTTCTGATGGCTGAAGTTCGGGAAGGTAAAAGTCTGCACGATAATACTAACTCTTATAACTAAACTACATGATTAATTGATTAGGTATGTTTTGTTCGCAAGCAACTAAACAATACCTAATTAATTATTCGCAAAAACTTTGGACTTACCTTATGATTTAATTAGTTGCAAACTGTTTAAAGATCATTATCTTCATTTTCATCTAATAGCATTCTATTCATATATTATAAAAAGTAGTGTTCTGTTTTCCTTCTTCTAGAAATGACTACTCTGTTTTCCTTATTCTAGAAAGCAGCGTGAGAAAGTCCTAATTTAATTTCTTGACAGACCTTTGTGGACTATACCAAAGAAATACTTGTCGGTTCCAAATAACGAAAATATACATATCAAACTTTTTTTTATACATGTGATTATATATATATCAAAACTTAGAAACTATAATTTGAGCCCTCTCTTCGTTAATTTGTGGGGTAAGAGGAGCCAAAAAAATTCTGAGAGAGAAAAGACAAAAGAACATAATGCGCATTATCTCGTGTTACACGGAAAAGCAATAATTAATCATCCCTAAAATATGGCTCCAATAATAAAGTAAAATGTCCCCACCAAAATCAATCTCTTTTCTCAGTGCTCGTCAATGTCACAAAGTATTCAAATCTTTCATTTGTTTCAAGTATGAACCAATCCACATAAAGTTACAAAAGGCACTAAGACAAAACCGCACACGTATCTTTAGCCCACCATTGAAAACAGAGAGAATCTCCCATCTTCTTTCTTTTTCCTTCTGGTCTAAACAAGCAATAGCTTTGTCTTCAGGCAAAGCAAAACTTGGGAAGATGGTTCAAAGGAAGACTTGTCAAGCAATCGAGTCAAACAATCTCCAACCTGAAACCCGGTTTGGGCAAGAACATCTCAAGATCCTTGGACCGGAGATGATGATGATGAAGAAGAGAACAAAACCTAAGAGGAAGCTTAAAGATAATCCTGTTTCTCCACCAGGTAAGCCACAACCACCACCTAATAAGCATGATCTTGTTGTTAAAGGCACATGTATGCCACCAAATTACATGAAAGGCACCTCTAGCTCTGAAGCGAGGTTTAATCTTTCAAAGAATCAGAAGAACCAAACCGGTTCGAAACATGATTCTCGTTATGGAGTTACCAAAGAGAGAAGTAACAAGAAGCTGAGTTCGAGGATCGTTAGAGGTTTCACAAAGGCTCCGAGTTTCAAGAGATGCTCACAGAGAGCTACTTGTTCTTCAACTCTAAAAGACTCCAAGTTTCCAGAGTATCTGATGCTTAACCATGGCGAGACAGATGATGAAGTTAGTGGAACCTCTGTTTTGAGAGTCTGTCCTTACAAGTATTGCTCACTCAACGGCCATCTCCATGCGCAGTATCCTCCTCTCAAAAGCTTCATATCGTCCAGGAGAAGGAGTCTGAAGTCTCAAAAGAGTGTGAAGATGGAAGCTTCTAAGGAAGATTTTGTGGAGATGTGTGTTGAAGAGAAGAAAGAGTGGGAGAATGGAAATGGAGAAACTTTTGAAGTTGATGTTGAGACCCAAATCTCAGAAACTGTCTCTCTAGGAGCACCTCTCTCTGAAACTGATTCTGATGAGTACTCTGATAGTGCAGAGATGGTGGTGACATTTTCAGAAGGTGATCATGGAACTGAACTAAAAGAGTCTGATTTTGAGGAAACTCTAGTAGATGATGACTCAGTGAAAAACATCCAAGAGACTTGTGAGGTTGATGATTACTCTGATAGTGGAGAGATGGTGATGTTTTCAGAAGGTGGTCATGGAATTAAATTAGGAGAATCAGACTTTGTGGAAGAGATCCAAGAGACTTGTGAGGTTGATGACTACCCTGACAATGCAGAGATGGTGATGTTTTTAGAAGGTGATCATGACATGGAGTTAAAATCATCTGACTTGGAGGACACGCTAGTAGATGACTCTGTGAAACAGATCCAAGAGAAGGCAAACAGAGATGAAGAAGTTATCTGTATGATGAAGAACTCAGAAGCTGAAGAGGATGATGATGATGATGTTGCTGGTGAAGAGACACTCAAGGATAAAGCTGAAGATTGCAAAGAGGAGTCTCAAGACCGGATAGAAGAAACCGGAACGGTTCCATTTAACCGGGCAAGAAAATCTTGCAATCAAGAAGAGGAGACAGATGAGACCATTTCGTGGAACATCATCAAATGCAAGAAACCTGATGAAGAAACAGAGGATTTGAGGGGATTTAACCCAAGAGAGCCCAATTACCTTTCTCTTGTTGCGGATGCGGATACAGAAAAGGTAGACCTCAAGCATCAAGACATGGACGAGAGGAGAAACTCGGAGGATTGGATGTTTGATTACGCTCTTCAGCGTGCGGTTACCAAACTTTCCTCAGCAAGGAAGAGGAAAGTTGCATTGCTCGTTGAGGCGTTTGAAACCGTGAAGCCTGTTATGCCACATGGTAGAGAAGAACATGCACCGGTGTTGAGTTATGGAAGACACCTTCAGACGTGCAATTAACGGAGGTAAATAATGATTAAACATAATCTCTCTTACAACTCGGATAATAAAAACCAATTTTGTAATGAGCACATTTATCTTTATGCAGGGTCAAGGGATGATTGAAGTAAGGCGTTTGACTTTTATTTATTTACTTATGAGTGAAGAACCCAAGAGTAAAAGGGAACAAACTTTGATGGTTTATTACCTTTAGCTCTTTGTGTGTTTGTTACTTTGTTATGATTGATTTAGTTCTCCATAATATATGAGGAGGACTTAGTGTGTGCTTTGCTTGAGACTACTTTATGGAACAAATTGTATGCATGCGTTTGTTTAGTTCTTCGTAACTATTTGAGATTTATAATCAATTGAATGCTGTTGTTGTTGATTGTTATAAACATTGACATTGAAATACTGAATGCCATATACAGGTTTTGGCGTTGTTTGTTCATGAAATTTCTTATCCTTTGTTTTTGTTTTTGTTTTGTTTTTTGTTTCAAACTTTCCGGTGAAAATGTGTTTATCGTGTGGATTATCAATGTTGAAACGCTTAAAAGTTAAAAGTGATAACTACAATATTATCGTTTCAAATCTTAATCGCCAAAATTCAAATCTTTAAACTACTGCATGAGATTTACAAGTTACAACTGATAAACTACGATGTACGGAGATACTAAGAATAGGCGAATATTCGTATATGCGAGGAAAAGTACGTACAACGAATACGGAGGGGTGTTTCCGTCATCTCTCTATTCTCCGGTTTTTCGTTTCTACTTATTCCGGAGAGATTTCTTAAACAGACTCCGGCCTAGGTGGGGTCGCCGACACGTCCTCTATCTGAAAGGGATTCGAGGGTATTTTCGACTTCTTAACACCAGAAGCATCGGATCTTAGCCACCTGTTACCTCGTGTGCAGAAACAAAACCCTTGATCTCACGACACGTGTCCATTCTCGTTTTCAGATTTAACCTATTTTAACACGTTGGACAACCACGTGTGCATCATATCCTATTATCTGAATTACTGTATAAAACCCCACAAAGCTTATCCTCTTCCTCTTTGTTGTTTCAGATCACAAAAGATTTTTGTTTTCTTCTCCGTTTTTCAAATCCAGTTTCTTCTCTGCCGTTTTTTTGTTTGTTTCCTCTATCTGTAATCGACGGTGATAATTTCGTCGGAGAATTCGAAACCAGATCTCTGCGGGGTAAAAGAAGAAAAACCGCCGCCGAGATTTGCGTCTGATTGCCGTTATAATGATCGCCAAAAGCATAAAGCCTAACGTTCTCGCGTCGTCGCGTATCTCGGAAACTTTAATTCGTATCTAAAGAGTTACGATAAAGCCATCTTTCACCTTTTAATACTTTTTTTTTCCCGAAGTTGGCCTGAGTTCGAAGTTATTCGATACTTTATCTTGCAATTTAGATCATCGTTTTGACATATACTGGAGATAGCTTTCAGGATTTTCTCGTTTATTTTTGGGGAAAATTCTGCTTCCTTCTCGATTTCATTTTTTCTTTTCCGATTTGGAAGCGAAGAACAATCAGTGTCGTCGATCTGAAATTTTCTGTATACAGTGGGAGTTTTTTTTTTCCCATTTCTTTGTATTTTGGTTTTTTTGAGTGATCGCGATGCCGTTTCATGTGAAAATCCAACCGATCGACTCCGGTGTACCGGAAAATCATCTACCATTCCCGGAGACGATGAAGCAAATGCCGAAATCGCGGCTGAAGCGTCTCTTCGAGCGTCAGTTCAGTATAAAGAACACGTCGGAGAAATTTACCGCCGGCGAGTTTGAGGCACCGCTTTCGAGAGGCAACTCGGGGGATTTCGAGCCGAGCTCCGTCTGCTTGGCGAAGATGGTTCAAAACTTCATCGAGGATAACAACAACGGCGAGAAACAGCGGTGTGGCCGTCGCCGATGCAACTGCTTTACTGGAAGTGGCACGGAGAGCTCAGACGATGAATCTGAATGGTCCGATGGCCTGAAATGTTACTCCGGTGAAGCATGTGAAATCCTCAAGGTATGTGCTCTGCTCTAATCAGTTTTCTCTCGTCTAAAGGATTGTTCGTTTAGGGATAAGCAGAATTCTGATAAATACGGATTCAAATTTTGTAGAATTTGGTCCTTTGTACAAGCGTCCATGAGAGGAATCTACATGACGACGTAACTAAGATTGTGGAAACAAGCAGAAATTGCAGTGGCAAAGACGGAACTTGCTTAAAAACTGTGGCTAATGGGTTAGTGAGCTTAGGCTACGATGCGGCTATTTGCAGATGTCGCTGGGAGAAGTCACCTTCTTGTCCTTCTGGTATGATCCCATTTCCTAGCTGTTTCCAATTATGTTTCAACAGATTACTATATGAAGCTTGACAATGGATTGTGAAATTGAAACAGGGGAATATGAGTATGTGGATGTGGTAGTCGAAGGTGAAAGACTGTTGATCGACGTGGATTTCAAATCCAAATTCGAGATTGCTCGTGCGACGAAGACGTACAAGTCGATCCTGCAAACTCTGCCTTACGTATTTGTGGGGAGAGAGGATCGGTTGCAGAGGATCATCATCCTTGCATGTAAAGCCGCGAAGCAGAGCTTGAAGAAGAAAGGACTTCATGTGCCGCCATGGAGGAGAGCAGAGTATGTTAAATCGAAGTGGATGTCTCCTTATGTTCGTGTAGATGGCGAAGAAGACAAGCAGGAACGAGTAGATATGTTAACTAGATCGGTAGGTGCCATAGTCTTTGGTGTTTGAAGACTGTGTGAAGCTTTTATATATATGACATAAGCTTCTAGAGAGGTGTGAGATAGAGCCATAGAGGAGTGTTCGAATCCCTTAATAGTTTTTTTTTGATAATTAAGGGTATGAATTGAGGAAGATCTACTCTCAAAGTGTGTCTCCTTACCATTTTTTTTGGGTGTAAGGGAGAGTGTGATCTGACTCTGTGGTTTCTTAGTGGGATTATTATATTTTAACAGATTGCTATGAAGCTTGACAATACAGTTTGTTTTTTTTTTTTCTTTTACTTTGTGAAATGATACATGGGAATACGAGTCTTTGGATTGTTGATCGACATTGATTTCAAAACGAAATTCTAGATTGCTAGCGAGTCTTTGGTTTTAACGAACTTGCAAATAAGTCATACTAAAACTGGAAACAAACAGCTTAATATTTAAAGCAAAAATCAATGATGGTTTTCCCCAAAAACTTTAGAAAGTGTAACAATGTCAGTCTAGAAGAAACTTCGGTAAGTAGGTCGAATCCAGGATAGAGATCTTTCAGCAACCTTTTATAAGTTTTTATCTTCAAACTTAGTAAACAACTTCTTGGCGTCAGATTAGAGCTTTGGTTTTCCTAATCCTCTCTTTTATTTGTGTTCTTGTGGATATTATTAGTCGCTTTTTCGTTGGAGCTAATTATATGGTAATAGAAAGAGTTAATGAGGATAATACAGAATTTGATTTGATTTAGGGGAGGTACACGAGGAAATACCGAAATACAACATAAATTGATTTCACGTTACAACAAAAACAAACAAACAACAACTTCAATAAAACGAAGATGAACAACAACAATGAAACAACTAGAAGTAGACAGTTCTGGCAACAACACTCTTAGTAAAAGCATAAGCCGATATTCCAACCCCAACAAGTAAAGTAACCAGAGCCGTTGGTTTGAATAACTTAGCTGAAAAGAATAGGCATTGCTTCATAAAGGACTTCCACTAACCAACATAGGAGAATAAAGAGTGCCACACATGTGTATGTGATGATAGCAAAAGTTTGTGGAACCACTAGAAATCGTTCAACTATTAGATACTCTTGGAGTATTTGGTCAGAATACTGATAAATTCTATGTAGATATACTTAGAAGCTCAAGACATCAAGTTTATATAGTACTATTTGTGATTTTTCTTCTTCTCTGTTGGTTCAATATTTGGGATATCCGACATAAATCTTTTAAAAGTGCATTTTTAGTGTAATATCCAAAAACAAATGACTACTATATCAAAAAGTTTGCCACAAACTACATTTAGCAAACAATCAGATTATGGTAACATTATGGCAAACAATCTGATTGTAATACTGACTATATTATATGGCAAAATTGATCCAATTTTTTTATTTATTTTTATATTTTTTAAATCACGGAAGAATATTAAACAAAATTTGATCAATTTTAAAAATAAGAAAATAATATTAAAAACCCGATAACAAATCTCTAAATAAAGATATGTAGTCTTTTACATTTTTATTTTGAATTCATGATATGAAATAGAAAGATTTACATGTGTCTAAATCTAATCGACTCATTATTTTATGAAACTTTGATTATTCCATGATGAAATCTTTATTTTTAATATTTTTTTACCTAACAAAACATGGAAAATTAAACTATTTAATATTAGAAGATCAGTCCATTATAAAATTTTCTTTTTTAATATTATTTAGTTCCTTAATAATTATTTTGTTAGTTTTCTATTTATATTGTTTCTTTTTCAATTTCGTTTTTGCCTCTGACCATTATAAATTTTCATTTTCATTATTAGTTAGTTGTTTTAATATTATTTTGTTAGTTTATTTATTTATGTTACTACATTTTTCCAATTTTCTTGTGTTGACACATGTCATCACTTCATCAAATATTAGACACATGTATCGATCTAAAGTTAAGTATTCTTCATTGATATCTTTAACTTTTAAAGACATGAATTTTATTTCTTAATGAGAAAGAAACTTAAAAAATATAGCTTGTTATATATTGTTTTTTTTTTCATTTTCGTAATGGGAATATGTTTTTTTATTCCTTTTCTTATTGGATGTAACATTTTTTAATTATTTCTTCATGTTTTTCTGATTTTCGTTTTTTTTCCTTTTCGTAATAGAATTATGTTTTTTCTTTACTTCTCATAATGGATGTAATATTTTTTCTTTTTAATTGTTTGTTTCCTGTTTTCTGATTTTTCCTAATGTACTAATAGGATTTTATTCAAATAATTTTAATTTCGATCCAATTGACCTAGAGTCAAATAATCTCCACTGTTCTCTTGAACTTTCAAAGACATGATTTTGAAATTAGAGAAAGAGAATCAAAGAGATTTTCTGAATTTGCTTTGATGAGTTTGTGAATGAGAAAAAGAGACTATAGTAGCTCTCTTTTTATAGGGGGTTCATGTAACCAATTTCATACAGTTTTAGGATATTTAGTTTACATACCTATTACATGTACTAATAGGATTTTTTTAAATAGGAGTTTATATAACCTATTCCATACAATTTTAGGATATTTAGTTTACATACCTATTCCATATACTAATAGGAATTTTTTATTACATTATTTTCATTTTATTATATAAAATTTCGTTTTTATTATAAGATATTAAAATTTTCCTTTAAAATAAAAATTTCCTTTTTCCGAAGACATGTGTCACGATCTTAACGGATATAACATTAAAAGTGACACATGTCGCAATCCTATATTTTATAAAAATCCTACGTGTCGCAACCACGTCGCGCATCCAGCTTTATATAATAAGATATTTGCATTGGACTATTAGTTTAGATAATTTCGTTGACGGAATCATATTCTGTTCTTTAATAGTTGATTTTTTTTTTAACAACTAATAGTTGATGTTTTAGATTTTTGTTTTTGTTCCTTATTATTTAATTTTTTAGACTATTAAATACTCCCTCCGTTTCAAATTAGTTGTCGTTTTGGCAAAATGTATTTGCAAATATTTGGACGTATCTGCAATGCAAAACATGTCCAGATACGTCCAAATATTTGCAGATACATTTTGCCAAAACGACAACTAATTTGAAACGGAGGGAGTATATTTTTTTGTTAATAAATGTCAAAAAATGCAAATTTCAAGAGAATTCTATAACTTTTATTGGTTAATAGTTATTTCAAATAAAAAAATAATACTTTAAAAGTTAAGCATTAATTGTTTCTTAATCTATGTGAAAACTTTAAAACATCAACTATTAAGGAAGTAGTTCCTTGGTGTGCGAGCAAGATCCTCGTTAATCAAATTTTAAAAATTGTTTTTGCTCATATTTTGTGATTAGTCTATAAGAACAAAAAATACGTGCGAGGTAAAGATAAGATCAAGACTTTTTTTTGTTAATGCTTAGTCTTTTCGGGGACAATCCGTAAACGACAACCATAAAAGAGGCTATGGATTATACGCAAGGCATCAACAAAGTCTCTACTCATGTTGATATTAATTAACTGAAGAAACAGAACTTAAAAGCTGAGAAGCGACTCAAAAAAGTGGAAAGAGATCATCTCCACACAAGCCAAAAGTACAAAGAAACAAGAGTAAGTTTGTAAGACATGTGTACCACCCAAAGGTCGTTATGATCATTGAAACATTTTACTTCTTTTTTTATATGCAAGTCACATTGGCTGAGGTTATACGATAAGAGAAGGCGCGCCGTGAATCTCTGTTACTCGGCTGCGAATTTCATTGACTGGTGCAACAAACTGGTATAGAAATTGCACAAGGCTCTTGAGATGCTACCTACAACACAAACAACAGAAGAAACCATTGATCATGTAATGCTATTCCAAATAAACATATATCATTCTGATCTTATATGACCTAAAGCTACCATAATTGACATACCCTTTCACTTAAACTTGCTTTGAATATTTAGAGCCTGCAATTCTCCATGTCCAACAACGGTAAAATCTTGGCACAAGAAAATATGATGATACTTCAGCAGAGAGAACAACCTCAGAAGCTGGAGAGTGAAGCAATAAATGATTTCAGAGATATTAGCCGCGAGGTATTATATAGCACTATTGTTACGCTTAAACACCCCAAGATTCATAGTTTACGTGCTAGTATCATAAGTGGCCTCTCAATAAACTCTTGTCTTTTCATATAATTAGTTGCTAGTATCACTATTCTTCTTACAACTATCTGAAAGTTCTGTATAGCTAATACTTAAACTGGACTATAATATTTGCAATAATATGTGGAAAATCTATGCTTGTTGGGAGGAATTCCACAAGCACGTAAACTACTTCTCCTTTTGTTTAAGTATAGATTTTCCACAAGTTGTTGGGAGGATTTTTTTTTTCTTTTTTCATACGGAATATTATGAAAAGATTGTCTGACTGGACTCAGACGTGGATTCTTCAACACACTCCTTTGTGATAACTTTTCTCCTTGTTTATGTTATGTAGCCCCACCTCATGCGGACAAAGCTGTGTGATCTAAAGGATGAGGACCTGGATTCTATACCTACGTTGCAAGGCGTGATCAATTGAAAAAGCTTGTTGCTAGTATTCTCCGCCCAAAGCTTGTGCAGGGGAAAGCACTAAATGGAAAGGAATTTATTGCGTTCCTGGAACAAGTGAGTGTCCATCTTTTTTGCTATATGGCTTTGTTCCCTGAATTTTGCAAAATAGTGATATGAATGAGTGGAAGTGTTAAATGGCTTATATGCCTTCTATGCTTATTATTTGATATATTGCAATTCTAATGGCTCTTATTTGCAGATACTGGATGCATTAAACAAAGGAGAGATCCCATCAACAGGGTCACTAGTTGATTGAAGTGTGTCATTGAGAAATCAAAAGGAACAAGTGTCTGCTTTCTCTGGTGCTATTACATACTAAATCAAGTGAATAGACATGTTTATCTCTTCTCGTAGATGGATATGTTTTCTGGCATCGTTTAGCTAACCGGTGTCTGTGTTTGTACTATTTGCCTAAACTTTGGTAAATGCAATTGAATCTTAGTACCTGTAAATAGCGTTCAAATCTACATGATCATTGTGATTCATGTCTTCCTTGATATTGAACTGCTTCATGCCCTTAGCTACTATATTAAAACCCCCCATTCATATTAGGATTTTCTCATTTTTATACATCAGTGTGTATTTGTATATGTGATAGATTTGTTGCAAGGTTTTTGATGAGCATTAGACACTTTCTTGATACGTAACACTTCAAATGGGTGAAATGAAAGACTGTTGATCGACATTGATTTCAAATCGAAATTCCAAGATGAAACAGATTGTTTAATTTGTGAAATGAAACATTGGCCTCTTTAACCTTTTTGTCTTACAATATAATTAGCTCGACGCTGTACAATCGAATAGATGTTAGAATCTCAGAGGCTTATGTGAAAGAAGAAGTTGAGATAAGACGATTGAGAGAGTGAAACGGACGGGTATTGTTTTAAGATTTGATTTAGGCAAAATACGAAACTTGATTTAGGCAAAATAAAAGAGTTTGATTCAGAACAAACAAACAACAACAACAACAACAACGTAGCATAACATTGAACACACAAACAACAGAAAACAGAAACAGAAACTAGATATCAACGATTAAGGTAGATTCTCCTAGAGGAGACACTCTTAGCGAAAGCTATACCAGTGAGTAGAACCGCCCCAAGAGAAACCAAGAGACTCAGACGCTTGAAAAACTTCTCAACAAAGTGGAAAACAGTGTTACCGGAATGGTAGTCGGACCAAACCAGCAGAAAACCGATGAGCAGATGACATTTCGGAAAAGTGATGGCACCTCGAGATAGAGATCGTCTTCTCCTCCAAGGAGCTCGTACTCATCGTCGTATAGCGCTACTCCTCTTAATCTTCCCTCCATCTCGAGCTGCCTTAACCGTGCCTCCCTCACGAGCCTCCTTTTCTTTTTCTCCTTATCCAGCTCACCAAGCAGTATTATCATGGTAATACCGACAACCATGGCCGCCACACCAACAGCTCCCTCATAACCGATGTGCTTACTCAACCGATAGGTAAACCACCCAAAAACAACAGCATAGACAGCCCCTACGTGAATTCTCTGTTTCGCATCTCTCTGTTTCTGTTGTTCCATGACTCTCTCTCTCTCAGGTGGCTTACTCACAGATCTACTCTCTTTTTACTTTTAGTCTGAGAACGAAGGAGAGACGCTAATGATTTGATCATTTATAACTTGACCAGAAGACTAAGATTTCAGGGGCAATTCTGCCATTTACAGATTTTTAGAGTGGCCTCCAAGTTTACCATCTTGGAGTAGCCTCCAAGGTTTTGGAGTAAAGCTGTAAATGTAAATCTGTACATGGGCCGAATGTCTATTGGGTATTTGATGGGGAAACGAAAAAACCTATCTATTTATTTTATTTAAATACAAAATTCTGGGGCATTACATTGTAATAATAATAGAATGAAACTAAGATCTTAACCCAAAGCCGACCTAATAGAACGAAATAAACATCAACAAAATAAATTTAATAACAAACTATATAGTAGAACAAACTACTAAAAATTAAACATTGTAGTGTCGTAGCTTCCGTCCGGCTAAACGAGTCCTCTTTGTTTATGGAGCTTCTAACCTGGACTAATTTTCGTTGAGTGATTACCATGACTGCACATAAGACAGTGATATCCCGAAAAATTCTGTTAAGAAACGTTTTCAAAATAAAACTTTTGGTTTGATTACGTAATATAGTAATATCCCAGTCCCAGCGCAACAAACTAATGACTTCAAAAAGCATGAACGACCAGATGATGACTTGTTCCTTTGTTACTTTGAATCCATCGACATGTTGTCTAAGACGCCTTAAGAAACACCTCATGTTAGGGAAATACAACGTTATCCACTCATCAACTAATTCGATAGTGAGCATCGTCAATAACAGCGTCAATGCCGAGGTGTAGAATGCATATTCCTTTGGCGTTAAACAAGGAGACATGGCTAAAACCTGTGATTGATATATACAAGGAAGAACAAAAAATATGATGTCAATAAGAACAAATTAAAAAAAAAACCATAAACGGATTAAAGAAGGTGAAGAGCAAAATTATCAACCTCTGTAATGACACGATAGTTTAACCAATTTTTTTTTCACGACTTTCTGTCTTGTGTTAATGGTTTCACTGCCTCTTTATATAAGCTATTAATTAAGGTTAACACATTATTAACTGAATATTCATTTCTATATAAAAATGGAAAAGGGCTTCATACATTATAAGTTAAAAAAAGGAAATATACCAAAAGTATGTTGTCGGTCGTGACTATACATGTGAAAAGAATTTGGAAAGTCCATATATAGTATATCTGATGAGAATATATATATATATATATATATATATATGAAGCATTTACCTTGCAGATCGTATGTTACTATAAAACCTAGATATGGTCTACGGACTTTCTTGGCGTGGGGAGCAAGATTCTCGTTCATCAATTTTAAAACTGTTGTAGTCAGACTCTGAGGCTACTACTTAGTAACGCATATATAAGAAGACGATCCTTGCAATGTTAAAGTGTTATCGAGACATATAAAACCCAGTGACAAACATATTAATCTAATAAATAAAGGGAAGACAAAATAGCTTTCTTTCCAAGAAAATAAACTTCCACGAAACAATACAAGTATACAACAATCGCTATCCATTGTTCCCTAAGCTTGGCCCAACACATCTTAAGTCATATCATTCATAATACATAACTGAAGAACTCAAAACCAAGAACGTCATAAATAGCTAGCAGAACAATCTTTGGCCTCGAAGTCATTATTTGACCTTTGAATGGCATCATCGGCACATTCATCAAGTCATTTGAGAATATAATGAGCTGCTTCTATCGAGCTGTTGTTACTATATTATAATCAGCCCGGCCCTGAGCATGTGCTCACAGTGCATTTGCACCTGATCTTTTTTTATTTTTACAATTTTCTTTAGATAGTTAGGGTCCTAATTGTTAACAAATATATTCAGCAATGTGCAAGGAATGCATATAGCGATTTCGAACAAAAGGTGAAGCATCTAGAGAAGAAAAAGGAACACCTATCAGGACAATGGGACGAAGAAAGAAAATACATGCTTGGAGTTGGGACGAAGAAAAAGCATGATGGGAGGAGGATAGGTACATATCCTGAGGCTAAAAATATCAAGATGTTGAATGATAACTTACCATGATGGGGTTGTAATGTATTCATTTAGGGCTTGGACTCGTTCACCAAACTTTCACTGCATAGTTTCACTGCGACATGTACACATAAAAGAATGAATTGTCTCAAGTCTCAGCAGAGCACGATAAGGAATATATATTGTCACAGATTGTAGCTCTGCTTGGCTTTGAAAAATGTTCCTTTAAATACAGAAAAGACTTTGCAATCTTCGGCTATATAGTCATCAAGTGATTCTACCAAAGTAAACGTCTTCATAAGAGCTTAATTTCCACAATTTGATCTCCCAATATTAAAACTCCCAAGAGGAACAAGTCCAAGTCAAAAAGCCACTAAACTTCAGTTCAGATTGAGGTCTTGAGACTAAATTAGCAAAGTTAGACCAAGCCAAAATACATTCAAACTAAAATAATACTAATCAGGTGACTGGCAAACAAATTAATCTAAGAAATGAAAGGATAAAGACAATTAGCAAAAAAGTTAAACTTCCACGAAACAGCACAAGAGTCACTCACTATCCCTTGTTCTCTAAGCTTGACCCAACATAATCTAAGTCACTGCATAATATAAAAACACTAAAACCGAAGAATTCCAAAACCAAGAACGTCATAAATAAACAGAACAACAAGCTTTAGCCTCAAAGTCACTAAACTTTCAATGGCATCATCATCATCTTCTCCAATCAAACTCATAGAAAAAGCTCTCCTTGCCACTGGCCCCTTTGCTCTGTCCTACACCGATCCAGATCAGAAATGGCTCATAAGAAAGCATCTAACTTCATTCCTCCAAGAGTTTCCAAATTTCTCTCTCTCTACTGATACTTTCAACCACAACACCGGAGCCACTGTTCAACTATTCCGCCTCCAAGGCTCTCTACGCACCGCTTCACAGCTCCCATCATTACAATTGACCATTTGGGTTCACGAGAACTACCCAATAACGCCTCCCCTGGTTTTCGTAAACCCTAATCCTCCGGTTCCGGTTCGCACCAACCACCCATTCGTCGCTTCCTCCGGTCTCACAAACTCTAATTACATCGAGAATTGGGAACACCCGAGATGCAATTTGCTCGATTCCGTTCGAAATCTCAGGAGAGTCCTCGCGAACGATCACCCATTTGTAGGGAATGATTCGAATTCGATCCCGAACCGGACTCAACCGGTTTCGAGGACCGAAGCTATAGACAGATTAGCGAAGAGTCTACACTACGACGCATTGGCGATTTTGAAGAGATCAGAGGAAGAGATTGAGAACCTATGGAAACTGCAATCGGAGGTGAGGGAAAGATCCGAATCGGTTAGAAGGATCATCGGCGAGCTTGAGATAGAGAGGGAGAAGCTGAAGGAGAGAGTCGGGGAGATCAGAGACGATATCGATGTTCTGGAGATCTGGGTTGAGAGGAATTATCCTAGACTGGTGAAAGCGACGTCGGGGGATGTGGGAATCGAGGAAATGTTCGAAAGGGAAGAAGATGGAGATGAAGACGAAGATGAAGAGACGAAGAAATTGGCACTGGAGAGCTTGGCGGCAGATGAGGCCATTGAAGAGGTGTTGGGTGTATTGGAAGAAGCAGCGGGAAGAGGAGAGATGGAAATGGGTTCGTATCTGAAGCAAGTGAGAGTCTTGGCGAGAGAACAATTTTTCTGTAGATATATAATCAACCATTGTTATCTGTAAAAACTCCAACTTTCATATCTGAGAGCTTAGAGATACATTCATCTTTTTTTATGCTTAATTTTTTCGTTAATAGCATTATTAATTATTGGTTTATTTAATTCTTGATGGTTGGATGTTGCAGTGCATATTCATATGGATATGCATTTGGATCATAGCATCATCATGAATAAGAAGGTGAAATCAATTTAGATAATCTGTTCTTATCGCATAATTCGAAAACTAAACCGAACTATAATGTTAAATATTTAAACAATTGTTGATGACATATGATCGCAATAGTAGTATACGACATCTTCGATAAAGTCATAACTTGGAAATGCTAAAACTTGTCGTGGTATAAAGATGCAAAAGCTTAAAATTTGTTCTTATATATTAATGTCTAACTTAACAATAAAAAAGAGAGAGGGAAAATACCAAAATAATAAAATCAGTTAATTAAAAGCGCGCTAATTTGACTTTTGCTTTTGGATTAGGTAATAGACTACCTAATCATGCCAACAAATGACAGTAATACCCTCTAGAGCCAAGTCAGCACGTCCTTGGAAATCTAATAATTGTAATGTAATGTTTCGGGTCAAATCAAAATCGAACAAATTAATTTGGGTTTCGTCGTTATTTCCCCCTTTGAGAATCAAGTGTTCCTCATCCTAAACTAAGATCTCGTGCAACCTTTTTTTTTGCCTCTGCGGGTGCACGATTCTTAACGTACACCCATCTCCCCAGGTTTCCTCCTTTCTCCAAGATCCCTACTTTCTCCTTCATCACACGACTCTGGTTTGGATTGGTGCGCAATTTTCCACGGATTGACTTATAACGGCAATCGGGTTCTACAAAACGGATCGTCTTCTCTCTGGGGTAGAAAATCATGGAGATTTCTCGCCGGGCCTCTGTTTTCTTCTTCTCTCTCTGCTTATTCTTGTCTACTTCTCTCTCGATCGAGAATTATCACCAAGCGTAAGTGTGGTTTGGTTTCCTTTTTCTTAAGCTCGTCAGATTTGAATTCTCTTAATGGGTATATCTTAGTGTATCACAATTTTTCATTTGCTCTGCATCTTTTAGCTGTAGCATTGGGAAAGAGATGTACATTGTTCTTGGATCTCATTATGTATGATGATTGAAAGAAAGATATTTTTTTTTATAACGTATGGTTTTGTACCATTGCAATCTGATTGAAATTTGAAAGAAAGATTTTTTTTGTGTCTACATGAGAACCCATTTATACTCTTGACAATGTATAATGTTTCTTTCCTCTTTCTGATGTCTATTAGTTGCTGAAGTAATAGGTTTGGTATAGCTACATTGTTGCAAGAAATGGTATTCACTGCAGACTAGTAGCAATTTATTGTCACCAACTGTAGCTGCCGTAAAAATTCATTTTTTGGAAATCTTTCATGGTCCTCCTAATACCAATTTTAACTTGTTGTCTATGCAGTTTTCCAATTGTTGAACCTGATCCGAATCACACAAAGCTTCGTCTTAGCAGAGAAGGTTTGGAAGCAATTAGCAGAATCACAACTCCAATTGCAGCTGTTGCGGTATGTGAGAGTGATTTTTTTATTAGTTATTAGTTGTGTGGTCTTTGTATATAAATTTCTTGCTTATTCTCACGTTTTGCTTATTACTTTATCTGATGTTAAAACATTAGGTGATTGGCCCATATCGTTCTGGAAAATCATTTCTTCTCAATCAACTTCTTTCTCTTTCCTGTTACGAAGGTGACTCTTATTTCAATCATTTCTATGGTTTTGCAATTTCTTATGGTATGATTCGTTTTGCATATTTAACTTACTATATTTTCCAAATTCATCAGGTTTTGGTGTTGGACACATGCGTGATACCAAAACAAAAGGTATTTCACCAATGTGCCGAGGATAATATCATCCTTAAATTGCAAATTTTATTCTACCATCCTATTGAAAGGTTTAAACTTTTTGGTTGAAATCCATTTCATTGTTGTAAACAGGTATTTGGGTGTGGGGAACACCACTAGAGCTGGATATTGACGGAGTAAAAACTTCCATAATTTACCTCGACACTGAAGGATTTGAAAGTGTTGGAAAGTCAAATGTTTATGATGATAGGTACCCATACAGTTCAAGGCTTGCACATTTAGACGTTTGTTTGTGGAAGCTCTAAATATGTAATCATTTTTTTTTTTGCTGATTTTCAGAATATTTGCTCTGGCAACGGTTATGAGCTCCGTGCTTATCTATAATCTGCCTGAAACGGTAAGCTGTCCTGCCTCTATGTTTGTTAGCCTTAGTCGTTTTTAGCCATTTAGTGGTGTAATATTTGTAGCACACAAGTTATTCAGAACTGTTCTTCTAGTCATGTTTTGTTGAATTCAGTTTGTGTCATGCAACCCCAAGGGGAGGTGAACATAGAGTAACATAGAGTTAATACGGATGTGTAACATAGAGTAACTAGTGTTTGAAAGAACTTCATCTACAATTCTTTACTCTGATATGAGTTTTCAACAGATCCGCGAAGCTGATATTTCCCGGCTCTCCTTTGCTGTTGAGTTAGCAGAAGAATTTTATGGAAGGTTTGCTCAATATTACTCTGCTTTTCTGTCTTGTTAGTATGCCTCGATGAATACTGACTATGATCTGTTTTCATTTGCTCATGCGACTCATTTGGCAGAGTGAAGGTACTCCCTAATGCTGCTTCTGTTATTCTTGATTTGTGGAAATCTTCAAAACTTTGTTTCTGATTGTCTTCGTATCCTGTAGGGACAAGATGTTGCTTTTGAACCGTCAAAGCTTCTGTGGCTTATCCAGCGTGATTTTCTGCGTAAGTGCATGGTGCTTTTGACAACAACATTCATAGCAGTCCAATCTAAATAGTGCCTAGCTTCTATATAAATAGTGAGCTGATCATGGTTAACGCTACTCCAAATTTATGCAGAGGGAAAATCGGTAAAGGAAATGGTGGATGAAGCTCTCAAACATGTTCCTAATGAAGATGGTCAGGGTTCCTTTTCCATTATTGAACTGATGTACATAGACCATTTCTCAGGCAGGAGCTCTTGTTAATTGATCATTTTTTGTTTATCATGTTTTCAGGTAACAAAAATATTGACCAGGTATGTTCATCTTTGTTCTGCATCGTGCAAGTAATCATCATTTGTATCTCACAAGTTATTCTTGTTATCACCTTTTTCAGGTTAACCAGATCCGGGATTCCTTGGCTATAATGGGTGACAACAGTACAGCCTTTAGCTTACCACAGGTAAGGAAGCTGTATAGTTGCCAGAGGCTTTTAAGAAGAATTTTGCTCCTTGTTTTTGTTTGCTTCCTTTGTGATAACTCTGCTCCTTGTTTTTCTTATGTAGCCCCATCTCATGCGGACAAAGCTGTGTGATTTGAAGGATGAGGACCTGGATTCTACCTACGTTGCAAGGCGTGATCAATTGAAAAAGCTTGTTGCTAGTATTCTCCGCCCAAAGCTTGTGCAGGGGAAAGCACTAAATGGAAAGGAATTTATTGCGTTCCTAGAACAAGTGAGTGTCAATCTTTTTGCTACGTTCTCTGAATTTTTCAAAATAGTGATATGAATGAGTGGAAGTGTTAAATGGCTTATATGCTTTCTATGCTTATGTATTGATGTATTGCAATTCTCATGGCTCTTATTTGCAGATATTGGATGCGTTAAACAAAGGAGAGATCCCATCAACAGGGTCACTAGTTGAGGTTTTCAATAAAGATATTGTTGAGAGATGTGTGAAGCTGTACAATGAGAGGATGGTAAAATTGCGGCTACCTATCACTGAAGAATCTCTCCAAAGATTCCACGAAACGGCACATGATGAAGCCATTAAAGCATTTGATGCACAGCATTTTGGCAGACAGCATGCAAAGAAATCCGTCGATCAGTTGGATGAACAAATGCAGGAGGTATGAATTCGTTGCCAAAGCTAAAATTTCTTTTATCATATTTTTCATAGACTATCTCCAAATGTTTAGTATCTTATACGTTTTGGAAATATTATCCAGGTATATAAGAATATTGTTCTGGCAAATGAATACCAATCGTCAAAGCTCTGTGAGGCGCTATATACAAAGTGTGAAGATGACATGGACCACTTACAGGCTCTCCGACTCCCTTCCATGGCTAAATTTAATGCTGGTTTCGTCTACTGCAACCAAACTTTTGAACATCAATGTGTTGGTCCTTCGAAACACAATTATGAGCAAAAGTTAACCAAGGTAATATATACACACACGTCTAGGTTGTGCTTGAAATCGGAAATCGGAAATCAGAAACAGTAATGGTGTTTGTGTGCAGATGATGGGAAAGGCACGGTTATTGTTCATCAAAGAATACAATAACCGCCTGTTCAACTGGCTGGTTGCGTTCGCTCTCGTCATGGTTGTTGTTGGAAGGTTCATTATAAAATTCATTTTACTAGAAATGGCGGCATGGATACTTTTCATCTTCTTGGAGACATACACAAGGATGTTCTGGACAGCAGAATCTCTTTATTACAACCCCGTCTGGCATTTCATCGTTGGGACCTGGGAAACTCTCGTGTACAGTCCCGTTCTCGACTTGGACAGGTAACAACAACAACAACAAAGTCCTTACCAACTCTGACCAAACTTCTCTGCGTGCTTATCTAATTTGTTTGTACTTTTTTGGTGAAATAGATGGGCAATACCTATAGTCTGTATTATTGCATTGTGTGTGCTTTATTGGCGGTGTTATGGAAGGAAGAAACACGGGTATAGTTGGCTTCTTCCGATGTACAACAACCAGAAGAATGGTCGGAACAGGGAACGGTCAGAGTGAACACTTTCCACATTCCCTCTTATAACTTATAGCATCTTCTCTCGGGCATGCTCGTTGTTTTTACCATCCGAAGCTCTCTGCCCGTTACTACCAAATTTTTGGAACGCAGAAGAATTCAAGTAAAAAATGAAGAAGAGGATGATTGAATCCAAAGTTGGTTTGATTGATGCCTGTATTCACTCTGTACCATTCACATAGAAACTTACATTTGTAATGTTTTAACTTTATATACGTATGGTCGGATCCGTTTTATACTTCCAGTCACGCCTAATTTAGTTAAACGAAAAATTTACCTTATTTGTTAAAAATCGTTTGTTCATGTTTGTATTGAATGTTATGATAATAGAGTTAAAAGAGACAACTATTGAGCTATGTTGTTACTTCTCATGCTTATTCTTTCAATGGCTAATTGATAATACTGGTGCATAGCTATAACCTATAAGTATTCATTGTTGGCAGCTTCAAAGGTATCCTTAATAATCCAAATCTATCTTTTATGTTTTTGGTTTTTCTCTTTTTGCAAAATCTTAGAACTATCTTTTATGTCATTTCAGTATCATATTCATAACTTTTTATTAGTAATTTAATATATCTTAGTAATGTGTCATTTAAACTTTTTACCTTGTTTTTCCTGGATTTTTGTTTATAAAAGTCAGGAGTGTAGTAAACCTTAGAGGTTTAAGTTTGTAAATATATAAATAAAGTAGTTGAAATTAATGAGCAAAGACAAATTTGTTTTACAACTTCACACTTCCCCTCCATACACATGTTCTCCTTGTAATTTTAATAACTGATATTGGAAATCACTAATTTATTATTAATTAATTTCTATATATCTCTCAACATTCTCATGACCAATAATCTGATGTTTAGCAGATTATATGCCATAATTAGCAGATTTGTCAACACTTATTTTTATAGAGGGTTTTCTTGAATAAGTGTTTTACATGAACCTACAAAGAACCAAATATAACAGAAAAAAAAGTATTAGTGAATTACTTTTTATATTATTTTTATTTTCATCTCTTATCAATTTTCTACAATTATTAGAAAAAAAAATGAAGTTGTAAATCTTTTGTTTGTAGTGAAACAGATCTTGGTTCAAAAGGCACCAACATAAACTAGCAAAAACATTTATATTAACCTTGTGAAATGAAAAGCAAAAATAAATCTTATATATAATAGGAGAGTTGCTCTCTCCATCTAGAGTGTCCACATCAGCACAAAAACATTAAATTGTATTTAAATTATTTATTAAATATATGACTATTCATATTTCTTTACATTTATTCATATTTAATAAAAATATACAAATAAATTAATTAATTAATAGAAAGTATGTGATAATTTGATGTTAAAAGTTATCAAAAAGTTGGAATATAAAATAGAGATGGAGTAAAGAAATATTTAACTTCAAATAGTATATATTTACCTTTTTATTCAAAGGATTTATCATATTTAAAAATGTTATAATGTGTTTACAAGTTAAAAAGTTGAATATAAATTAATTAAGATAATAGAAAGCTAGAGTTTGAAACAAATAGAAATGGAGTTTTATATGTAAATTTAATTGTAGTGAAAAACAAGAATATGTTTACAAATTTTAACCTTCAGTCAAATGCATATACATATTTATAAATTTTAACCTTCAATCAAATACATATACATGTTTACAGTCTAATAGAAGTAAAAAAAAAGTAAACAAACATAATATTTATAACATGATAAATTTTAGAAATAGAAAACTCGAGATAAAGCGGGTGTTAATATCCTAATAAATTAAAATAAAAAACAAATTATTCATATTTTTTAGTGTTAGTGGTTGAGTTAACTCAAAACATAACAAAAACATGAAAGTTATACAAAAACCATCATAATTCAAATCAACGAGTATAAATAAAATTAAACAGAAAAACTATCGCAAACAACCCCGCGCTTGCGCGGGGCTTCAAACCTAGTTTGGTTTAATTTTGGATACTAACTGATATTTCCAGTAACTTCTAATTATTTTAGAGTTGTATTTCTGAAATTTCATATAAATTTACTGTTATTTTTATTTAATTATTTTATTCTGTTGACAAAACCATAGACTCTAAATATAATCCAGTTGACTAAACTATAACATTCAAACTTAATTAACTATATTTCTCTTTTGGTCAAAATTTTCAGTTATATACTAAGATCATATATTTCTATAACATTGTTTTTGACTTGTTACAACTTAATTTAGCAATTAACTTTTTGTAAATGACACTTTTGGTGAGTTCATAAAAAGATGAAGTAATATGACTAGCAATAAATTGATTCTTTTTTGGGTATGATGTTAGTAATAAATTGATTAGTTGTTGACTGAAATTAGTTTATATATGATGGATTAATGTCATGGAGAAATATATCTAAGATATAACAATGGTTTTACATTTAGAGTTTGTTCTATTTTCTTGTCTGCTTTTAATGCAAGTGGTCGATGGAAACATTGATGAAAGATTCTATAATTTTTACTTTGTTTTTCCATTTCTTCACATTTGATATTTTCATTTTGAAGTAAATTTCTTTATGTATTCTATTTTACAGGATTTTGATTGTGTTGATATATACAAACAACCAGTTTTCCAACATCCATTATTGAAACACCACAAAATACAGGTATGACAGTGACCTTGATCTCATCAAATATACAATAAATGTTGGAAACAATGTATAGTGTTGAGAATAGTTTGATGTATGAAGAATATAATCTTATAATGTTTTTTGTTTTCTTAATCTCTTTTTTTGTTACATTACAGGAAAACTTCAATTTGGATGAAAACCTTGATAGAGAAAACAAATATGAAACAAATGATCAAAGTTGTCCAAAAAGAACAGTGCCAATTCAACGAGAACGAAATGGAACTGAGAACTTTCATCTCGACACAGTCGAGTATCCAGGCCAACATGTAATTTTTATTCCCTTTTTTTTTAATTGAATTATCTGAATCATAATATAAAAAATTATATAGTTTGCAGCATAAAATATGAGTATATTGTATAGAGTCACTTTGTTGTCTTCTTACTAATATTTGATTATAGACGAGCAATTTGTTAAAACGACTCGATTTTTATATTCATAATTCTAGATGAGCACTATCTGTTATAACAACTCGATTTTTATATTCATATATGCAGTTTGCAACAATTGAGACTGTTTTGGATGGAAGCATCTACAGAGGAGCACAAGCTGACATAAGTGTTCATAACGTAACTGTACAAAACAACCAATACAGTAAAAGTCAAATTTGGATAGAGAATGGACCTCGTGATCAACTCAATAGCATACAAGTTGGTTGGGCAGTAAGTTATTATTATACTTATAAAGTCAAATGTTTATTTTATACTAATATTATTATTATTTGTCAAGAAAGAATATTACTACTAATATTTTCAAATCTAAGCATGTATCATCATGTAACTCATAATTTTGTTTAGGTACATCCAAAATTATATGGTGATACTTTTACGCTATTTACAATATATTGGACAGTAAGTAAATTCATTATTTTGTTACCATATTTTTTTTATACATGATAAATCATTTATGACTATAAAAGTAAAGTCCACCATTGGTTTTGATAGTTTGTCTTATGTTTCTTTTAATTATCAGGCAGATGGCTATAAAAAAACTGGATGTTATAATACTAAATGTCCTGGCTTTGTTATTGTAACTCGATCTCCCATGTTGGGGAAACGTTTCAAAAGCTCTATTTATGGTGCAAAACAATAACATATTTCCCACCACAGATTTTTCAGGTAATTTTTGTTTGTATTTATGTGATAAATAGTTTATTTGACAAAAATGTTTGAAAAAAATCATATATTTGTTTTGTGATATGGGCTACAATTATAAATAAATAAAAAACTGTTAGACTTACAAAATACGAGGATTCAATCTTATTATAACATTTTTAGCTTGATTTTATTTTATGTTAATTTTTCTTATTATTTGTGTTTATAAAGTTTATATATTTTTCTTTATGGTATTTTTGTGTTTAATTATATTTTAGGATGGCTTCAGCGGAAACTGGGCACTAAAAATACTGGGGCATAGTAGTTGGTTATTGGCCGAAAGAATTATTCACACATTTAAACAAAGGAGCTTCTTTAATACGTTTTGGAGGAAATACATTTGCATCTCCAAATGGAATTAGTCCTCCAATGGGAAATGGCCATTTTCCGGTATACGACTATTCAAAAAGTTCAAATTCGGTAAGTGAAAGTTAGGAATTCAAACTATCAATTTGTTGATATTGACAATAAGAAAACAAGACTTTATTTAGATTCTTCCCAATGTTATAGACTAAAATATAGAGGTTATGAACCATATCACAAAGTATCTTTTTCTTTCGGAGGACCAGGTGGAAACTGTGGTCTCTGATAAGAGTGATGAATATATGTACCGATCAAAACTATGTCAAAATTGCAAAAGAAATAAAAGTTAACAAAACTATGTTCATCTAATGGATACGGTAACTCTACTATTATTTTGTGAAGTGATTTTGGAGAATGTTCTTTCATTTACTCTCACAATTGAAAAGTCTAAATTGCCATTAAGGAAATCTCTTATTTATATTCTGTTGCCATCTATATTGTCGGCCCGTAGTCCCACAGCGCCTAAAGCGAACTACATAAATATTGGCCCTTAATAACAATTTTTTTCTTAGAACGGTTTTTTAGAAAAAAAAATATAAGTAACTATTATAAATTAAATTTTAAACAACTACAGTAGAAACTCTATAAATTAATAATGTCGGGGCCAATATATTTTATTGATTTAACGAATTATTAATTTATCAAGAGATCATTTGTATCAAAAACATAATTTGGGATCGGAAAATTCTGTTAATATATCGAATTATTAATTTATCGAGTATTAATTTATAGAGTTTCTACTATATTTTTTAAATAATTATTTTTACTAATAAATTTGTAATGAAACAGCAATCATTTCAAGAAATTGATTAGAT